TGTACGAATCCATGAGTCAATGGTCATAGCATCTCTTACACCATCATAAGTGGGAGGTTCAGTAGTTTTATGAGTAGTGACCTTGGACATAGAGTTATAATTTTCTTTTAAAGCCTTAGTAAATTCTTTCATAATAGTTGCATACATTTCCGTATATTCTCCAATCTTTGAGTCTTGTTGTTCCTTATTAATAACTTGGTCTTCACTTGTAGATGTATTCATTCTTGTTCAAAGTCAATATAAACTTGTATTATCAATTATTTCCAAACTATAGTAGTTAACAGCACTTAGGCAAATATCAAATATTTTAATCAGCACGGAGGCACAGCACAAAGGCAATCAGTAAGTAAATAGTATTAAACAGCACAAAGGGCACACAAAATAATATAAGCTAGTAGATACGAAACGCTCTGATGCTACCAATTGTCGTTTCTTGACTTCTTGAGATACAAAAGAGTAAAACTTTAGACGGTATTAAACAAAAAATAACAAAGAATATAATTAAGTTTTTATAATATTTATTGATTGTCTTTATTTAAAATCAATTATTTTTCGATATTTATATTAATTTTGCTACAAAATAAAGTTTATATGACAACAGGGAAAATCGTGATTGTAGTAAAGATGCATAAGTGTTGTCTTCTTGATTTTCTCATGTTGTCAATTGATTATGCCGACGTTTTCTATCTTCACAAATCATGCATAACTTCGACTTCTTCTTTCTCACGTCGGACTCCTTTACTGATGGTTTAAATCTTCTCTTATTCAGTCTATTTATTCTGAACGGCAGATTATATTCCACACTGCAATCATCTGAGTATATTTTTTACAAGATATAACACAGGATTTGATTATATCTTGCACTATATCATGTACTACAAGAATTAGACATTTCTTGTATGTGCAAGATATATGTACAAGATATGTATAAATCCTGCCTCAAAATCATACAAGATATAACCAAGATATAAACAAATCTTGCACTTTTTCTACAGGATATATACAAGTTTTGAACATTTCTTGTACTTTTTTCTACAAGATACACACAGGGTTTATATATTTCATGTACTGTTTTTTACAAGTTTTGATTAAATCCTGTACTTTATAATTGCTTTTCATTTGCTAATATTTTACATACCATGTTGTTTATCATTGGCTTTATGCTTCATGACTCATCAAAACATGGTTATACATTATTGGGTTATATAGATGGTATTTTATTCCCTTTTAGGCTTTGTTTATATTAAATAGGCTTCTTTATTGCCTTTCTTTATTGGACGTTATTAAATACATTGTTTACAAAAAATGTGGCTTTTTATTTACTTTTTTTATTTATTTATTTATTACATAAAAAATTGGTACATATAAAATAATAATAATAATAATAATATAATATAATATAATATAATAATAATATAATAATATAATAAAAGAGTATGCTATAAGCATTACATGTAAAATATTACACTTACCTTGAATACATATTCTATTGATAACATGGCCATTGATTAAAGAATCCTTTCGGGCTTTGGGGAAAAAAAAGAAAAAGAACACAGAGATTGCAAGGATTATCATACAGAACAGAAACAAAAAGTAGTAGCAATTGAAGTGATCAACAGAAAAGTATTCCATTTACAAAAGAAGCATACACTATTAATAGAATAAATAATTAATAAAAGCTAACATATGATAAAGTATAGAAATATCATATTTACCAAAAAAAAAAAAAAATACAAAAGGCTAGATCTATGTTTGTGCTGCAGAGAAAAGAATATTAGTTAAATCTCGGGTATTATTATTTTTTTCCCACACTATACCTTTCAATGTTACATTAGAATGATGTACACTTGTACTTGACCTCCCTGTTATATAAAGAATTGTTAATACACATATTGAAATAGTTAAAGATAAAGGTGTTATTTTATATACCTTTTTTCAATAGATAAATAATACAAGTCTTTGTTGTAGATCTGAATCAAATATTGCTGCTGCATAATAAAGACCAACACATACCTATTTAATTGTTTCATTTTAGTTGTTTTTGATTTAAGAAAAGAGAAAAATTAAAAAAAAAAAGATACATATATTTTCAAAATAATGTAAATACTTACAATTTGAAATAATCAACAAAGACCTATAATTTAAATACATATATAAAAAAGAGTAATAGCTAACAATATTAAAATGAACATCTATTACAATAAAAAAATTAGTAGTTTAACGAATGTATTAAAAAATGAAAAAAAAAGGAAAAAAGGATGTGATTACCTCTTTTTTTTTTAAAAAAAAAGTTTTTTTTTCGGTCCGCTATTGAAATAAAACGAACTAAATTATTGAATAGCAGCAAACTCTATATATACAATGTAAAAAGTCTTAGCAATACATTTATATTTTTTGCACTAACTTATTATCTTTTACCTTTCAAAATGTCTGTTACTTTGAACAATAATATCCTTTACTAAAAATATTTGAGAATTGTTAATTACATGTGTTAATTCATTTACCAATGTCATCTTCATTAAACAATGGAGATGTCATTACTCTTGTAATTGTAGTAATTACCTCTTGAAAATATATAGTAAAGTCTTTAGGGCTTTTTTTTTTGAGCTGATTGCAGAACATTTGCATTTGTCAATGTCGGTAATGTTGGTCATTGTTAAATAAAGAATAAAAAAAGTAAAATATAAAATAATTTTACTAGGGGGGATTAAATTTGAATTTTTTTTTTTTTAAAAAAAAAAAGGAATTTAATTGAAATGAACACAACTACATTAATTATATAATTGCTAAATCTTGTTTTTATTTTTCTCTAAATTCACTAATTGTAAACGAATGTATATAATCACTAATAATGGAATTGCTTTAATTTACATTCGCAATTAGTTTTTTTTTTTCTTCATTTCAAAATTAAAGTCAATTAATAAATCAACACATTACACGATCTAATTGAAATGCAAAATAGATTAGATTGAATGCAATTTAATTAAACATCTTTTTTTTATTTACATATAATAAAAATTCTTTATTTTATTTATATAATTATAATACATATTTTTATTATATTACGTGTACTATTTTTTTTTTTGGTAAAAACTTGAGTGAGAAAAAAAAACATCAAGTATGATTTGAAACAATTGCAATGTATTTTACATTATTGAAATGTAATTTACATTTTATAAGCCTATAATTAAAGTTACGCATATAAAATTTGTGGGGAATAAAAAAAAATGAAAAATAAATAAAAAAATGTTAAAGTACTTTTTCAGAATCCGCAATTTTTATTTTTTTTTCATTTTATGTAATTTTATTGGCGGAAATGCCGGATAAAGGAAATTCCTGGTCTACAGCCAAAATAGCTGTAAAATTAAAAATTAAATAAAATGATAGAAAATGGCAGTAGAGATATACTTTTTTTTGGATACATGAATACTATTATAACCTCCAAAATATAATATTATTTTTATTTAAACATTTTTTAATAAAAAGTGATCAAAATAATAACATTTAAAAATCACTGCTAAAATTTGATTATATCCTGTATTATATTTTTTACAAGATATACTCATTGCTTGCAGTGACTTCTATTGGCTGCGTATCTACTTCATTACTAATGAACTGGACAAAAACAACTAAGCGGGTATAGCTCAGCTGGGAGAGCGTTAGACTGAAGATCTAAAGGTCAGGTGTTCGATCCACCTTAGCCGCATTCCTTTTTTATTTTTATGAAATATTTAACTTCATTCAACATCGTCCTTTGATCAAAAGTAGTTAGATTAATAAGATCGAACAAAGGATTTCAACTTTTTATATACTTCTTTATTAACTATGATTTTAAAGTTGTTTTACACTTCATATATATTTGTCTATTCATTTTGCAGTCTTATTAAACCACATACCACTCACGAAAAAGAATTTTTACTGAGTAATAAAAATGATATGAGAGGAAAAAAAATACAAATAACTTGAATAAAGTCAACTCGTAGTAATTTATTGCCTCAAGTTCAGAGTGTCCTAAATAAACAGCTTTAATAGTTATATTCAAAGCCATAAGAGAAAGAAAGTTACTTTTAATAAGGAGATGTATTATCTGTAGCAAGACAGAAACTGTATTTATTTCGAAAAGCTTTTAAACGTATTAAAATTAGTCAAAATAATCTTAATAAACACTTAAACAGGGTTGAACAAGTTGTGCTTAATGGCTTTACTTTTCCATTCTTTTTTTTTTTTTTTTTTTTTTTTTTTTTTTTTTTTTGCATAATGTCAGTCAATCTAATACTGTTTTTTTTTTAACTGTTGCTATTCCTTTCCTTACTCAACACGGGTAATTTCATATTCTATTCATAATGCATATATTTCAAAACATCACACTAGAATCTCTTCTACTTTAAAAATCATTCAATTATTTTGGACAAGTACAAATAGTACTTATTCTTTTTACTGTTATTCTGAAGCTCGTAGTTTATTTACTCTCTCAGTATTAAATGTATTGCATATATTTATAATTGTATTATTATTTACCTAAACAAATTACAAAAACAAGCCATAAAAATATGTGTATTTTGTAAAGTGGTATAAAATATAGATTAACCCTATGAAGCTGCCAAAATATACCTGTAATCTGTTAATCATATCAAATGGCTACTTATAATAATATCAATTATTAGTGTCAACTTTTTTTTTTATAACATTTTTAAAAGTATATAGTATCGAAATAATCTTCTTTTATTTATTTATTTTTTTAAATTATATAGACAAACATATTGCTGTGTCGTATATAAAAGAATGTTTATGTCAACAGAAATGTTTCCTTTTCTACATAAGAAATACAATAAACAACATTTTTATTGTCCGCACTTAAAAAAATATATCTTTTGTTGCGCAATGTCCATAATCTCATATTATTATTCTCTTTCTTTGTTTTACTTAATTTTATTTTACAATTTGCTAAATAGGGATAAATGATTCCTTTATCTGTAATTCAAGATGACAATGAGCATGCCATGCATTATGCTCAGAGTCTTCCTTATGCAAACTTACTCGATAAAGAAGCTGAAACTTGGTTAAATACTATATGTACTAATTTAGTCATTAGTGTAAAAGCTAAAGACTTTACTATTGGTGCTGTTGCTTGGATTAAACGTCTAGCAAAGTAACTAGATACTGTTATTATTATCAGTATATATATCAATATATATATACATTTATATAGATATTTACTATGCATTATAAATTTATAGTTACTTAGATATGAAGCATGCTGTACCTCGAGAAATAAGGGCAAGCCTCTCTAAGTTGCTGTATGAAATGGTAATAATGCCCGGCATGGAGCTTGCACTTGTTGAGCTATGGGCAAATAGTTGTATACGTTTGATTAGGTAAGTACACACTGAATTTACCAAAACAAGGCAATTAACATGCAAAATTAAAAAAACAGGCACAAAAAGAGATTAGGTCCTGAAGATCTTCAACTGGAATGGCGTCCTTTATATGAACTAATCGAAAGAATCTTATTTCCAAAATCAAGGCAGCGAACTTTAATGAGTGAATCGTAAGTATACTATTAATTAGGTAGATTTATTTGATCTTTTAGAACTAACGTATAATAATTTATTTAATAGTAAACACATAGTACATGTACTTCGATTGGTAGGCTACGCTCAGCGTTTTTTTTCACCTAACGCAGCAGAAGAAATTTTAGCAGAATTTTTGCCAAAATTTACTACGCACTCAATATCTGACGCAATCAAAGCTCAGGGCTATCTTGTTTTATTTTTACCTATAGAATATCAATCCACACATACGATACATGCTCAAAATTATCTACCTACTATCTTCTCATTATGGTCTATGTTTTCAAATTCACCTATTTATGATACTCAGTTTGCTTATCTTGTCTCTTGTATTGCTGAACACAATTTAGATCAAGGAAGCAATATTGGATTATTCACAAAACAACAGATAAAAACAATATTTACAGTAGGTTTAAGGATGATGAATTTACCTGTCGGTAGTCGTAGCGATGGAAGTAGTTCTAGCAGTGGTGCAGCAGGTGGAGCAACAACAGGTTATGGATCACAGGGCTTAAGAATTGACTCAAAAGCTGGTAATTCGTTACTGCTTCGAAAGAAACCTGTAAGTAACACATTAATAATAGAAAAATAAGTGGAATTAAAAAAAAAAGAAAATGATAAATATAATAGGAAAAATTTAAATCATTAGCACGTTTCATTGTATATACAATTATGCCAGACGAAAATAATCAACAATCTAGCTATACTCTTTCACTTTTATCTGATATGATTCAGGCAACAGAGCTCTATTATCATCCTTCTAATCATGGACCTTGGTCTTATATGTTAACCACCTTTGCACGCCATCTAGCAGCTGAATTTTTAAAACGTTGGAGAGAGGAGCAAGAAGAAGATTGTAATGTACCACCACATCGTCGACTGACATTGGCATTGCGAAAGGAGTTTGTATTAATCTTACGACCTGTAACATATTTGAGTATGTTCGGTAAGGACCAATATATTGTTGGCGCTAGTCAATCAACCTTAAAATATCTTTCATGGCTTGAACCTTCACTTATTTTTCCTGGATTACTTGAGCGTATCTATCCTTCACTTGAAACTTTGACAGAAACACATCGAACATCCAGCGCTTTAAGCATACTAACAGATATTGCTTTACCATTGTTCTCTCGTGACAATTATCCAGCAGGAGGAAAGCACTTATTACCTTTATTACATCTTGCTATTCCAGGTATCGATATGAATGATCCTATCAAGACGATTGCATCATTAATGTTCATATCAACCTCTTTAATGTCAATTCCTATTTGTGATATGACTCAACATCAAGATGGTTATTATCCAACTGAAGAATATACAGACAATCCTTTTGCTGAATTATCTAAAGATACTGAAGATTATCTTGTTAAAGCCAGTACAGGTGAATTCGAGGAATGGTTAGCAAAGTTTTTAAATCGTGCTTTTACTATCTTTGAGAACCTTCCCCAAGAGAATCGTAAGAAACAAGGTAGCAGTCATAGTGGTGCGACAATGGAAACTGGCCTGACACAAATACTGTTACATACCTGTGATGTTGTCTTTGGCCAGTTATCAGATGAATTATATGACCTAGCTTTACGTCTAGTTATTGAATTTATTACTGATCGTGTTTTACCCAATGCTGTTCGTGCAGTGGGGCTTTTGTGTGATGCGATCGCTTCAATTAATCCTAAAAAGGCTGCAAAAGTGTTTTTACCCCTTTGCATTTCTAATATTCGTAATGAATTAGAACACGGTGCTGCAGCTACTGTTGCTCATGCGGCTTCATCTAATTTAATTCAGTCTGATTCAACTTTTCATTGGTATCAAAATATTTTGTTTTCAGTTGTATCCATGTTAGGAGCTGAAATCTTACCTTATAAACAAGATATTATAGATATAACACATCTTATGATTCAACAATGTCGCAGTCGTAGAGGTATTATGTGGACAGGCAAATTGATACGTAGCGTACTAAGTACTACGCTTAATATCTATCCAAAGGAATTCAGAAGTTTAAATCCTTCCCAATGGAATGACAAAGAGTTTATGTCCAAACAATCACATCAAGTTTGGGGCCAGCCTGGTGATCCTGCTAATTTAGAGATTCAATGGCATACACCTTCTGAAACTGAAAAGAACTTTGCACTTGAATATCTAGATCAGTTCCTTAAACCGTCTATGCATCGTTTAGAAAAGCTTATGGATGATACAGAACAGTTAGGAAAAAGCAATCATGAAATTAGTAATGAATTTTGTCGTCATTTAGCAGTCGTAAGGAACTGCTTAATGGGTAGTGGTGCAATGATTGCTAACGATGGTGAGAATATAAATGAGGATACTATAATGAAAGATGTAGATGGCATAAAAGAGGAAGAAGATGAATTGCAAGATTTTATTGTACCACGATTAGAAGTAGGATATGCGTTTTCTGATCCTACCGATCCTCGAACACAAAAAGCATGTAGAATTCGATATGATATTGGCCAACTAATCCATCAGCTTTCCAATTTCTTCAGAAATAAGCGAGAAGATGATGTTGAAAGCATAAAAATTTTGATTAAAATTGCTCGTACTTTTCTTTCTGAACGAGGTGTAGAAAAGTCGCAATTTGATCGTAGTAAAAGTGGGTATAGTTATGCAAAATGTATCGGAAAAACACCACTTTGTAAAAAGAGATATCCTCGTAATCTATTAATCCGTCGAGCGTATAATCATCATCTTTTAAGATTACGCCAAAATGTTCATGCGCGCCAAAGAACTTCATTACACGATGCAATTCTCAACGATTTGCTTGAAATGTCACTGGGATCTTATGCTGAGATTAGAAAAATTAGTCAAACTGCACTCTCGGTAACTGCTCGTTGTTTTCGTCAGTCAAAATCGTTAATTGTACCTGTATTGTTAGATGCTCTCCAGCCATTAACTCCTGCAGATCGTATGAAAGGCGCTCTTTATCTTTTCACACACAAGTCTATTTTAATGCCCTGTTTAAGACACTGGAAATTTATTCCTAGTTTTGTGATGGCTATTTGTAATGCTCAACATCAAGATAAATTAACTATACAGGAATTAATCCGTGAGGTATACACGGATTATGTTTCCTATATACATACTTATTCCTTCCATGTTATTACACCTGATTATTTGGATTCTCTACTTTCTGCTCTTTCTCCTACTACGGTTAAAACAGATCATTTTCAACAGAAAATAAAATCTATCCAAAAACTAGTAGAATCACGTCTTCAAAATAACCGAGCACAGTATCACAAGTTAATTGACTCCTTAATTGACTTTCTTCTCGATTCGCGTGTACACTGGCGTTATGCGCAAATGACAGCAAATTTCATTGAGTTATTTTTAAGTAATGATGTGAAGCCATCTGCACGTTTGGCTGCATTTGCTAATAATGCTACTTTATCGGAGCTGCCTAGTATGCGATTTGTTGGTATTAGCACCACCATTCAATTATTATTATACATTAAACAGCGCACTTTTGCTGCTGGTAATGAGACACTACTTATTACAGGACAAGTACGTAATCCTTTAAAGGTGAATATCCAAGTTCAAGATCCATCTAATTTTCAAATGGGGTCTAATCTGTTAGAGGCTTCTTATCAAGCATTGACGCCTGTAAATGCAAATTCAAGTGTACTTGTTGATGATGCAACTTTAGGATGGTATGTTTGGCCAAAAAGTTATACGGCATATAAGGTCAATAACAGGGATTTCTTATTTGAAACTGTTGAGCCTGATTCTCAAGAAGCCTTTAATGAATTTCAAAAGGTCCTTACTTCATCAGAATATTGGTCAAAGCTTTGTGTTTACTTTTCACAAGAAGTCAACCAGAAACAAGAAGATCGGTTTAATTTAGAAAATGCTCGCTTGATTAGTAGTATATTTCAAGTATTTGGTGATAGACCTTTGTCTGCAGCAAAAGAACATATTGAAAAATTATGTCAAGCAACTGACCAGAAGAATTCACAACGTGCTGCATCTGAAATTCTAGGTGGTTTAATCCGAGGCACCAAACATTGGAACGTAACGAAACTATCCTCTGTTTGGATATGGCTTAAGCCTTTACTTCAAAATATCTTTAATGGTATCACACCTGATTCCCTATTGTATTGGGACGCTTTTATTAAATTTTGCGCTACTCGTCGTGATCCTCGTCGAATCCAGCCTTTAATAGACTTGATTTTAGAAGCTGAATTAGATCCAACTTCATATGCTGCCTTTAACGAAGCACGCAAATTATTGCTTGTACGTGCACTTATTGTATCATTGAAATGGAAGTTTAAGCCTTTGATTTGTAAAATATTACCTACTTATATCAACAATATACAGCATCCTTATAAGCAAGTACGTGAGGTCATTGGTGTAAATATAAACGAATTACTTCAATTAGAATGGGTTCCATCCTATCCATCTGTTCATAATTTATTAAAAGCAAATTCTATAATTGATGGTGTTGGTAATGTACCAACGACATTGAATGCTGAGCAATCAGAAAGAATGAAGGTAGTAGTACAACACTTAGATAATTGGTTAACTGAAATGACGACAAGCGGTGATATAATGAGTAGTACTACTAACTATGCGCATGCTAGTAAAACAATTCTTTGCTGGCTGTATGAAGCGTTTAGTCATGCAAGTGTCTCCGGCACCTTGCCTTACATTACATCTTTATTTCCAAAATTATTTATCATGCAAGAATTTAATGATGATCAAGATTTACAACTAATGGCTGGCCGCATATTAAGTTTAGTAGCCCGTATCAATTATCCATCTTCCATGTTACCTACTTTAATTGACGAATTTTTGACTACATTAACTACATCATCCAGTTGGCATATTCGTATTCGAGCTTTACCAGTGTTACAAATATTTTTCTTCAAAAACTTGTTTACTCTAAATAGTACACAAGTGTTACGTATTATGGAAGTGATTGGACAAATGTTAATGGATACGCAGATAGAAGTACGCCAGTTAGCTTCAGTTACCCTAGGTGGTTTGGTTCGTTGTTCACAAAGAGATGCCATTCAAACATTACTCGCTCAATTTATAGCTAAAATACAAGTGAAAATTCCTAAAAGAAAGCGTGACGAAAAGACGGGCAAGAATGTTGAGCCAGAAGGATATGCAGAAGCCGTATTACAAAAACATTCTGGAGTTCTTGGTATTTCTTGTTTAATTAATGCTTTCCCTTATGAAGTGCCTGAGTGGATGCCATCTATACTGTGTCAACTTGCAGAATGTATGTCTGATCCAGCTGCTGAAATTCAGGTAAAAAAAAAAAAGAAAAAGAAAAGAAATTGAGAAGAATAACTAGTTAACCGTTTTATTTTAAATATAGACTACCATTCGTAAAACATTTTCAGATTTTAGAAGAACCCATTCAGACACATGGCATGAAGATATGCTCAAATTTAATGAAGATCAATTATCTATGTTGAGTGATATGCTTATCTCTCCAAGTTATTATGCATAAAGAAAGCTATCTCTAGACATTTTTTACATGTAGATGACGAACTAATAAAATATACACATTTTCAAATTAATCGTTTTAACATATTGACTTTTCCCCTATTGTTTATGCTAACCTATTTTTTTTTTCAGTCTAATTAATCATGCTTTTTTGCAACAGCCCTTTATTGAATTCTTTAAGTATTGATATCTTCTATACATCCATATAAGATGAAGGCATTATCGGAAAAGGATAATATTATATGTTGGGAATAAAGTTATGATTATATTTTGAATTAAATAACGTTTCTTTATGACTACTACTTCCAGGGCTTTTAGAGATCTTATTAGTAAATTAAAAGCGAATAAAATGTATGTAAATATGTAAACTTTTTTTTTTTTTTTTTTTTTTTTTTTTTTTTTTTTTTTTTTTTTTTTCTAAAGTTTATATGTTGAAAATTCTAGCAATGTTGTCGTTCAAGTAATCTAAATAGTCGATTATTCATTAAATATGAACCTGTCCTTAAAGTCATTATTAGCTTATTAATAACAACAGAGTTTACTTTAAACCTAATAACCTTAATAATAATAAGAGTAATTTATCATATTAGAAAAGGATAATAAAATGACAGCGTATATCACTGATAATATACTACAAGCAATACTACATTTGATCATTATACTTTAATCAAGACACTTTCTTAAAGCTTTAGAGAGGAAAATACTGCTGCATTATTTCCTGGATTTGTATAGTTCTCTCTTTACAAATCGAGAAGTACATTATGAGCCTTTTCCCGCAGAAAATAATATAAAATTTGTCAAATACCTTATTTCAATTTTTTTGACTTAATGTCTGTCAATAATATTCTGATCAGCATATCATCACTTGTAGAAAACCACTATTATTTATTTTATGCATAGAATATTCTTTATTACATTGAATACTGTTGCATCTAAATATTCATGTACATGGTTGAATATTTGTATTCTTTTTTAAATTCCACGTCTGATCACATGAATTTTATCAACAAAAATCAGAAATAAACTATTATCACTATTTTTACTATTGATTTAAACTCCCTTTTTTATTTTTATTTTATTTTATTTTATTTTATTTTTTTCTTCATTTTGTCTTTACTTATGTATCATGCCTTTATTTTCCAAAAAAATAATACCTACAGAAATCACTTCGAATATTGAAAAGGCAGTAAACCCATCTGTAACTGAATTAGATTGGACACTTGTTTTTCAAATATGTGATGCTGTTAATTCAACAGAATTGGGTGCAAAAGAAGCAAGAAAACTTTTACAAAAGAAGATGATGTCGCATGATCCCAAACTACAATTTCTAGCTTTAGAGGTGATTATATTCTCTGTCTTCTTGTTTTTATTACTCATGTTTATGAAGTTCATAACCGAAAAATTTGACATATATATATATAAAAGACTTATGCTGCATAATTTTCTCTAGATTTTGAATTCTTTGGCCGAAAACTGTTCTGAAAAGTTCCAAACTCAATTATGTGCAAAGTCATTCGGTGAAGATCTTCTTGCCTTATCTTCATTCAAGGTAAAAAAAAAAAAAAAAAAAAAAAAAAAAAAAAAAAAAAAAAAAAAAAAAAAAAAAAAAAAAAAAAAAAAAAAAAAAAAAAAGATGAAGGATATTAAATACTTAAATTATATGCATATGCGTGTATATAAAGACTCTTGATGATAGAGTACGTGGAAAACTTACACAATGCTTAGAAACATGGATAAGACAAACAAGAGTAAATCCACAATCTGGAGCCATAAAAAAAGCTTACGATACTATGATAAGTTTACATGGTGGCAATAGTCAACCAAGCCAGATCCTTACTATTGGAAACACGAATCATGCGCCAAGAAAGATGCCTACGGTAATATATGTATATACATATATATAAAGGGTTAGAGAAGGTGAATTAGTATATATTTAACTTGAATATCAGCCCACAGATATGAAAGATGGTATTGAAGTTGCAAAAAACAGTGCACAACTATTTTCTCAAACTTTATCGTTCACTGACCCTACAAAGGAAGATATTTCAAAGAATGATTTAATTCAGGTTAGAAAGAAATACAGTATTACCAAATCAAAAATAGTCTAACTTAAAATAATAGGAGTTTTATAGTAAATGTAAACAATCTCAACAATTGTTAGCCTTTTATTTGGAAATTTGTGAAGATTCTGAGCTTATTTGTAAAGTACAACGTTATATAAATAATTAATTTTATCTTGTAATACAACGTTAGATCTTAATTCAATTTTTTTTTTATAGCCGCTTTGATTAACGCAAATAATGAACTTTTAAATTGTTTTAGATCCTATGATGAAATGCTTGAACAACGTGCTGTCAATGAAGCAACTGTTAATTCTCAAACACTTTTCGATCGTAACATCCATAATGTAAGTTTATTAAACCATGTCAACGATTAAGAGAGAGAGAGAGAAAAAGAAAGCATAACATTCTTTTAATTTAGAATGGAGAATCTTTTGTGCCTAACCCTAACCCTAATCCACATCATTTAGAAGAAGAAAATAATAATATTACTGACAATAACAATTCTAATGATAACCAAATAGCAGCTAAAGCTACTAATCCATTTCAAGTCCCACAAATCAATTTTAATTCAAATCAAAGGTACAATTATTATTGCTACATACATCCATACATATACACTTATATACTTATACTTTTTCCTTTAGTATGGATCCTTTTGACCCTTTCGCTGATACTAATCATGTACAAGCTGATATAAATTCAGCCAATATTTCAGGGTAAATAACGAATAGAATATCGTTATTATCATAAAATGACTAAAAACTATATTTAAATCATTAGAAATAATGTATTGCCACCACCTTTAACCCCTAAAAAGCTGCACGATTAACACATAAAGGTAATGGTTAAATATATTTTTTATTGCATATTGTACACTCATGTGAGCATATTATTATAGCGTGTAACCTTTCTTTTGAATCACTTTCCGCATGGATTGTCAACCACAGAAAAAAAAAAGTATAGTTTTTGTTCAATTTCTTCTCCCTTTTACTCTTTTTTTTTTCGCTTTCTTTCAAATTTTTTTTCTTTCTTTATATACTATTCAACACATAAATACTATTATAATAATACATTTAATATTTATTATTGTTTAAAGCCAATAGAGCAATATATATAAATATATAATATTATACACATTTCTTTTTATATAGACGCCTATTTTTTTTTTTTGCTGCAGGTTTAACACTAAATATTCATGAAAAAGCCATACCGAGTATAGATCAGAGAAAAGAAGAAGAAAACTCAATAAAAAGAAGGGATTGCTTCAGATTATTAAATGCATGAGTTGGTTCAAAATGAAAACAGGAAAAAAGAAGATAGAGCACAGACACGCACGGGCCCTATAGCATCATTATCTAACAAAATAAAAGAGAACCAACAAAAGAAAGTAGCAGCTAGAGTAGCAGCATCAGCAATGGCACAAGTGCTACGCAATAGTAGACGTGAACCCCGGTCACTGAAGATGTGGGGAGACCGGAAGAAGGTGCGCCGAGTAATATTTTTATTTTAATTTATACACAAAATATATTATCGTGTGTTCATTTTAATATTTATATTCTCTTTCAATAAGATTGATTATCACTCTTCTCTCTTCTTCTTTTTCTCTTAAAAACAATAATAATAATAATATTCCCTTATTATTCTAATTGCCCTTTGTAAAGAAAAAAAAAAAAGAAAGGAAAAATAAAGGGAATATATATTATTAAAGGAAAAAGAATAGAGAAAGAGGGTAACCGAGAATAGAAATGTTAAATGAAAAAAAAAAAAAGAGTGTTTCATGAATCTACACAACTTTCATAAATAATATTTCCCCCCTTTTTTTTTAAAAAAAAAAAGAAAAAGAACACATTAAAATTAATTTCTTTTTATCTTTTTATTTATCTTTATTTTACTTTATAAAATCACAAATATATCGGGCTCTTCGACATCTTTAGGCTATTATCAAGCGATATCCTGATGGTAGACAAGAAATTATTGTTCCACAGATCCTAACTCCAGAGCAAGAACATTATCAATTTCCTCCTCGGTCCAAATTTCTTAAAAGATTAGCAGTGTCTACAGCAAAGCGTCAACGTTTATCAGTTATTCAAAGCCCTATAGCAAGTGATAGTATGCATCAGTTACCAAACCAAGACACTATAACAGCATTAGAAATGAAACAACCTGATGAGTTAGCCATCAAGAAATGGTTTTCTAAAAATGAAGATAATAAACCGCTGTCTAAGGCAAATAAAGAGCTTGAAGTTATTAACTGGATTAATGAAGTGGAGAGATCGTCTAAAGGAGTACCATCATCTACAAAAAAAGAGTCGTATCAACGTTCTATTGCATCTGTTAAGCCAATACCTTCATCCACCTTCTCTTCATGCTATAGTAATCATAAAATTGAATTCAAGAGTGAAGCGGGAAAACGATGGGCAACAAATAATATTATCACAAGTACAACATCACTTTTACCTCCTGATGAAACATATCATAACCGTTACATATCTAGAAAAGTGCTTTTGCATCTACCTAGACTACGATCGCATAATAAGGAATCTACACAACCTGTCGCTACTTCCACTGATACAACGTCTAAAGTCCAAATCATTTGGAAGGATTACAAGTCAATATCAACGCCACCTAATTTAACAATAAAAAATAAAATGGGAGAGAACACATCTGTAACTACTGATCTGATGCAATTATTTCATATGCTTCATGATTCTCTCAAATTAGAACAGCAAAAATCAAATGAACGTTTAGCTGAATTAGAGGCATTATTAGAAGAGGAAAGGAAAAGGCGACAGGAAGTAGAAAGGAAATTAAAGAGAGTTGAAATCATGTATCAACAAAGACAACAACACATCATGATGAATGATGGTAACACAACAATTACTTCTTTTACTCTTACCCCTGAAAGAGAAGAAGACATAATTTATCAATCATTATTATCCAGAATGAATGAATTAGAATTGTCAGTTAAACGTGAAAGTCAGGCACGAAAAACTTTTGAAGAAAATTTGTTAAATACGATGGAACAACTACAAAAGAATAGAAATTCAATTACAAAAACTCGTAGAAATACATTTGTTCCTAATGAAAATCAGTCACCAATGCCATCTACTCATCCTATGACTCGAAGAATTAGGGACAGAACATCTTCTTTAGTAAACGTAGGTGTTATTAGAAAATCTATAGAAAGTAAACCAACTATAACAACAATGAAGAATATTATTTCTAAAAATAATAATATTAATCAAAGAAAAACCTTAAGAGCACAGTCTGTACCTCGCAATAGTAGTAGTAGTAGTAGTAATAGCAATAGCAATAAATACAAAAAAATAGCTGCTTATACATAGTTTATACACATAATCATTTTTGCCTCTTCCTACACAAGTCTGTTCTACTTTACATCATATATTATTCATAATTTGTATATATTAATCGTTCATATCTCGTTTCCTCTTATAAATTAATAAACAATTATACTATGTCTTTTTAAATATTAATTTTCTAAAAAATAAGTATAATTTACCTTGAGAGATAAATATTACACATTTCACACAAAAATGCCTTTCATCCCTTTTAATATACTACAAATAATGTGTCACAAAAAAAAAAAAATAAAAAAAAATAAAGAACAATTGTCTTACGATTTATTTAGTTCAAATAATAAAAGGTAGTATGCTTTATGGCAGTGGAAAATCAAGATGCAACTTGCTTATACGTGACACATAAAGAAAACATCGGGCCATTCCATTCAAAGCCAATGAAAGCCAATATTAATGTGATTTTTTGTTATACAATTGACTTGTTTAAACCATGTGTTTCCATTACATAATATCCTTTATACATATTACTACTATCCCCCCTCCTTTTTTTTTGTATTATTATTATACATCTTTTCTCAAAAATAATGTCACACTGAAAAAATTTATGTTGACATGTTTTGTTTTTGCTTTTTTTTTTTCGACTTATATTTTACAATTTTATGTATTTAAGTACATGTTCGTAACCGTAGATATCGTGAAATGATGTCATTACCTTTTTTTTTTATTTTTGTTTATTTTTCTGCAATAAAATGGAAAGAACGAAATGATAAAAAAAAAAAACTATCGTGTATAATAGTTATACTTTTAAACTCACATATATTTATATATTTATTGTATCTGTGTACAGTTTATTAAAGTGTACAGGCTTATGAATTTTTCATAGTACAAATGTAGGTATTTAAGATGAGTGTATTCAATCCGGATATCTTGGCAATATATATAAAAATATCTTTTTTGTATGTATGTATGTATGTATGTATGAAAGAATAATGCCAAGTGTTAAAGGATATGAGAAACGTTTTTACTTATACAGGATAACTTCTTAAATGATTGCATTATATGGTTTATTTTATTTTGGCTGGTATGAGCATAAAAATGTAGGACACGGTCTCAACGATCATTGTGGCCAAAAAAGGAAAATTAAAAAAAAGTTTAAATCATAATAATAAAAAAAAAAAAAAAAAAATTAAGGGCTCGGTAGTATAAGTTGATGTAAACTATGTCAAAAATGATCGATTAAGGAAGGGAAAGGGGGAGGGGAGGATTTAGGAACGTAGGTTCTATAATTAACAAAAAAAAATTGAATTATGTACTATATTATAAAAACAAAAAAGCAATCTCATCAAATAAAAACCTTATGCTTTTTATAGGATGATTTTTAATATTATAGCACTATTAGCTATATGTATTACAAATAGGTGTTCAGTTACTTTCGCAGTATTGTGATTATCCTATCATTTTTATAATTCCGATTATATATAAAAGTCATGAAGGAATAAGGGAACAAAGAAAAGGAATGGACGGTCTGTGTGCAGTATAGAGAAGTGAGTGTATTGTTGTAAATATATATTTATATACATGTATACATATAAAGTTCATCTTTCCCTTAAATCCCTTTCTCTTTAATGCATTAAATACATTTATATTGTTTTGTCTTTTTTTTTTTTTTTCCTTTCTGTTTATATATAGATATATCTTTTTTCTTTTCTTTTTCTTTTTTTCTTTTCTTCTTCTCCTTTTTTTCTTCTTCTTTTAATTTGATAATGGCAGCAACTACTTCTATGGTTTCTCCTTCTAAATCTTTAATTACTCCTAACTCAGTTACATCTCAACTAAATATGAATTCAGGTATGAGCGAGTTACAAAATATCCAAAATTCGTTGATCGAAGCATTTGGACAGATATGCTCAGTTGAACAAATGGAAGTTTGTCAAAAATTGGGAATGTTATCTAAATATGAACAGCAACAAGCCTATAAGATGGCTAGAGCACTTATTGAACATCGTCAGTTACCAGTAACTATAGAAGATTGGAATCATTTGACAGAATGGGTTTTAACTCTTCGTGATCGATACAACATGCAGCTTGAATCACAATGCATACGCCAACACGCGAGTGATCTTGAACGGATTAGTCACTTGGATCAAGTACAACGCATCAGTGGTTTATTAGAAGAGTATGGTCAAGCCCATGAAGACCTTACAGATTTATTACAGGCTTTAAAAAAGCTACGTAATGACTGGAAACATCGTAAAAGAGATGTTGAAAATATCGTTCTCTCTATCTTAGCCTCAGCTCAATTAAAATTCCCTGCTTATCGTGTTGTAAAAGTAACACGATCTCATTTAGCTACTTTAGGACTCGGCTTCAGTTCAATTGGAAAATATTATATCATCTACGAGTCCTGTATGTCAGATGAATCTAAGAAAGAGGTATTGAACAATATTGCAAAGGACTTTAGTATGGTCTTTCAAGAGAATGCAGCACAAAATTTAGCACGTATGGCAGGTAGCTATCATCGTATCTTTCAACAAGAAGAAGATATAGACGTTTTAGATGAAATTCAAAAACTTATACAAAAAGTGTTTATCATTCGTCCCAAATCTGTCATTTTACCCTATCCAACTAGTTTACCTACTGCGCCAAGTCCAAGTAATGGTTCATCAAGTAATAATCATATACCTCATCTTAATAGAAGAAATTCTTCATTCTTAGAAAGAAGGAAATCAATCATTATCCTAGAAAATAATCAAGAACAAGAGGAGACGAATACGAATGAAGAGAACGATGGAGACTTCAAGATGCCTATGGTCTTCAATATGGCAAAGCCCGTATTTCAACCAGCAGGATGGGATTGGCCTCATATCTTGAAACATAAGAGACCAAGGACAAAAAGTAGTGGCAATTCGAATGGATCTTATTATTGGTGCAAACAATTTCTCTCTAGTTCTTCCTATTCTAACACGAATAATGCAAATGAAAGGGAGACGACCCTAGACGATCATAGTGGTGTTTGGTCTACTTCAATTTCTCGTCTCTCTGAGCACTTTGCTAAAATAGGATATGATTACTATTCAAATATGTTAAATAATGCAACATTAATGCACTCTCATAGAGCACAAATGTTTGAATTTGCGACTCATTCTTTAATGAAAACCTATCGTGCACTTCAACTAGAACAAGGATGCGCAAACTTGAGTCGTACTTTAGTTTTCCTTTACAAATTACAACAAGAAGCACAAAGAACTTAGATTCCTTTTTATATATATATATATATACCTTAATTATTCTTCTTATCTTATATCAGACCTCTCGTTTTATTTATATAATACATAGAAATATATACATATACATATATATATATATATATATATTTCCTTAATTACTATGGATAAGCTTATACCTTCATTTTATTTTATTTTCCTTGTAAATAATACCTAAATAAATTAGTATTTTTTTCCCTTACGAACAATATACAGTTAAACATGAATAGATCTCCCTTTTCTAATAAAACAGGCAAAATTTAACATTCTTTGGAGAAACCCTTTCTTTTTTGTTTTCTTTTCCTTTCTTTCCTTATTGATAGTTCCAAGTTTATTTATATATAAATAAATAAATAAATAAATAAAAAGTTATTATGATATGAACCATTCATATAAAAAGTATGCATAGAAAAAGAAAAAAAAAATTAAAAATAGAATTATATTAAATTTCTAATTCTGTTTAAAACATCTTCTTGTACTTGCTTTGTTTGTTGACGAATTAACAATGGTTCATTAGTCAGTTCTAATATTAAAGTGATGTGGTCTAAATCATAAGCCAGGTTTGAAGAAGAATCTAAAGTAATTTTATATTCATATAAATCGCATAGTAATTTGACATCTGGGTATAAGCTATATGTTTCTTGTTGAAGAAGGCTTGCTTTTATTGATTTAGCTCGAACAAGGTCATCTAATACACTCACTCATGTTAATATGAAATCTATATGAGACTCACTATTTTCCCTACCTATTTCTATTGATAAAAGTAAGGAATAAAAAATGTTCCAAATATTACTTGTATCTAGCATTTTAACTTCAATAATACGATGAGTTAAGCCATCAAGCGATGCATATATCTGAGTCATTAAAGAGTAAAAATCATTTTTTATAAATCCAGGCATTTGCTCGTATGGACAAGTAAGTGAACATGTGGCATATAATACAATAGATACATGTTCTGTAAGAATAGTGTCGCTGAATAGATGTCCTTCCTGAGCAAATAAATTAGCTGCTTCATTTAAAATAAAAGTAATTGAGTTATTGGGGTCAGTTAATGCAGGTGCTGGCTTTGTTCTATTTCTTTCTCTAGTTAAATATCGATTAGCAAGTTGATCACAGGACTGTAATAACTCAATAATTGATAAATGTCGTAAATTCTACACACACATATACACACACACAAAAAAAAAAGATGTATCATAAATTATATTCGGTTATATAGAAAATACAGTATTTTACTAACCTTTGCAATATTTAACAATTCCATTTTTTCTATTTTCCATTTCCCTTCTAGAGCATCTAAATAAACAGTCCTACATTCATCTAGTTGTTGATAGATACAGAATAACCTGGCTAATGCTAATCGTGAATTGTACAAAAAAGCAGTAACTTGTGCTGAAGAAAATGTCGTGCTTGATGTAGAAGTCAATGTCTCAATAATCAATTTTAATGATTTAGCAGTATATTGAGGATATTTTAAAGTGTAAAAAGTGTGTGCTAAGTTCCAATATAGGGTTACTGAAGAAGTTGGATCGGATGACTTTTGTGCTGCTTCTAACTTATTTAACGCTTCTATATTGTTATTTCTATTCTTTTTAGTTATTAAATTTTCTCTCTTTCTTTATATATATATTAAATTACCTTGAACTTGAGGATTCACCATTATTTTCCCGCTTGAAATAGGTTTTGAAAGTGATGATGAAGAAGGCAGTGTAGGCTTCATTTTCTTTTCATTAGCAATGTGTTTTGCACTTTTTAGATGATTGACATAGGTAAGTTTATTAGTAAACTTCTTTTTACATGCCCTACAATAAGTATCATTGTCATTGGTAGCCTCTTTTTGTAAAAGCGAAGCTGTTTTTGTTTGGTTGGCTGCTTCCATTGGCTCAGGTACAGTCGAAACAGAATGTTTTGGTAAATCATAAGGCAAAATTTTTTTTATCGGTTGGAAGACTGCCATGAAAATAATGAACGAATAAATAAATACATTTTTAAAGTCAATTATAATTCATTAACATTTACTATTCAGATCTTGAATGTTTAAATTAGAATCATGTAATGGTAACTTTGACATTTTTTTGAAAAGTAAGAAATTTCTTTTAAGGCAAATCAAAGATTTTTTTTTTTCTGTCAAATAATAATGAAAACTCCGAATATTCATCAAGAAAAGATGTCATCATTTGATTGACGACGCGCAATACATCCAAAATCGTAAGTCGAATTTTTTTTTTGTGCAGAAATATTACAATTATTTTTGCTTTTTTTTCCTTTAAATAAATAAATATATACATCATAGCATAATTTCACACAATGAGTAGTAAGGAACAAAAGCAAGATAAAAATAACGAAGTTGAATCAATGGAAGTTGTTGAAGATGAAGAAACAAAACATCAACGCATTACAAAAGAAACAATTACAGGTACAACATACATTAAACGAACAAGAAGACGTGTTTTTTTTTTTTTTTTTTTTTTTTACTTTTATTAATTGTGATGTATAGAAATCAAACGTAATTTCACTTTGTTGGAACGTGCAGTTGAAACTATTGAATCAAGATTCACCACACGTGTTTTGAGAACTTTACCTTCAATTAGACGTCGTTTGACTTCTGAAATACTTGCACAGGTGATCTCGGACTACTATAATTCTGGTAAGTTTTATATCAATTAAATATATTTGAGGAGTAGAGTAATGTTTATAATCTATGGTATGCAATTGCTATTAGGTGATGAACAAAGATCAGAGCTCTTGAAATATTTGAATGAGGTAGTTTTTTTTTTTTTTTTTTTTTTTTTTTTTTTTTTTTGGTTTTTATCCCTTCTTTTTTTTTTCTACATTATATAGTTATTTAACTTTTATTATTAGACCGAAAAAGCATCAAGCGAGGAAGAGACCGATAAAAAGAATGTTGTTTTACCTGAAGTTGATATTTATCTTTACTTGAATGTATTGATTTATTTGTTGGATAAAAATGAATTGGAGAAGGTAAGAAGGATTTTGAAAGAGGGAAACAAAAAAAAAAAAAAAAAAAAAGAAAAGAAAAAGTGAACAAAAGCTAAATATGAGTATACTTTTTTAGGGTCTCGAGTTATCAAATAAAACTATAGAAAAAGTCGTCCATTTGAACCGTAGAACCATGGATCAAATTGCTGCTCGTGTCTATTTTTATCATGCACGCTTTCATGAATTAACAAATACACTGGCCGAAATTAGACCGTAAGCAAGATAAACTGAAAAAAGAAAAAGAAAGAAAAAAAGAAAATTAATTGAATGCATTTTATTTTAGTGTTCAGTTAGCGGCACATAGAACAGCTACATTAAGACATGATGTGGAAAGCCAAGCAACATTATTAAATTTATTGTTGCGTAATTACTTTTTCCATAACCTTTATGATCAAGCAGATAAACTTGTTTCTAAGAGTACATTCCCTGAAAAGGCAGGAAATAATCAAGCTGCTCGTTACGCTTATTATCTTGGTCGTATCAAAGCTCTTCAATTAGATTACACTGCTGCTCATACTTACTTGACACAGGCCATTAGAAAAGCACCTCAAAACAACGTTACAGCTGGTTTCCAACAAACTGCTTATAAATTCTTTATTGTTGTTCAGCTTTTAATGGGTGAAATTCCTGAAAGATCTGTCTTTAGACAGACTATTTTAAAGAAGGCCCTTGCACCTTATCTTGTCATTACTCAAGGTATTATTATTTTATTTTTATTTTTTTTTATCCTTCAATTGTAATATTAATATATTATTTTATTAGCTGTTCGTGTTGGTGATCTTAACAAATTTCAAGAAGGATTAGCACATTATGATGCAGTATTTAAAAAGGATAAGACGTATACTCTTATTCTTCGTCTACGTCACAATGTTATTAAGACGGGTATTCGTATGATCAGTCTTTCTTATTCTAAAATTTCTTTGAGAGATATTTGTATCAAGCTTCATTTGGACAGTGAGGAGGATGCAGAATTCATTGTGGCTAAAGCAATTCGAGATGGTGTTATTGATGCTACCTTAGATCATTCAAAAGGATATATGAAGAGTAAAGAAGTTGTTGATATCTATAGTACGAATGAACCACAAAATGCTTACCATCAACGTATTAACTTTTGTTTGAATCTTCATAATGAGGCTGTTAAGGCCATGCGTTTCCCTATGGATGCACATAGAAAAGAATTAGCTAGTGCTGAAGAAGCAAGGGAAAGAGAAAGAGAACTTGCTCAAGAAATTGCAGAGGGTGATTTAGATGATGATGATGATATGGGTGATTTTTAATAATGAATGTTATAAAATAAATAAATAAATGAAGGGATAGCATATAAAATGTATGATATATACGTTTATTTTATATCTAATATATAACATATAATATATATATATATACACAATTAAGAAGTTTTATCTACTACCACAGTTTTTTTCTTAATGTACAAGCAGCCAATGTCAAGATATGTACAAATTTGTTGAATGACACCGTTTGCCAAATCATAATATTGATATGCAGCCAAAATCAAGTAAATCTTTAATATTAAACGTTGATTGATAGGGATAAATCTATGTATTAATAATGTATAAGTAAAAAAAAAAAAAGAAAAAGAAAAAAAAAAAAAAACTAGACTTACTGTTCAATAAATGGCTGAGAATAGGCAATGAGACACCCAGAGATTAACATGAAATTGACTGAATAATTAATGTAAGGAAAGTTTAACTTTGACACGTGAGATGTAATCATCAGTCCAACCTGATGACCAAACAAAAGACCTATAAAGATAATAAAGATAGCAAGATGTTCGGTTACAATTTCGGGCCAAAGTGTCATCCATTTATAAATCCAAAAGCACATATTAAAGAAAGGGAAAAGACCTAAAACTGCTTTAATAACTGATCCATCTTTCTTTGAGTTTTCAGTAGGGAAATATTTGACATGAATTACGTTGTAATATCTATACAAATACATACATGTATAGAATATATGTTTAAATTCTAGAACCATTACCACATATAATTATTACTTACGCCATAATCATATTGCAAAGTGTAACAATACCACCGACAACGATAAGAATATGATTCAATTGAAGTCCACCCAAAAGTTGTGTTTCGGGATACTTTGTAAAATCAATGAAAGGAAGAAGTTCTTCTACACGAAGCATCCAAATAGCAGGACCAAAATATCCAGAAATTAAATGAACACAACATAACATCAAGACACCTTCGACAGGTCCACTGAAATAGCCTAAATACAAAACACCAGTATGATATTCTTCCCAAGTTGAAAGATAGAAATTACCAAGGGAAGCACATAAAGATGCAACTGTCCACCAACTTTGACCAAGATAAGTAGATGAAGCCCAAGTCAAAACCCCTAAAGTAGTATTGAATGCATCACAGCCTTTGAAATAAACAAGTAAATTAAAATGCATTCTCTCTCTCTCTCTTTTTTTTTTTTTTTTTTTTTTTTTTTTTTTTTGGGATATAATAATAAATATATACATACCATGATCAAATAATTCACCTAATGGACCTGAAGTTTGTGTACGTCTTGCTTGTTTACCGTCAATAGCATCTAATGACTGATAAATAAATAAGCCGATACCAAAACTAAGAATAAAATAAATTGATAAGGTCTCTCTTTTTTTTTTTTTCTCGTTAATTCTTTAATCTCTATATTTACGTCGTATAAACCCAATTCGGACATTCGCCAAGATCAGAAGTATAATAGAATAAAGTTATAACATTAGTAACGACGACTAGTAAACCTAATAAAGTAATCATATTTGGTCTATTTTTTTTTAAAAATCGTTATTAGAAACAAGGTTAAATAAGTGGAGCCAACATGTAACTTACGCCATCCAGAGAGGGAATAGTTTGATGAGGTTATTCCAATAAGGGCCCAAGATATATCTTGAAACAAGAGATTTATCAACTCCTCCATATTTATATAGATGCAATCCTTGAAGATCTTTGTCAGAGATGTATTTCGTCATTACCAGTATGGTTAATAAAAAAAAAAAAAGGATAGAAATAGAAATTAAAATGCTAAAAATTTTAAACTTATAAAGAACGGAATAACAACAGAAGATTGCTGCTGCCAAACCGGACCTCAATATCATATGATGACCGATTTTTTTTTTTTTTTTTTTTTTTTTTTTTTTTTAAAAAAAAAATAAGGTAAAAACATCAGATTTATTACATAATCAGTTTCCCCTCTTTCCTGTTCTGTGAACACAAAGTTTTTATATTATGTAAACATAACCTATTATTCTAAATAGTGGACTCAGTTCCACCTTGTATGGTAATGATACTATGCTGTCTATTTAATGAAATAAAATGAATAAAACCAGAAAGAGATTTTTGTTATATACAAAAACTTACTGCTGATCCTTTTGAACACGATAATATTTTTCAAGAATATTTTCTCGAGATAAATATTCTACAAATTCTTCATCATGAGTAATGATTACAAATTGAAGGTTTGATTGCTGTCTTCGCTTTTTAATGATTCTAGTTTATATACAAATAAATAAAAAGACGCATATACATGCATGTAATAAAGTATGAATCTATTTTACCTTGCAAGATTCTCTGCTAAACTTTCAATATTATCACGATCTAAATTGGTCGTAGGCTCATCTAGAGTAAAGATACCACAATTTACACAAAACGTTTCGGCTAAAGCAAGTCGAATAATAATAGATGCTAGAACTTTTTGACCAGCACTACATCTACCTCTCATATTTAATTCAGATCCATTTTTAATCATTACAACCTATATATATATAACAAGCGTTATTATGATTCTTGTATTTAAAATTCAAGCTTACTCTATAATTAAACGTTCTATTTGCAGTCGTTCCTTCATTGTCAGCACGAATTTCAATATAATCAATATCTATATATTACATATATAAATATGCATATATTAACACACGTTAAAATTGGATTTATATTACCTCCTCCTTTGTATGTATCTATCCATAAATCTTTTATTATTTTGTTCAGGTTTTGCATTTTTAAAGAATGATACTTCATAATTGCAGTTTGTAAAATTTTGGTATATTTCTCGAGATCATTATTGGCAATCTCGTTTGTTCTTACATCAAGGAATAATCTACCATAACGACCATCAACATCAGAATAATCTGTGGATAATTCGTGTTCATATCTTTTTATCTGATCTCGCATTTGTACAATCTCTCCTCGAATACTTCCACGCTATGAATAGTAATATCATTCCTGTAAGTATGTTTATATTCTATAGAAAGTTTCCTATTTACCTTATCAAGTAACTCTGATTCATCATTTTTAGCTTCATTAAGATCTTGTTTTATTTTATTTATATCATAGTCTCCTAGTTTCTCATCCATGCGACTTAACTTTTCTTCACACTGATTTAATTCTGCCTGTATTTCTCGGTATTTGATTTGGTCTTGTAAATCACGTTCAATTCCACGTCTCTCAGCTTCGTCCTTTTCAATAATTGAAAGTTTATCTTCAATTTTCATGATTTGTTCAGAGGTTTCATTTATTAACTTTTCCATATCTGTCATTTCTCTCTTTAGTACGTCTATTTTTTCATTATTTGTTACTCTTTCACTCCTACACAATAATTACGTTATATTTAAATATAATGAATGATTATATAAATATATATATAGAGAGAGAGCCTTACTTTGATAAATTTAAATTATATTCATCAAGACGTTCATCAAAACGTGTTATATCACGTTCTTTAGTGGATGCCTCTTCTTCTACTTCCCGCCACTTTTTAACAGCTTCTTCATATTCTCTTGTAGCTTTTTGAACCTGTTCTTCTAAAGGAGAGCTATCTTTATCAATTTTCTATTTGTCGAAAATAAATAAATAAAATAAATATATCATTTATAGAAAGAGCTGTTTATATGCATTTAAAAAAAGAAAAAAAAAAAAAAAAAACTTACTTCACATTCATTTATGTGTTCTTGCATTTGTTCTTTCAATTCAGATAACTGAAGCTCAAGACCCACCTTAAAATCTCTTTGATGTTCTAATGTAAGTAACTTTTCTTTTGAGTCATTTAAGGCACGTTCAATAGATTGCTTTTGTCGATAAGCAATATCAATATCTGTATGAAGGCGTTTTATTTCTCGTCGGACAAATTTACTTTTAAAAAAAAAAAGGAAAGCCAAAAAGTTAAGCATTTGAATAGTTTTATAAAGTGGATATAATTACCTTTTTTCTGCAAGAGTTTCTAATTCACCTTGAACATCGAACATAGTACGTGTAGAGCCTGAAAATTGTAATTCATTCTCAATTATTTCTATATCTTGATTTAAAGTTTGAACTTCATTATAAATGCGATTTACGTTCCCTGCAATAAGTAAAAGTTTATCAGCCTTAATCTTGCAATTATCCACTTCCACAAGCTCAGTAGACGCCTAATTTTAGATATAGTAAGTAACGAGCCTATTTTTTTTTTGTTTGTTTAATAAACCATAAAGACTTACAATATCAGCTTTATTAGTTGCTTCTTCTTTTTCAGCTTCAAAAGTATCTACACTTTCTTTGACAGTTGCTAAATCTTTTCTTACTGTTTCCAAATTGATCCAAGTACCCTGAGCATCCTTTAGTTTCTTTTTCTTATTCTCCATAATCGCTAACTGATTCTTTAGTTCATTTTGTTTGGCTGGAATAAAAGATTGCATTTGTTCCAACTATCATCCATATATACATACGTGGTTAAATCAATAAGCTGTATTGACTTTTAACTGTAATAGGTTACCTGAGCATTAAATGTTTCTACTTCAGTATTATCTACAAAATCTCTTGTACACAAAGGACAACAGTTACCACTTTTTTGATTATCCGAGTATTTCTTATAAATCATAAGTGCACCATCCATATTAGCGATTCGTCTTTTTTTTTTTAAAAAAAAAAAAGAAAACAAGGAAAGAAGAGTTTAATTTTCAAACATATATTCTTTTGCATAGATTCCTTACATTCTCCATTCTTCAATTTTTTTTTCTATGGCTGTAATCTCATTTGGTAAATTTTTATTACCGCATACTTTATGTATAATAGCTTCATATCCTAAATAATAAAGAGTATTATTCTTGTGTAAAATAATAATAATCTAGAGTGTATTTTACTTTCTGTCTCCTTTTTTAACTTGTCATAATTTTGTTTCACCATTTTTAATTTAGTATCAGATGCAGATAATTCGCGTGCTGTTTTATTCCTAACTTCGATTAATGACGTTAACTTCTTTTCTTTTGCACTATACATTCAATATGTAAATATGTATATAAAGATATATGTATATATATATATATATATATATATATATATACAGAAAAAGAAAACAAAATGAATAACATTCCTTTCAGGTATATAAGCATTTTTTTTTTTTTTTTTTTTTTTTTTTTTTTTTTTTTTTTTTTGCATACTTCTTGTAAATATAAAGCTCTTTTTCAAGATTTGCTATTGATGGTCTTGATTTTAATAAATACTCAACATCCTGAATACAATCATTATATCTATATTTTTTCGTAAGAACAATAATAATAATAATAATAAAACCACGTTTAGAAAGATGTTAGAAAGTAAATACTGTCATACATACATCTTATTCAGTGTTGTTTCTTTTGTATCCTTTTCTTCCCGTTTTAATGATAGTTTTGCTCGAGCATCACTTTGTTTACTTAGCATCGCCAATTCATCATTTAAATCGCTTATTTTATCATCTAATTCTCTTAGCTCACTTTCCTTTATACTAATCGATTTTTGAATTGATTCAGTCGTATCAGAGCCTATTGTCGCAAGCTTTCGCTTCTATAATGTAATTAAGGCAGCATATGTAAAAATATATATTTGTATATATATCTGTTAACAAGAGTTGAATAAAAATTACTTACATAATCTTCCATTTTATTTTTAATTGAATCAAGTTCAATTTTGGATATCTGAAAGCTCTTGATTTTGTTTGTAATTATATCAATTTGAATTTTATCTTGTTCCTATATAATATCGTGTTTAAAAAATAAAATAAAATAAAATAAAATGGTATTCTCAATAATGAAATAAATGCATTCACTTACAATACGTTTTTGCAAGTATTTCTTATTTTCTTCAATAGACAAATGTCGACTCCTTAAAACTTGTAATTCATCAGAAAGAGCATTTTGTTTAGACATCGCTTCATCCTTTAGTTTTTCATTTTTTGATTCGTTTTCTTTTATCCAATCTTTAAAGGTACGGGCAGCTGTTATACCATCTTCTATTGGTAGATTTAAAGAGTGTGAGGCGTTGATCCTTTGAATTAAATCAGACCGTAACTTTATCTGTCGTTCATGTTCCTCACGTGACGCCTCTAAACGACCCATCTCTAGGTGCCCCTGTGATAATTCATCTCTCATTCTTTTTAACTTTCTTTCCAACTTTGACTTTTCAATCGTTACTGCCACTTTTTCTTCCTGATTTTCGTCTTCCTTGATACGATGTCTTTTCAATAATTCAATCAACTCCTCAGTCGATTCTTCACGATGAGTCATATGAGATTCAATAGAACGTAATGTGCTTTCATAAAACTCTTTCTTATTCGTCAATTGTTGAATTTGATCCCCAATATCTCCAATATGACGAAGGACTTGATTCAGTCGGCTTGTTTCTTGTTCAACAGTTGTAATTTTGGATTCAATCCACTCTAATTTCTCTGCTTTAGCAGTCATCTGCTGATTCAGTTTTCTTAAATGCTCACGTATCTTTTTCGCTTTTACTGTATCTGTCTTCAAGGCCTCTAATCGAACATGACCAAGACGAATCTCTTGTGTCGTTTCTTTACGTATCTCCTTTATATTATCCAATGCAACAGCAAATCGTTTGGAAGAAAATATATCATCAAACTTCTTTTTTAATACACTTGACTCAGAAAGTGGCCAATTACTATCTTCCTGATGACAAAATATAACATTATCTAAAATAGCTTTAGGTACACCCAAGTGGACTAGAAGTTCTGCATCTATATCAGCACATCTGTTAGTAATACTAAATGCCTAATAATAATAATAAATTAGATAAAAATTATTTCACATTTGCATTTTTTTGTCTCTAACCTCTCCTGTCACTGGATCATATTTTAATAATGTATTATCAATTGTTTTCTGAGTAACAGATGCTTTCTTTTGAGTGACAGCTAAAGAACGACTGCAAACGATTTTTTGCCCATTGACATTATAAAACTTAAGCTTCACTTGAGCTTTTACTTCATTAGTACCTGCAATCTAAAATCAGAATACTCAAAAGGTAAGCATTACCCAATAGACAACAGTTTTATATTTAACTCTAAACATGTATTTATATATATACTTTTGGATCATTAACAAATGCACCACCTTTACTATTAGGTGGAGAATCGCCAGTACAAGCAAATCGAAGACTTTCAATTATTGTCTAAAAGGGAAAAGGGGTGGGGGGGGGGAAAGGAAAGAGGTGTGTGTGTGTTTTTTTTAAGAATTTTATTAAAAAAAAAAAAAAAAAAAAAAAAAAAGATTAACATGTCTATTTTGATCTATTACAAAGAATAAAATTACACACAGTTTTACCAGAACCATTAGGCCCAACAATTAAAGTTAAAGGAGAAAAAAAATTTATATAACTTGGTTCCTCTGGACTAAATGAACGAATGCCCAAAATGGCCATACTTTGAATTTGTGACATGATTGATTGATTGATTGAGAAAAAGCAATAAAAGTGTATGTAAAAATATATTTACTTGCTACGGAGAAGAAGAACAAGTTTATTTAATTTAACCTCCGTCCTTTTTTTTTCTTTTCTTTTCTTCATTGGTAGTATGCATGTAAAAAAATAAAATAAAAAAGCACTTTCTATTACGCAGACAGCATGTGTATATAATATAGCCTAATTACATTTAAACTATACATACTTCACTAGTTGATTTTTTTTTCTTTATTTTGCAACAATAACAAAAAAAAAAAACTTTCAATCAAAATTAAATATCGCGTTATCTCATTTTGACGTGTTTTTTTTTTCTTTTTTTTAAAAAAAAAAAAAAAAAAAGCAAGAACAAAATTATGCTCCCTTAAAAAAAAAAAAAAAAAAAAAAAACAAAAAAACAAAAAAAAAAAACAACAAAAAAAAAAAAAAAAGATTAATTCATAGGATTGTTAGATCTGTTGTAATAATGTTGACCTCCACCACCTCGACTCACTTTTCCACGCCAATTATTTAATCTGTTATTATTTTGATTTTGATAATATTGAGATTGTTGCTGTTCTTTATTATTTTGTTGTTGTTGTTGTTGACGTGTAGCTAAAGCTTGTTGATGATTGGGTTGTTGTATTTGAGCTTCATCCAAAGCATTAGGTGCAACGTAAAGACTTTTATCAATGACTGGAGGAATGGGTTGAATTTCTGTTCCTAATTCTCTTTCAATCTTATAAAGATTAAATCGATCTTCATAAGTAATTAAATTGATAGCTAAACCCAAATGACCAAAACGACCTGAACGACCAATACGATGCAAATAAGTTTCAGCATTTTTTGGGAAATCAAAGTTAATAACCACATTCACTGCTTGAATATCAATACCACGTGTCAATAAATCTGAACACACCAAGTTACGACATACACCATTTCTAAAGTCATGAAATACACGATTACGATGACTTTGTAACATTTTAGCATGTGAATAAAAGCACGAATAGCCCAGCTCAGTGATTTTCTTTGCTAAAAGCTCTACACGATTTGTAGAATTACAGAAAATAATAGATTGATTAATTTGCAACTAAATAGATATAAAGAAGATAAGTCAAAACAGATAGAATATAGAAGGAGTATTTATATACCTTTGAGAATAATGTATTTAAACAATGCACTTTTTGCTTTTCTTCTACATAAGCATAATATTGAGTGACACCTCGAAGCGTTAATTCGTCCATTAGATTGATTTCATAAGGTTTAACTAAAAATTTATCTTTGAAGTTTTTCACAATTAAAGGGAAAGTAGCACTGAATAACATGATTTGTCTGTCTTTAGGGAAGAATTGAATAAGTTGTTCGATAATAGGTGTAAATTCAGGAGATAAAAGTTTATCAGCTTCATCCATCACAAAGGTAGTTGCTTCACTAAAATCGGCTACACCTTTAGAAGCTAAATCAAGAATACGGCCTGGTGTACCCACCACAACATGAACAACTTCATTTAAACGCATGATATCATCCTTTAATGTTGTACCGCCTGTTGTAACCATAATTTGAAGATTAAGATGTTTACCTAATGTTTTACACACTTGTGATGTCTGAAGGGCTAGTTCACGAGTAGGTACAAGTAATAATGCTTGAATCTTTGGTTTTTTATTGTTAATCTTTTCTAAGGTAGGAATCACAAAGGCAGCTGTTTTACCGGTACCATTTTTAGCTCTAGCAAGAATATCGCGTCCAGTTAATGCAATGGGTATAGCTTCTTCCTGAATAGGTGAAGGTCTTTCAAATCCTGCTTCAAAAATACCCATCAATAATTCTCTTTTTAAAAAATAGTCTTCAAATTCATTTCCTTTTGTCGCTGTTACATCCTATTATATACATGTTAGAAAGATGTCACCTTTATCTATATAAAATATATACATCTATCTATACATACCTCTGTTTGTGGTCTAACATCCTTAGCAGGAAGAATAAGATTCTTTTTCCAGTTATCGTTTTCGTGACTACACCATTCAGTTTTAATTTTTTAAGTTCATTGTTGTATTTCAATACTAGTACATGTTTATATATAAATACCTCATGATTAACAGTAAATTGTAATTTAAATAATCGGATTAAAATTTAGCTTTGTTTGTTTTGTGTGTCTTTTTCGAATTGAATAAGATTTCGTTTCTTTTTATTTTCTTTGAAAAAAAAAATAAAATAAAATAAAATAAAATAAAAAAATAAAATAAAATAAAATAAAAATAAAATAAAATAAAAATAAAATAAAAATAAAAAAAAAGTTGAAATAAGAAAGGGTTTATTGCTTGTTTACAAGTAGTTAAGGATGAATAAACAAGAGAAAATAAAATAAAAGTTGTTTAAATAACTTTCTTGAATGAAGATAGAAAAGAAGAAGAAGAAGAAGAAGAAAAAAAATTTTTTTATTATTATTATTATTATTATTATTGTTGTTGTTAATAATATAAATAAATTAGTTATCCGCTCGCTGCTACTATTACTGCTACTGCTACTACTGCTACTGCTATTACTGCTACTGCTATTACTGCTGCTGTCGTCACTACAATATTACTTCGTTAAAAATTAAATTATCTACGTATTTACATTCAATTTGTACAAATCCATAAGGGATATCACTATCCCAGTAATCAAATTCACGATATGTTCTACGAATAGAATTCTCTTCTAAATGGTCCCAATCTTCATATTTCATAACATAATTTTTTACTTTTTCTGATTTTATATAATCAAGTCTTCTTAATTGTCGAACATGCTTTGTTGTAGTTGACTTGTTTCTTTGACAGCATAAATGATACCATCTCGTACAAAGTCTTTTAGATTGTCTCTTCCAATCATGTTCATTTCTATTCGAATAATTAACAGCTAATAGAGCAGCATCTATATTACATTTTTCTACATAGGGACTTGGTCGAAGATAGACGTGTTCTAATTTTAACGTTTTTAAATGTTGATAAGGTAAAGCAATATGAATCTTGTTTGCTAAGCTATCTTTATCTTTTACACAATGAATTAACTCAAAATATTCTAACTGAGGACAATATTTAGCTATGGCATGCATAGCCTCTGTTGTAAAATGAATCTGATTCAAGTAAATTGATTTAATATTAGAAACAGTGATCGTACCATCACCTTCGTCTCTTTTAGAATAGCCAAGTCGAGCTATACTTAAACTAAGTCTTTCAAGTTGAGGACAATATTTTACAATCGTGTCAATATCGCATCCATAATTCCATGAATAACAATAGCGACCACAACTAAGCTCAAGTTCAGTTAAACGATGACAAGTCCCGATCGTTTTCATCACGTTTTCTATATTTCCTAAATCACGCCATAATTGAACTCCAAGTGTTCTTGTCTTTATAGGACTTGTACATGCCATAAAGGTAGCAAAGGAATTTGAAGCCAATTTCCCATACATATTTCTATCAAGACATATATTATTTAATTCGACTAGACCTGATGATGTTACCCTTGATAATGAATCAAAGAATTTACTCTCGGTCGTTATCTTCAAGACAGATTCTAATTGTCCTAAATTCACTGATTCAAGTGAACGACATTCAGTAGCAATTCGATGAAATCCTTCTTGAATAGACTCAATATCTCTCCAAGTGCATGTTTGTTTATAAGCTGGATCCCACTTTACATTCAAATTCAAGTCGACTATATGAGGATATAATTTAGCAATACTTTCAATCCAGGTAGAGTGAGCTAAAGAGCTATGGTTGATATCTAATTTTCGCATCCTTTGGTTAGCAGGTATCTGATCCAATGGCGACGATGAGATTGTAAGCACAACATCGATTAATGTTAACTGCACTAGACTAGGTAACAGTGCATGTAAATGGATGATATCATCTAATGTGAACTCTGTTCTCTCATTTGCTTGTCTGGATGTAATCAGATTAAAATGATCTCGACCATACATGGTTAACCGTTTAAGATGGGGTGTAAGAGTCAATAAATGAAGTAAAGCACTAGTCGTTGCTCCCTTTGTAGAACATTTTGTTCTATGCATGGGATTGACTATATTCCCCTTGAGTATGAGTTCCTCTAATCCAAATCCATATTCAGATAATAAAGGATAAGAGGTCTGAATACAATCTAACGGCGGTAATGCCTTCATTCTCTTCCATGTATTCTTTTTTATTACATGATAGGAGGATACATTGTGTTGATATCTCCATAATTTAGGATTAAAATAGAGTGATTCAAGTAGAGGAAATAAATAGGGTAAAGACTCAATTTCATTCTGAGATAATCCTACATTATCTTTCATATACAAATGTCGTATATAAAGATGGATCTCTTCACTTTGTTGGATGCAATTTAAGAATTGTATAAATTGACGACGACTTGTCAAAACTACATTCCTATAAAGAGATGGACGAAGCGCTCGATACCAATTTTTACAGACATGAAGACATTGATATTTTTTATTATCATTTAATATATTCGATACAATCAAATCGAGTATTTCACTTGGGAGTAAAGATAAATACATTGTTAAAGGAAAGAAATACAAGCTGAATCATTATTATTTGACATGTTGTGTGTGGGGGGGGGAATAAATCATTTTTTATAGTCACTCTCTCTGTCTGTGTGTGTGTGTGTATATATATATATTAAGTCGCCGATTAAATAAAGCTTCCTTAAATTCTTTCAAAAAAAAAAAATAATATAGCATGCCTTATGCGAATAGTACAATGATTTCTTTACTTATTCAGAAATATAAACTCAGACAGATTGGATTTGATAATAAGAGTGAAGCATGCAGCACTAACCTGAGAAGAAATAGGGCTATTGTATTTAACAAGTTAAGATATTATTATTATTTATGAATATAAAAAAGAAAGAAAAAAGACGGCTGGAATTCAATTTGATTACAAATAATGATCATTAGAAGAAAAAGTTATTTTAATGCAGAAAATTCAAAAAGAAAAAAAAAAAAAAGCTGCATAATAAAAATTATCATCAAAAAGGCGTTGTCCATCCATTATTACTTGGGAATGGAGGAATGATGATTTAAACCTTTCATACGTTTCCAAATATCGTCTTTATTCTGTGACTGTTGTTCCCATTGTTCATGATCAGCTGCTGTATAGATTTTTACTTCTTCTTCGTGAACTTGATTTTTATAGGATTCTCCAGCTCTATTATTATCTAATTCCTTGTTATAAACAAATAACGGATAATCTCTCTCATCACCAAATACATCGTGACTATCATGATGATGACCAGAAGGAGGGATAGGTCGCATCCATCTAGGATTTAACCTTCTGGCATTCTTCCGAATACGTCTTACATACATATAAGCACCGCCTATAGATAATAAAAGAATGGCTGTCACACAAAGACCAATGATAAGTCCTTTATGGTTCTTTGAATTGGACGTCATAGAACGAAGTGGATTATCGAGAACACTAAAATCATAATCAAGAGGGTAAAAATCAGTTGAATTCACACTTGGTAAAGGAAATTGACAGGTTGATGATAAAGCAATTGTATCACTATCACCCACTACTCTATTTTGAGTATCTATCTTATCTACCCATTTCCATTGATTCATGTCAAGGATATAAATATTTTCATTGTAATTCACTTCATTTGTCATTCCCATTAAAAGAACCATATAATTATTGATATTCACTGCATTATGACCATAAAGAGAACCAGGAGAAGAAGTTCCAGTAACAGGCTGCTTTCTCCATGTTAAAGTACATGTATCAAGAATATAGACATCATTTGATGCAGCTTGAAATAATCCTGATTTACCATGATAATAATATCCTCCATAAATAACTATCGATCTATTATCAAGTCCTATCATATAAAATAAAATATTATATTCCAATATTTTTTTTTTAGCCAATCTTGTTAACTTTACTATACCTAAAGCAGTGGAATATCTATTTATTTATTAAAAAAAGGAAAAAAAGAAAAGAAAATGAGTTATATGATGTATTCAACGTGAATAATAATAAAAGGAAAAAGAAAATTACGCTAATCTAGCATCTGGAATATCACCTAACGTAGCAATGGATACAGCAGTATTACTAGCAATATCGTATACTAGAACAAAATAAAATAAAGACGTCAATAAAAAGTTAAAATTATATACTTTCTTTCTTTCATTTCCTTATTTACTTAGAACACTTTTAAAATCTGCTAATACTCGATCTAATGTAGCATTTGCACTATCTGTTAATCCACCCATAATAAACACTCGATTGTTACTGTATAATAATAGTTATTACGAATCAATTACTTGTCATTTTTTCTTTGTTTCGTTTTGTTTCGTTTCTTTTTTCTTTACTTACATAATATTTGATGAGTGTGCAGAGCGTCCTGGACGGTGAGCTTTAGGGTATAAAGGAGAAAGCTTTGTCCATTTACCAGTATTAGTATCAAAACTGGTGAAATCGTTAGACTTGCAAAAAAAAAATTAGCTATAAAATATCTATATTGTGTACATATTGAATATATTACCGCTGATGCACCAAGTTTGGTTGGTTGCCCACCATAATAATAAGCCATATTTGTAGAAGGATTGACTGAAGCAGTCATCAAGTATTGAGGTGCTGGTCTATCAGCAGCTTCTTGATAAACTACAATAAATCAATACATCTTTGAGAATTTATACTACTGCTGAAAGGAATAAGAATGTTTATATTACCATATTCCCAACCATCTATGGCTGGTGTGTATTTCATTAAATTTTGCATTTCTCTACTTGTGCCTTCTCCTCCTTGAACAAACACTTGATTTTTAGCTCCTTGAAAGGCGACGCCATATGTGAAAGGCTTCAAGACATGATCCGTAGGAGAAGGCCCTGTACGAATTTGCCAATTAGGTGCATGTATATCGATGCCATATGTAAAGTTAAGGATGGGAACTTGTAATGTATTCTATTTTCAATTTATATCAGCAATTTATTTGTTATAAATAGATGGATTGTCCTATACATTAGAACCACCAATAATATAAACGTTATTTGACTGAATGACTGTTGAAAAATAAGATCTATGTTCTGACGGTTGTAAGGCTGAAATTGAACTACTAAAAAGGAAGGAAAAAAGAATAGAAGCAGTTTGAACACTACTAACAAATCTCATTTTATGATTGACCGAAAAAAAAAAAGGATAGGAAAGGATTTTATATTTTTTTAAAAGAAAAAAAAATCAAAAAGAAAGAATTTATAAATACACACACATTTATGAAAAAAAAAAGCATGTTATAACAAAATCTTCATAAATTTAAGGGAATACAATTGTTGTACAATGTTGTATAGTTACCTGTGAAATGCACACGCATACTACAACTGAAAAAAAAAAAAAAAAAAAAAATAGTACCTTGTTTGACTGAGTTTTACAGTACAATTCAAGAGGAGTTTATTCATTAGTTCCTTTTCTAGATGAATCAAAAATAAAAAAGATAGACACTATGTTTACTTGTGTTGGATAACGTGAATTAACAATGTAAACTGTTATAGTAGACATAGATGATAAAGTCTGCTACCAAGTTGCTTAATTGAACAAAACTTTGTAGCCTTTTTTTTTTTTATAAATATATCAAACTGACTACATCAACATCTATTTGACAGAAGGCTTCTCTCTTAACTTTGTATTGACGACTGATGATTGTATTGTTGGCATATTCTCTTTCTCTACAGTTGATTGATATTTTTTTCTTTTATCCATGCTATTTTTACTTTTATCTTTTCTATACAATTTCCTAATAAAGGTGTTTAATCTATAATGTTGAAAAACTGTGGTGATCCTGACAAAACAGTATATATTCAAAAAAAAAAAAAACTGCCAATAAGATTTGATTATACAATTACAAGTACCTGTAAACATTTAAAGATCGCCCATTGGTTCTAATTTTTTTTGTTGTCAAGTTTCTGAAAGGGTCGGTTGCTATTTTGTAGTTACTGCAGTTTTTGCTTAGTTTGATAGGTCTGTGCGTTTCTAGAGTGATATATTTTCATCAGTTTGTATAAATGCTTGCTGCTATCACTTGACTTTCAATTACTTGAAGAAAAAAAGTTTATTATTAATTCTTACACATTTCAATTAAGCTAATTCAGATATTAGCCTATTAAATAGTCTTTTTTTTTCTTTTATACCGGCATTTGAATAAATGAATGAATAAAGAATTATTATCTTACTATTTCTTTTGTTTACAAAATTTAAAGAAAAAGAAAAAAAAAAGGTAATCCCAAAAAAAGAAAAATATAGTCCAAAATTACTATTTATTACATCAAATATTTCATATTATATAATCTATTCTTAATGAACTTTAATTTAACTATTATACATAAACAAAATTAAAAAAAAAAAAAAAACTAGTTTGACAGGTAGAGCAGATTCCAAGTTGACCTGGAACAAACGGACTTTCCTCAGTAATTTTAGCAAAAAAAAAAAAAAAAAACTCAGAAGCTTCAATTGTTTAGTTTTAAATAGGAAAAATCTAAAAAAAAAGGTTCAAAAATAAAATTTAAATAAATATTTTTTTCTTTTTCTCATTTTTTTTTTTTTAATACTTCATTTTTCTTTAAGAATAAGAGATGAAAATTTTAAATTCAAATAGATTAACCATTTGTGTACTATTAATTCTATACACCTGCAGCTATGTAGTACATGCCAAATTAAACACAACGCATTATGATACTTCATCGACTAATGTTGTGGACACTACATATCAAGATACTGATGTGGATACTACTCCTATAGACTCTACTGCCACTAATCAAGATCCTGAAGCCATCAATCAAGACCCTGATTATGACGAAGTAAGTAATACTAAGATAAATACTATTATAATTTACGTTACTGATTTTTTTATTATTATCGTAGACCACAACTACTAAAGCAGAAGCACAGTCTGCTACTGTTATTGCTACTTCAGAAGTTCATCCTATTGCTACTTCAAAAGTCAATCCTACTACTTCAGAAGCCCATCCTATTGCTACTACTACTGCAACCTCAGAAGCTCAACCTACTACCACTTCAGAAGCTCAACATACAACAACAAAAGCAAGAGAAACAACTCCTCCTACTACTACTGCCGCTCCTCCTGCTCCCATAAACACCGAAATAGTTTATACTACCACCACTAAAAATAATGCACCTAGTACTACATCAAGTATAGAAGATAATACTCAAACAACAACTCATGAACAACCTCCTATGACTACAAAAAGACCTGCTACTCCAACTACAATAATCGCAAGTTCTTCCTCTGATTCTAGCAACAATGAAAGTTCTACTAATGAACCCGCCGCAACTAGTTCATTAGATCAGCCACCTGTAAATACTTCTACTCAAACAGATGAAGGAAATGAGCCTACTACTACATCATCCTCCTCTTCCTCCTCCTCCTCTTCGAATCCACTTGCACCTACATCTTCAGGGGAAAATGCTCAACAAGATAATAATACACCCAGCAACTCAAATAAGGCAGGTGTTATTGCAGGTTCTGTAGTAGGCGGTGTTGCCGGTCTCGTTTTGATTGGTGGCCTCTTGGCCTTCATTATTCGACGCGGAAGATTATCAAATCATAAAAATAATAAGAAAGCCAAGTTCAGTCAAGATGACTATACGATTAATATGACTCAGAACGATTTTGGTCCTAATTCTCATTATAATAATACTGCTGCAACAACGACTCATAATATACCAGCAGGTGAAACCGTTGCTTCAAACGAACCTTTATCACCTTTTGATCATACAAACCATCATTATGTGCCACCACCACAACCAGCAGCAGCAGCAGCAGCAGCAGGTATGCTATATGGAACAGTACCAAATGATCCTTATCATGTGGCAGATTATCAAGAAAACTATAGTCAACCAGGCAGTGATGGTTATGGTGGATACTATGATTATACTCCGCAAGAAGGAACTTATAATAATAATAATAATTATCAACATATGCATTATACTGATGTCACATCTCCTTCAAGTTCTGGTAATATGTCTGAGACTCTCTATTCTGTTCAATATTCTGCTCAATATCCATTGGATAAACCAAATGCAAAAGACTTTGATAGCAAACCAAATGAGTTGTAAAAAAAAAAAAAAAAAAAAAAAATAGTAATACTATTTACTTGTTATATAATATATTAATACACTATAAATATGTACATTTTATTAATTATACTAAATGTTAATTTATTTTATTTTATTTTACTGCTTCAATTTTATTTCTGTCAAAAAAAAAAAAAAAATAAAAAAATACTGTTGTGTATTTCTACACGTGAATCTATTTTTAACAAAAAAAAAATACATGTTTCAGAGTGAAATCAAATAGAAGACTTTTGTTTTAATTTGCTGCACATGTATAGTTGATATTTATAAAATAAAAACTGTGTTTTAAATCATTTTCATTCTTTTTTTTGCCAAGGAACCAACACTATATTTTTTTTTTTACTAGGGTAAAAAAAAAAAAAAAAAAAACTAATTATACGATATTTATTGACAATAAACACATGATAAAATAATATTCTATTATTCGGGTCAGATCAAAAAGGGGAAGAAATAAAGAAACTAAAAAAAAAAAAAAAAAAAAAACAATTTTTGATAGTCAAAAGGGAAAAAAGGTGGTAAAGAGAAGGAAAAGAACTATATCTTCAGATATTAAATGAATGACTGCATAATCATTTGATCAAGGCAGTACGAATAAAAGAGGAGGAGGAGAGATCTTATTATGGTGAAGATAATAAAGTCCAAAGAGTATGCGACATATTGTAGGTCAAAAAAAAATTATATACTACTTCCAGAAAACAGTGAGACATAGAATAAAAAAAAAACAAATATAAGTTTGAAGCGCATTCATTACATAAGAGTTTGTCATCAGATGTACGAAGGTATTTACACTCATTTTCTCCTTGAGTAAATCTAGTATTAAAAAGAGAGAAAAAGAAAATACTTTATTAAGAGTTACTAGTAGGTGGATTATTGCTTCAATGTACCACTATTAATGAGTTAAAAAAAACCGTCTTATTATTTATAAAACAATGATTTAACAATATTCAGCAGTACAAAATATCGACTAAAAAGTCTTCTTATTAATAATGGATAGTTTGATATGCTTACTTTAGTAAAGCCATATATGACACGCTATATTACATAATCAGACAATGATAGGATTGGTGGTGCCTGAATACATCAATAATATTGAATCAGCCTTTTTGATAGTAAAATATAAGAATAAACCTATAAAATTGGATTTCTATCAATTCAGAATACTTGATTTAATGAGGTTTATCTATTTTATTTAGGATGTTTGATCCACTCATTTTCGTTCATGTAAGATGGGTCAATGAAGTTCAATTTAATTTGTAACTTACTCATTTCACACTTTTGCACATCATACCTCAAATTACTAATATAAAGACATAATAAAGACCTTAAGAACTGTTAGATTACGTGTATATACTAACTTGTTAAATTTAGTTATAAATTCCTTTGCTAATATCCATTATTTAATTTACATATAGCATATAGAGTCTGTATACATTTTCTGATGCTTCCTTCTAGATACATAAATAAATATACAAATATACATTCCATGTATTATTTTAGAAGAATGTATACATAGATAATGTAGTAGATGTTTACACTTATAAAGCCAGATGTTTATTCCTACTTTGGAATCTTTTGTCAATAATCGTAATAATGATGTTTAATAGAAATGTTCAAATTTTGAAAACTTGAAAATTATTTTAGTATAATTAATTCTATAATATAAAGCGTATTATAAACACGTTTTTTTTTATTAAACTTGATTATATTGATATTTATATTATTATCATTCTCAATAGCTTGCTTTCTTTTACATTCTTATACTTTAATATAATATAGGCTTATGCTGAGATTGTATTATTATTATTTTTTATAAGAAACTAAAGGCTTATGATTTATTGCTCATGATATTTAACAAATAATAAAAATAATCATAATAAAAAAAGACGATATTATATGTGACAATTAAATAATTTATTATATTTATTAAAATTTATATAATATACAGGAGAGTAGCCTTCCTCCTGTTGAGGCTAGTAGATTTACTTACCTATATTTTATTCTTTAGTATAAAATTAGTATTAGTTAATTTTAATGTTAGATATAATTTATATTATATTTATTTACCTATTGCTGGTTTGTCTATTCAGCACCACCATAACCAAGTAATATCAGAGAAAAATGAGTCCTATATGTATCTATATATATATATATAAAAATAACCTCATGAGCTTGCTGAATATTTAAACTCTGCTGCTGAAGTATGGCCTAGGGGGCTGTGTCATGGTCTTCCAAACGCAAGGGAGTCTTGACATCTTTCTTCTTTTCTTCTGCCATTGGACAAGTCCTCACCCCAGATCTTTAATACAACTTGCATACTTCAACAGCACAAATCTCTTAAGGGTTCCTTAACTTTTAAATATTTTTCACCAAAGGTCACCAGAAATTTTGATAATAAAAAAGTAGAGTAGATTATAAGAAGAGAGAAGGGTTTGTGTGTGAATAATGAAAGAGAAAAAAGAAAATTTAATTGTAGAAAAAGGTCCCTATTTATATTAATTTGAATTTGCTTGGATATACTAATTAAAAGGAGATAGTGTAAATTTAGGCAAGTTATTCATATTGCATTGAATCGTATGCATAATTTATTTATTTTTGTACAATGTACTGTACTACTTTCGGAGGAAGGAAGTCCGATTGTTTTTAAGGAGAGAATAACAATAATAACAATAATAATAATAATAATATAATATACAATTTTATTAATATAAAGTGGGGGGGGGGAAACACAGAGCTCACACCGTTACTTTTTTAATTATTCCACACTTTGATAAGAATTATTATATTAAAAAATTGTATATTTTTATAATGTATTCTTTATTTTTATTTTTTACAAAGGGGAATCTAGAATAAAAGGAGGCGAAATGAATGAGAAGAATGAGAAGAAAAAGAAGAAAAGCCTCATGCAGATATAAACAAAGGAGAAGCATACATACATACTTGAAACTTGTACATGTTTATTTAAGCATGTAAATAACGTTTTATCAAATGAGGGAATATGACTATTAGAGAATGTATAACATGCTATAATATTATTTTTAACTATAAAAAAGAGCACGACACTTTTTATATAATAAAGTAACTTCAAATATACTTTACATGTAAGAAAAGATAAGGATGCAAAAGGGAGAAATAAAATAAACTTTCATTTATTTATTTAATTACAAGTTATAATTTTTACCATTTTCAGAATAGCTTTTGAACTGATCATCCACTTTTTTTTTTCTTTTTTGTTGATCATTTTTGTGTTTCCCCAAAAAAAATAAATCTTTGTCCAGAACAATGTAATTTAACACGTATTATTTGTCAAAAATATATACAAATATATAAAGCATGCTATAATGTAAATTATAGTATTTTAAGCTGGAAGAAGAGTATGCGTATTGTATATATTTATTCAATGCTATGAATTGAAAGGAAAAAAAAAGGGGGGCATCAAGGGTTATATCATAATACTACTATAAGCTGTACTTGGTACCGCTGTAACTCCTTTAAATATAATAAAAAAGAGGAAAAAAAATAACATATAAAAAGATCAAATTCACGACTAAGAAATGCGTATACAGAGCGAACCATGAGTAACTATTAAAAGAGCAAAAGTTATAATCTGGAAGATATTGTGTTTTTACACAATGTTCCAGTATATTTATTTTTTTTTAAATATAGCAAAATTATTCAATAAGGAAAAAAACACTCCTAAAAGTAGATTCTCTATGAAATGTTGAAAGCTTCCCAAAAGAATTAATATATATTTTTAGCTACAGATCAGAGATATAATTAATGTTAAACAGCATTTTAAAATTTTCTGATCTGTGAATTACGCTCAACACTATCAATGTAATACACTAGTTACTAAAGAATAAATGGTTATTCAGGTCTTGAATATTTCCTGTTGTATAGTTAAAAATACAATATATTTAAAAGTCTAACCAGATCATCAAACTTAGTCTACAGCCAATTATTACTATTTATTTATTTTATTTTATTTTTTTTTTTCTGCATTAAATATTTATGAATCTCAGTCGCTGCGATATGATACAGCGCTCACTGTAATATTTTATTACTGTCAAAGAAACTAGGTTGGGCCAATGAGAAAAAATTTGGTCGCTTCAAAATTGAACTGGGACACCAATGCAAAAATGGGACATCAACATGAAAGTGGGATATATTGAGACACGCTTAGTTTTTGGGCGAATGTATAAACAAGAAGCTATAAACTTGTTCCATTTAACAAGAAAGGTCACTAATAGACTATCAGACTACTAAGATGATCATCCAGATTAGGATATGATTCACCTAACTTGAATGATCCTGGAACGAACAATCCTCATGGAGAATATCCCAGATTCGAACTACTTAGGACAATAAGGAGCATTTCTGTGAGTTTGGTGGAGTGAGTGAACTATCATTTTTGAAATAATAAAGCCAAGTAAAGTGATTAGGATACGTAGAATGTAGGGTTTTCATTATTCGTAAGAAAGAAAGACCTAGAGCCACCAGGTCTTGGTTACAATCATTATTTATAGTCTGTAATATTGGGCTCCGTAAGTAGTCCAGGTACCAGTGGATCAGAAAACCGACAATTTCATACGATTATATTCATACAAGTAACAAATAACGATAAATGTATGTAAAAGGAGATCATCTTGGATCAATAAAGTTCTTCGGTCAGTTTACATTGAATAAACACTCACACAAGCATCTAGATTACCCTACTGTTTTTATCTACCGATTCTACAGAATAAAAACTTAAAGGACATCCCCTTTCTCCTATTTTATTGTCATTTATGCTGATACCCATCAATTATCGGTCGAGAGTCGGCAACTCTGATCGTGAAACCAACACCTCCTGCTGAATCTATCCGAGGACAGCTTGCTAACTTTACAAAATAATAATAAATTCTTTGTTTACCAAGGAAAGACTGTTCCATGGTAAAGCAGATTACGTAAGAAATAATAATAGATATACATGTATTAATAGGATTAAAAATATGTATGTTTGATCTGATAAAAATAAAATTAGTTCTTATATATTTATAATAGTATTATTTGTATAATGATAATGATAGTGATAATGACAATGATATAGATAAATAGTTTAATAAATGTAATGTGTATATAAAGAATGCGTTTTCTTTCCTTTTCAAAAGCAACATGATTTCTCTTTCTTTCTTATTCTTGTTCTCTGTGTCATCCGCCTTAAACTTGAATCACCAAAATGTACACCACTCCCACTTCGTTCAGGATCAATTTGACCTGTTTCTATTTTACTTAAAATTGATTTTGCACATTTAAAGAACATATCTTCTACCCCGTCACCTGTTAGTGCACTTGCTTCCAAAAACATCATTTCTATATGTATCCAGGTATTATATAATCTACTTCATTTTATCCAAGAATATGTTTTATTTACCATGCTCTTGTGCAAATCGACTTGCTTCTAAATACGAGACTTCTCTTTCATCACTTTTATCATTCTTATTACCAACTAATATAATGACTAGTTCTGGATTTGCTAATGTTCTAACATCTGTTAACCAAGACCTTACACCTAAAAATGTATCTCGACTTTTATAGATAGTATAATTAGTTATATGCATCTCCTCTTCCTCATTATCTTTCTTTCTTTATTTACTTGCAAATATCATATACAACCAGAGCACCAGCAGCTCCACGAAAATAGCTTTTAGTTAATGACCTAAATCGTTCCTTATATAAAATAATATCATTATTATGTGATATGACGCTACTATCATTTATTTTATTTTATTTTTATTTTTTTTATTTTATTTTTTTTTTTCATTTACTTGTCCTGCTGTATCCCATATTTGTAATTTTATACTTTTATCTGCTATATGTATAATTCGTGTACCGAATTCCATACCAATTGTGTTTATAGAATCCTTTTTAACTATCATAAATACATATTGTATATAGCCAATGCATACAAACGTTACAGATAGATAAACTTACATTGATTTTCAAGAAAATGGTGTAGTAAACAAGATCTAAAGTGTGTACAAATACGTTGAGTAAAATACAGTTATTGTAACTTGCTATAAACAAAACTTACTTTCCAGTTCCAGAATCACCAACAAGTAATAACTTCAATAAGAAATCTAATGAATGGACATTATAAAATAAAATAAAAAATAAGCACTCCATTGTTATAGTTAAGTTTTGTTTTCAGTTTACCATATGCATCAGCTAACATAATTTAGGTATGTATTTTATAGATTATATAAATTTTATTTTTATAATTGTATATTCATATACTGATTATATTATTTATTTAATAATATTTATCATGAAGAAACACAGCTTAGGGGGAAAAAAAAATCATAATTAGATAGCGGAAATTCAAAAAAATTATTATTAATTGATTTTCTTTTTTTTTTTTTTGTATGCAAAGACGATAATCACTATCTATATTTTACAAAAGAAAAAAAAAATAGAGGGCAATTATGATATTAGACAACGCAAGTCGATGATGAATATCAGTGCCTGTTTGAAGAAAAAAAATATTGAATATCGTTAGTACATTATTATTGTTGCAATAGAAAAAATAAACACCAAGGCGTTACTGAAGGTCTCTAAGCCTTTGCGGGTCACGTGTTTGATTTATTAGAAAACTTGGTATACAATGGTGTAATTCACATAACCAGAAGGCAACTTGCACGAAAGAAAAAGAAGTTTGACACAAACCAATTTGATCATAACAAATATCCCCCTTCTTCCCTCCCTCTACTACTTTATTGGAAACGGTCAAATACACCCAATCTCATATTAAACAATGTAATTCGCTTAACACCAAAAGATGATTTTTACCTTGAATTTGTCTATTGTTTATTTGCTATTTTAATAAAGAACGTTGAAAATATCGCTGCTGTTGTTTGGTAAACAATGGGGGAGGGGAGAGTAGTGAAGGCGAATTTCATAAAGCTTACAACTCCTTAGGTCAAAATGATTGAACTATGCACAATAAATGAACTTTTTTAGTTTTCATTAATTTTTTTTCTTATTTTTTTGTGAATTATTATTTTATTTAGTTAACTTGATGAAACGAAAAAAAAAAAAATGAAGAGAAATAGATAAAGTAGTGGGGGAAAAAAACTGACATTATTCGGATTCTTTGTAGGGACGGCTGAGTTTGTCAATTTGACTAACTATCCTAGGGATGATATTGTAGACAGCTGTGGTAGGGAAATGAACAGGATTAGTAATACCATGGTTTCCAATATACATCCCAAAGTTGTCAAAGAGTTGTGGAGATGATTCCTAAGTAGAGGTCAATATCAGTCATTGAATCAGGATGCCGTAGATATCGAAGGGTTTAATATAGACAATCTGGTGAGAAATACAAATATGGAAAGTAGATGGAGAGGGCTCTTTGCCAGATTTGCTGTTTAATGGGACACAAAACGAGAAAATGGTAGAGGGAGTCTTCCCCAGAGCCACAGAGGGAGTAGGTAGAGGAGTAAGAATTGAATTTAGTAAGGAGTTTCTTGTGAAATACACCGATTAAGTGAACGATAAAAAAAAAAGTACGAGCGTGGTGATACATGATAACTTTCCAAAATTGTTGAATTGATAAGGAGGAGAAGTTATCATGATCATCCAGTCGAGGCAGAAAATAAACACGAAGGTTACGCACAGGAAAGCGAAGCCAGCGTACGGAGCTTGTGGAGGTATTAATGGAGCCATTCGAAAGACAGGCGTTCTGTATCAGCGGTGGTGCCAGGATGTGTGGCCATACAAAGGCTTGTAAAACCGCTTGGTGTTGTTGTAGAATATCTTGAAAGAGAAGATGATAATTCTTAAGCGTCTGTATTGGTTGTTGATTTTAATCCAGACATGTACTGTTGAGCGGTTCGCTATTTGTGAACTGTCTTCAGGTATTTAGCTGAGCTTTCCCCTTGTTCTCTCCACGCGACTCCTGACTTTAATGCTGCTATTTCCACAATTTCTTTTTAAAGTTGAGCAATCATTGTTTTAATTTTTGGCAAAAAGCGTGTAAAGAAATGCCCGTAGGCAGTTTAGGTCTAAGCGACCTATTCTTCTTCTTTTCAAGTAATTTAAGTGATGATTTACGCCAGGACGCATGTTTAATTCTAAATGATCTGATGCATTGTTTAGTCGTCATTTTAATTTCCTCCCATAGCAATTGAGTATTAGTATTTGATAACCTGTCTTGTTTCAACACTTTCCAAAGTCGTGCTGACAAGTTGTATAGGAAGTTTTTGTTGGACGCATAAGCTGGATTCCCTCTCCACGGACCTGGGCCCATTTTTGACTCACCCAGCTGGCTGAGGCTGAGTATAAAGAAAAGTATGATCTGGCCATTGTGGATTAATAAAGTCTATAGAGGTATTAGTGATCAGCTTATGTAAAGATGAACCATAATATATATAATCAATAGTCGACAAGACTCTATGGGAACGTTGAAAAATAGGGATAGTATTCAAGCTGTTATATAACATGGCATTGATAAACAGGTCATTGAGAAAGGTGATCCAATCTTTTGAGGTTTCGTATAATCCTTTGCTGCTAATAATATCCCATTCGAGATCATAATTAAAACCCCCCCTGAAATGATTAAATAGTGTAAGTCAATAGTGTCCGACAGTTGATAAAGCATATCACACACAGATTGAAAAAATTCTTGCCGGTCATTGTTGGAATTTGCGGGAGTGTAAATATTGAGTATGTAAAAAATATGAGGATGTTGAACTTTGCATAAAATAAAACGATCTGAAGTAAATATATGGTCAGTAGTAACCTGTGTTAGAATATATTGAGTAGAAAATGAAACGATACCACAGTGTGGGAGTCCAAAATGTTTGTTGAGCTTGGAACTGGATATCTAGAGAAGTAATAGTAGAAGGAGAGGCATGGGTTTCTTAAAAGCAAATAATAACGAGTCATTGTTCTCGAAGGTGGCGAATATATAATGATTGTTCTATTGAAGAGATTGTTTTAACTAAAATTGTTGCAGTTTAGTGTTCCATAATTAAATTTGTAATTTCTTTCCGATCATTGGTTATTAGAATCAGATTAGTGCTATGAAGGATTTTTCTTCTGTCGAATTATATTGCCACCATTATCATCATTTGGTATATGGAAGGAAACACCAGCATTAATTCCCTGAGAAATTTCTGCTCCATTATTATCCATAAGTGAATGGTTGGCTGGGGGTGGAGCTTACAAAAGTTTTATAAGGTAATACTGACGGAGTTGTCATTATTGTCAGACGTAGGGTTAGTAGGTTGATCTATCTCACCGTTACTAACATAATCCATGAAGGCATCAGAATCCTCTTCATCTTCATCCCCTGGAATATAACACTCATCACTAGTTGACATATTATCATCTTTTGTAAAGTTCATACCAAGAATAGTGTTCTTCTAATTCTTTTGACCGCCTTCTTTCCTGCCCAGTTTATCTTCAAGAGTCTCTTTATCAGCATGAGGGGCCTATTTAGATTTTAAAAGTCCAACCGAAGGTTCAGCTAGGCCATCAAGATCAGCAGAAGTTTTTCTAACTTTCTTAAATTGCTTACTTTCAATAGTGGTAGCCGTCTTAGACTTGGGATTGTCACAATCAGCGGACTTATGTCCATATCGATCACAAGAATAACATAATGTGCAATCCAAGACTTTTTTTACATTCGTATTTGGTATGACCATCACCGTGACGGTATCAACACCATGTCGGCATATCAGGAAATGTAGTATAACAATATTCACCATCCTTCCTAGAGAGAGAATGTTGAAGAGGATTGTATTGACCATCCTTCAGTTGTTAGATAACGGCCGAACCAGAACTCAAAAACCAACTTTTGCGGGTATCATAATTTAATGATACGTCCAAAACTTTATCATGTCTTTCTAAAGTAGTTCTAAGATTATCTAAAATTACATCAGTTGGACCAAATGGGAGAAGTCTAATGTTAAACTTTTCATACAGCACACCGTTAGAGAGAAAATCGTTCTTAATTTCAGTTTTAGGATACACTTCAATATATTGTGTATTCTGACGACCAGTAAATTTAGTACCATAGAGGTTTTTTGTCCCTCCGTAGAGATCAGCGATCTGATCGAGATGATCTTCGACAGAGATGTTTGGTACTTTTGAGATGTCTGAAAGACAAGCACCATCAGCTCGGGTGTGACACCAAAGTTTAATATGAACAACCTTCATTTCCAGGTTGGAATTCGAAGGATTCAAAAGTGATGTAAAAGGAGGATCGGTATTGACGGTTGGATCCATGAGTGAATGTTGTTTAGTTGGTAGTTGTTTAACGATATTAGAATACTATATAACAATTATTTCTGCCTTTTGAGTTTGCTGTAATCAATGAAATCAAACACTTCATCTAAATTTATTCCAAATATTTGTAATAATATTTTGATCGGCTTTTTTAAGTCCATCTGTAGTGGTGTCTGTTATAGATCTAAAAATTGAACAAAGAGAGCTATTTTTAACGATTTTAATTTCCTCGTCCTCTTGAAATAAATTTACTATGCTCTGAATGTTCTTTTGGACTTTGGTTTGTTTTTATATTCTTGTTTCAGGTAATAAGGAGATAGCAACTTTTTTTTTTTTTTTTTTTCATAAGCTTAGGTATTTATTTACCTCTTTCTATAATAACATTATTATGATTATTTTAAGATAGAATAAAAACAATATAAAGTAATACTGTGTCAGCAGAGAAAGGAAAGTATTGACTTAAGTTATCAGGCTTTTAAGGTAGACTTGAGATGCTATATTATTGACTGATGGGGATTAGTAAGATGTCTCGACTATCTAATATTAAATAGATTATTATAATAATTCGACGATTATGGAAATAAGGTAATCAGAGTTAATTGATTTTTTTATTTAACCTTAAATTAAAAGTATCCAAGTACACAACATATAATATTAAAGGTAGGGTTTAAATAGTTTAATTTTTACATACTTCACTTCGTTATGATCTATGAATTAAAAGATATTCTACATTTTAATTAAAGATACTAAGTATGATTCAGTCGGTACTAATACTTTTTTAATTCTTCTCTGGTCTTTGATATTCTTGTATAATCACAACCATAGTTTAAAACTACAAATAAAATAACCAACTTTTAGAACTATTGTTCGGCTTCATAAATCTTATTAGTCTTCTTTTCAATTTTATATAATTGTATATTCATTTTTATTTCAATATCTTACTAGACATATAACAATAAAGGTGATATAAACGAAGCATTTCTATTTCATGATATCCTTGGTGTCTTTATTAAGCAGCTATCTAGTTATAGATTCTCATTTTATTTTTCTTTATTGACTTTTAGAATAAGGACATCTCTTGTCTTCAGTATTTGCTGTTTTACCCACTAAACTTGAACAAACACTGAAAGTACTTTAATATTAATGTTCATTTTTATCTATCTTAAAATTTTTAACTCTTTTCTCCATGTTATCCTTGCAACATATAATATTGAAAAATTAGCTTGTAGTGATCAGTTACAAATTTAATCTTGAATGGAGAATCCTGAATACTATACTCTTTTTAATTAATCCCTTTATTTTTTTTTTAACGATAAAATTATCCATCATGACTTTTAAAGGCTTTGTTGGTAATATGATATAACCTTCAGTCATTGGGTTTGATTCTTTTGTTTTAGTAACAACTTCATAGTACAAAATGCCTATTATCACGATGGGTCTACATCGTTATTTTTAATTAAAATATTACAGCCAAAACCTGGTTTTCTCATTGATATTACTAATTTAACAATCCTGTTTGTTAATCCTTACACCAACTTATAAAAATGATAATCAATACAGTACATAAACAACTACAAAGCTCATTTAGTTAGTATTGAATCTTCTTCTACAAGTCGTTATTACATAAAAGTTTTTTTTTTTTCATTTATAATTAATAATAAAAAAGGGGTAATGATCCAATTAGCCAGTAGCTTCTCTATATAATAAAAAAGACTACTGTTTCCAGAAGCAACCAATCGTGGAGGTTGATCATTATGTGCTTCCTTTCACAGTCATATTTAACGAGAGACGTGAAAACTCCAAATGAAAGATACTCTCGGGATTGAATATTTTAAGTGACCAATACATCCAAATAACTTCACTGGGGGATTTATTATTTAGAGTGACCATTATCCGGAGAATATCACTGACGATTTATTGTTTATAGTGACCAATATCCTCAGAATATCACTTTCATAAAGAAAGAAAAGAAAAAGAAAAGCAAAAATAAATTTTTTCTTCCCCTATTTATATTTTTTTTTTCCATATAAACAAAAGGCTTCTAATAGGCACAGTGTTTTATTGTGGCTTATTGTTTTCTATTAGTGAACATTTAATGATATGACTCTGTTTACCTTTGTTACACTTTAGATATAAGATCATCATACATATTAAATTCCAAGTTTCCCCCCTTTTTTTTTTATTCTGCTGCTGCTTATATAAATTCTTTCTATTTATAGACTTTAGTATAATTCCATTATTATACAGTATACAATCAATACAACTCTAAACATTTCCATTTATGCTATATATTACAATAAAGGAGAATGTAAATACTAGACGGTTTCTTATATTAGGTTATGAATAAGAGCAGTAAACGCCAAAAAAAAAACTAGAAGCAATTAAATAGTCTTGTCTGTACAAAGATGCCTGATAAGGTTAAATTAATGGGGCATCATTCTTTTATTATTCATATTGCTATAACTATAGACATATAACACTTTATATAATTCTATATACATATATAGTTAAAGTAAGTAAAAGGGCATATTCACTTGACTCTCTTTTAACTTACAACTTTATGAATAATAAGAATAAATATCAGTATAAATATTATTATTCCTATTATATATTTTCAACCAAATTGTAATATTACAAAAGAATTCCTTTTAGAGCAACTCGTTATATGAATTATTATACGTTTTTTTATATATATATATACATCCATCTTTTTTACTCTGTTCAGAAACGTGATTCATTTTAAAATACATTTATTTATTTCTTATTAAATAATATCACAATCATAAATAGTCTTATTATGATGTATAATAACATTATACAAATAGGTAACAAATAGTTCTTAAATGCATTGCTTGGCGTAACAAAACTGCTATATTCATCATACTAATCAACACATTTTCCAAGTGTATGTGTGGGGGGCAGGATTTTATTACCACATTAAATATCAAATACAGACTTTATTTTATCTATTAAGGAGTAATTTGAATCAGAGCAAATAATAATAAAAATAAAAGGCCCCCACATCATCTTAGTTGCTAAATGATAACCTATTTTGTAAAGATATTCGTAATCTAAAACATTTGATTTACAATAATACATGCAGTTATCCAATAAGAATATTTTTAACAAAATGATAAATTTCTTAGAATGTTTCATTTTATTAATGATTGTAAGGATTAGTAAAAATTGTCTAAATCAAATAATACTTTTTAAATATGTATATATAAAAACTTGATTTTATAGTAGTAACGATGCTCATTATTTTTACAAACAATAATAATAATAATAATAATATTACTTAACCATGACTAAACAATCAGCTCAGAAAATTCTTATCGTATTATCTCATCACAGAGAAAATTCTTTAACTTATCAAATCAAGTCTCAAATTGAAAAGGGCTTAAAAGCTAGCGGACATGAAGTTGTTGATACCTTGGATTTATTTAAAGAGAACTTTAATCCCATCCTGAGAGAACCAGACGAGCCCCAATGGTCAGAGCCTGAACAACATTTTTCTGAGGAAGTGAATAAGGAAATGGAAAGGTTACTCAAGTATGATTCTATCATCTTTGTTTTCCCCATGTATTGGTTCGGTATGCCCGCTATGTTGAAGGGCTACGTTGAACGTGTTTGGAATTATGGTTTTGCTTATGGCGCTCCTGATACTAAGCTCAAGTCAAAGAAGGTCCTCTGGTGTCCATTGGCAGGTGCTTCAGCTGAAGTCTTTCGCAAGTATAAATATGATGACATGGTAAATCACTATTTCAATGTTGCTATTGCTGGTTTTTGTGGTATTCAAAATTCAAAGGTGAACTGCTTTTTCAGATCTAATCATAATACTCCAGAAGGATTTCAAAAATTAATAGAAGAAGGTTATCGTGTCGGTTTAGAATTTGATAAATGGTAGATCATATGACCATCTGTAATATCCCCTTCCTTTTCTCCCTTATTTTAATAGCAATAAAAATAAAGTTGTATGTATAAATAAAAGTATTTATTTACATTAGCACTTTTTTCACTTTAACTTGTTTTTGGTAATATTCGATTTATTTTTTTGAAAGTAAATTCATTCCATTTCTTATATAAATAATAGCAGAACGTATTATCCACTATGTTATACAAAGCGTTCAGCAATTTCATTTTTTTTTTTTTTTACAACTAGTTCCCATTTGTTTATACAGGAACAAAAAATAAATAAATAAATAAATACTAAAACAATAATAATGATAATAAAATGAAATGAAAAGGCTTATTTTATTTATGCAATAATATTAAAAACCTTCTTCAGTGCTCGTTTCCAAATGGGAACAGACATGATATCATCACTCAATTTTTCGCCTTCACTGACCTTTAAAGCGGGTTCTTTATAGGTACCGGTTTCAAAGTCCATTTCACTTGCCTTGATAAAAGCAGGACGTCGAATGAGTTTATGACCAAAGTAAAGAACAAAACAGAACATGACAGAGAGATAGGCAGAGATACAGTTCTTGACATCGACTGGAGGAAGGAAATTTTGATAGCCTTGACCACCGATCACGATACAGCCCACCACGACGACAAAGATATCACCAAAGGGGAAAAAGGGAGCTACATAAGGAAGGGAGGTTAAGGAACGACCTTGTGCCTTTAGACCCATACGGAAACGAATATGAGTCACTGAGATAGAGACCCAGACGATCAGACCAGCGACAGAAGGAATAGCTGTAATCCAATTAAAGACAACACCTGAACCCCACAAACTTGTCAAGAAGGCAAGACAACCGACAGCACAGGTAGCTAGAACAGACCAAATGGGAATACCCCAACGATTAATACGTTTAAAGAAACTGGGAGCTGAACCATCTTCAGCTAAGGCTAAAAGAGTTCTACTTGAAGAATAAACACCTGAATTACCAGCTGATATCATGGTGACCAAGATGATGGCATTCATCAGATCAGCAGCCCAAGCAGCACCTGCCTTCTTAAAGACCAAGGTAAAAGGAGAGACAGCGACATTACTTGAACCATGAAGAAGATCAGGATCAGTATAAGGAATGATAAGACCGATAATCAAAATGGAAAGAATATAAAAGAGGACGATACGAAAGAAGACTTGTTTAACGGCAGCGGGTACTGTTTTATGAGGGTTTTCAGATTCACCCGCCGTGATACCGACAATCTCAACGCCATTAAAAGAGAAAGCGGCTGTGATGAAGACATTAAAGATACCAATGAAACCAAAAGGGATTGCACCACCTTCTAAATGAAAGTTACTTGTACCGATATAATGACCACCAGCCGCACCTGTATCAACACAGATACCGACGATAACAAAGGCAATGACGGTCAATACCTTAATGAATGAAATCCAATATTCAATTTCACCATAACCTTTCACAGAGAATACGTTAATACAGACAAGAAGGGCAAGACAGATGATACTCCAGATGACACTATTCACATCTTTCACCCAATATTCCATCATCATGGCTACACCTGTTAATTCAACTGCTACACCCACAGACCAATTGACCCAATAAATCCAACCAATCATAAAACCAAGAGAAGGATCGACGAATCGTCTAGCAAAGTGAGCAAAACTACCTGAAACTGGAATATAAGCTGCCATTTCACCCAAACTCATCATAACGCAAAAAACAAGAAGACCTACAATAGCATAAGCAACCAACGCACCACCGGGTCCACCATTTGAGATAGCTTTACCGGAAGCCATGAATAAACCAGTACCTAAAAAGAAAAAGGAAATAAGTCTTTCTTTCTTTCTTTAAATATATACACACACAAATGTATATATACACAGATATACATATATGTATACATATACACATATGTACACACATATACACATATACACACATATACACACATATACACACATATACACACATTTATATATATTTACCAATTGTTCCACCTAAAGCAATCATTTGAATATGTCTTGCTTTTAGGCCACGTCGTAATTTAGTTTTTTCATTAATAATAGCAGATTCAACTTCAGAAGGTGCAGAAGAGTAATAACTTTCTGTAAATTCGATCGTTGTACTGTTTGAATCGTTTAGATCAGGCTTGATTATTTTAGTATTATTCATGACTAGTCTGATGTTTTAATTGTATGGCGATAATAATAAATCCTCCCGAGAACAAAAGATTTAGTTTGTTGGTTTGTAATTATTGAAAGTTTCTTGAATAAAAGATAAAGAAGGTGGTGGGATTGGTGGAGGAAAGAAGATGAAAATTGTTTGTTCTTTATTACGTAAAAGTTGTGGCCAGAGACCCGGATAGTTCGAATAAAATTTACTTTTTTTGTTCACAAAGAAATTCCTAATATACGAAGAAATTTAATATTCTTTTCTTTTCAATAAAACAACGAAAAAAAAGAATTAAAAAAGTTTCAAAAGTAAAAAAGAAAGAAATAATAAATTAATATAAAATAAAAAGTTTAAAAGAAATATAAGCTTGTTTTCTTTAAAATATATATAAAAAAAAAGAATCTTATTTTCAGCAAGAGAAAAAGATAAAAAAAAAAAAGAGCTTTTTTGTTTATTGTTGATCGCTTTTTATTAACAAAATTTTTTTTTTAAGACAATTTTAGTAAATTGAAAAAAAAAATTTTTTTTTTACTAATTCCGTAATTATGTCAAGTTGTCAAAATTTAATAAATATAATATGCCCATAAAAAGAAAGATTTATTCAAATAATAATTTCTTGTAGATCAAAAAAAGGGGACTTTATTTCTCACGCTTTTATTAACTCCATTTTTTACTTCTTCTTCTTTTTTGTAGATAGTAGAAAACAGATTCTTTTATTTTGAAAGAAAAAGGAGAAATGATGCCAATTCTGGGGAATTTGGTTGGATAAGATTGACTTTATACATCTCCGCAATGAAAAAAAAAAATTCTTCCCTATAAACAGTAACCAAAGTTGAAGTGCCATCATCATCTTTGATTCCTATAAATAAATAAAGTGTATCAAATTTGTTTGTATATAAAAGAGAACCCTTTCTTTCCCCTCCTCCTTTGTAATATTAGATGTAATTCTGTCCAATCATCTTTTGGAATTACTACTTTCACCTATCATGAAGTATTGTATATTTATATCTATCATTCTTGTATTATGTAGAATCGCGTATTGCTATTCTATTACAAGTATCCTTCTTGAAGGATATTATTAATATGAATAATAACAGTCTATAGTATCATGTTTCTATAATTTCAATGCAACTGTAGCGACTATGTTTGTCCACTTATTTCCTATACCTTTTTTATTGATTGAAAGTTTTATTTAGCTACTCATATTAGGATGATACAAAGAAGGGAAGGGAGTTGTGACTTTTGGCATGAGTTGCTATTATATCTATGATTACTTTTTTTTGTTATTCAAGTCTTAAATCCCATTTCTGTTTGAAGATAACATCTATTATACTCTAATAATCACTGTATAATATAGACATAGATATAATGTCGTTTAAAGAATGATACTATGACTATCAGCTTTCATAAGTTACTAATGGTATGAGTCGAAAAGAAGAAAATAGAGAAAAAGAGATGTATTTTATGTAACAGGTGGAGAACAAGCACAATTGAATAAACGCACTCCATTTTCCCGTAAAGAATATTATAGTCATCATTTTTACCATATTTGTATAAAATAAAAGACGTAATATGCAGTTTACATAATACAAGTTTTTTTTTTTAACTGTATTTTAAATATCATGTTTAGGCATTGCATTATATATATATTTATATCCATATCCATATCCATATATATATGTATATAATGTATGTATAAATGTGTATGTTTATCACCATAGAATGAAATGTATTCAATTGTATCATATAAAGCTAACTTTCCTTCATGATACTAAAATTCATTATACTTTCTTTTTTCTTTCCCCCCTTTTTTTCTGCGGTATATAAATATAGAGTGATGATGACATAATGTTGTCACACAGATATTGGGAAAAGAGATATTCAATAAATGAAAAATGGCTCATTTTTTGTTGTTCTTTTTCATACAGTTATAATTTATTATAGCAACAACAAACTTACTAATAAAATAACATTTTTCTTTTTTTTTTCTTTTTCTGCTCTTACTAAAGGGAAAAATAAAAAATAAAAATAAAGTAAAATTTATTTGTCTTTTAAAAGATAGCAGCGGTTTTCAAATTAGATCATTGATAGAATTTTCCGAAATTACAACAAAGTGATGAGTTTATGCGATTTCATACTATGATAATTCTATTCCCGCTACAATTATTTAATATACTTTTTTTTTTTTTTTTTTTTATTTATTTTGTTGTTTCTTTTCTTTTTTATTTATATACATAGTTCAAGGGATAATACTGTTTATACATATAAATAATGACACAGTTAACAGCAGAAAAAGTAGCTAATTATTTGCCTTTGGCGGGGAAAATGCCTCATATTTCAGGTCGTATTATCAATGTAACTCATCAAATTCCTTATCATATTTCAAAATCTTCTAAAGTTGTGGTAACAAATGGTAGTTTAAATACTCCTCCTCTCTCTCCTCATAGCAATTATAAGACTCCTAATGAAGAACAAGAACTTCTTGCTGCTCCTGTGTCTAAATTAGGTCGTCATCATGTTCGTAGTCGTACTTTGCGCGTCAAGTTTCGTGCCGCTGAATGGTTAATTGTTCAAAATCGAGGTCATGTAGCTCTTAATTCAGGTCTTCAAAGTTTAAATGAAGAATACCAAACTTTACATATCGGTTGGACAGGCCCTATTAAGGATGAGTCTACAAAAAAGATTATTCCTGCTGAAAATTTGACAGAGGAAGATAGGGCAAAGATCAAAGCTTTATTAATGGAATCTGGTCATATTATACCCATCTTTTTGGATAGTAAATCCCGAGGTCATTATGAAGGTTATTGTAAAGAAGGTAAAAAAAAAAAATAAAATAAAAAAAAATGGGATATATTCATTTTATATATCTGTTATTAATCTAAAAAATGTCATTATACACTAGTTCTTTGGCCCTTATTTCATTATCTAGTTTGGACTAATGATTCTGATGGTACAGCTGAAAGACAATATTGGGAAGATTATGTTGCTGTAAATCGCCAATTTGCTGACACTATTGCTAGCAATTATCGTCCTGGAGATATCAGTAATAATAGACAATGAACATAATTCAGTCTGCATTTTTTTTCTAATTTTTTTTTTTTTAAATAGTTTTTATCAATGATTATCATTTACTGCTTGTTCCCGAAATGTTGAGAGAGAAAATTCCTGATGCTTCTATTGGTCTCTTTTTCCATGCCACTTTCCCGAGTTCAGAAATCTTTCGTTGTTTAACAAGTAAGTTATTATATAAATACATATACAGATATCTACATACATTTTTTTTTTTCCTGGGCATTAAACATTCTTCTTATTTTCTACACATTTTAATAGCCCGCAAAGAAGTTCTTCAAGGTCTGCTGGGTGCAAATTTAATTGGATTCCAGGTAATCAAAAAAAAAAAAATGATGTCATGTTATCTTGTAATTAGCTTGTTAATAATAAAAAATATGATGTTATACATTTAGATTTATTCTTATGCTAGACATTTTATTGGATCATGTACTCGTGTACTGGGTTGCGAATCCACTCAAACAGGTGTTAATGTCAATGGACATATTGTATCCGTAGGCACATTCCCTATTGGTATTGATGCAAATCGTGTTGAACAATTCCGTAGTGAACCTGCAGTAGCGACAAAGATGAAGGCCATTCGTGATATGTACGCTGGTAAAAAGATTATTATTGGTCGTGATAAATTGGATGCGACAAAGGGTGTTCTTCAAAAGCTTCATGCATTTGAAAAATTCTTGCATGATTATCCTGAATGGAATAAGGAAGTTGTCTTGATTCAAGTAACAACACCTACACATGGTGATAACTCCAAATTAGAAACCAAGGTATCTGAGCTTGTAAGCCATATCAATGGCCAGTATGGTAGTCTTGAACATTCTCCTATTCATTATTATCATCAAGATATTGATCGTGATGAATATTATGCTTTACTCTCTGTCGCTGATGTTGGTTTAATTACTAGTTTACGCGATGGTATGAACACGACCTCTTTAGAATATATCATTTGTCAGAGAGAGGCCCATGGTCCTCTGATATTATCTGAATTTACTGGTACTGCAGGTTCCTTAAGTGCTGCCTTAATCGTCAACCCCTTTGATTATGCTGGTGTCGCTAAAGCAATCAATGAGGCCCTGTTAATGACCCCTGAAGATAAGACGGCTCGTCATACTCAGCTTATCAATTATGTCCTTGAACATTCTGCTGCCTTCTGGGCTAAATCCTTTGTTCGTCAACTGGTCGAGAGTACAAAGAACTTTTCTCTTCAATCTCAGGCGACTTATCCTCTAAACCTTGATCAGTGTATTCAGTCTTATAAGAAATCAAATAAACGTTTGATGTTCTTTGATTATGATGGTACCCTGACTCCTATCGTCTCTGTTCCTACCGATGCTAAACCTTCTCCTGAAATGCTCCATTACCTTCAAAGCCTCTGTAATGATCCTCGTAATGAAGTCTGGGTTGTCTCTGGTCGTGATCAGGCTTGTCTTGAGGCATGGCTCGGTCATGTCAAGAACCTTGGCTTAAGTGCTGAACATGGCTGTTTCTTTAAAGCCGCAGGCTCTTCTCAATGGACGAATGTGTTGGATGATATTGATATGAGTTGGAAGAAGGATGTCACGGAAATCTTTGATTATTACACAGAACGTACAGAAGGTAGTTTTGTGGAACATAAAAAGTCCTCAATTACCTGGCATTATCGTATGGCTGATGAAGAGTATGGTCAATTCCAAGCTAAAGAATGTCAAAACCATTTAGAAAATTCAGTTGTTTCAAAGATGCCCGTTGAAATTTTAGTAGGTAAAAAAAATTTGGAAGTACGTCCGATGATGATCAATAAAGGTGAAATTGTAAAACGTATCATTTCTCAATCCCCTAATTCGGATTTCATCATTTGTGCTGGTGATGACAAGACGGATGAAGATATGTTCCGTACTCTTTCTGCAATGTACTTTGCTCATTATCAAGATCAATTAAACGAGGGAAGCTCAGTCACATGGAATGATATTAAATCTTCTCTTTACACCATCACCGTCGGTCCTTCCATGAAAAGGAGTATGGCTAACTGGCAAGTTGAAAATCCTGCTGATATCATTCATCTTCTTGGTAAAATGGCAGAAGCCGATAAATAATAAACTATTCCTGTGCCCTGGTGGCAAATTTCTTAAGAAAAAAAAAAAAAAAAAAGAAAAGATCTATACTACTATACTTCTATTACAAATAATAGGCACATATAAACTCTTTTTTATATCAATATTCCATATTTGTCGTTTTTTCTTTTTATATACACATATAATAAAATTACTTTTTTATAATAATTGTATTGAACACTTCCTCACATTATTTATTTTTGTATGTATAATTAGCCGTTGTAATTATTATTCTCGAGACATAATTATAATTATTTATTTTACAATTTTATAGTTAAGTTACTTTTTTTTTTTTTTTATTGTGACTGATGGTGACTCTCTTCAGCATCCTCAAACTCTTCTACATGTCCATTCATAGAAGGTGCTGGTTGGAACACAGATTCCAAGTGTCGTAAAGCAGCTTGCTGTACTTCATTTAATTCTGCTTCGTCACTAGGATCAGCATAGAATTCTTCATCTTCATAATCCTCTTGCTCGGCCATAAATTCATGATCAGGGTGAAGTGCTGCACATTCTGACATGGCCATATAAATCCCTTCTACTATTTTGAAAAAAAAAAAAAAAAAAGTTGGCGTTAATTAATCTGCTTACGAACATTAATACATGCATTATTTACAAGCTCCACTATCTCTTGGAATTAAACGCAACTCAGTAACAATATCTTCTCTTTCTTCTTCATTCTCAGGCAATTGTTGATTTGGGAAAAATATGCCAGCATTGAGTTGGCAATAAATGTTGGGTTGGCCATCTTGTCTTGAAATGGCATGAATGATGATGTCAGGATATTCAACAGCAATACCAGAGTTTGCAGCTTCAGAATAAAAATACAATTGACTATTGACAAATTCAATGTTAAACGTAAATCAATAGATGTATTAAATGTCTCTGATCTACTTACTCTTCACAAACACTCAATTCACCAAATATGGGTCCTTCATGGCCAGCCAAAGGTGGCATGATTAAAAGGGCTGTATCTTTTTGAATATGACGAGGTTTCAAAGAAGATGCATCAACTGCTTCATTAAGCAATGTAACAGTCATAATTTAAATAAATATTAAAAGAAAATAGCGTGTATATCTAATAGTGCCCATTCATCCTCTTTGAAGAAAAAAAAAAACATTGACCGGGATTTCAAAAATAAAATAAAATAAAAAATACTGCTTTTTTTTTCCCTTATTTTTTTGTTTTCATAAATGAATGTCTGTTTAGTTTTGAACCTTTTCTATTTAAAAATGACTGTGCTTGCCTTTAATATAAAGTAATTCATAAATAGATCATATCTCTCTAAAGCTTCTTTCTTAGATAGTGTATATATCTATAAAGGGAGAGGAAGGCTGCATATTATCATACTGTTTATTCTCATCATGCTAAATTTTCACAACAATATATTTTCTTGAAACCAAGGGGCAAAACTGAAGATAAAGCCTCCCCTAGTAAGATTATTAAATAGCTCTAATATTGTACATGATATGCTCTTAAAGAGAATCGTAAGAATAAGTGCTTTTTAGTTGCAAAGAAATTATTTGAAAATTAGTGTGTACATATCTTAATCAAGCTATTATTATGTGATAATTAAACACTGGATGAAACTTGTTAAACAAAAGAAAAGTCTGTTATATTTTATTTTTTTTCAATGAATTATCTGATTTAAATAAGAGATAAGTAAATCAAAGTTACCTATAATGATTCATAGCCCAATAAACTGTTATTGAATAAGAAATAAACATTAATGTCAGCAAATCTTGATTGTGAACTTTTGTAATAATTAACAGGAGCTATATATGATACTAGGTTCTAATACATTAAAACATGCTAATCATGTTCTTTTATATATCAACATAATACCAATAATTCTATTAGAGTATCGACAGAACGTACAAGAGCCAAAGGAAAAAAGAATCCAGTTACTGAAATTACTGTGCAAATATCTTTTTTTTTTTTTTTAAAAAAGAAAAAAAAATGTGTATGCTTCGTAACAGACAAAGAAGACTTGTCTACTCATAACAAAATAGTTATATACTCCCGAGTTTTACTTTAACATTGTTCCTTGACATGATAATTTATTGATTTAAAGAAAAAAAAAACATGATATACAATAATTACAAAAAAGAATAAAGTAAAAAATTAAATATTCTAAAACTTGAGAGAAGACTTCTTTCCCTTCTTTTTCTTTGCTTTTAACTTTCTAGCATGTCGACTATTACGAGGCCCACTAGTAGAAATCTTTTTCTTAATTTCCTCTCCATCTGTCATGGCATCAGCATTTGTTGTAGTTAACACTGATTCATCTTTATCTGCTTCCATAAAATCACCAACACTAGGCTTTTTAGCGGCTTCAGCTTGTGCTTTTGCTAAACGTTCGAGACGAGCATCTTCAACAGGCTTAAATACTTGTTCTCTCTTAATAGCTATTTTGATTTTTTTTTTTTAATAAATATATATGTATATGATTAGAACATAATGACTTGATTTCTAGAAAAAGATTACTTGTTGAATTAGATTTTAAAGTAATTACCTCTTGTTCTCTTTTTGCTTTGTGATCTTAAACTTCTACCCATTTATGTTATGTATATGTGTATATAATTTATTTAATAAAGTGAATAAAATATTTTTTTTTTTTTTTTTTGAAAGTTCAATAAAGAAAACAGCCACAAAGCAGTCCTTAAATTCCAAATAAGGAAGTTAACTTTTTTTTTTCGAATAAACGCTTTATGCAATTCTTCTCACTTGTTGGGCCGACCCTCCTTTTGCCCCTCAGGCTGTTGTTGTTTTAATATCTTTTTTATTATTTTATTCCTAGTTTTTCATAATTAATTTTCTTTTTCTATCACTGAATACAACTAGTTTTAGTTTTACCTTTTCCTGAACTTATTAATCATTTCCTTTAATTGTTCATGGTTCTGAATCTCATCCACAATGTCTGTACTAAATTATAGAATAAATATAGGTCTATTTTTTTTAAAAAAAAAGAAACTTACAGTTTCGGTGCAGATGTGCCTTCAATTGTTAAATTGATTAAAGAAGCTTCTTCTTCAAATGGGTCAGCCATTTCGCTTTGTTCTAATATACAATCGGTCACTTGAAAATAAGGGCTATAACTGTCAATGTTTTCAAGTTGTGATGCAGAAGAATCAAGATCAACAAGGATTAATTTATCTTTGGGTACATTAGGAAAGTCTTCATCTTCAAATACATAATGAATAACAGGATATTTATATGTGTTATCTATTTGGTCATGAATAACAACAAACTGTGGTATGTCTAATTGATTTGAATTCATTTTATTTAAAGTAAAAAATAAAATAAGATACAATAAAAAAAAAGACTCTGTGGGGAGATAATATTATTTTCTTTGATTTTGATTGGTCGCATGATTTGGTCATTCTTATTAGTGATGATTTATGAAAGGGAGGGGGCCAAAAACAACTTTTTTTTTTTTTTTTTTTTTTTTTTTTTTTTTTTTTTTACTTCTTTATTATTGAATCATGTTTACTCATAATAAACGTATATTCCTTCAGTTAAATAGAAGAAACTTGACTGCTCCTAGAAGACTACTTTTATCAACACCATTTACCCGATTTAATTCTTCTTATAAAGTCCATTTAAATAATACTACTGCGGCAACTTCAACGGATAGTACTACAACGAATGAAGAAAAGCCAACTACTACTACTACAGATAACAATAAAGAGTCTTCTCAAATAAGCAATAAGATTCCCTTTGTGCCGGTCATCAACATTCCAGAAACTGAATTTGCTTATAATAGCTTCTTTTCACTTCATAGACCTTTATTGGGTCTTTCTGATGATCAAGAAAAACCATTCTTTCCGAGTCAATCTTCCTCAACACTAAGTTTAGAAGAACAAGATCAAGAAAAATGTAATTGAAATAATACATGCATATATATATATATGTATGCATTCATGCAATGAATACTAATGATGAATTTGTGTGTGTGTGTATTTTTTTTCCTCTTCATTTCTAGTGGACACTATGTTGGTAGATCACTTGATGAATTTACAGCATTTTGTAGAGCCATCACCACCTGATATTATGAATACTACAGTCGAACAAGTGAAAAATGAAGGGATTGATTTTAGTATAGTAGAAGAAGCAGAGGAGATTCTATTAAATGAAAATAATGAACCAAGTTTGCCTATATTCTATATGCCAGAAAGTAATGATGTATTAGACTATTTAACAGCTATAGAAACTAGAATGAAAAAAGAACATGCTAAACTAAAAGCAGAAGAAGATGCAAACCTGTTGAGACTAAAGAAATCAGAAATTCTTGATAGAGTAAGACGAAGATCGATTCCAAGGTTTTATGTAACAAGTAAAAAATCTCGTCGTTATTAAGTCAGTTATTCATATTCCATGTACTCTTGAATTATTTATTATTTACCTCTTCTCCCACACAACACACACAGACACACACACACTCTCTCTCTTTTTTTTTTTTTTTTTTTTTTTTTTTTTTGCTCATCACAGTTTTTTTTTAATAAAAACATAAGCATTCATATGCATATTCACGTATAATTAAACCACATGATATAATAATAATAATAATAATAATAATAATAATAAAAATCTCCTCATTTTCTCTCTCTCTTTCTATCTATCTTCTGTATAATATGTTTAAAAAAGAACAAGATACAACTCAACAATTAAACAGTGAAAAGGCTATATTTCACAACACAGTTTTACTAGTACAAATACCAAATAATCGAACTCATTATTATCCTAACCATTTTATTAAAAAAAAGAACAAGAGACCAACATCATTAGCATTAGAGACTACTTCAAAAACATCTTTTAATAATCATTTATTAAATGATAGTCTATTTGTTTCTACACAAAAATCAACAAAACAAAGTCATCAACCTGACTATTTTTATAATATGTCAAATCAACCATCTTCTCATGATATTATGCCTCTATCTTCTTTATCTCCAACCTCTGCTTCTTTATCAAGCGTACATAATTTATCAGAATATGGTATTGCCGCTGTTGCTACTACTCCAAGTACTAGTAGCAGTAGCAGTAGTAGCAGTAGTAGCAGTAGTAACAGTAGTAACAGTAGTAATAGTAGTAGTATGAATAGCAGCAGTCATCATAGTCCAGTAATAGTAAAAGAGAATGAACTCATTAGAAATAATCAAACTACTATACAATCAACAGCAATAATAACGCAAGCTCAATATCATCATGATGATGAACTACCTATTTGGGCAGATCCTATAAAAGTAAAAGAAAACCCAATTCAATATCAAAAGACAATCTCTTATTTACGACAACGACAGATATCCCTTCAGTCATCTTTACCACTTGCTAAAGCTTGCTGCTTTTACTTTAATGAATATAACAAGCATAATAATTATGTTTCGAATATGAAAAAGATATTTGAATTTGAGACTGTCTGGAGTTTCTCTAGTCATTGGATGACTTACTCAAGGAAGCCATCTCAATTAAAATCGAATCAAAGCCTATTTTGCTTTATTCGTGGTGTAGAACCTATGTGGGAGGATGAGATAAATAAAAGAGGAGGTCGACTTGTGATGACGATTTTTAACACAACCCTTTTAGACTATATCTTTGAGACCTTACTTTATGCCTTTATTGGAGCCAATTTATATGATGATGGTGTAGTAGGTATTATTGTATCAAAGAGATACAAAGGCGATAGGATTGAAATATGGTTCGATGAAACAATGAAACAAGAAAATATATTCATGTTCAAGTAAGTAATAATAACATAGATGCAATCATTGCTAACTTTATTTTATTTATTTATTAGAGAAAAACTAAATAACAGCTTATTGGCCAATAACTGCTATAATGAAATTAAAGCAAGTCGATATAGAAAGCATTTTTATTCATAATAAATAAATTTGTATACATATTTTTTTTTTTTAACTTTTTAAATAAAAAAAAAAAGTAATTCTCTTTTCTCTTCCCTTTTAATAAAAAATATATATGATGAACGATTTTAGTTATTACCGAGAAAAAAATTCTACTTGCCCTTCACCTTCACCAACGGATTCGATTCGATCAAATGCTTCAAAATTATCACCGAATATAGTTGCCTTGTATGAATTATTTTCTTCTACAGCAACAACTAGAAATCAATTACAATCTATAAAAAGAAAACATTATATCACTAACAACAAGGATGATAAAATGGCTGTTATAAATCTTCTTGATTCTAGTAGAAATACAATCCGTAGTGTCAATAGTGATGATGTCAATAGTAGTACTATAGCTCTATGCTTTTGTTGTGAACGTGAGTTTGTTGATCTCCATTCTTCTTTTTCCTCCTCTTCCTCTTCTTCTTCTTCTTCTTCTACTACTACTACTTCTTCTTCTTCCTCTATTATTACTGCTACTATGACTACCACAAGATTAGATCATACAGGTGGTTTATCTTCTTCTGTGTTGTATTATGATTCAAATCAAGTTAAACGTTATATGAAAAAGGTAATGACACTAGAAAACTGGAATGATATCATTCAACATGGTTTTCCATGTCCTCATACTGTCTTATGGGATCACATACAATATCAAGAACAATATCGATTTTGTACTACTTGTAATAATAATAAAAGGCAGTCTACTTTACGTTTAACGTTAACTCCTCTAGGCTGTCGTGCTCAAGACAATGAAATTTATAAAAAGGGAAATAATTCCTCAAGAAGTCAAACAAAGAAAAGAAGGTTATTTTTTAATTATTTATAATAAATTAAAACAGTGTAAATGTATTTATATATCACAAAGAAAAAAAAATGGTATTTTATTATGCTAAATAATGATATGAACGTCTAAAAAGTATTTATAATAATGAGAATTATATATTATTTTAATTTATTCTTTTCTTTTTTTCCTGCTTACCTATCTTCTGTACTTCTTTCCAAATATTCACGATCAATTAAAGCTTCAATACGTTTTTTAATCATAACTGGACTAGGCATAAACCTCGAACTTAACTGCTTTGTTACTTCTGCAATCAAGAGATTATGTTCCATCGTCTTTCTATCTTTCATAATACGTACAATAGCTGCTTCAACTTGATGTTTACGCTCTTCATCTACTTTATCTTGTGTATGTTTACGTTCTCCTTCACTTTCTACTTTGGATGATAAGGCTTGAATTCGAATACGTGCTAAATTGGATGTAAAATTTTCATTAAATGTAAATGTATCATCTGGTAAAATATCTCGTCCCTTTGAACTCTTTGTCAATATTTTATATTTTGCACAAGCTAATGATTGTAGTGTTCGTTTTAAATCATTATCAGCAATTTGAGTTTGTAGTTTGATTTCATCCCATCTAAGTGTATCATGTGTATTAAATAAAAGTAAAACGACTAACGCATAAGTAGGAACATTGAGTAAATGCTTGCTTTTCTTGAAATACGCTCGAATATCACTTGTTCCCATTTGTGGTTGCCATGATAATGTTCTACCATTATGACGATCAAAGTAAAATCGTTCAAATGCTTTACAGGCATTTATGATGTTAGAGGGTAGAACACATTTAGGTGAAGCAGAGATATTCATTGGCCAAAAAGTAGATGTTAAGACAGTAACAGAGGTATCAAATGTCAATTTATCATCATCATTTGTTGACTTGGCAATATAATCCTTAAATAGTGCATTCATCTCTAAAGATAATTTCATATCGTTGAACATACCCTCTAATTTAGTTGTAAATTGATAGCCGCATTCTCTCTATATTCACATATAAATATGCTTCATTTTTTTTAAAAAAAAAATAATACACATAAAAGTTACCTTTAATTTCAAAAGCATATTCCTTTCAGCATCATCAGATACACTTCGGTTAAACAATAAACGTTTAGCCAAATGTTGCTTGTAATATCTTTCAAATATATCTTTATCTTGTAAGAATCGAAATAATGTAATTGTTTTATCAAGTACATCATCAATTTCATCTTCTGATTTCTATTCAGTCAAGTTATTATTTTATCCTACTCTATTTTAACTTCATTATCACTTACTCCCTTAAGTCCCTTTTTCAAATTTTCGTCAATAAATAATGATATAAATTCAGCTGATTTTTGATTTTCATTAATAAATTTCTCAAATGCTTCATTAAATACTGTTTGAAATGTTTTATCCTTATTTGCAGCTTGATCTAAAATCTTATCAAACTTATCTTGAAGCCTTAATACATCTAAAACCCAATTGATAGCAATACTGCCCGAGCTTTTCTCGGTTGTTTTCGATTTTAGATCTGTCATCGTTTGTTGATTAATTTCGCCACCCATAGTTAAAATATAGTCACTTATAAATCCTCTCATTTCGTTCAGACCAGCTGGAACGCGTGAAAATAAGCCATACATACGTGATAAATCTAATACAGATTTTATAAATATCATCGTTTTTTTTTATCCATCCTTTCTCTTTCATTTAGGCTTTACCTCCATATTTATCTGCTGTTAACATACTTTCAAGTCCTGAATTTTGCATCTATTTTATATTGATTAGAATTAAAGTAAACAACGAATAATAATATATACATATATATACATATATATATATATTTTTACCTCCATCAAGGTCTTCAAATTATTTGCAATCAATTGAGTTTCTACAATTGTTCGAATTTTTGTTTCTGTTCCCATTGATAGACAGTGAACTGTTCTTTCGTATTCCTCTTCTAACCTTTTTTCCACCTAAAATAAAACTTTAATATTCACTTTTTTTTTTTTATTGTTGATATTTTTTTTTTTCTTTACCTTTCGCATAAATTCAGGAGCATCATAAGATGAAACCAATTTTTGACTCTCAATTTGATAAAATGAAGTGCTGGTTTCTAAATAATCTACTTCAAAATCGACTACGTAAACTGTATTGTTCGTCTCTGGATCAGTTAATTCAGCCAACATGGCTACGGCAGATTGAAGTGCACTTCGATCAATAACATCACCATTACGTTCTAATTGAATTTGAGTCAACATGGCTGAAATCAAGTGTTTTTGAATTGGATATTTTTGAGATCTAACTACTTTATCACGAAATAAATTTAAACCCATATCATATACACTTGGTAGATTGTATTTTGGCAGTCTTTCATTCTATTCATAAATTAGTTATTATCTCAAGGAAAAAAAAAAATGATTGTTTTTTTTTTCCTTACCAAGTAATATAAGACCTGTAAAATAAGATCAATGGCTGTTGTATAATCATCCCAAACCTTTTTAACTGTTTTTAAAAAAGAGGCACCTGCATCCGCAGTACTTGTTTCATTAGATGAGTTGACGAAAGCAGGTACAATCACTTGTTCGGCTATCGTTTCCAGGTAATCAGCAATGACCTTTTCAACATCATGGTAAAGGCGCTCACCAAATTGTCGAATAGTCAATTTATATGCTGTTCGATACAATAATTCATATGACAACTCTCTTGCCTGCTTTTTAAATATAACCGTAATAGCATTACTAAGAATTTCAAATCCTTCTTCATATTCCTGAGCATGGTCAATACCTGGCTATAATTTTTGTAATTAAATGTCAATTGACATTATTATTTTATTTTATTTTTTTAAAGAAAAAAATATTACTTTTCCTAGGTCATACACTTAATAACTTACCATACGTTTAACAGGTCTAATTCTTCCCTTTTTTAAGGACATGTTTCTACTTTAAAATACAATAATAAATATTGGAAAAAAATAAAAATAATAAAAAAAAAAAAAAGAGAGAGAGAGAGAGAGAGAAAAGTAAAAATATATACCATCTTTGACGGATATTCAAATAAAATATTTGCATTATAAAAAAGTTGTCAAAAAGAAAAAAAAAACTGATAATTGCATTATGCACCAAGAACGCTTATTTATTATAACTATACAAATATAGGCCAGCATACAACATTTAACACCAATACATGTTTGACGTTAATTTGTGTATATCTTTAAAGATGAATAAACTAAACAAAAAAAAATCTATTTAATATCAAGAACAGGCATTATACAAAAGAGAAATAGTAGAAAAAGAAAAAGGGTTATTTAAAATCCCGTCTTCAAATCGTAAACTAGGGAAAAGAAGTCTTTACCCTTGTTCTTTTTTTTTTTTCCCTTATCTCCTCCTTTTTTTTTTTCTTATTTCCTTATAAATTATAAGAATGAAGCGATCAAAAGGAATTACAGCACTAGCAAAAGGTGTTACTTCATGTCATGCTCAAGCAGCAGCATATGGTCGATGTATTACCGTGAATTATAAAGATGTACATACAAATATGTGTCAAAAAGAATTTCAAGCATTCAAACAATGTGTGCAACAAGTAGTAAAGTGATTTTGAATTATTACATATTTGTATATATATATATATATATATATAAAATGGCTTGTTAATGCATTTTATTTTATTTTCATTTAGATGAAAAAGAAATGGTAATAATAATAATAATAATAAAATCATCACAACTATTACAGTGAAAAAAGGATTCAAGTTCGTTACATATTTTTTTTTTCGAATCCGTTCTCTTTAAATTTTATAATTTGCTTATTATATTCCTGTAAGACACAGAGTTAAAATACTGATTCGCTCATTAACCGTCGGGTAGACGTCATAGAAAAAAAATAAAAATGCTGATAAAAATTAGATCAAAGTTATACAAATAAAAATGTTGTTATTTATCATCAAAAATAAAAATAAAGTAAAAAGGTCACGCTCAGTTTTATATCCTGAGGCAGGAAGGGCTTATCACTGAAAAGAAAGAAACAAAGATCAATGCGCAACAAGCACAAAGGCTTGATGATGGAGGCGAACAAGCAGAAAGAAACAATATAAATAATCCTATGTCAAGTTCAAGCCCCTCTTCTTCATCTAAAAAAAATCATAAGCACTTGGAGAAGAAGGAAAAGTGTGGAAAGGTTTTGCTCTTGAATGTAAATGAGTTTAGAACTTTGAGTGTAAATCGATAAAAACAATGACAGTAACTTATTTATTTCCTAATAACCATTTATATAATAGCTTTGTCACTCTTGCTTATCTCGAAATTTAAGGCATTCTAAAAGCGAAGATATTACCTGTATTCATCATATACTGATTTGCAATGACTGTGGTATACTTTGGAATGCGAATATGATGGCTTATAGAAAAAAACATGTTTCTCATTTCAACAGAGATATAGGCTGGCCAGGGATGACCCGTTATGTTTTTTTTTTAAAAAAACATGTATATAGATAATAAAATAAAAGCGCCGAAATGAACAAGGCTGGCTTTTCTTTAGAGGAGAGACTTAAAGATTTATGCAGATAATATAATAAAGCAAATATCAGCCTATAAATTTATTTATTTTTCTAATTTGGTATATATTACTTATTCGTGTCGTTTTCTCCTCATCCCAACTTTTGTAAGAAAATTCACTATAGCTTTGCAGGCTTCTTGTTGTAATATTCTTAAACGATTATTTGAAATATGTCGTAGTCCATTTAGTAAATACCTGGAGGAAAGCACAAAAGCGAATTCTTTTTATTGTCAAAGCAAATTAATTTAATAACAGAAAATCACAGACAAATTTAAAAATTTTAGGGAAGCGACCTGAAAATTGGGAGCAGTTTACGAACTCAGGTTCTTTTTCACTGTATCATGTGAGTTTGATGATTGTTCCTCTTTTGATGATAAATATTATTGGTTCAAATAATGAAAGCTGCGCCATTCATGAATTATTAACAGCTAACAAGATGGAAACACAAAAGAAAATTAACCCCTATTTTTTTTTCTTTTACATTCTCTTTTTTTCTTCGAAAAGAATAACTCTATTTATATTTAATAAATACTAATATGCCTACTACTACTGCTACTACTACTGCTACTACACCAACGTCTACATCTATAGCTACTACTACTACTACTACTGCTGCTGCTACTACTACTACGCCAACGTCTACATCTATAGCTACTACTGCTACTGCTGCTACTCCTGTTGTAGTTGTTACTAGCGGTACTTCTACTAATAAGCCTGAGGCACCTACTAAGTCTATTGTGATCAAAGATGAAACTCCCGCTATTAAGGAGCAAAAGGTAATATATACAAATATATAAAAATAGATAATAAGCTTTTGTTGTTGTGATTGTTAATTGTCATCATCTCCATTTTAACATAAGGTCTTTATTGGTAATCTCTCGTTTAGTACTACAAAGGAGTCCCTTACCTCTTTTGCTGAAAGCGCTGGTAAAGTGTAAGTATATATATATGTATAAAGGGGAGGGAAGAAAAAGAAGAAGAAGAAGGAAAGGGAAAGCATATATTAATTCAAATATAAATCACGCGTAGTTTGGAGGCAATTATTATCAAAAGAGGTCGTAGACCCATTGGTTATGGTTTTGTCACATTTGAGACAGAAGGAGCTGTTCAGAAGGCCATCAAGGAATTTGATCATAAGATGCTGGATGGTCGTGAAATTAATGTTCAAATGGCTCGTCCAAAGGAAATCAATAACGAATCAGAACATGATACATCTCATAGAAAGAAGCGCTCCTTTAGACGTCGTAATAATAATAATCAACATCGTCGTCGTCGTCGTCGTCAGCGTGCTGAATCTTCATCTACTATTGATAAAAAGGAAACAGTAGATCAACCCAAGAAAGACGAAGTCAAAAGGAATCAAATAGAAGAAACTCCTCTTGATGAGAATAAACGCTCAATTAAAAAGAAGAACAATAATAGGGTTAAGCCTGAAAGGATCCCCACTGAACCCTCCAAGACCACTCTTTTCGTTGCCAACTTACCTTATGCTACTACATCTGAAGAACTGAAAGATCAGGTCTTTAAAAATTATAAAGTCGTTTCTGCTTATATCGCTCGTATGAGAAATGGTCGTTCTAAAGGATATGGTTTTGTTGAATTTGAAAATGAAAAGGAACAATTGAAAGCCCTAGAGTTGACAAAGGATCTTGCCTTGGATGGACGTTCTATCTATTTGAAAATTGCCTTCACTGCTTTAAAGAAGAAGGAAGAAGAAGAAGAGGAAACTAATAAGGTTGAAGTTTTAAAAGTAAATGATACCAAAAAATAATTCCATTACTACGTAGAGTATAATATGCAATGAATACTTTGCATGTAATATACATACATATACATATACATATACATACAGATATATATATATATATGTATATATATACATACATATACATATACATATACATACAGATATATATATATATATGTATATATATACATACATATATGTGTATATGCATATATTTACATAGATCTATATTTGTATATTTATATTTATATATATTACTGACATCTATTTACACATATAATAAATTTTTTTTATTTTCTACATACATACATACATATTAAAGAAAATACTGTAAAAAAAAACAAAAACAAAACAAAAACAGAACAGAATAAACCAAGTTATATAAAATAAGAATATAGATGTATAAAAAAAAAAGAAGAAGGAAGAAGGTATGAACTTGGTAATACATTAAATAGTAGTAATGATATCTAAGCATTTAGACATCCTTGCTTATTTCGTTGATTGCTTTTATGTCGTTTTAGAGCATCCAATCTAATCGTTTTATACATGTATAATAAGTAAATCTGTCTATTTATTTATCTATACTTATTTTCTTCTTACCTTGAAAAACTCTTTTTACATCCTTCACATTTATATGGTTTATCCCCTCCATGAATTTTAGAATGTCTCTTCAAGTCATGATTTCGACTAAAGGCGGCAGAACATGCAGAGCAAACAAAGGGTCGGTCATCTGTATGTGTCCTTGAGTGACTCTTTAGATTATAAAGTCTTGCAAATGTTTTACCGCAATTTGGAAATAAACATGGATACACGGTCTGTGTTTGATTATTAATAGTAGTCGTAATGGGTGTCGCTGAGGCATAGATCGTCATCGCTGCACTTTGTGTCTCTGCTAACGCTGGATCGGATCGACGCCTTTTATGTCCTGCTATATTACCTGTTCGGTTTAGTAATGCTCCAGATACAGATGATGATGATGACGGCGCTTGTGATGATGTAGTTGGAGTATAATTAATATTATTTTGCTGCTGCTGCTGTTGTTGTTGTTGCTGTTGCTGTTGTTGTTGTTGTTGTTGTTGCTGGTGCTGGTGCTGCTGTTGTTGCTGCTGTTGCTGCTGCTGCTGTTGCTGCTGCTGCTGTTGTTGCTGTTGCTGTTGTTGTTGCTGTTGAGCGAGAGAAGCAACTGCTGCTGCTGCTGCTGCTGCTGCAACAGCATTACTGTCAGCAGAACTTGTATTACTAAAAGGATTAGCCATAAAATAAGGATGATTAGCTAGGTTAAGAGAGTGTCCTGCGTTGGTATTGTTATTAGCATTATTTGTATGTTGTGAAAGATGAGTAGCATAAAGTGCTAAAGCAGCTGCATCAGCATAATTAAGTGTAGGTGTACTACTAGGCTCAATAGAAGATCTTGAATATGTTAAGTTAATGGCATCATTAATTGGAGCAGAAGCAGTTGTACTAGTTTGATTTGTTGTTGTAGTAGATCCGGGTAGTGTGATAGTGGTTGATGTAGGCGTGGATGGATTGGATTCTTGAAGAATGGTATCATGGGTTTGAATAGGTGAAGGAGTATTACTGTTATTATTATTAATGATAGGTGTTGTTGCGGATGATGATGCAATACTACCACCAGTAGGTGTATTTACAGTTGTTATTGGATTACTACCACTACCACTATTATTATTATTATTATTATTATTACTGTTGTTGTTGTTGTTGTTGTTGTTGTTATTGTTACTGCTGCTGCTGCTGCTGCTGCTATTAGAGTTGCCATTATTAGTATTAATAGCTGCTGCTGCTGCCGCCGCCGCCGCTGCCGCCGCCGCCGCTGCTGCTGTATGAGTTGCTACTGTTCCTAAAAGTGCTTGAGATAATAATGTTTCAATAGCATGTTGATCACCTCTAGCCTTTTCACTAATTTTTAACGCAATATCATTCCAGTCTGTTGCTTCTAAAAACTTCAAACCTTTATCCTCGGCTACATTTGTTAATGCTTTTTGATGAAGATCTAATGTCTGTGTAGTAGTACTAGGTGAAGAAGATCTATAATCTCTTTGTTCATCATTGCGAATTTTATTCTTTAACCATTCTTGATCCACATATTTCGCTGCTAATGTATTATCCCATCTTTGTTTCAGTTGTTTACCCTTTCGACCAGGGATAGAAATAGCAATCTCTTTCCATCGACCATATCCAAACTTTTTAATACCTGCAAGTAGCAATTCATCTTCTTGTGGAGTCCAAGCACCTTTTTTATAATCTTCATTGTTTAAATCAGTATCTTCTAAATTAGGTGTTAATGCCGGATATAGGATGGCATTGTTATTTTCATTGTTGCTAGTAGCATTTGTTTGCTGCTGTTCTTCTTGGTGTATTGATATCTCTTTGTCTTTATCTTTACTTTCATTATGTGATAGTCCTAAAAGTTGTAATGCTGTTGCTGCAACTGTTGCTTGTTCAATAGCATCTTCAGGTTTATGGTTATTGATCTGAGATGAGCTATTCGATTGTCCTATATGAGTTTGGCCTGACTGTGTTCCATTGTTTTCAATAATTTGAAATGATTCTAGTTGTCATAAATCAGTTTAGGAGATTGTAAAATAGTGTCTAATAGTTTAAAATTTTTACCTGGCTTGACAGATAAAGCCGCTGCAACAGCTCCCATCATATCATTATTTCCATGTGCATTCTGTAGTAAAGCAGCTGTTAGTGCAGCGCTACTTGAAGTTATTTGACTTGTTAGACTTTCTCTTTTATCTTTTTGTTCAGGAGAAGAAGGTGCAGTTAAAGTTGTCAAAGTTGAATTTATTTTTGATATAGAAGGTGAACTGATGGCATCTACATCTAACGTGTGTCCTTCCTCTTGTTGTTGCGCAGATATCGTTCTGTTATCAGACGTTGTTGTAGGTATAGGTGCCTCTTCAGTAATATGATGATATTCTGGCATATGTCGACGTCTGTCATTGGCAGAGGAGGGAGTAAAGAGATGGACTCTGGCCATTATTAAAAAGAAATTGTGTTGTTAAAATCGATAATCCTTTTTGCTTTTTGTTTAGCGTTAAATATTTCTTTTATGCTTGCTTTGATATTATTTATGCAATATTTTCTCTCTCTTTCTCTCTTTTTTTTTTTTTTTTTTTTTTTCACTCTCTCTGTATGTATGAGTTTATGCCTCTTTGACCGGAGTTCTTCTAAAGAGGAAAAGCAAGAGTATATAACCAAGCCTTCGCCAAGCCTCGTTTTTTTCCTTTTTTTTCTTTTATAAAGAAAAAGAATCAAATTTTTTTTTATCGCTGCGGAAAAAAAAAATTTTTTAGATGATTTCAACCAATAATGACGAAGTTTCTATTATACACCACTTTATTTCACATTAAAATTAAAATGATTGGTTGATAGTAACTGACGTCATGATAAATAGCAGTAGATTATTACAAAAGGTCGTCCAGCTGTCGTCTTATTGATTGCTGCATAGATGTCTCTGTTTCATATAAATAAATAATTTTTTTTTTTTTTTTTTTTCGAAGAGAGTCTTATCCTTTTACAATTTTAAGATATGATTCTCGAAAAAAAAAGGGGGGAGGTAATAATTATCATTGCTAAAATGGAATAAGCTTGTTGTTAGCTACTCTTTGAAATATATACGAATACATTTATTCCTTCAACAAAGTTAACTTATTTAAATGGAATAAAAAAAAAAAAAAAAGAAAAAAAAAAATCGATAAAATTCTCTCCTATAAAATGTTGTGTGAGTAATAATAAATGGGTTACTAGTAAACAAAAAATTTCACTTATTTACATAACAAATATTAAAATTTTAATGACGAATAAAAAAAAAAAACTATTTTAATTAGTTATGTTGTTATTTATAATAAAAGATGTCTCAAGGAGGACGTATTATTCAAGTTATAAGGAGGATTGATGATGTATATTGCATTCATTTTCATCATTATTACTACTTTGACTTGAAGGAATTGATATTGAATTATATTGACGATGTCGTTCAGGCCGTGTTGTACGCTTATTTAATAACATGATTGATTTACTATCTTTCTTTGTTTGTATACTAGTAAAAGAGCTATTTTTCATTTTCGGTAAAATAATGTTATGTTTCTCTAATAGTTGCTGTTGCATTCTTAGATACTCTTGAAGTTCTTCTAATTGTTTCTGTTGATTTTTATGTACTAGAAGTGCAGATATGGCTATAGTAGTAGTAGTAGTAGTAGTAGGACTTATGTGTTGTTGCTGTTGCTGTTTATTAAGCACACTATGTGTAGTAGTAGTGGTATCAGTAGTGGAACAAAAAGAATCATGATTATCTTCTTGAACTAGGTCATCATGGCATTGTCCTTTTTCGAAAAATTTGTTTATTAAATGGTGTTTATTAATGGATGATAAATGATAATAGTGTTCTTCTTGTCTTTCAAGACGATTCTTTGTTATTCCATTGATTCGTATTTGAAGCAAAGTAATTTTCTCATTCAAGTTACGATTTCGTTTATCAAGGTATTTAATGTAATCCACTGCCTTAAACAAGATTGTACTTTTAGAATTATTTATATTTTTTAGAGTTGGAACGATTTCGGTCAACTCTTTAAAACCTGAGCGAATCGTATTACGTCTCTTTTGTTCAGAAGCAATGTGGTTCATTCTTTTTTCATCTTCAGTTAACGTATCTCGACAACTTGTTGATAATAATGTTGCCCTTGTTCGTTTTTTGGTCATCAAAGGATGGACACTTTGCTGTTGAGTTTCTTCGATGATAGTTGGATACTCTTTTTGACCATTTTCAATCAATGACCTTTGCTGCTGAATAGACATTTTATCATAATCAGAATACAAGGAAGTTGAAGCTATTGAAGGCATTATTATTTGATCACTATGTTGTAGGTAAATAAGTGGAGTAATCGTGTTTTTAAAGGGATTTTCATCTTTTTGATCTTTATGAGAGTTTCCTTTCTTAGCAGTGACACCTTTATCAATTTCTTGTTCCTACATATATAAAGGCTTAAATTGTATATCTATCTATGATGCACATATTCTTACTGCTTTATTCTGCATTGCTTCTTGTTTATTATCATGAGAAATGGATAGTGGCATGAATAACTCAGTAGTGACATTAGAGTGGGTTTTTCTTCTCTTGCTCGAATTATGATCAAAATCAACAAATGGAGAAATAAGAGAGATGGTCTGAGATGTATTTAATGTAGAGTTATTAACATGATAATCTATGTAATACATACACTCTAATAATTTAGGCTCTTTGATAATACAATAACATATTATATGAATTTGCATATAATACCTTCTAAAGTCTGATGAGTACCTAATTGCTCTTTGTTATCAATAAAGTCACTAGTAGGATCTATTAGATTAGGATTCAATGGATAATCCCATATACTATGACTACTTGCTGTACTTGTTGTACTCATTATACTAGAAGCCTTATGCTTTGGATCATATTCTGAATTATTATTCATATTTTGTTATGAAAAAAAAAAAGAAAAGAAAAATTAGGATAGTATACATCATGCATACCTATTTATTTTTCCCTTTTCCATGTTATACACAGCTTAATTTGGTGTAATCGACTTTACAAATGCCTAATAGAAATTATGTATTTTTAATCATTTAAATACATGTGAATTTTGTGTATATACGGTATTTAATAAATGACATAGATTTATTATTAGAACGCATGAATGATTAGTAAGAAAAAAAAAGAATACAAATCGTAGAGAATTTATAACCGCTCTTTACCAAAATGTTTATTATTTAACCAAGTAAAGTGAATGGCTCTATTACTATTATATTCATTTCAGTTAGTCGTTTCAAATAAAGAAAGTTATAACAAAAGTGAGTAAACTGTGAACCAACAAAGTCTTACTAATAATAAAAACAGACTACTGATAAGAGAGTCGTTGTTTGTTGGATCAGGTGTAGAAAGTATTTTTTATTCATATAAAATAGATCTACATTTCTTCTTGCAAAATTTCTGGTTTTTTTTTTTTTTTTTTTTTTTTTTTTTTTTTTTTTTTTTTTTTTTTTATGAAAAGGTGGCATTCTCTATCACAATATACATATTATGCAATCATCCGAGTTTATTCAGTACAGTTGCCATTTCTTCTGTGACATAAACAAAAAAGTGGCTTGAATAAGTCGCATGAGGTAGGCCTATTTTGATACCTACTATCCTTTGTTTCTTTCGACCGTTTGATTGTGGAACCTGTTACGAAACTGCAATCAATCCATGCGCGGATAGGCAACCCCTCCCCTCAAAAAAAAAAAAAAAAAAAAGCTACCTTAAAAAATTGCCAGAGGGTGAATTTGTGAATCTTATAAACTTTTCAATATGGACAGAATGTAAATATTTTAAATAATAAATGTAGTTGTAGTATTTAATTTTCTTGTATTTGTTTCATGAACAAAATTTTGAATGTGTTAAAACTTTTTTGATTGGTAAAAAAAAAAGAAAAACATAAACACAGATAACTATATAGTATGCTACGCATACCACTAAACTATTAAATGTGTGCCGTCACAATCTAGATGTAGATCCTATATGTTGGCTATCTATTATGTCATCTGTTGAACGAGTTCGTGTTCTCTGTTGATGTCTTGAATGGCTACCAGCAGGATGGTAAACCTCGATTATGCATTTATCATCTTACCGAGTTGTTTACCAAATCTCATTCAATTCATTATCTATCTACACATGTATCGTCGTTTATATATCCCTGTCTCAGTTGCTGAACCCATATCCTTTCTATTGAACAACCAGCTGTCTATTAAACTTCTTTGTCCATCACATTATGATTTCACATGGACTATCCTCTGGTCAAAAATATACACCATTTTCCACGAATGAGATGCTATATTTCATGATAAGTTCACCCCTCTTATTGAAAATCCTGGTTTCAAGCTGATCCGATGGTTGTTTAACAATCGAAGGTAATGTATCATCCTTCACTTTCTTGGAACATTATTATATTTTCCCTTGACCTCTTTATCTTTCTTTTTTTTTTTTTTTTTTACCTTGTGTCCCTTATAAGGATTTTTTTTCTACTATTTTATTAAGCCGGACTAGGCAATCAAGTATCATGTACTTATAAAGATCAAAAATTTTAATTATGTAATGAGAAAATAATAATTTTATTTAATTGTATTATGTTGTGCAAATTCATTGGAAAAAAAAAAGTTATTATTCAGCAAAAAAAATGTGGGGTCTGTAATAAATAAAATTACAAAAGGTAAAAAAAAAAAAAAAAAAAAAAATACTATTGTTATGCATAATCTAAAAGTAAAGTACCATGTCTGCCCCTGTTTTATGATGTTGAAATACACATGATAAAAATTGTACTTTTATTCATAAGCTATAAACAATAAAAAATCATTTCACGTGGTTTCATATGTCAAGAAGAATATATACATATTTATTTATTTATATCAGAATAATAAGTGAATAATTAGATTAATAATAATTATTATTCGTGATAGCCATAGCATGATCAATATTCCGAAGCATAACTGTAGTACGACTCAATAAGCATGTAAGATGGTTGACTTCACGTTTTAATTCATCGCGATGAGCTTCAAGTGATTTTTTGTGATCTACAATAGCAAGAGGAGGAGGAGGAGGAGGATGAAACAAAGAAGGGGTCATTTTAGACTGAGAGGCTATCGAATCATTTTCATTCGACACATTTTTTTTTAATAATTTAGGTGATGAAGGCTGTATAGGATCATAAGTGACTAATGGAGGAGAAGGTAAACTAGGAAGACTTCTATCACGACGATCTGTATCAGGATTTAGTAAACAAGCAATGTTAGATCTTGTTGGTTTCATAGGTGGAGATGGAAGATATGGTTGATGACGATGAAATACATCAGGCTCTATAGGATTTAATAATGATGATTTAAAAGTAGGCTCGAGTGTACTAGAAGATGGAGAGGGCAAGAGTGGACGTAAATGATCCGTACGTTTAACAGAGTCTTCAATTCCTCTTTGTCTCTTTGTTCCACATGAAGAGTGATTTTTTTTTTCTATGAGTTGAGGCTGAATGATGGTAGATCGATATGTAACAGCTATATTAGCCATAGAAATTCGTTTACGACGTTTAATAGTTGAGCGTTTCATTGAAATAGGACGATGTACATTATGTAGTTTAAAATAAAGTCCACAAGCGTTACAAATCGTTTGACCCAATTCATCACGTCTCCAAAGTGGGGTTGTTGAAGTTTGGCAATTAGCGCAAATGAAATGAATCGAATCTTCTAGTGGCGTATCTACTGGACTCTGTTTATGATGATTGTTACTGCTAATATTATCCATTTTGTTAGGAGGAGGAGGAGGAGGAGGAGGAGGAGGACCTGTTGGTACTTCTGTCATGATCGAAAGCACTGGCGCTAACAGGGGAGGACGTGAAAGACGAGGAGCAAGGGTGGCGACAGGGCTTACAGAAACATGTTTTGAACGCTTTGAAGCATTTCTTTTTAACCAAATAGGACGTGCAGTATTACGAGCCTTATAATAAAGACCACATGCATTGCAAATGATTTCTCCAAGAGGAGATCGACGCCATAAAGGGGTGGTAGTGGTACCACAATTCGAACAAGAAGGGGAGGGAACAACTGTACTTCCAATGTCCGATTTCGCAACACTGGAGTTGCACGGTCCAATAACGGCTGAAATAGAGTTGTTATTGCTGGAAGTACTAGAGACCTTCATTTGTTCGAAGCCAGTTACGATTGCTACAGTAGACTGGTCTTGTTTTTGTGAAAAATTCAAATCGTCTGTCTTGAATGATAAACTAGAAGATTGTATTAGTGGACATTTATGACATGAATCAACACTTGTAGCCGTTGAAGGCTTATTATAAAAAGGTGATTTTACAGTCATTTTAAAATAAAATGAATAAGTAAAAATGAAATAAAATAAAATAAAAAAGGGATAAATAAAAAAAAAATACATTTGTATACAAACATATTTATATATATTTATCATCAAGGTCATGATGAACCATGATTGGATAATGATAGTGGTAGCTATAATAAACAGTTAAAAAAAATCATCGGAGGAAATAGTATCCAATTAAAGTAGGCTTGTTATCTTTAATCTCTCTCTCTCACTTTCTAGTTTATCTTTCAATTGATTATTTCCCCGCTATTTACCCCCTTTTTACTGTATAATACATATCATATCTTTACCCCTTCTTTCATGGAGTTCCCGCGGAAGAGAAAATTTGTTAAAAATAAAGTCAAGATAAGGGATCACGTGAATCAAAATTAACATATAAAATATTAGTCTACATGCATGTAAGTATATTGTATATAGTGGCATTTTAGAACCTGTTACACTTTAGATTTATCAATCTTATCTTGAAGCAAATTCCTATTCTAACTACTCATCTTTTAAATAGCCAAAAAAAAAAAGACTAAATTATATATAAATTCTTTTTATGCATAAATTAAAGCTGCCTGCCTAGCAACCAGGTACGAAAAAAGAATATACATGCAAATCTTTCATGATTTTATACTACTATTATTATTTATTTTATTGGGAGAAAGGGAATTCTTTTTTCTTCTTTCTTACTTAAGAATACTTGAGTAACAACTAAAGAATGCAAAATGATTTGCGGGGAGACGAAAAAAAAAAAAAAAAAAAAACGTCTTACTACCATTGGTGGTGGTTTCAAAAAATAAAATAAAATTTCTATTTTTTTCTTTTTCTTTTTTTTTTTATCCTTTCTTTTATATATTATTAATTTTCTTTTCTTTTTTTTTTTCTTTTTATATATAAAAAAGAAGTGATATCAAGTTATACTAATAAGTTCATGTCCAATATTGAAGAGCTCAACGTTCCTTTTGGTAAATAAAAATTTCTTTTTTTTTTTTAAAAAAAAAAGAATACTTAAGTTTATGCATCTTTTTATTAGATCCGTTTGCTGATGTTGATGAAGATAATAAGCAACAAGCTAATAACAATATCCGTAAGTAATAAAATATGGGATAACTATAAATAAAAGAATCATTTTATATGTATATATCAAATCTTAAATTTTAGATTTACGTATTCAACAAAGAAACGGTAGAAAGACATTGACCACTCTTCAAGGACTTCCTACACAATATGATGCTAAGAAAATTTTGAAAACATTTAAAAAGCTATTTGCTTGTAATGGTACAATTGTCGAAGATGAAGAACATGGTGACATTTTGCAACTCACAGGTGATCAAAGGTTAAAGATTGCTGAATTCTTAGTTGAAGAAAAAATTGCTAAAAAGACTGACATCAAAATTCATGGTTTTTAAAGAATATATCATTTTTTTTGTATATATTTTATATAATAAAATTAATTATCATACTATGATGTAAAGGATTAAATGCATGTTATTTGGAATAAGTGAAGGAAGAGGGAAAAAAAAACTAATGCTATGCTAATACTAAATGGTGAGACTTTTTTTTTTAAGGCAGCACTTGCATATAGCGGAGTTCAATAAAATGAATACACATATTACATTATTGCACTACGATTAATAATTATTTTATTTATTAACAAAATTTAAACGCAATGAACATACTGATAATTATATATCAAAATTAAAATTGCCTGGGAAGCTCTTAAAAAAAGTAAATGAATTAAAAAACCCTTAATGGACTCAAGGGAACCATAGCGAAGATTCAGTATTTTCGGATGAAATGTAGACTAGTTACAATTATTTTTTTTTTAAATCAATGAATACAAATTTGAACAGCAAAAATAGATTTTGACGAAATAAAACTAGTTTTTAGACATGTTTACCTGTAAAAATCTAAATTTTTTGTTAAGAAAAAAAAATCGTGTTTAAGACAGCGATATTATTGTTTTTGACAAGAGAATGCAAGAGGGACGGATCATGACCAGTTAGTATCTCATTAAAGATTCGATAAATATTTTTTACGGCGTTGCAATCACGTTGCCATAGCATCCCGCAGCTTTTGAAAGCTAAAACACCATGACAGCCTATTAATGAAGGCGTAAAATTTCTTTCAAAATCTGAATGACAAGTCTATTTTATATAAAAGCAAATATGTTAAATTGGTGTTAATAGAGCAGTAATAACTTATTACTTTGGAAGTTCTAAATTTATCTATAATAGGTACCACATCTTTGTCTATTCAACAATAAAATTAATGACACCTATTCAAACAACTTTAAACTTGACAGTATCTTTATTGACCGTTCCATTCTCAGATGCCATAACTAAAATTTTCATCTTGATAAAAAAAAGGAAAAAAAAAAAGGAAAAAAAAAAAAAGAAGGGAAAAGGTTACCTTGAGTAGATGAAGAAGATTCACATTTTTTACTACGTTTTAAAAAATGACAATCTTTGCATTTGGTCACTGACATAAAACATTAATTTCAGTGTTTAATTGTTTGTGTACAACTGAAAACTTACAATTATTCTTATTGATTTCCACATTCTTTTTCTTATTAATCACTTTAATGATATATAAAAAAAGAACACAGAAATCTGATATATAAAAGTTACTCAAAGTTATTGTATAAATGCCTCCTTTACTAAAAGAAAAAAAAAGCATATGAATCTTAAAGTGTGTTTTACGTAAGTCATCTTACTCAACGCTTGATTGGAAATGGTCAAAATACTATGAGCATACATGATTTGATTCAATGTAAGAATAGTTCAACATAAAAGAAACATAAATACTGGTTTATATGAATATACTTATTGTTGGTAATTTTTTTCTTCTTTTTTTTTTTAAAAAAAAAACCTTCAAAATAAAAGAATAAAACTTATTTTAAAACAATAGAACTAACAAAGACAACAAATACGAGATTAAGAATATCCATTATATAAAAAGAAAACGTTTATTTCTTTGATTTATAAAGAGAACCATCTCTTTCTCTGTTATATATGTAATTTGATGCTTTCAACATAGCAGCCTTTAAATATTACTACGAAATTTATTTTACTCGACTTGGATAAAAAGGAGTTGTTCAAAAAAAAAAAAAAAAAAAAAAAAAAAAAAAAAAAAAAAAAAAAAAAAAAAAAAAAAATTGGGAGTGAGAGTGAAAAAGTAAGAGAATATCAAATAAGTCTGTAATTTGTCTTGTTAGAATTTCACTTGAAGGCCTCTTAGTAGATATATCTTCTCTCTCTCTCTCTGTCTGTCTCTCATTATTTCCCTTTTTTTTTTCCCTTATATCGTTTATTGTTGTTCTTTGTTAATTAAGAATATAGTTAAATCTACTGAATATATAATGAAAGGCTGTTTCTAATCTTTTTTTTTTTTTTTTATTTTATTATTTTTATTTTTCTTAATTTTATATATCTTTTATAAATGTCAAATCATATACCTTCTATCAAATTAGTTGTTTTGGTATGACAAATAGATATAAAACTACATACAAAGGAATGAAATTTGGCAGAAAATTAAAAAAAAAAATAATAAAATAAAATAAAAAGGGAGAGTCTTCTGTAGGGAAATCAAGCATTGTTACCAGATACGTTGAAAATACATTCATGAATAAAAGAGATCCAACTATTGGTGGTAAATCTTATAATATACATATTCTTATATAAATATACACTTACACGCAATATATATAGCTGAACTATCAACAAAAATTTATTCTATTGAAACACATGATATTAAATTCGTAATTTGGGATACTGCAGGTCAAGAGAGGTTTCATGCACTGGCTCCTATGTATTACAGAAATGCTTTAGCAGCAATGGTTGTATTTGATGTAACAAACTATGTAGGTTTTTTTATTAATATTATTCAGGAACAGAGCTACAATGATAGTCATGTTGATCTATGTATAGAATACTTATGAAAAAGCAAAAGAATGGATTATTGAATTAAAAAATCAGGCTTCCTCAGATATTGTTATCGTATTAACAGGAAATAAGATCGATTTACAAGAATACTTGCGAGAAGTATCGAGAGAAGAAGCTGAATCATATGCAAAAGCATTAAATATATTATATATGGAAACAAGTGCAAAATTAAGTACGAATATTCATCATATATTTACTGAAATAGGTATACAGAGTTTATATACAGATTGCATATTTTGTAAAATTTTCTTTTTCATCTATTTTATGTGTAGCTAAAAGAATTCCTACCAGTTATTTGCAGTTGAACAATAATGAGACTATCAGAATACCTTTAACTGTTAAAGACGGCAATATCAAAAAACGATATAAAAATAATAATGCTCGTTGTAATTGCTAATTGTAAACATTTATTTATTTATTTTATTTGTTTTTTCATTTTTTTTTTAAAAAAAAGAAAGAGTTTCTATCACTTATTGGACAATTGTCTGTATATAGTACATCATCTTTTTTATTTTGTTTTATATACTATTGCTTGATATACATATTAATGTGCATCTTAATTTAATATCATAATTAAATACGATAGATTTTTATTTTTTTTCGATATCTATACTTCTTTCTGTTTGACTACTACTACTACTACTACTACTACTGCATTTCGATGAAGCTCGCTGACTGTTATTGATTGAGTCATATTTAGGAAGATAATCACCAATAAAGAAGATAGAATAGACGATGAAACTGATAAAAATAATAATGGTATCAAACACATAGAATGCCCATTCTAAGCGAGCAATAGGCCCACCATATCCAGTAGCATATTCAGCAACACGATAGATGGATCGAATGTATAATAAAACAATAGTAACATATAGACAAAGAATTAAATTCTTTTTTGGATTTGTGCTATTCTCAACATAATAATTATATCGTGAATGGCGATGCACATAAACGGTAATAGCTGCAAAACAGCCAAAGAAAATCAATTGAACTGCAAGACCAATTAATGTAACAATTCGGCCTTCTTCATTGTACCCTACAGTTGACTGTAAACCACCACCAGCGCCTTGTAAACAAAATGAAAAGATATCACTTCCAAAAAAGAACCAGGTAACAAACTTGGGTCGAAGATAGTATCTCTTTTCTTCAACATTTGATAGTCGAATGATTTCACCCACTGCCTTATAGTTAACTAAGGCTAATGCATTGGGAGCTAATAATAAAAACAAAGTCATTCCAACATACTTTCCAAGATCTGTGAAAAAGTGACATTTGAGTCGAATTGCAAATCCTATAGTTTCCATTAAGGCAGTAAAGGCTAGAATATATAGAAACCGTGGGCTTTTAGAGATATAGATTCGAATTGTCAAATAGATTGTCATTAGTCCATATAGCGCTAAAGCAACTGCTGCTGGAGCTAAAACCGGTATATAATGAAATAAGTATAATGCCTTAGACTCTCCATTATTTGCTAATATAGTTTCTAATCCCATATCTATTGCTTGTTATGATTTTTAAAGTGTGATTTATATATATTTATATAAAAGAAGAAGAAGAAGAGATAAATTGTCTTATTATATCTTGAAAAGCCAATGTTGTACATGCTTTACTTATGTTACACACGTTGATTCTGCAAAGACACTCTATTATCCATTAAATAAGGGATCAATGTATCCGAAAGATAATTTTATTAGTTTTCTTTCTCGATCATTAAATCTAACTGTATAATCATTTCAAGCTGATCTGCATACAAAAATTTATTTATTCAACTGATTAAAAATAAGCAAATGTTAATTTACTTTCTTTTTTTTTTCTTTTGAAAAAAAGAAAAAAAGAAAACCAATAAACACAAAGCAATAGACGGATTTCGGGATTATTTTCGGTGCGCTATCTTCTTTAGCACACTGCGACTCCCCCCCATTTCTTGAAGTATCATCCCTTTGAATATGAGACAATAGATAATCAGATAATAAATATACGTATTCCATACAAATCAGATAATTTAATGTTTAGACCTTTTTTTTTTTTTTTTGAATAATATCAGCTAATGGCCATTTTAATATACATTTAATACATGTTATACTAAAATAGCGCTATTAATGAGATTACAGTAGATCATATATTTGCTATTTGAATAAAAGACAATAAATATATTTAACATACAATCATACGGCATTGTTAAACGAAAAAAAAAGACAATGAGAAAGAAATTAAAAAAATAGAGTCAAAGAAGACAAAAATGGATATACATTATATTACAAACGAAAGTGGTTTATTTACATAATACAGATTCTTGATGATTAAATAAGTTTAAATTAATAATTTTCATTTTTGTTGTTGCAATTTCCTCGAGCTTCATCCATTTCTAAACTTGATGAAGAGGAAGGCAATTTTGAAACAGTAATATCGAATGCAGAACCAGGTTTTGGAAGATAGTTGGCGATAAATAGAATATTGTAAACAACAAAGCAAAGAAAAACGACAAGAGTATCAAAGACATAAAATACCCATTCAGTAGTAGCAATCACACCATCATAACCACCAGCGAATTCAGCAACACGGTAAATATTACGAATATAAAGCAAAAGCAGTGTGATAATAAGACAAGTAGTTAATCTTGCTTTAGGATTTGATTGATTTTCTACTTGATATTGGTATCTGGGGTTGCGACGAATATAAATTGTGATATAGCCAAAACAGAAAAAAAAGAATAATTGAATTGCAAGACCCACTAAAGCTATAGCTTTGCCAATATTAGCCATTCCAGCATTACCTGTAGCTTGCATACCTCCACCTGAACCTTGTAAAATGAAAGCAAAATAATCACTACAAAGAAAGAACCAGGAAACAAATTTACGTCGAAGATAAAAATGCTTTGGAGTTACATCAGATAATCGAATGACTTCACCAAGGGCTCTGTAATTGACTAACGCCAAGGCATTAGGGGATACGATTAAGAAGAATTGCATAACAGCGTAGTTTGTGATATTTGCATTGTTGTGACACATGATTCTAAAGATATATCCAACAGCTTCCATTACACCAGTGAATGACAGTATATAAATAAATTTTCGAGATCTTGATCTGTACGCGCGAATAGCTATAAGAATTGTAAAAAAAATGAATACAACTAAACTTATCACTGCCAAAGGAAGGTTAGACACATGAAAAGGAAATTGTGATGTATTTGATTCATTTTGTGTAATAAGAGGCATTTTAAAATATAGAAAATAAGCTGATTTTTGAAGATTGATAATTCTTTCAAATCCACATTGTATTTATATTTATTTAAAAATTTCTCCGCCAGCAACAATAAGCTTAAAAAATTCTTATCATTTATAACAAAGACATTGTACATTTATATAATTATATGCATATAAAAAAAAAAACCCTACCTTTTCCTACTAATTTTTGGAAAAAAAAATTATGATTATACAAGCATGATAACTTTAGAATCTTCTAACTAACGTGAAGAACTCGACACACTTCTTCTTTCTCTTTTCCCTTTTCGACTAAATATATGCAGTATGATTTAGTAATAATCGAGCAAATGTAATTCTAAAAAAAAAAAAAATGTTTTGCTGAAATTAAATTCATACGAAGAAATCAATAAACTTAAAGAATCCTTCGTAATACAACGATAAAATTATTAGGACTAACAATTGATATAATATCTGTATTAACAATAATAACTACATAAGATAAAGGAAATATTAAACTACAGTAAGAATGCTTTTGCTGTCTATGATTATTTCTTATCAGATTACATAACAATCACACTTTACACATTGAATTACCATATTTGGTTATTTTAGTTTATTTTTGTTATTTTTTTTTGCCAAGTAATTCTTAAGATTTTTATTAATGTATGAATATAATGTCTATCTAATATAAAGTCACTATACAATATACATACATACACATACATGTATATATTTAAAAGATACAGATGTACTTTTATCAAGAATAAAAAAAAAGAAAGCACGTTTGGTATATGAAGTGCTTGGTTTTTAATTAATGTCATTACACATTAAGAAATTCTATTGTCTTATAATAAATCATCAGAGTAATAGAAGGAATATTTACTGAGACTGTCGTGTAAAATGATAGTCTATTAATCAACACTCTTTATCATACGGGATAGGATATTATGTTGTCCTCTTATTATTAAGCGTTTGATAATACTAACTCCAAAATAGTATACTATTGTTATAGTTTTTTACTACAAATCAGTGATATCACCTGCTCTACTAATGAGCTCCTTTCATACTTAAGATTTGTCTCCTTTTTTTTTTTTTTTTTTTTTTTTTTTTTTTTTTTTTTTGGAGAAACATATCAAGCGCAAACCTTGAAAAGAATCAGAAAATTTACCGCCAACTACAAAAGTGTCGTAATGTACAACTAATTGTAATATTTGATGAATGAATTTCATGTTTATTATATTACTTTGTTTATTATATGACATATGATATAGAATATAGGGGTTGACCAAGTAACATTGAACTAATTTTATTAGAAATCACTCAAAAGTAAAATTCTCTCTTACTGTTAAGGCATAAAGCAAACACTCCATAAGAGAAAGCTTAATATTATTTATACTGAGCATATGGATCACTTCCAACAATATCACGACGTTTACCAAAACTCATACCAGACTATAATATAAAGTTATATGTATATATTATTTAAAGTAGCTAACATGAAGCAAACCATTAACTTACTTGATTAGCTCCACCAGTATATCCATATTGATATGTATTATATGTTGCACTTGCTGCCTGTGCTGCTTCTTTGGAAAATACAGGTCGCTGTTTATCTGCCAATTTTGGGCCCAAATACTATACATAATATTCAAAAAAATAGTATAAGCATGCATTGTCACTTTCCAGTTCTCTTATTACTTACTGTTTGTGATGTACCATTCTTATAAGCATATCTAGATACAGAAAATATAGAATCAACCACTTGTGTCATATTCTTTTTTTCGTACAGATCAATTGTTTGAAAAAGGTCATGTTTTGGAACACCTAAAGCTTCAGCACCTCTTAAAAAAATAGAAATATTTTCCATCTATTTGTAGCGTATATAAGAAAAGTAAGATTTTTTTTTTCATTACTGGAATTCTTACTTGAACAAAAGGCATTTTAGATTGCTTGTATTTGCCATGACCTGGCACTAATTTTTCGATTAACCTATTATATAAAATGAGACAATTGAATAATAAAACTTTCTATACATGCCATGTTAAAGTGATCATTTATTTACTTGCACAATAAGACTCCATCTTTTAGACTCTCGGCAAAATCGTTTGAAGGAAACTTTTCATCGATTGTATTCTCTATCCATTGTCTAGCTTCTTGTTCACGCTCAACCGAATATTTTGAGCTAATTTTAGCTTGAATTTCTATAAAGGAAAATGATGTATTGTAATAAATGAGTTTAAAAGAACTATACTGTAATTTTGTATTAAACATTTGATTCATGTAAACTTTATGACTTATTACCTTTATCTATTCCATATAATGGTGTATCTTCTTCCATATTGATAGAGAGCAAAAAAAAAAAAAAAAAAAAAAAAAAAATAAATAAATAATAATAATGAACTTTTTACATGAATAACATACTAAATGATTATGTAATTTCTAGTTCAGCAGCGGACAATTTTAAAGTAAAATGAATTTTTAGACCAATGAAAAATAACATTTTTTTTATATGTTATCTGCAGTATTTGCATCAATGCATTGACTCGTTGTGCAACAGCAAGCTTCAATTTCAAACAATATACAAAAGACTGTACATTCGTTTACACCATTTCACTCTATTAAAGTTAAACTGACATACACTTGGAATCCTTCAAACCTATATTTATCTGCTCCAGTCTTTATTACTTCTTCTACATCAGACGAGGATAGAAAATAACTACTAGAACCCCCCATCCACCTATGACTGGTGTCTATTATTAGCCTCTTTCTGCCATTAAACGTATGAACAAAAGTCATAAAAAGGAGAAGAGTAATGTGAAAGGTGTTCAATAGCTTCAATCTGAGATGCTTTATCACTTTAGACATTCTGGGATATGAACTTGATCAAGATAATTAACAACGCTAATGTACATATTCTGGATGATGCACGTTTAACAAAGTCTTTAATTTTGAAGATTTTATTTTATTTTAGCCATTCTACACTTCAAAGCCTTTATTATATGACCCATACTATATATCCTAAATTAGGGTCTTTTTTTTTTTTTTTTTTTTTTTTTTTTTTTTTTTTTTTTTTACTTGAGCATATAGAGAGGATATATCATTTCACTCAGTTAGTGTAAATTATTAGACTTGTGCTAGATTGAAAAGACATAAAAAAAGAAAAAAGAGGGGATAAGTGTTAGCACTTTACGAAGGGGACAAACAAAAAATCCAATAACTTCTTTTTTCAAAGTACTCTTATAAATCAGCAACGAGGGCATTTATATTAATTGATCTATTTTCTGAATTTTAATACGCTTAAGAAGCTGTCTGATTTTAACGTCACCAAAATATAAAACTCAATTTCTATTGGATGTGAAGTAACACTCCAGGGTTGTGGGCAAATCTAGCAAGCTTCTTTTAACTGGTCTCATAATAATAATAAATTATAATTTCTCCACCTTTTTTATTATTATTTAACCTTTAAATTAGCAAGCATGTTTTCACCTGCCATTAAAAGAAGTGTAAGTAAATGTTAAAAATTAAAAGCAAATTAGTATACAGTTTTAATCTCCATGTGCATATATACTCATTTGTTTTTCTGTATATATACTAGCTTGCTATTGCAGCTGCAAGTAGTGCTTGGGTTGCTACTGCTTCTACTGCTTTTGCCGAAGAAAAGAAAACTAAGGTAATAAAGCAAAAAAAAAAAAAAAATAAAACAAAAAAATAAAATAAAAAAATAGCTAGTTTTTTTTTTTTGTTTGCATGCATAAATAAATCTTTTTTAATCATGTCAAGTAATATAGCTTAGTATTTACGATGAGCCTGAACCAAAAGTTGTTATTATTGAATCACCTACTAAACTTGAAGAGCAGGTTTATATCGCACAAAAATATGCCAATAAAACTTTAGATGAGGGAAAGGTAAAGCAAATAAATATATAAATAAATAAAAGATCGGTTTACACATGTTGTAATCTCATTTGTTATATTTAGAATCATGTTAATAGTTGGATAAAAAAATATGAAGACTTTGAAAATGATGTCAAAAATAATATTAACAATACAATTGATAAAGATGAAGAATTATTTCCAAATCTATTCTATGTTGGTGTAGCAGCATTAGCTGGTACGATTATTGCACGTAATAGAAATATTGTTATTCGCTTTTTGACTTCTACCACTTTGGCTGTGGGTACTTCATATTATTTAATCCCCAAGACAACTCATAACATTGCACTTCAACTTCAAAGATTAGAACAAAGATATCCTCCACTTCAAGCTGCACATGAAAGTGTCAATGAAACAGTGAATGATGTTCGTAAACAAATCGACGCCACTGTAGCTCAGTTACGTGGTGCCGTTGATGAAAATACAATCAAACTGCGTCAACAAATTAGGCAAAATACAGAACAAATCGGATCTAACCATCATGACAAATTTGAACAAGTAAAAAAGAATGTAGAAAGCATGTATTCAACTAGATCAAAGGTATGACAAGTAATTTCATTCATTTAGTTCATTCTATTATTAATTCAATCTATACAATCTAATAGCCTGGAGTTGAAGAAACATTAAAGAAAGAAAACTAATTGATAATAAATGCAAACATTATTTATTTGAGTGAATGGCTTAGGGCTATATATATAAAAAAAAATTAAACTTGTTTTATTATGAATGCTTTATTGTATGAAATGATAAAAAAAAATGCTTCAAATGTGTTGTAGCTTATTTCGAGGTATTTTGTGTGTATATAATAGCTACCAAAAATTGTTTGCAAGCCAACTCAGATAGATAGTATTTCCTTTAAGGGGAGAATATACATATACATTTAAATATATGTTTTTTCCCGAAGAAATCATGTAATTCTTCTTAGATCTTGCAATATTAGAATACTACTCATTTGTATATTTATTACCAAGAGTGTTATTCACTTTTTACTTTATGACGAAAGATGTAATAAATAGTTATTTATTATTTTATAATAATACATGCTTATAAAAAATATTGACTGCCAGGACCTCCAGTAATTGAAGATTGTTGATCACCTTGAATCTCATTTTCCAAAAATATTGTATAATCAGAGGATAAAATTTGTCTATCTTCTTCTGGTATTTTTAAGATAGCCGCTTTATTTCCACATCGATAACAGTAATTAGGCGCTGACCATAATGTAACTAAATTCTTTTCTTCAAATGGATAATTAAAGCCTTCATCTACTAATTGATGACTTCTAACAATTAAATTTATCCCGTTATTGTGACAAAACTAGATAGAATAGAAATTGAATATTAGATGGAATTAACAGTAAAATATATATATATATATAGACTCAAGTTATTTACTGAGGTTGTAGGTAATGAACCAAATAAATAGCCACCTCCTCTAGGGCTTATTGCCCATGATTCTACTTGTGTTTCTGGATCAGACCATAATAAATCTAATGTATAGTCAAAAAAAAAAAAAACCGCATTATTTATGCTTCTTGCTTGAATGAATATGAATAGTTACCACAATGTCCTCCACTTTGTGGTAGTTCTTGCATACGAAATAATGTTCTAATATTTTATAATAGTTAATAATTATACAATGTATGTTTATAATGAATAATACATACCGAATAGAATCAATTGAGGGTAATTCTGGCGATAATCCTCCATGTACACAAAACACTGAGCCATCAATTACCTTTAATATAAATATATATATACATACATCAATTATAAACAATTTCTTATATGTATGCATGCATGCATATATACTTTACTGCTGCTAAAGGTAAATAGTCAAATATCGTACAACACCATTCCCAAACTTTTGTATTTTGATATTTAGCCAAACACTCGTCTTATAATAATAGATTCTATTAGATTTATAGTCTTTTTTTATACATATGAAGTTATTCTTATTTCTTTTACTTGCCATAAAATCCATACACTCGAGTAACGTTGCGACTCTCATGATTTCCTCTGGTAAGCGTAATACGATCGGGATATCTAACATATAAATCAATATCCACTTTTTTTTTTGTTTTTTATGCATGCATAAAAATTAACTTACTTGACTTTATATAATAACAGTAATGTCAGTGTCTCCAATGAATACCGACCACGATCCACAAAATCGCCCTAAACATATAAAATGAGTGTGTTAAAGCTTTATTTTAATCTAGAAAAAAAAAATATGTATACCATAAAAATATAAGATGTGTTTGGCAAATCACCCCCTACTTCAAATATTTTAATTAAATCATAAAATTGTCCATGAATGTCTCCACATAAAGTAACTGGTGCATGAACAGGAACTACAGTTGATTCTTCTGAAAGTATTTCCTTCAGCTAATATAGAAAAGATTTACTTTTCTTTTTTGGTTTGCGTGTCTATACACATTTATGTCTATTGATTATACCTTATTGCATAATTGTCGCATGTCATTTTCAGATAAATATTTACATTGCTTAATAGATTCAATGCAAGCATCTATGTTCATTAGTACTACTTTTTTTTTTCTGTTTTACTTTATTTTTATTTTTATTTTTAGAAAAACAAAAAAAAAGGGTATTTAATTAAAATAACAATTGTAAAAAAAAAAAAAAAAAGATATACTGAACTATGATTGCTTGAAATTCATAGATGTCACGTGATTATTAAGCTTGTAATATACAAAACGTACCTACAGAATATGTTTTCAAATAACCAAGTTTTTTTTTCCTTTTTTAGCCATCTCTCTTTCTCCCCTCAATTTTATATTAATAAAAAAAAAAGGAAATGAGTAGTGAAGTTAACTGTATTGCAATCATAGGAAAACAAGTAAACAAGTGCATTTTAAAATATAAAACTTTAATTACTTTGAACTTACTATCTATTTTATATAGAATAATCCTTTATTCATCAAGAACTTTAGTACTTCTCATCCCGATCTTAAATATCATTATATAGCGCATACTTCAATTGATGTTATAGAAGAGAGAGGTATGTTCTAACTAAATAAAAACAAAGAAAAAAAAAGGAAATGATTCTTACCATGATGATTATTAAATAAAAATAAAGTATCTAATGGGTCTAAAAATCTTGATTTATATTTGGGATTATTATATGCAATGGAGGATTTAGCTGTGTAAATAAATGAATTCGTATCATAAAATAAAAGCATTAGATTGTTTATTCATTATTCCACATAGGTATGGATATATTACAAATACTAGAGTGAAACTGATTGTAGTTGTTTCTGTGACAGATGGAATTATACGTGATGCAGATATGAAAGCGGTAATTGAATTGAATGCAATATTAATTTAACATATAAAACAATGACACTAATAAACACAACACATTAAATAGTTATTTCATAAAATACATTCAGCTTATGTATCTAATGTGTGTAATCCATTCTATAATATAGATTCCCAAAAACCAATTCAAAGTAAAGCATTTTCTCAAGCCATTGAAACAATCGGCTTGAATGCAAGAACTACTTTAGAAATTTAAAATAAAAAAAAAAAAGTATAATATATAATATTACATTTTTAACTTTTATTATTCTAAGCTTTTGTTTGTTTTTTCTCCTTCAACTACTTTTTCAGCATTAGCTTTTTCTTTACCACCCATTCTATAATAAGAATAATAGTATATGAGTAAAATTACGTAAACAAAAACAATAACAAATTCCCCGGGGAATCCCGCTCTCGCCCCTCTTTTTTTTTTTTTTGTGTGTATACATATTCATATAATAAATATTATACTTTACTTGTTATATTTAATCCAACGATAACCTTGCGTTAATTGAGCAACTTCATTTGTAGCATGACAAGCAAATAATAAATAATTAGCAGGCTTCACTGCTAAAGCAAATCTCATAAAAAGACCAGAATAGAGACATAAGGCTTTTTTTTTAAAAAAAAAAAATAAAATAAAAAAAATATATAAATAAATAAAAATAAATAAATAAAAATAAATAAATAAAAAATAAAAATAAATGAATATGTATATAAAAATAAATCTCTATTCACTACTCTATATACAAATATACCTGCAGTCATATTGCCTGAAATTAAACTAGCATCCTTTTTAGTATCTGCAATAGCAGCAAGAGGAATACCCCAATTGGCAACAGGTCCCCAAAAATGCTAATAAACACAGAATTTATACACACCTGTAAGCTACTTATTTACTTACTTACATGTATTTATTATATATACTTACAGTACTATATATTCACGAGGGCGTTAATCACTTTGTCTTTATTTATTTTTATTCACCACATATAACTTACCTCATTAAATAGTTTCTAAATTCTTTAGAAGCAATTTTTTGGACAAACTTATTAGTGATAGAACCAGATGCTTGTGACATATTACAAATAATAATAAAAAAAAAAAAAAGATAAAGGGTAAAGAAAAGGTGGTAAAAATAGATAATAAATATAAACAAAGAAAATAAATAAATAAAAATAAATTTCAGGTAGGTTAGATGGATTTTTATTTTATTCGCTGAGAATTTGATGACTCGTTTTGTATTATCTATTATTTGATTGGCTATCATTGATTGCATTAAAGACATCAAGTCAATGTCTTTTTGATCCTGGATCGCCATTTCCCCAAACCCATCTTATTCGTCCAGTAGATCCATAAATAGGTTCATATCTATAATTCAGTATCATTTCTACTACAATCCAGCAATTAATAATAAAGAAAATTGTTCCTGACATCCATAATTCTAAAAATGTATTCTTTCCCAAAAATTCCAATTTATATGCAAAGTTTAACCATAAAGCCTTATCATGTGCAGGACACAGACACAGGATTAAGGGTTTCGGGTATGAGTATCTATCATATGCTCCTATTTATTTATTTGTTTATTTACCTGTCCTATTATCCAAGCAAGTAATAGCATTAGACCTTTCCATTTAAATGTAATTTTTAATGATGGTAATATTAAAGGGAATAGACAGATATACCACATAAAATACTTGAATAGATGATACATATAATTTAGTTTGTCTAATTAGTTCCTATTTACTTTCCTTTACCTACCTGTGATGTAATAACTTTATTATATGTAACAAATATAAATGTCTGTATAAAACAAGCGAAGAATGTATCTTTCCCAAAAGCAATACCAAGAATAGTAACAAGTAATAATTGAGGTACAAATGTAATTAGACCCATAAATTGATGTGTGTTTTCTATACCAAGATACATTTGATAAAACCAAATAGAAAAATTATGACGATGATCTTCACGCGTAACATGATATAAATAGGTATGTTGTATAAATGCATTGCCATACCTAATGAAAAAAATGCAAGTTAATGAATCGATCTATCTTTTTTTTTCTTTTACTTTACTGTTGGAACATGAGCCCAGTTAAAATAAAAAATACAAAGGCACTTGAAACAGCAAACAGGATTCGTAAAGGCGATAAAAATGGAATGGAATTAGATAATTTTCTAAACATAGAGTTTTCTCTGTCTTTACAATCATAATAATGATTATCTAGTAACATTAATAAAGGTACGGCATAAATGACTGGATATATTTTGAAATGAACTGACAAACCAAATAAGGCACAACCTGAATAAAACTTCTTATTCAAGATAAGATACAAGGTACCTAGTACCATTACTCCTAATAGTGATTCAGCGTTTCCACGTGTCGAGATATTAGCTACCATAGGGTTTAAAAGCCAGAGGGCATCGTATTTTAATGCACTCTTTGAAGGCATACCACGTAATAAAAGAATACGATGAATCAAATAACCAACAAGTAAATCTGCAGATGCAAATAGACATTTACCAAATGATCGAAACCAGTATATATTAGGTGTAAGTAGTATTGCTAATAAAGGTGTATAGCGATATGTTTCTCGTAAATAAGGTGATTGTCCCTGAGTAATGTATCGAGCTGCATCTGTAAAGACAACATAGTCTATATCGGTATATTTAACTGTAAAATAAGCATCTTGATACTCTCCATAAACCAAAAGAATAACGCGAAGTAAGAAAGCTACTGTACATAGTTTCCTGAAAGTTAAATGAGAGAAAAGTTTATCCATTTTAATAATATAGCATTCCTTTTCTATTTACAAATATCGTACATGACAAAGTAAAACAAAAAAAAAAAAAAAAAAAAAATCTTCATTTCAGAATTAGTCAAGTTTGCGGACTGTAAAATTTTATTTTATCATGCCTGAACCATCATTTATATAAATAGGAGAATATGATCTTGCCATCACCACTACTATCCTACGCGTAAAGTTGTTTATTTCTATCAAATACACGGAAGCCCCACATTAGTATCTACACAACTTATACCCATATTAACGTAAACTATTATGAAATAAACTATTCACCAGATTTGACTCTTGTTATTCAGATCCTCGTATCTCTTTTTATTTGTTTTCTTCAAAACAATCCTCACTTTCAAAGCACAATACACTACTATTTAAAATAATCATTGATGACTACTCTATAATATTCTTCTAAAGTAGTTCAATACTACTCAATATCATTTTTTTTTTTACAATATGTTTTAAAACACTTTTCTTATGCAAAAAAACTAAAACTTTCCATTAACCACAAGCTTTAATTTCTTATGATAGCTTTAGAAGTATATACTATTTTCACAATAAGCTAGACTGGCTATATGGTAGAAAATTAGAACTATACTCCATCTGAAGTTATTTTATTTTATTTATTTATTTTCGTTATTAAAAAAAAAAGTATCAGGGGCAGCTGTAATAGTAGTATTTGCCACTAAATGCTCCTAGAAAAAAAAAAAAGCGAATTTTATTTATCAATGTCATTCAATATAAAAAGAGATAGAGAGCTGAATAAGTATTATTAGAGGACCCTATATAATAGTGAATGAATATATTTATGTTTATTTAACTAATTTTCTCGGGCAAATGTAATATTGGGTAACCAGCACTGATTTGCAAACAAAAGAAATAGCCAATAAATAATATTATGATAAATGCAATGTAATACTTACTCTAATATTGAAAAATTCACGTGATTATGCTTTTCTTTTCTTTTTTAGTTGAAAAAAAAAAATGTTTTCACTTCAATGCACAAATTTTTTTTATTAATATGCTTTTTTTTTTTTCCTTATAAATATACCGAATAAAACCTTCTTTTTCTTTTTCTTCTCACTTTTTACAGCTTTTAATTATCCAAAATTTCTTCCATTTTCAACTTTGCTCGTACATCGTTACCCACGCTGTTTCAGTCTCAAGTAAACATGCAACCTAGTCGTATTGATCTTTTAAAGATTACGCAGGTAGAAAAGTACTCATTTAAACTATTAAAATAGTTGTAATAAATATATAAAATGTATATCAATATAAATATATAAATATACCTATTGAAATAATGTATATATTATAATATATATGTATAAAGGTTAAGGATGTCCTACTTACTAGAAGCCAAGAAACTGTAGTGGGTAATTTACATCTGACTGTACATCATTTAATATTTTGCTATTCATCAGGGGAAGAATTATGGGTAATTGGCTTAAAAAAAGAAAAAAAAAAAGATGTATAATTAGTACTTTATTTAATTCACATGCATATAAAGATTCCTTATTCAATTATACATACAGTTGAAAGACAGCCACCTTCATTGCAGTCAGGTCGATATCCACTTCATATAAAATGTCGAGATTTTATGATTATTACTTTATCCTTATTAAAAGATGGTGAAACACAAGACGTATTTGATAGTATTCAAAAGCTAGCTTGTGTTAGTAAGTTGTGTTGATTGATTCCTAAACCTCTTTCTATTGTTTTAATTTTTTTTAAAACCGAAATATTTGTATATAGCATCTATTGAGCAGCTTTATGCTTACTCATATATGCCAAGGACACCTTTTACAGCTACAAATGGATGGAATATATATGATCCTCTCAAAGAGTATGGCCGTATGGGTGTTGATGTAAATACAGATGCATGGAGATTCACATTGATTAATAGAGATTATAAAGTAAATGATTATATACATGTATCTTCCATTTCTTGATTATAGAATATTAACTAATCAGGTGTATATATATATATATATATATGTATATATTTATATTTATATGGATATGTATATAGTATTCACCTACTTATCCTCGTATATTAGTCGTCCCTTCTAAAATTAGTGATAATACGCTTAATTATGCTGCAAAATATCGTAGTAAAGCAAGGATTCCAGCTTTATCCTATTTACACTGGCATAATTCTGTAAATATAATATTAGTTGGAAAAAAAAGAAAGAATGGTAAATAATGATATGAATGATGTTATAGGCAACTATTACTAGAAGTAGTCAACCCTTAGTGGGATTTAAACAAGCAAGATCAATTCAAGACGAGAAATTAATAGAAGCTATCTTTTCAACTAATGTACCCAAGGGTCCTAATGGCGAAGTTGTCTATGGTTCAACGGCTACTAATTTGATTATAGATGCTAGACCTATGGCAAATGCAGTAGGAAATGTGGCAAGAGGTGCTGGCACTGAAAATATGGATCATTATCGTAATTGTAAAAAGATTTATGTTGCTATTGATAATATTCATGTTATGAGAGATAGTTTAGGAAAATTAAGCGAAGGTATATAAGGTTAAATAGTATATTAATATGTGATATCAATTTCTCTCTTCTTCTTTTTATATACATACAAGGTATGGATTCTGCTGAAGGTCAGATCAATAGAGTTACTTTACAAAAATCGGGTTGGCTAAAACATATCAGTATGGTTATGGAGGGTGCGATAACGATTATAAAGAATATACATGTTTATAACTCCCATGTTCTTGTTCATTGTTCTGATGGTTGGGATCGAACATCTCAATTAGTCTCGCTGAGTGAATTATGTTTGGATCCATATTATCGTACATTTGAAGGTATTCAAGTCTTGATCGAAAAAGATTGGATCTCATTTGGACACAAGTTTGAAGATAGATGTGGCCATCTTTCAAACGAAAAATACTTTGTTAACTTGGCAAATACAAGCGGGAATACTGCTGCAAGCACAATTAAAGATATGCAAAACAAATTTTACAAATCAAATTATTATCAACGTGAGATAAGTCCTGTCTTTCATCAATTCTTAGACTGTGTATATCAATTATTATGTCTTTATCCAACTCGTTTTCAATTTAACGAACAAATGTTGATTGAACTCCATTATCATGTTTATTCATGTCAATTTGGCACCTTTTTATTTAACAGTGAAAAGGAAAGGATAAGCCATCATCCACAAGATAAGACTTTCAGTATTTGGGATTATTTTAATTCAAATAAGAAAAAATTTACAAATGAACTTTATGACCCTATGAAGGATAAGGATCTTGTAGATGATGGTGGCGTTTTAATGCCGGACGCTTCAAAGGTGAAATATTGGGCTTCTCTTTTCAAACGTGATGATAATGAAGTCAATAGTTTAGGTATTGCATACGGGCTAGCAACTTTACCATTACCTGAAGAGAACACGAGTATTGTCGTTACAGAATCAGCAGATTAAAAATATTTATATATAACACTGCCGTTTTTTTTTTTTTTTATTATTATTTAAACATTAGCGTTTATTAAAATTGATATAAGAATAGATAGTTCAGGTTACGCTTGAATGATTTATGAATAATTTTAGTAATTAATAGCAGAGTTTATTATATGATTACATAGTTTTTTTTTTTTTTTTTTTTTTTTTTTTTTAAGAAAAAAAGAATAGTTTTAGAGACCACATCTGCCACTTCTACAAGTTTCAACACAGTCATCACTGGAAGAACAACAGTAGCCTGTCTTGCCGTTACCCTTCTTCTTTCCTCTAGTACCAGGAGTACAGCTACCGGATGCTACTGTTGCGGTGGTTTTTTTAGTAGTAGTAGTTGTTGTTTTCTTAGCAGTTGTTTTCTTAGTAGTAGTAGTTGTTGTTTTCTTAGCAGTTGTTTTCTTAGTAGTAGTAGTAGCTGTTTTCTTAGTAGTGGTTTTGGTTGGTGTTTGCGTGTTAACAGGACCATTGCATTTTCCACTGATACAATCATCTAAGCAATCAGATTGATCCTTACAGCAGGCACCGTTATAACCATCACCATTACCTAAGCCATAAGATCCAGAGGCACAGGTGCCAGAAATAGGAGTGGAAGGTTTCGAAGGAGTATTGGGAATAGGATAGACAAAGTTCTCTTCCCAATAGGGTTGTGAGATACCATTACAAGATAAGGCAGGAATGACATTAAATGTTTCTTGAATCTTGGGCATCCAATACATAGACATGTTAACTGTGACACTATTTAATTCATGCTCAAGAACAATATGACCAGAACGATCCTTCCCTGATTTATAGTTATTGATCCATTTTTTGAACTTTGCATCTACTTTCTTGGGTGAAAGGCTACCTACACCAAGGGCATGCATATTCCAGTCATCCGTATCTTCATCCCAAAGAATGGTTCTTAAGCCCATTTGCCAAGCAATAGCACGAACACGATCATCAACGTCACCCTGAGGAGGTCTCCAACATTTAGATGTCACACCTGTGGCTTCTTTGATTGCTTTCAGATTCCAATACAATTCAGCAACAATTTGTTTATTTGTTTGAGTTGTCATAGGAGGATGAGACCAGGTGTGAAGACAAAGTTGATGACCATCATTTAAAGCACGTTTGGCTGCAGCAGGGTAAGTGACTACATTAGAACCAATATACTTATATATGACAACTTTGTTAGTTCATGATATCAATATATATATGTATGTATACTTACGAAAAGTGTAGCCTTTTGATTATTGTTTTCAGCTAAAAAGTTATAAAGAGCGGGTTCAGCATAAGGATTCTCCTCCTCAGCGTATTTATCATCACGTTTGTTAAAAGGACCATCGTCATAATTCAAGCCCCAATCACCTTCATTGGGACAAGTATAGATATCCTCAGGCAAATAAGAAGCTTTAGGTTCAAGACAATTTGTGGAGGTCCACCAACAGTAAGGATCAGAGGGACCATCAGAATTACTTTTCCAATTCCCATTTGCGTCTTGCTTTCTTACAGGAGCCTTAGGGACCTTACTCCAATCGATCATATCATAGACTTTCTTTACTTCTTTTGAATTGGTAGGAGGAGATTTCCAAACTTCTGGATAGCCTTCTAATTGAGCAGTAGACAAAGTAGAGGAAGTATCGTAAGGACCAGCATTATATGAAGTTACTACATCTGTTGCCTTGGGCATATTAGAAGGAAAGACAGGAGAAAACTGAGGTGCAAGTCCACTTTTAGTGGTAGTTGCGGCAAAAGTCCCAGTTACAACAGCACTAAGGAACAACGCGTTTGTAATAAACATGGAAAAGGATTGAATAGTTAAACAAGAATGTTATTTCAAGAAGAAGAAGAAAAAAAATATTTATTTAAGGCATTTATTGAAGGTTACATAAAAAGTCATTTTTTGTAATACATTAATTTAGGAAGAAAAAAAAAAGTTTGTGCACTTTACTTATTGTATACTTTCTTTGTGAAAAAGAGTTTTGAATATACTTAATCTGGATAAAAAGAAAAAAAAAAAGGTAAATATAAAAATCTAAACCTGTTTCCTTTATAAAGTAAAAGAGTAAAAGACATTACCTTTATTGTGTTATTCTCTTTTATCCAGATACAAAATTGTATGTATACAAAATCCCCCTTTAAAACAACATAATTGTATATCCGAATTACAGCTCAAATAAGATTTATAGCACGTTCTTTTCCTTAACCAGGAATAAATTTAAACTTTTTTTTTTGTCAATACTTGGATGACAGATATTCCAATTCATATACAACTCAACAGTAAGAAATAATGAGTGTCTTTACTAATAAGGCTTTTATTAGGGCGAATTCAACATTTAATACTATCTTTATGATAAACATTTATTATATATGAAATAACGTAGTACTTATATATATCTATATCTATATATGATCTGTAAAGAAAACATTTATATTACTAGCGTCATATTAATTCTAGAAAGATATAATAATAATATACATCTACTTTAAAAAAAAAATTATAACAATTACAAGTCTTTAAAGAGAGAATATGCTAGGACATCTTTGGCTATAATTCTTGAAATAGGAGTCCAAATTTAACATTTATTTTAAGAGAATAATAGTCTGTGTTGTGTCTTCGGATTAAACTGACCGCTTATTTTTTTTATCAACCCTGTGCAATAAATCTGACGTTAATGACAATGAATGTTTGTATGTAATACTTGGACTTTTTTTTTGCACATTCTTCTATTTATAGACATCCAAACATTCGAATCAATTCTACAAGTGCACCAGGTAGGTTAGATACTAAGAAGAAAGAAAAAAAAATCGATTGGTAAGAAAGCAGAGCAAAATTACACTAGCTGACCAAATTCCAATTGCTAATACGTTATAATTTTGTATTTTTTTTTTTTAAAAAAAAAGAAGAAAATTCTACTACACGTTTGTTTTAAAGCTCTGAAAAGGATTTCAGAAGTCGTATATTCAAATATACCAATCATATTAGTTTCGACAGCAAGTCCGGGGAGGGTGATTATTAATATTGGCTACCATAAAATTTGGCTTTGATGATAATGCTGTTTTTTTTTAAAGTACCCAACCTATCATTTCTAAACTTTTATCAATATCCTAAACTATGCAAACGAACTCTTGCACCAATTCTTGATATAATGTCAGTCTCTTCATTTTATTTTGCGTACTATGTTATTCTTGTTTTTAATAACTATCAAGAATATGTAAAATATTCCAAAATAATAATAATAATAATAAAAAACGTTACCTTTCCATCAGTCTGAGCTTGCTTGAATTCTAAAGCTATTTGTTCTTTAGATTGTGGCTCCTTTATACTGGGTAAGACGGTTGAAGACTTTGAACGTGGGGTCTCATCCAGAGTAACATTCCTCTTTTTTTTTTTCCTAGTTAATGGCACGTTGTCATTGAGGGAGGCGTTTTGAGAAACATCAACGGAATCAGTAGTAGGGTCAATACGAGAAGTATTACCTGAGTTTACTTCAACAGGATATCTGGAACTGGAATTAGTAGTTTACTAAGTTTAAGAGGATTCTTTCATGCTGTTATCTTGATTCCTCAAACTAATATACACATATATATATAATTAATGTGTCTTTATAAGCTGCAGTATATTGATTAAAGATAGCTTGGAATAAGGGTAAGAAGCTTAAAGAGTGAATTTCAAGATGCATGTGAGTTTATATCTACTTCTTTTTTTATTATACATATTTATGCAAATAAGATAAGAATACATTCATACCGATAACAGTATAAATATGATTTATAATTTACTATGTTCCCTTCACAATGAATATACAATATAAATGTATTGTCACAATAAAGGTATCGTCTTGGAAATGACAAAGGAACCCTTTTCTCCCTTTATTATTCTTTCCCCTTTCTTTTTGTTATTAAAGAAAGCATTCAGAAGGAAGTTGATTATAGTTAGCTTTGTACGACTTTAGTTAGTTTTAGCCCTTTTTTTTTGTTAAGTAGAGAAATACGTGTGTATGACATTTAATATAAATTTAAACCTTGTGTTTCTATGTTATATGTTAAATCTGAAATAAGGTAAAATAGAGTTATGTATTCAAATTGAAACACATCATCAAAAGTGAAAGGCTTTGTTTGAAGACTATTAGAAAATATAAACTAAAGACAATTATCCAATTAGGAAAGAACTCCATTTTTATTTTTATTTTAAATTTTCACATGAAAAAAGAAAAAATTAATTTTTTTTTGTGGCATAATTTGAAAGTCAGTTAATAATAAATACATTGATTTGAATCCAATTTTTCCCACAATTTTTGGCACAGTACATATAAAATTAAAATAAATTGTTTACAGAGAATTTGAAATAAAAGGGTATGTGTGTCTTGAAGAACTCTATAGCAATCAATAAGCTTTTTTTTTTTTTTTTTTTTTTTTTTTTTTTCTCTTCTTCAATATGGATTTAACAGCAGACTAGGTTGAATTAAAAAAGAATATAAAATAGATAGACTTGTAAACATAACTTACAACACATTTTATTAATATTTTCTACTATATTATAAACTACAGTATTACCAATAACTATTTAATGACATTTGAGCCCTTCAGGCTTATACATAATATCTTGGCCACTTATTACAGAATATAAAATAATAAGCATTTTAATAATGATCTAATCAAAGGCTGCCTATAGATAGTTTTTTTTTTTGGTATTTTTATTCTATATATGCATATATACTACTGTTGCTTGTCTACTATATAGATGGTGGCTTATCTGTTTTATCTTTCACTTTGGATATTTTACTTTTATTTAGTTTCTTTTTCAGTGCCTATTTTTCTTTTTTTTTCAAATAATAGAAAGAATTATTAAAGCAATAATTGAACTTATTTAATATAAAGGATATTAATTTGATTCTTTGAGATATTCAATTAATTTCTCTCTTTCCTGTTCTTTTTTTTTTTTTTCGCTTCAGAATAATTTTGATCAACATCAAACAGGTCTGAAATAATATATACAATAGAAAGACTTATAAAGTGGATATTGGTTAATAGAGCTAAAACATCATATCATGAATTAAAACCATAAATGGATCCCCCATATGCTAAATTTAAGAGTCAAACCTACACAATTTCTCTTCTATTATATTACGAGACTTTATTATTAATAAAAGGTTGCATTCTTAAATCTTTTTAGTTTTCATAATACCTAACGATCCATCTTTCCCAAATCATGATTAAAAACTATAATGATTTATATGCTGTTTATTATTGTTATCGCTTTCAAAAGTTAAATAGCATTGTGATAGCTGTTACAATATTCTTTCTTGCTTCGTGATTAGTCTATTTTATATAGTCAAAATTAGATTAAGGATAGATTCCAGAAGCCAAACTTTTAAATCCATATTTATAATGTTATTACAAAGAAATACATCGTAAGTCATAAATAATCAAAAAAAAAAAAAAAAAAAAAAAAGAATTTTTTTGGGAAGGTATAGAGAAATTGATGATCATTATAATAAAGAATGTATTGTTGGAGAAGATATTTGATTATATCAAAATATAGATTGGAAATAAATCTGATTGGGTTTATATTCGTTACCCTTTCAAATAGCTATTGCAATCAAGAAGCCTTTCTCTCTCTCTCTCTCTCTTTCTCTCTTTTCAATATGGTTTTAACAGCAGGCGATCAATTAGATAGAAAATAAATAGACTCGTAAATATGATTTACGTTACATTTTATCAATGCTTTCTACTTCACTGATAAATGATATCCAATTATTTTGTGATACAAATCATACAAATATGTATGCGTGATTAGATTAATTGTGATAGAATGAATTTTGCTCTTTTTTTTTTTAATATGTAAGTAGTTAATGGAAACATTTTCATATGTTTTGGTAAATAGTAAATATATGCAGCTTTATATAAAAGGCAAGTATCAGTATATATTTGCCAATGATGAAGTTACAATCATACCTTGTTTGAGATATAAAGATTTTCTTCTCCTTTTCGTCTTCTGCATACACTTTTTTTTTTAGGGTTAAATCCCCGTCAAAAGTATGATTATTATTTGTATACACAAATTCTACTTTTAAACAATCTTGTACCTGAGTATGTTTATCTTTCTTTCTTTTTTTTTTCTTTCCTTTTTTTTTCTTTTCTTTCTTTATTTTATAATATAACGTTTAATTCTGTTGAATATAATATATATATATATATACATATATATATATTATTTAATGGAGATAGAAAAACTTTATGGCCCTACTAATGTCATTGTTACGTTAAGCTCCAAAAAATTATCTATAAAAAGGAGACTGTCACAATCAAAATTACCTGCAGACAATATTCCTAAAAGAAAAAAAGGACTCAATGATATTAGTTCTTTAAATTCAATTAATCAACAAACGAGTGTAGAAGAAGAAGAAGAAGAAGAAGAAGAAGAAGAAAATGAAAATTTGAGTACAAGACAACAACATTGGCCATGCCATACAAAGGTTTTATTTAATGAATCACCCTATTTTGCTTCACTCTTTAGTGAAAACTTTAGTGAAACAAATGCTAGTATTGCTTATCTTCCATCTAGTATCATTGATAGTTCAGCTCTTAATCATGTCTTAAAATACATGTATACACATCAAATATACAAGCCAAAGGAACTGAAAGAGTTATGTGATATGTATTCAGCTGCAGATTATCTAGGTATGGATGAATTATGTGTTCAAATAACAAAACTAATGATGGAAACTGTTCACAACTGCAATTGTTACTGTAATCAATGTCAATGCAATGTTTCTCAATTATTTCCCTTTTGTAGAATGCGAGCTATTGAACTCCAAGATGAAAAGATGGCTATCATGACACAGAAGATAATTACAATCTTAGCAAATGATCCAGAGAAAACATTGTCTACCTTTTGGGCTAGTCGTCACATGGCTCATCTCTTGATACAACTTCCACAAGATGTAAGTCAGGCACTTTCATTGAAAGTGCTTCATCGTGTGAATAAATCAAACGCGATTGAATCGCTTTATGCATGTTTTTCTACATCCAATGCTTTATCCATTAAAGACCCTTTACTCTCTTGGACTAAGCCTCTTCATGCTACTTTAACATCGGTTCAATCTTGTTCTACAAAAATAATCGCTAGTCACTTTGACTTCTTTTGTCGAGAATATCCAGCTCTTTTATCATGTATAGATGGAATCACTTATTCTTTTGATTTTCTTGAATATTTACTACTTTATATTCTAGAAGATCAAATGGATTATAGTAATGTTGGTATATTATACCAAGGTATTGTTTGTGATCTCATGTCGAGACATGCTGTTCAATACAACGATCAAGTCAAGCATATTTTGAATGTAGCAAAAGTCATGATTCTTCATTATATCATTCGACGTTTAGGAGATATTCGGCAACAGGGAGGTTTAGATAACTTGGAAAAAAGCGTATTAAAGCAATTAGCTGATGGTAAAATAATTCTATTATTATTGTTATTTTCTTTTTTCTTTTCTCATTTCACAAACAAAAATATACATATACATATATATAGAAATTAATGTACGACCCAAGTCACTCATTAGTTCTGACCATCCCCTTTTCCATCGCGGTCTATTTTCATTTTTACTGCCTTCTATACCTACTTTACACCCTTCTACTTCAACTCAAACCAATCGTCTTTCACGTTATTCTTCTCGTTCTACTACTAATACTACTACTCATACTACGTATACAACACAGAGGCATCTTAGTTTGCCATCAAGAATCACGAGTCATTCAGTGAATAATAGTTATTCAACCCCTTCTTTTACAAGCCATCTTACACGGTTACTCAAAAAACTGGGTTCGTATCATTCTTCACGGCTTCAAGTCACACAAACACCCAGTATATTTCCAAATCGCACACTATCCACGTCTACAACCCGGACAACAGCGTCTACTTCTTCATGGTCACATGTCAAATTAGAAAAGCATACGAAAAGGAAAGCCATTTCATTTTCACCCATTGTAAAACAAAAGACATCTTTAAAAAACAGGCAAGTGAGTGCACCGATGATAGGATTACATAGACGAGTTCAATTAATAAGAAGACCCATTTTAACTGTGGGTACTGTTGCTTATGTTGGTTGTGTTAATTTTGCAGAGGGTATATGGGTTGGTGTAGAACTTGATAGACGAGGTATATACATAAAAGAAAGTAATTTGAAATTATTGCAACACTTTATATATTTATTTATTTATTTTATTTTATTTTATTTTATTTTATTTTATTTTATTTTATTTTTTTTTTTGGCTATCCTAGTTGGTAAAAATGATGGCTCAGTAGATGGTTTTAGATATTTTGCATCTTCTCCTAATAGAGGCGTTTTTGTTCGACCTGAAGATATTGCTTTGGTTGTATAAGATAGTAAACTAATATGACTTTTTTTTTTTTTTTTTTTTTTTTTTTTTTTTTTAAAAAAAAAAAAAATATGCTTTGATGTTCAAAATATATATACAAATATGCTACATACATTTTCATTTATGCTTCAAATTATGATATGATCTTTAATTAGTTTTTCCTTTATAAATATACATAATTAACAAATAGTAATGCGTACTACAATAAAGACATGAATTTTTATTTCATTTTGGAGAAAAATAGATTTACCTTTTAAAAGGCTTTATTAAGTTGAAAATAAATTAGAAGCATCAATAGTAAAATGGTATTTGTATCGATAATAGATCATTGAAGAATTCAAATAGATATATACATATATGCTAATATAGATTCATTTATTAAATATACTAAAGAAACTACAAATGGGTAAGTATTGATTACAGACTACTAAACCTATCAGTAGAGTAAAGCTAAAAAAAAAAAAAAAAAAAAAAAAAAAAAAAAAAAAAAAAAAAAAAATATTGATGTTGAAAGGCAAAGATAAATATATTTATAACATTTAACGCATTTATTAAATAATATATATATTCACTCATACGCTATATAGCAGCATCTTCTTATATATATATATATATATATATATATACACGTAAATAACAATCAGTTGGCTTACCTGTCTAAAGAAGAAGACAGAGTATTCAAAAAGAGATAGATAGAATAGATGTCGCTGGTATAACTAAACAAACGAAATGATGTAAATTTGATTAGATTGATGTTTATTCCCTGACCTTGCATCAAATATTAAAAAATACGCCTTTATTACGAATGATAAGTAATCCATAATCTCCAGAAAACTTTTTTTTTATTTTTTTATTTATTATCATTGAATACAATACTAAATAGTCTCTGGTCACATCAGTGACTGATGTTTCTCCAATATAATAATGAAATGTAAATAAAGAAGAAAGTGTGATAAATGAGGAAGACTCTATAGAGCTTTTTTTTTTTTTTTTTTTTTTTTTTTTTTTTTTTGAATGTAATTAATATAAAATAATGTCATAACATATGGAGACCAATATCGTTTCTTTATCAAATCTATTCAGTCTTTAAAATAATGATAGTCGGAAAAAAAAAAGAAATCAATTACAGTATAATAGCCAATTTGATTCATTATTGATAGCACCTGTTATCTATCCTCATTGCATTTAGTTAGTATAGTTTGTTCTATTTAAATATGTGTATACACGTAGTATATGGAACAGACTTGCTATTATTCAATATTTGAGCCTGTATCTAGGGGATTTGTTAGATTATGAATATTCATTAAAAAAGGAATATTGTTTCAACAAAGTTATTGTATTGCTATTAATAGATTATTTAAAGACACTGTCTTGAGTGATCGAGATAAAATCTCTATCATCTCATCATTGATGTAGTATAAAGCATGGAAAGGTTAGGAAAATAAATGCTATTCACATCTTATCTTGATGTGATATTTAACTATTTGAATTGGACCATTTCCCTTTGTTTTATAGTAAACTACTGGATGGATAATGTTATGAAAAAAAAATATTTTTAGTAAATAAATAAATTATTATGGTGTTACCTTATAAAATAAAAATACAATTAGAGTAATTTATTTATGCTATTCTACTATAACAGCAAATATTGTTAATAATAATAGTAGCCGTTATTGCCTATAATTCTTAATTCTATTATACTTTCTTGTCTGAGTAAAAAAATTTGGCTTGAAATAAAAATAAACTTTTTTAATATATTTTAAAACTTGGTGATAATGACTTCATATTGCTTCATAGAAAAGAGAAAAAAGAAGAAAGGTAAAGCTTGTTTTTTTTTCATTTAAACTATTAAATATAGTCTGTCGATCCATTATAATTTTTTTTAATCTTTTTTAATATGCAAAATCTATAAATATAAAATATTGATTTCACCGAAAAAAAATAATAACTTTATTATTTAAGCCTCAATAAAATAAAACCAGCCAGTTGTTTTTTTTTTTTTTTTTTTGATTTAAATGTAAAGTTTTAATTTTTCCTATTGTTTTTTTTTTCTTTCTTTTTTTTTTTTTTTTGGGAATTTATAAAGAGAAAAAATAGATACAAATATGATGGGTAAAGATTAGTAAAGATGAATTCAAATACTGTAAATCTAATCTTTATTCTTTTCGTTAGGTGTTTTAAGTTTTTTTAATACTATACCTATAAAATATCTTTCACTTATTATTTTAGTAGTGCAGAACAGTGCACTCATCTTGGTCATGCGTTATACTAGAGCTAGTGTAGAAGAAGATAAATTATATTTAGCGTCAACAGCTGTTGTGATGAGTGAAATTATAAAGTCTATTGTTTGTTTATTTGTACTTTATTTTGCTATGGAATCTCGTAAACGTACTATCAAAAAACTTATTCGACTATTAAATCGTGAACTCATTTTAAATTGGAGAGAAACTGTTAAACTTGCAGTTCCTGCTGTATTATATCTTATTCAGGTATACTAAATAATTATTGTATTTTATTTGTTATTGATTGACATTTTTTTTTTTCGTTTTCTTTATTATAAAAAAAAAAAGAATAATCTTCAATACGTTGCAGCCTCTAACCTCGACGCAGCAACATTTCAAGTGACTTATCAATTAAAGATCTTAACAACTGCATTTTTTAGTGTGATTATACTTAAAAAAAGTCTTTCGAAATTAAAATGGATTGCTTTAGGATTATTAACGGTGGGAATTGCTCTTGTTGTGATGCCAAAAGGAACTATTACAGCATTTATTGCTTATACAACAGGAAATACGACTGTTACGGATTCAAGTATTCCAACGGCAAGTATCGGTAATCAATCTAATATAGAAGGCTTTATTGCTGTATTAGCTGCTTGTCTATTATCTGGTTTAGCAGGAGTTTATTTTGAAAAGATTCTTAAAGCACCTACACCTAAGCCTGTTCCTACTACTACTGACGACGAAGATTCATTCTCTGATAATGAAGATGGACAAGAGAACAAGAGAGTTATTTTTAGAGAAGAAGAAGATATGAATGAGGATACAAATAATAAAAATCAAATATGGATTCGTAATATTCAAATGTCGTTTTTCTCTGTTCTATTAGGCTTAGTATTTGTGGTTATGTTACAAGATGGAACAACAATTGTAGAACGAGGCTTCTTTGTTAATTACACGCCTTTAACTTGGACTGTTATTCTCATTCAAGCGTTAGGGGGATTAATTGTTGCACTTGTCGTAAAATACGCTGATAATATTTTAAAGGGATTCGCTACAAGTATTAGTATTATATTATCATCTATTGTTAGCGTGTGGCTTTTCAGTTTTACTTTTTCTGGATCATTTTTACTGGGCGCAGCATTAGTAATCTATGCAACCTATCTCTACGGTCTGTAATACATACGAAGACTGCCCCTTCTCAAAGAATACCCTTTATATATATCCCCCTCTCCCTCCCTTCCTCCCTCCCTTTGCCCTCTTATATATAAATAATAATACAATGATTCGCGTTTCAACCTCAAGATTTTGTAAAATAAAATTCAAAATTTATTATTATCATTCAACGTTTCATGAAGCGGTGTAAGCTTTTTTTTTTTTTTTTTTTACTTTTACTTTTGCTAGAAAGATATAGGGAAAAAAACTGCATCTTATTTTATTACATTTAAAGGAAAACAAAGCATGATTCATCTTCAGTCTTTGTTCTAGCAACATTGTTAATCACTATAATAAGAACGATTTTATTAAAACAGTAAAATAATAATAATGCAATGCATCTATTTCTAAAATTTTATTGGTACAACCTAATTTTTAGGTCAATCTTTGTATTGCTTCCAGAAATTAACGGGGCACTTTGATAAAAAATCTCAAATTCTTGCCATGAATGGATGCCCAAAAATTACGAATTACGCTTGTAATATTCTTTTCCCCTCCCTTATATTTCAAAACACATAAACTATACTTATTTTTCTTTCTAACAGTGAAAATCATCAGTAGAATCTTTTTGATTATATAAATAAGATGAGGCAGCTTTTTTTTTTTTGTTGATTAAATGTACTATCCTTTATATCATTAAGATACTATACTATCAGTATCCCGTATATTGATAATCATAATTTATACAATTTTATCTAACAGAATCATTCCCTTTCTTTTTTATCCGTACAAAATACTTAGTGTTGGGCTTTTTCTTTTTCGTTTGCAAGTCAAATTAAATGGTAAATAACCTTCAAGTTAATAGAGGAATAATACGTTGTAAAAGGCGGATTTTTTTTTTAAATATATAGAAAAGCTTGAATTATTGTAAATCACTGATTATATATCAGTAGACTAATAGAGCAAATATTAATTATTGTTAAATAATTCAATCCTTTTATTTTTACTTTTGTTGCTCTTATTCATAACCTAATATAAGAAACCGTCTAGTATTTACATTCTCCTTTATTGTAATATATAGCATAAATGGAAATGTTTAGAGTTGTATTGATTGTATACTGTATAATAATGGAATTATACTAAAGTCTATAAATAGAAAGAATTTATATAAGCAGCAGCAGAATAAAAAAAAAAGGGGGAAACTTGGAATTTAATATGTATGATGATCTTATATCTAAAGTGTAACAAAGGTAAACAGAGTCATATCATTAAATGTTCACTAATAGAAAACAATAAGCCACAATAAAACACTGTGCCTATTAGAAGCCTTTTGTTTATATGGAAAAAAAAAATATAAATAGGGGAAGAAAAAATTTATTTTTGCTTTTCTTTTTCTTTTCTTTCTTTATGAAAGTGATATTCTGAGGATATTGGTCACTATAAACAATAAATCGTCAGTGATATTCTCCGGATAATGGTCACTCTAAATAATAAATCCCCCAGTGAAGTTATTTGGATGTATTGGTCACTTAAAATATTCAATCCCGAGAGTATCTTTCATTTGGAGTTTTCACGTCTCTCGTTAAATATGACTGTGAAAGGAAGCACATAATGATCAACCTCCACGATTGGTTGCTTCTGGAAACAGTAGTCTTTTTTATTATATAGAGAAGCTACTGGCTAATTGGATCATTACCCCTTTTTTATTATTAATTATAAATGAAAAAAAAAACTTTTATGTAATAACGACTTGTAGAAGAAGATTCAATACTAACTAAATGAGCTTTGTAGTTGTTTATGTACTGTATTGATTATCATTTTTATAAGTTGGTGTAAGGATTAACAAACAGGATTGTTAAATTAGTAATATCAATGAGAAAACCAGGTTTTGGCTGTAATATTTTAATTAAAAATAACGATGTAGACCCATCATGATAATAAACATTTTGCACTATAAAGTTGTTACTAAAAACAAAAGAATCAAACCCAATGACTGAAGGTTATATCATATTACCAACAAAGCCTTTAAAAGGCATACTGGATAATTTTACCATTAAAAAATAAATAAGGGGATTAATTAAAAAGAGTATAGTATTCAGGGTGATATCTCTATTAAGATATCAGAAAATAGATAATAAATCAACGAGACTGAACAATATATTTTTACAAGGCACATAGTTGAAAATACATTTATTTATTTCGCTTCTGACTTCTCGTGAATTTAAGCAAAGTAAAAAAAAAAAAAAAAAAAAAAAAAAAAAAAAAAAAAAAAAAAAAAAAAAAAAAAAAAAAAAAAAAAAAAAAAAATTGAATACGCGAATTCACTTTTTTTACAAGTGCATATCTTTTTTTCCATAAATGCGACAACATTTTTTCAATAAATACGACAAATTTTTTGAAAAAAAAAACACGTCAACACAATTTTAAATCCATTTTTTTAATTATCTGTCTATATTTTATTTCACCATTCTAATTGGTTGACAAAAAAAAAAAAAAAGCTAAAATAAATGTTAAGTTTTTCCTATTTTTTTTTTTACTATAATTGTTAATTCTCCTTTCATTCATAACACATAGAAATGTTTCTTTCAAAAAAAGAAAGAGCATCAAAAAGCTTACGTAGACTAACAAAGACAAAGATTTCAACACCGGTTGCTCAAGTCAACACTTTAGATTTACCAAAAAAGATCATTAAAGCTCTTTACGATTATCAAGCAAAGGGGTCTCATGAAATTTCATTTAAAAAGGGGGACTTTTTTCATGTTACAGGGAGAGAAAATGATCCGGAATGGTTTGAAGCTTGTAACCCTGCTTCAAACTTGAAAGGTCTTGTTCCTGTATCTTATTTCCAAGTGATTGACAAAACAGAGAGAAGTTTATTTGCTAATCGTCCTACTTCTTCTTCAACTACTTCCTCCAATACCTTAACTTCTGAGTTAGACTCAGGGTTTTCTGACTTGTCTATTCATGGTAACTAACTAAAAATTGAACATGATCACTTTTTTTTTTCTTTTCTTTTGCTAACTATATTTGTTCTTGATATGATTAGGCCAAAATGGAACTTCTATGAGTAACAATAAAAAAAAACATCAAATATATGGGGTCGTTATGTATGATTTCAAAGCTGAAAGACCTGACGAATTAGAGGCTCAAGCAGGAGAAGCGATTGTAGTGATTGCCCAATCAAATCATGAATGGCTTGTAGCTAAGCCAATTGGTCGTTTGGGTGGCCCGGGATTAATCCCTGTTTCATTTGTACAAATTCGCGACGCAGTAACAGGTGAATTAATTATGGATAATGATCATCAAGGTCAACAACATATATCAAATCATTTATTAGGTGTAGAAGATTGGAAAAAACAAGCACAAAATTATGAAACCTCTAGTATTCCTTTAGGTATCTTTGAATCTTCCTCTCCTTCAAATAGTAGATCAAGAGTCTCCGCTACTTCTTCAGTTTCTACTACTTATGAAATTGTCACTTTTGCTTCTGTTGATTCTTACATATTAGAAGGAGATCAATATTGGTTTGTTGTTTATGCACGTGTTAATGAAAACTGTCATCGTATATTATATCGCCTATATGAAGGTAAAAAAAAAAAAAAAAAAAAAAAAGAGAGAGAGAGAGAGAGAGGTCTTTAAATATTTATATTGATTTCTTTTCTTTTTTTTAAAAAAAAAAAAGATTTCTATGATTTTCAACTTAGTTTATTACAAGCTTATCCTATTGAAGCGGGTAAAGCGGATCGAGAGAGGATATTACCTTATATGCCTGGTCCATTAACCTATGTGGATGAAACCATTACATCTGAAAGACGAATAGATTTAGATCGATACTGTAAAGAGCTTTTAAATCTTCCAAAGTATTTATCAGAAAGTGAGCTTGTTCAAAGACAACTCTTTGGTATTCATGAAGGTGATATTGAATTAGATTATGATCCACGTGTAGTGAACAAGGAGACTATAACGACGTCAGAACAAACAGTGCAGCAGCAAATTAAAATCAAAATTATTTATAAAGATGATATATTCGCTATGAAAGTGCCCGCAAATTGTTCTTTAGATCATCTAACATCGAAAGTTCAAGAAAGAATTGGAGAAAAAGTAAAAATGGAATATAAAAATGAAGCAACTGACAAAAATGAACCATTAGAAAATGAAATAGATATGGAAGAAGCATTTGTGCAAGCAATTCAAAAAGGAAAATTAACAGTTACTGCAGTTCTTAGTAGTGATTAATGTATCTATTTACTTGTAATTATGTCTTTTTTCTTTCTTTCTTTCTTTCTCTCTTTCTCGAAGAAGACGAAGAAAGCTGTATTATTATTATATTTATTACGTGTATATATAACAAATGTTACTTTAGTGAAGTAAACTAAAAAAAAAAAATAAAAAATAAAAAAATAAAATAAAAAGATGTCTATTTTTTTTATGTAATACAATGTAACACAATTAATGTTTGTGATACTGATTTGCCCAGATTAGCTCAACAGAATAAGAGTGAAAAAAAAAATATATAAAAAAAAAGAAACTAAAAACTTCTTGTAAGAGATAAAAGATAAAAGGAGGAAGTGAAGAAAATTGCATAGTATTCTCGGATAGAACAAGCTTATTTTATTTGTAAAAAAGAAACTTTGAAATGAATATGTATTCCCAAGACAAAGCGGATTGCTGATGGCCTCTTTATAATAGCTATCTATGCTAATCAATTCTAGCTTTCTAAATCTATTTAGATGACTTATTTTCCCTTATAGTTTTCCTTACCAGCTTTACACTACTAAACAGTTATGTATGTTCTTCAATATAGGGCAGCCTACTTTCATTATTAGTATTAGTATTTTAGCACACACTGTTCATGTTGCCGCTATTCTTTGGTAGAAATAGAACTATCTTTAAGAATGTACTATAAATAGTTTATTTTGGTCAAATATTGCTTCCATCAAGTGAATAACCAATCTATATTACTATTGATCCATTTGTAGTAAAGGAAGCAGCCACGTCTATCTCCTCAGAACAGAAATATGCTATCTGTGCTAATCTTTGTATTATACCCATGTTCTAAACCAATAACGCCAGTAAGACTATTGCATTTATCAGGGACATATATCTTAATGCTAAAGAAAATTGATACCAATATATATAAAGAAAGGGAAATCATCTATTCCCCATTTATGAGATAAATTCACTATGGTCTTTGTATCTTTCTTTGAAATAGAAATGTATATTGATTGTGTCCTAATGCTTTATCAACTTTTGCTAAAATACCGTTGCCAAAGACATAAGAAAGAAAGAAATGGTTTACAAAAAGGTCTTTGATGATTACTATTTGATATAGGTATAGACTTTTTATTGAAAGAGCATTTTCTCAAAACTATATCGAATATGTTATTTTATCCCTTAATGAACCAAGCATTACAATTGGGCGTTTTTTTTTATTTATTCTGCTACCAAGGTAGTTGTAAGATAAAAAGAGGAAAGGAAGGAATCTTTTTTCTTGTACCTTTAATAAATAAAAGTTGTATATTAGAACCATTTCATCTCATTTGTACACTTTTAAAAGTCTTCATTTTTATGATTAATTACAAGTTTTCTTTTACAAACAAAGATAAATATGTTATCTTCTTTAATTTGCATAAATATCTTTTTCCTCCCGACAAAAGGTTGCACATAATAAATACAATAAAAATTAAAAAAAAAAGTATAGGCAAAAAGATTATTTTTTTTAATTATTTTTTTTTTTCGCGAGTTTCTAGTATTGAAATAAATAAAGATAATTGCTCTCTTTTGCTTTTTATCGTTGCCATGTTTAATACATATTTACTGTTTCTTATTTTCGCTTATTTATATATCCATAAGGGAAGTTCAGTGTATGCGGAATATCAAATAAATTGCCCCCATTAATTTACAATGTGGGGTAATTGGTAGTGGTTAACGAAAAGTTTACATGACCCTGTTGTGTGAAGAAACAGGTCTTTTGTGTAATGGTAATTTGTCATTTTGCGTGTAATCTTTACAGTTTAAAACTCCTCTTTTACTACTAAATAGAATTTTAAAAATCCCCGCATTTCATTTTTTTTTTTTTTTATTAAATATAATTATCATATCCTCTACTCTTTTTTTAATTGCTTTATTTTTCCTATTTTTATTTTATTTTATTTTTATTTTTGTTTATCACTTGAAAATATGCCCGGTAAAATTATTGTTAAAAATCCTGTTGTTGACCTTGATGGTGATGAAATGACCAGAATTATCTGGCAACTCATCAAAGATAAACTTATTTTACCATACCTCGATCTTGATATTAAATATTTTGATCTTGGTATTGAAAATCGTGATGCTGTAAGTATATTTAAATGTAAATAAAAGGAGAAGAAGAAGAAGAAGAGAGAGGGAGACAGGAATATATTTCTATCTTTACACGTCTCCTCATAAATTCCATACTTACACTTAATAATTAATAATAGACGGACGATCAAGTTACCATTGATGCTGCTGAAGCTATTAAAAAGTATAATGTTGGTATAAAGTGTGCTACTATCACTCCTGACGAAGCTCGTGTTGAAGGTAAAAAAAAAAAAAAAAAAAAAAAAAAAAAAAAAAAAAATCTCTGGGTTATCGGTTATTTATTTCTCATTTTAGAATTCAAACTCAAGAAGATGTGGAAATCTCCTAATGGTACTATTCGTAATATTTTAAATGGTACCGTCTTCCGTGAACCTATAATTGTCAAGACGATTCCTAAGCTTGTTCCTGGTTGGACTAATCCTATTATTGTTGGTAGACATGCTCATGGTGATCAAGTAAATAAATAAATAAATAAATATTTGTACATCCTTTATTAGACTAACCTTCTTCATATATTTATGTAATAGTATCGTGCAACCGATTTCGTTGCTCCTGGTCCTGGTAAATTTGAAATCTTGTACACACCTGTAAATGGTTCTGAACCTAAAAGATTTGAAGTCTTTAATTTCGAAAAGTCAGGTGGTGTTGGTATGGCTATGTATAATACAGATGAATCCATTGAAGGCTTTGCTCACGCTTGTTTCCGTCTCGCTCTTGAACGCAAGATGCCATTATATTTGAGCACCAAGAATACGATTCTTAAGGCTTATGATGGTCGTTTTAAGGATATCTTTCAAGAAATTTATGAAAAGCAATACAAGTCAAGCTACGAAGCCGCTGGTATCTGGTACGAGCATCGTCTTATTGATGATATGGTAGCTCAAGCCTTAAAATCAAACGGTAATTTTGTTTGGGCTACAAAGAATTACGATGGTGATGTTCAATCGGATATTATTGCTCAAGGCTATGGTTCTCTTGGATTAATGACCTCTGTTCTTTATACACCCGATGGTAAAACAGTTGAGGCTGAAGCTGCTCATGGTACCGTCACTAGACATTATAGAGAGCACCAAAAGGGTAACAAAACTTCCACTAATCCAATCGCATCCATCTTTGCTTGGACTCGTGGTCTTGAACATCGTGCTAAATTAGATGATAATTCTGATTTACTTCAATTCTGTAAAGATTTGGAAAGAGCTTGTATTGAAACGATTGAAATTGATAAACATATGACTAAAGATTTGGCTTTGATTATTTATGGCAAAAGGTAAATAAATGAATAAAAAAGAAAGGGAAAGGGGAAGAGGAAGAAGGATTTCGATATATTCTCTCTTACTAATTATAATAATAGCATGACCACTGAGCATTATTCAACTACGGAAGTCTTCTTACAGCAAATTGCTGACAAATTAGCCTCTATTCGTAATCGTGCTTCTCTTTAAATAATTTTTGTGTTAATATTTCAAATAGAGATCTTTTTTTTTATATATATATTTGTATACAAATTTATATATTTTTATAATATATGATACACAGTTTATTATTTACTCTAGTCGTCTAAAGAATGCAAAGATAGCTTTTATATAATAAAACACATAAAATTATACGCTTCCTTTCTTTTTATAATTTATACTTGCACGTTAAATCATTTTTTTTAAGTGTACCAATTTCAATTACTTGTAACCATGAAGCTTGCTTCTTATTTACAGTGAGAACGGTAAAATTTGTCACTTTGAGAAAATTGAATGTCCGTAACCAAAAAAATGGATGGCACTAAGCCAAAAATGATTGTTCCTTGATGTCTAGAAGCTTTGTCCTTTTGAAATGTTACAATAAGTTAAATCAAATTGATCTAAATAATGATATTTATTTCTTGACTTCAAAGCAATTAGTAGAATGAAGTTTTATTATAACATTGAATGATTTGTCGTTTATAATAGGGTAACTGTTTGGACAGCTTTTATCTTTTGTCCATTGCTTGAGAAACACCCTAATGCATTACTAATTATCTTTCTTTTGTTCTATAATTTACATACCGAGTGTTATGCGGAACTGAATTGTTTTATATACCAATGTTACGGAAGATGTGATATAGGTCCATTCTTCGTATAAAAGTATTTTTTATTGAATGTTTTTTTTTCTGCAAATCGAGGATACAAATGCGTGTACTTGCCACCTTATTCCCCTGAATTAAATCCTATAGAACAATTCTAGTCAGCTGTTAAGAGTAAGCTCATGAGACAATCAGATTCTCGAGGAAAAAGCTCTGCAAGACTGTATCACTGAAGCGTGTAGCCAGGTTCCTCAGATTCATCTTTATGGTTTTGCCAAGCATTCCCATTCGTGCTTAGAAGATTGTTTGAATAAAAAAAAGCCATTTAAGATCTTTCTGATAAGCAAGATCTGAAAATATTTCTCATATAACTGTAACCAACTAACATTACATGCTCCAGATGAGTATAGCTAATTTGATGTATATTAAACAAAAATGTAAATGATTAAGTTAGGAATCTTCATGGTTAACAATGATGGGTACAGTGAGTTCACTACTAAAACAACAAGACAAGTAAAATTTTAAAACACAACTAGTTGATATGCAAAGACTGTTTAACGTTTTATAAAAACGTTTTTTTTTTATATCCATTTTAAAAGTAATCCTAAAACATGTACACACATACACACACACACATATATATATATATATACATATATATATATTTATTTGAACATAAGAGTGAAATGAGAGCACTTAAGGCATATATGTTGATAGAAAGTTGTTGGCTCAGTAGTTTATTCTACGTCGTTTGATTTGGCCTTCTTTCGAACGAATTTCTGCTCGTAAACAGTGTATGGCTGCCTCATGCTCGTGAATTTTACTTTCTAAATCATCAATATCTGCTTCCAGCAAGATGATTTTAACTTTATTGTCGCTTGACATGGTGGGCGTGACTATGATTTCTGACGGGTTTCAATACTGGTTGTGGGTTAGATGTTGGTGGTGGATTTGATACTGGTGTGTTTAAAGGGATTTCATAAGAGATTGGCCTTTTGTTCCAATCAATGGATGTCAATACCCTCGTGTTTTTTCCTTCATCAAGCTTTTTATTTCCATATCGCTGGAAGAATCTGCATGCATTCTCCCTTGTAGCAAAATGTAGAAACCGATATCTAGAACAGTATACAACAAAAGCAATAAGTACAATGAAATTCCGTGATTTTGAAAACTTACGGTTTATCTTTTAAGATCTTGTGTTGTGGTTTAGGTAAGTTTAAGAATAAAAAATATAGATAAAAGGAATAAAAGAGAAATAAAAGGAAATGAGCAGAAGAAGTACGTTGAGACTTGTCAATAAGTTTATCAAGATAAAATTGAATTATAATTCTTGTTTCAAGTATCGTTTTGTTATGTTATTTTATATACAAAATAAGGGTTAATAATGTAAGAGTATTTATATATTTTATGGATAAGGATGATGAGTAATAAGAAGATGAAAAATATAACAAATTGTATTTGATAATACAATTATAGAACGATTACTAAGAGTTATTATAGATGTTTTGAGTTCAAAAGATAAGGAAAGAGAAAAAAGAAAAGACAAGTCTGTGAAAACTCGGTATAGTTTTATTGAAAAAAAAACAATACAAGAAAATAATATGGAAAAATGACGAGGGCTATTTATATGTTTTGCAAGATAAGTGATATTTATAGGAGTGTGATTAAGATAAGTGAATACTGCTATAATAAAGCCTTTATGCACAAATATTGTCTTCGAATAATTCTGCATGCAGTATGCATATTTCTGCCTGAGCTGTTGCTGTTATTAAAAATATACCCAATTATTGTCTTTGGGATAAGCAACGCGTTAATATTAATTCACAGTGAATATTCCCTCTAACAATATTCAACATTATGGATGTATATATAATATGTATGACTTGTATAAATAATTATGTAATTGAATATAACAGTCATAAACCTATTGAATCCTTATTATTACATAATAAAATGTATATAATTATTTTTAGCGCTCGAATACTCTAACAATGACCGCTATTAAAACTGAATGTTATATAATGAACATTATGCTGTAAAGTACAATACACTAGTTTTATTTGAATAACCTCTTTATTATGTAATAAATGACGGTTTATTTCTATTAACTATACTATTTTTTTTTTTTTTTTTTTTTTTTTTTTTTTTTTTTTTTTGGCTCTTAAGCCTGAACTCTGAACATACACAAAACAGTAAAAAATACGCAGATTTAAACTGAAAATCCAATTTATTTATTTTGCAATGTTGTTATACAGATTTATGAAAAGTTTATCTAACAAAAAAAAAGAAAAGTAGGAAGAAAAAAAAAAAAAGCAAGCGCTCTATCTTACTCAGAATTATCTAAGATCTTGGTAACTTTACCAATGGCAACTGTCTTTCCTTCATCACGTAAAGTGAAACGACCCAATTGAGGAAGCTTATCGAATGTTTCAATACAAATGGGGCCGGCTGTTTCAATTCGGGCGATAACCTTTTGACCTTGCTTGACGAATTGAGGAGGTCTCTTGGTCTTCTTACCAGTCTTCTTATCAATCAAGTGTAGAAGAGCAGAGAGAGTAATTTCTTCAGCAGCAGCGTGAATGTGCAAAACGGCAGTGTAACCAGCACAAATAATATTCTTGTGATCAAGAATGGCAAGCTGAGCATCAAAGACAGTGGTTGTTCTAACGGGTGCCTTCTTACTACAAAGAACGAAACCAGGCATAATTTCGTCTTCTTCAACGCCCTTCAAACGCATTCTAATATTATCACCGCAAACAGCATGTTCAATTTCTTCTTCAGTTTCATTATAAATGGCTGTAACTTCAGTCATTTGCTATAAAAAAAACCCCCCCCCAAAATTAATGAGTTATCCCTTCACGTCAAATTAGATAATATATATATTTTCTAATTACCTTGTTAGGCATAACCATCACTTGTTGTCCCTTCTTAATATGGCCAGCTTCAATCTTACCGACAACAATAGTACCCATATCCTAAATAGAATTTAACATATTTTAGTTGTTATCCATAGTATATATATATGTATGTATTCTCTATAAATACCTTATATTTTTCAGTAATAGGAATCATAAGGGGAGCATTCAACTTTCTGCTTGCAGTCTTGAAATCATCCAAATATTGAAGAAGAGAAGGACCATCATACCAAGGACAAGCCTTACGATCACATTCCTTAATATTAGCACCTGTAAAACCAGACAAAGGCATAAAGTGAATATCAGTCTTAGGGTTGAAACCGGTTTGCTTTAAGAAAGGAGTCAATTTAGTAAGGATTTCATCATATCTTGACTTATCCCAATTAACAGTAGGATCATCCATCTTATTAACAGCAACAACCATCTTGTTAATACCAGAAGTTTTGGCCAACATGGTGTGTTCACGAGTTTGACCACCACGTTCAAAACCAGTTTCAAATTCACCCTTACGGGCAGAAATGACAAGAACACCAATATCAGCTTGAGAAGCACCTTGAATCATACTAGGAACAAAGTTCTTGTGGCCAGGAGCATCCAAAATAGTATAACGACGCTTATCAGTTTCAAAGTAAGCTCTACCAGTTTCAACGGTTTTACCCTTATCATAACAATAAAATGAATATAAAGTTTTTTTTTTCATAATTATTATTATTTTCTCTTATTTTACCTTAGCTCTTTCTTCTGTGTTAGTATCCAAAGCCCAAGAAAGATACCATGATTCTCTACCAGCTTCCTTGGCTTCCTTTTCATACTTTTCTAAAGTACGCTTATCAACCATACCAGTCAAGTAAAGGATATTACCACCCATAGTTGATTTACCGGCATCTACAGATATAATAGTATAAGCCACCAGATCATATATCAAAATCTATTTACAGTGATAATAATAATAATAAAAACTTTACCGACGTGACCCATAAAGACAACATTAAGATGCTCTTTGCCGAATAAATCAGCAGCAACTTCTTCATCAACATCGTCTTCTTCTTCTTCTTGAACAACAGGTTCAACCTTCTTGGGAGCAGCAGGAGCGGGAGCAGGAGCAGCCTTAGGCTTAGTAGGAGCAGAGACTGGAGTAGCTGCTTTAGGCTTAGGTGCTTCGACTTTAGGTTGAGGAGCTTGAGCTACAGGAGCAGGAGCTATATAATCGTATGATAAAACAAAATTAGCAAAAATAAAAAAATAAAAAAAAAAAACTTGTAATTTTAAAGATTATATTTTTACCAGCAGGTTTAGATTCAGGAAGCTTAACTACCTTTGGAGCAGCAGGAGCTAGAATCAATTCAAGAAAAAAAAAAGGAATTTTGTTTAATATAATAAAATTCAACGGTAATTGTTAAAAACAAATAAAATATAAAATTTTGCTTATTTTTTTTTTTTTTTTTTTTTTTTTTTTACCTGATGCAGCAGGAGCAGGTGCAGAAGCAGGCTGAGCAAAAGAAGGAACGAAAACCCTTGCGTTCATATTAGGCTTCCATTCAGCAGCTGCAGGGTTTAAAGACATTTTAGAAAATGAATTGGTAGTATCTTGACTCATGATTCCTTAAACTTGATCAACTAAAAGTAAAGAAAAGCAAAAATCTATTATCTCGGGTTTCTTTTTTTTTTTCACTGCACTAGACTTGAAAAAAAAAAATCTTTCAAATAAAATCATACAAAAACGTCATAAGTCACGTGACTTTACTATTATTCACGTGCAATATGTACCTAAAAAAAATAAGCAAAATTAATCCCTTTTTTTTTTTTTTTTTTTTTTTTTTTTTTTTTTTTAAGCAAAACTTATTAAAAAAAACAAAATCAAAAATGTCCATGAAAAAGCTACAATGTAAAAGAAAAAAAAATAATTTTTGTATTTAGTTAAGCAAAGTAAATTAATAGTTAATTCAACTTAAAAATAAAATAAAACGATATAGCTGAAATCGATAGATTATTAAAGAAAGTTGCTGAAGGAGTTGAAACGTTTGAGATGATATTTGATAAAATTCAGTCTGCAAGTAATTCCAATCAAAAGGATAAATACGAGCAAGATTTGAAAAAGGAAATTAAAAAATTACAAAGACTTAGAGACCAAATAAAGACTTGGTTAGCGAATAATGACATTAAGGATAAACGAGCACTTTTGGAAAATCGAAAATTGATTGAATCACAGATGGAGCAATTCAAACAAATAGAAAGGGAGATGAAAACAAAAGCTTATTCAAAAGAAGGATTACTTCAAAAGGAACGATTAGATCCTAAGGATAAAGAAAAAGCGGACGTATGTGAATTTATTACTAACGCTGTTGATGAACTATCAAGACAAATTGAGACTATTGAATTTGAAATTGAACAATTAGAAAGCAGTAGTTCTAAACGTAGTAATAAAAAAGCTGACCATCAACGTGCTGAACGTTTAAGTGAATTAGAGCATCACATTGAGCGTAATAAATATCATATTAATCGATTGGAATTGATTTTGAGATTGCTAGAAAATGATCATCTTGAACCAGAACGTATTAATGAATTAAAAGATACGATTCAATATTATGTTGACTGTAATCAGGAACCTGATTTTGAAGAGGATGAAGGTTTATATGATGATTTAGATTTAGAAAAAGAAGAAGAATTATATATTATTAGAACAGATGAGTTTCATGGTAAGATTAGTATAGTCAATATGTTTTTTAAATTTTATATGCATAACTTTATACAAATTATTAGGTAAAAATGATTCGGATAATGAACAACAAGAGGATCAAAGAAATGTAAGAGTTATTATCATCTTATTGATATGTTTACCTTCCATGTTTATTTTTTGTATTTTAGGAACAGTCTTCTTCGATATCGACGCCTATTCCAAGCCCCAGAAAAGCAAGTGCTAAATCAAGTCCTAAATCAGGTAAGCTGATACATTATATATTATACAAATGTTAAATATGCATTTTCTTCTTCTTAAAAAAATAAATAAATAAATAAAAGTACATCAAGAAGACGAGTCAAATGCTATTAAGATTACACCCATTAAGAAGCAAGAAATTACTTCTACACCTTCCTTGAAATATGCACAAGCAGTAGTATCATCGCCAAATAATACTGTTAATAACGAAACAAAGGATAGCAAAGGTAGTATATATCTATATACATACATATATGGAAGAATATGGATGTAATACAGTTATAATTAGATGATTCAAAGCCCAATATTGTGTCAGCTTGGAATGAACCTCCCAAGATTATTGAGCAGCATACTAACAAATCAGCCATAACCGAAAAGAAGGAAGACAGTACTGACAGCAATAGCAATATAAATAACTTTAACTTACCTAATTCACTTGCTGATTTGGCTGCCTCATTTGAATCTATAAAGAGCAATCATAAAAATGATATTCAATATACAAATAAAATGTTAAGCGCTAGTTTACAACATGTGCCTGACTTGATTGATTCAGAAAGACCAAAGATATATCAACCTCGTAACCCATATAATACACCTAATTATTATCCACAACAGCCTTTACTTATATTCGATAATCCAGTTTTGTTTGATAAGTTTGATATGGATACGCTTTTCTTTATTTTCTATTATCAGCAAGGAACTTATCAACAGTAAGTTAATTTAATATTATATGAGCATGAAACACTCATACTGAGCATTCTGTAGATATTTAGCTGCGAAAGAATTAAAGAAACAATCCTGGAGATTTCATAGAAAGTATTTAACTTGGTTTCAACGTCATGAAGAGCCTAAGGTTATTACAGAAGATTATGAACAAGGTACATATGTGTATTTTGACTATGAGGGTGCTTGGTGTCAACGCAAGAAAACAGATTTCAGGTAAATACATATAAATAGCACTTTATATATGCATAGAAAATGACTTAATTTTTTTTTTAAAAAAAAAGGTTTGATTATCGTTTCCTTGAAGAAGCTTAATAATAACATTTAACATCATGCTGCATATAATAATCATACAAAAATAAACGAGATACCTTATATTTATAAATTCAAATTCTTACTGCTGTGTGTCAATTGTGACTTCTATACATTTCTTCCGGTAATATACTTTGTTTAAAGTCTTGTTCTGTTGTCGGGGCATCCCCGTCTTTTTTCCCTTTTTTTTTTGACACCCCCACCTCCTTTTACCCCTTCACTTTTTTTTTTCTTCCTATACGCCCACATACACTTACATATAAATTTATAAAATGGTAACTATTAATTGTCCATCCATCTCGAACAATGGCATTAAATATAGAGAGTTCATATTATAATAAAACGTGTACATATATTCACACACACACACACACACTGACTTTATACTATTGTACATTAGCTTCGTTTTTCTTCCAAGTTGATAGCAACCAGCTCCATTGCTGCTAAACAATCAGTTCGGTAAGATTCAACTTTCAGATTTTATAAATGCGCCAAAATAATATATGTGTATTTACAGAGAGAATAGTCTAAACTGATTCATATGTATTTATTATGATTATTATAAAATAGTATGGCAAGTGCTGTGCCTATGTGTACTAGACGTTGGTATACAACTGAACCTCTTCCTACCCCTGGTTCATCTACTACTGTTGACCCCAAAATTGCTGCTATTGTTGATCAAATTGAAGGTTTAACATTATTACAGACTTCTGAACTTGTATCTCAGTTAAAGGTAATTTATATTAAACAAAAAAAAAAATAAGAGCTAGTGTGGGTGAGGCGGGAAGAAGAAGAATCTATTTATAAATAATCCTTTTATATAATAGACCAGATTGAATATTCAAGATATTGCTATGCCTGTTGCAATGCCTGTTGGTGGTGGTGCTAACAATGGTGCACCCGCTGCAGCTGAAGAAGAAAAGCCTGCTGAGAAGACTGAATTTAATGTAAAGATCGAAAAGGTGGATGCTTCTGCTAAAGCAAAAGTTATTCGTGAAGTAAAGAACCTAGCAGGATTAAGTTTAGTTGAGGCCAAGAAGTTTGTAGAAAGTGTACCCAAGGTCCTTAAAGAAAATATTCCAAAAGAAGATGCTGAAAAATTAAAGAAGGCTCTCGAAGCCCTTGGTGCCACTGTCATTATGGAATAAAAAAAGATATACACAATTATTTATGATATGTAATCTTTGTCCTTTTCCCCTCCTTCCATGCTATTATTTTTTTTTTCTTGTGTGTGTCATTAGATAAGTACGTGTAATATCTTCTTTTTTTTTTCTTTATTGTTAGATATTTTTTTTCTTTGAAATAAAAAGTCTTCTGTGTATAAATCAAAATATGCTGACTTTGTCGTAAAATAATGTCCTTTCATTTTAAAAGTATGCTTCTTGCAAATCATATAAAATGGCTACAACTTACAGTTATTTCAAATTCCGAATTGTGTACAAAAAAACAAAAATAAAAGATATGAACAGTCCCTAATACATACTCTTATTTTTTTCAGCTGAGACATATATTTATCTATTATCATTATTTTAAAAGATAGAGACTTAGAATTTTAATTACTGTTGGACTGTATTCATTAAGCCAATATGATTACACAAAAGTAAATATAAAGCCATTTAAATACTGATCTACTCAAGACTCTAACGGCTTTAGCCCTATTGAATATATACACAATTTTAACTATTTAAGGAGATCGTTTAAAGCCAATATTGTCTTAAGAAAGCAAGCGTTATCATTTCTATATTACTACTAACCTTCTTTCTTCATTTAAAAGTAAGAAGTTCTGAAATACGAGATTATGGAAAGCGTCCTATGCTTCATAATAATCCCTTTTTGTTACCAAAAATATTAAACTGTAGACTTATTAATAACAAATAAAGTACATAAGCAACTACAAAGCTCATTTAGTTAGTATTGGATCATCTTCTACAAGTCGTTATTACATAAAAGTTTTTTTTTTTCATTTATAATTAATAATAAAAAAGGGGTAATGATCCAATTAGCCAGTAGCTTTCTTTTATATAATAATAAAAAAAAGACTACTGTTTCCAGAAGCAACCAATCGTGGAGGTTGATCATTATGTGCTTCCTTTCACAGTTTTATTTAACGAGAGACGTGAAAACACCAGATGAAAGATACTCTCGGGATTGAATATTTTAAGTGACCAATACATCCAAATAACTTCACTGGAGACAATTACTGTTAGTTTTTGAACAAGTGCGTATTATAATTTAGACAAATTACCTGTAGATATCTAAATCACTATTGCTAGCGAAACCGTTTCCTCTACGGTGATTTCTCTCCAAAAGACAGCAGGTCTTCCTTTTTTTTTTCCCCAAATAGACTACAAAATGCCTAACATATTTTTGCTTGCATTGATATCTCTATTCCAAAGTATACGACAGTTTTTGCAATCTAGAACACTTTTGATATATTTATCATTCAGAAGCTTTGTTACCTTCAGGCTTGTTTCCTTACAAGAGTTACATACTTTTGAGGTTTTAGCTTTGTTAATGCTGACAATAATAGATCGAAATGTAGTTCTTGATCTAAGATTGATTTCTCTCTCAAGTATTGCTGTGGCACTTGACATCTAACCTTTTGTCCTAATCACATCCGGATTATTCATCCTATCACCAAACACAACGAGAGGTACACAAAAAGAAGGCTTGAGTTTGGCTTTTTTTTCCATTTTTCCGGCTTCTTTCTTGGTGTAGTTCTACATTTATCATCATATATAATTTGTGGATCCTTTTTGTCTCTTTTTTCTTTTCTTTTCTTTTTGTTCTTTCTTGTACTCAGTCTTTTGGCTTTATTGTACTTTTTTCCTCCATTAAGTAAGATGTTGGTCACCTCTTTATTCGACCTCTGTCTGCCTTGAATTATCATTGAAACGAAAGGGTTGCAGACCTTTCATTGTAGAACCTGAAGATTTGGGGACACATGTTTGAGAAAATATACTAACTCTTGCAGCAACGCATTAACGTCACTAAAAAAAGTTTGATATATAGCCTTCGTCATATCAGCATGAAAATCAAGATGGTATGCCTTTTTTTTTTTAAGAAAGCAAAGACCAACAATTCTAATAGCATTTAATTCAAACAACTTTTTGTATATTACCTTAGGTATTATTTACAGGCAGAAAACTTGGCTCGTCTGTAAAATCAAGACAATTTGGACATCAGTAATATTTGTCCAGAGTGTCTAAATTTCTTTCTTTATGACAATAGTCTTGTTCTCAAGTTAAAAAAAAACAGTTGTGAAAAAAAAACACAATTTTAAAGTCAGTATTATGAAATAAGGTGTTACAAACAAAAAATTTCATTGTATGATTGTACTTTTTTTTTTCTTTAACCCCATATAATATGTATTGTTCTCGAATATTAAAAAAGCCTTTATCTTCCCTTTCTTTTCATTGTTCATATAGAAGACTTTATTCATCAAGTAACTTTGCTAAAATGACTAAAGAACGTGTTTGTATCATAGGCTCTGGTAATTGGTAAGCAATATAATACATGCTATATATTATCTCTATTTACATACATCTAACTTTTTTTTTTCTTTACTCATTCTAATAAAAAAAAAGGGGTTCAGCTGTTGGTAAAATTGTTGGAGAAAATGTATTAAAACATAAAGATATATTCGAAACTGAAGTTAGGCAATGGGTCTTTGAAGAGGATTACAAAGGAGAGAAGCTAACAGAGGTAATTAATCGAGAAAAGGAAAATCCAAAATATTTGCCTGGGATCAAATTTACCTCAAATATCAAAGCTGTACCTGACTTGATTGAAGCCAGTCGTGATGCCTCTGTGCTTGTCTTTGTTTTACCTCATCAATTTGTAAGAGGTGTATGTGAAAAAATGAAAGGTACTATCTCTCAAGATGCAAAAGCTATTTCGCTCATAAAGGGTCTAGAGATAAAACCAGAGGGTGTTACATTATTCTCTGAAGAGATTGCCCGCAAATTAGAAATGACCCATGTTGCTGCTCTAAGTGGCGCAAATATTGCAGACGAAGTCGCCTTGGAAAGGTTTTGCGAATCAACTATTGGTTGTAGATCAATAGAAGATGGTCAATTGTTCTTTAAATTATTTAACACTGATTACTTCCATGTTAATGTCATTCGTGATTATGTTGGGGTTGAACTTTGTGGTGCACTAAAAAATATTGTGGCCGTCGGTGCTGGTATCTCAGATGGTTTAGGGTATGTACAAAGATGATTAATTAAGAGAAAATAGGATTTCAATTGATATGGCTGTAAATAGGTATGGAAGTAATACAAAGGCGGCTATTATTCGCTTAGGTTTAATGGAAATGCGTAAATTTGGTCAAACCTTTTTTGGAACTGTCGAAGACAGTACCTTCTTTGAATCCTGCGGTGTTGCAGATTTAATCACAACTTGTTCTGGTGGACGTAATAGAAAAGTCGCTGAAGCCTTTGCAATCACTGGGAAACCTATAGATGTCTTGGAACGACACATGTTAAACGGTCAAAAATTACAGGGAACATTAACTGCTCAAGAAGTGCATCAATTTCTTTCCGCTAGAAAAATGACTCATGAATTCCCTTTATTTGAAACTGTATATCGTATTATTTATGAGAACGCACCTTTAGAATCCATTGTTCGTGATATTTAATTCTTTTTTTTTTTTTTCACTCAAACATAATATGCTTACATAAGCATATATATATAAATATATTCATATAAACATATACACATAAACACATATATACAAATTTATTTACTATTTTTTTCTTTCTTTTTCTTTCATGCAAGTAAACAAATGTATTTATTATCAAGCAACTAGTACTTCAAAGAATGGACGCATATTAGAAGCATAGAATACAAATGAGTCCCATTTACTCTTCACGAATTGTTTATATGCCATTTTATTGTTTACTGCATGTAGTGACTTTGAGTCTTTTTGATTCTTTGAATTATCATCTCCATTATCTTCTTTATTTTGTTTGTTGATATAAGTCGTACTTAAAGCTGCGGTAGTAACAGTAGTTGTTGTAGTAACAGTAGTTGTAGTTGTGATAGTAGATTTTGTAGAATCAGAATACAATAGCACATATGTAGGATTGTTGGGTATGATGGTATAAACAATATTATCTAAATGTGAACTAGTATTTACAGTAAACATAAATGATATGAATCTTCCAACAGGAAAAGAATGATTGCCGTTGGATAGAAGATCTATCTTCATTCCATAATGTCCTAACTTCGTAGGCACTTTTTCAATGGGTATTCGATATGTGTCATTCAACCAAACTTGGGGCTCCATTGCTGCCCAATTTAGTTTTCCTGTTGAATCTCGGGTATAAAGCGAAAAATGATGATCATGATGAAATTCAAATTGAACAGTCCAAACATGACTTTTCCTTAAAAAAGGAAGACTCATGTTCAAAGACGATAAAAGATGAATTATATATGTAAGACATGTAAAGACTAGTAAACTAGTCATAGCCACTTTCAAAAAATGACGATAATCAAAGTACCATCCTTTACTGTTGTGGATATGATTATACTTTTTTCGTAGGATAGGAGGAGGATAAAGCTCAGAATAATGATTTCTTATAGGTTGTTTCAGATACATTTGATTCCTTATTAATTCATCACTGCTATCATCACTTTCATCATCAAGATAATCAAATAGTGGATCATGAAAGGCAGTACTGCACTTCTGCTGCTGCTGCTGTTGTATGAACTTTTGATGTTGTTTTATAAATTCCTCTTTTAAAACTTCTTTTATCACCTGACGTTCTCTTGTTCTTTTAAGTAACTCAAATATAGCTCTATTCTTAATAGCACAAAATTGTTCAACAGCTAATATCTGATATGTTGCTACTCGAGGTATATTGAGTTCAGTGCATTCCATCCCTTGTGAGCGTTGAATACGCGCTGTCCCTCTATCTATATGATTTTTCTGAAAAAAAGAGGGCTCTTGTCCTACCTCTAAGTTTCCTAAATCAAGACAACGTACTTTATACTCTGTTAACATATCAGCAAAATGACTCTTTTGATTTTCATCTCGATATGACGTCAGGGGCAATACATAGATCCCTAGCTGACGTAATGTGCAGAGTAGAAGCAAATCTTTCTTTGTCCTTTCATCATCTTGCCCATCATAAAAATAAATACATAAATCGATGCCATTGGGTGTTGGCTCAGGGTACATGTAGCCTTTAAATTCTGTTGTGACTATTTTTTCTTCAAGCCATGTTGCATGTAAATCATTTGGATTTGGGCATTGTTTCCAAGCATATTGTAAAAGTAAATTATTAGGATCATTGGTATATAGGATGGCATTTGAGTTCCAAGTAAAATCAGCTTCAATTATAGAAACACCCATATCTTCACATGTATCAGACACTAACTCTGATTCATCTTCAACATTCAGTAATAATATATTATGCTTTACTTCTTTAAATATTGGAATTGACTTATTAAGCAAAGAAGAAGAAGAAGAAGAAGAAGAAGAAGAAGAGGTCAGTTTATTAGATCCTCTGTCTAAGCTTTTAGACATGGGGTAAGCTGTATTAGGAAGTGATGAGTTATTTAGACTTGACAGCTGTAAATGCTGCTGCTGCTGCTGCTGCTGTTGTTGTTGTTGTTGTTGTTGTTGTTGTTGTGGCTGTTGCTGTAAAACATGAACGAGACCTTGACTCAACTTTTTAAAGATTTCATTCTTCTTTTCGATAGTGATAGATCCCATAAATAACACTCTATATAAAGCAGGGTGTTCAAGATAATCACTTGCAAATCTTGAAGATCGAATAGAGGAAGTATTAAATATCTTTTCTGCATCGGTTATCCGTTCTGTTAAGTCTGACTGTTCAAATATGTCATCGTCAACTAAATCACTCGGTGCAATTTCAATAGAATCTTCACCATAAACATCATTACTACTTAATAATAAACTACTGTCATTATCATCGGGTCTCCAGAAATTTCGTAATGGGCTTATTGGATTTTTTTCTTCATGTTGGTCTTCTTTATGTGTACATGAGAAATTGTAAATAAACTTGAACTTATTATCATTTTCTACTTTACCTTTTTCTGTTAGTTTTTCTGAATTGTTCGTATCTATCATAATATAGAATGGTGTAATTATTAACAGACTCTTAATTTAAAATATTCTAAACTATTTTCCAAAAATAAAATAAAGAAGTTAAGAAGGAAGAAGAGAAAGGAAAGGAAAGGAAAGAAAAGATAGGAGAAATAAAAGACGATTTATTTTTAACTTTCTTCTTTTCTATTATCAAAAAACTAGTGTAGAACGTGACCTGCATCCAATTAGATCATCCCTTAAAATAATGCCCCATAGTGACATGAAACAGACATAAAATGATTTATTACATTAAACAATTATTTACTAATACTATATCATTATCTTATTTTTTTTTTATCAAGTAGTTCAATTGAAAAAAACCCATTTCTTTTCGAAAATTTTAGTTCCTTAAAATTTTGCATGAGCCAATAATATTTTTTTCCTTTTTTTTTATTTTTTTCCCTCTAGCATTTGTTGCCTATTTGTTTGCTTATTTATTTATTTATTTATTATTATTATTATTTTTTTCTAAGGAGATAAGGAAGGACATAAATTATGTCAAAAGAAGAAAAAATGTCAGCTTATAAGGCTGAACCTCATCCTTATTATGATGAAGAAATGCATGAAAAAGAAACTCGCATTAGAAGTCTATATGAATCATTAGATCGACAAATGATACTTTCTTATGTCAGAAATATCTCACCACATAAAAATATAAACACAATAGATTATGAAGCATTTCGAGCTCATATACTATCAAAGGAAGAAGAACTTTGGAAAGTTTTTTCATCAATAAATCAAAAGGGCGATCATCGTTTAACTCATGAGGAATTACAGATTGCTTTAAAAGAATCCGGGATCCATGTTACAAATTCAGATATTGACGCACTAATTCAGTTTATTGATACATGTATGTAATGAATAAAGAATGTATATAAATACATATATAAATATATATATTTGTATATATATATGCATATATACATATATAGAATGACTCACGAATTCTAATATCATAGCTGGCAACGGTTACATTGATTTTGAAAGTTGGAGAAATTTTTTATTATTGTTACCCCATGAACCAACATTAACCGAGATTTATAGATACTATCAGATATCAACACAACTTAATGCTGATGCTGAAGCAGTTATTCCCCATACAGATGAAGCAGCACGTCATGCTTATAAATATCTTACTGCTGGTGCTATTGCAGGTTGTGTGTCTCGTACATGTACAGCACCGTTAGATCGCCTTAAAATATACCTCATTACAAACACAAATTATCAGAGTTCCCGAACAACGAATAATGTGAAACCGGCTTCTTCAGTATCCATTTTAAATGCTATCAAGACTATTTATAAAAATGGTGGCTTTCGTGGCCTCTATGTTGGTAACGGTCTTAATGTGATCAAGATTATACCCGAGTCCGCTATCAAATTCTATGTCTTTGAAACATCTAAGGCTATTATGGCGCAGATGACAGGTTCCTCTGATAAAAATTCGATTCCTATTAGTGCTAGATTTATTGCAGGTGGTGTTGCAGGTCTTTGTTCTCAGTTTTGTGTATATCCATTAGAAACTCTCAAAACGAGAATCATGTCCAGTCAATATGAAGAAAGACAAAAATTAAAGCAATACCCGATGGTGCAACAATCAAAACGATCTATAGTTTCAATGAGAACAGTAGTAAAGGATATGTATAAAGCAGGAGGAGTGAGAGCGTTTTGGCCTGGTTTATTATTAAGTATGATAGGCGTGTTTCCATATCAAGCATTAGATATGGGTGTCTATGAGACCTTAAAGGTTTCTTATTTGCGATCAATGGATACTTATAGAGAGAATTCAAATGGAAAAAAGCCAGACCCCAATGTTATGGTTTTATGGATGTGTGGTATGGTAAGTGGATCTATTGGTGCAACGAGTGTTTACCCTTTAAATATGATTAGAACAAGGTAAAAAGAAAAAGAGTATACTGCTTACTTTCAATTCTAGTTCTTTACTCATTAAAAAAAAAAAAATAGATTACAGGCACAAGGAACACCTGCACATCCTTACCGATATACTTCTGCTTGGGATGTGGCGCGTAAAACGTATAGATCTAGTGGTATTCGAGGTTTTTATAAAGGGTTAGGACCTACTTTAATTAAGGTAAAAGAAATAGAGATAACACAGCACGTATTCTCTCTCGCTTATTTATTCATATTTATTATGTATATAGGTTGTTCCATCTATTAGTATAAGTTATGCTGTTTATGAATTATCAAAAAAATCTCTTGGTATTTCATAATAGATAGATATTTTTTTCTTTTTCTTTTACTGTTATTAGTTATAAATGTATACATAATATAATACATCTTTATATTTGTTTTCTTTCCCCTCCTCCCTTCCCTCCTCCACCTTATCTTTCTGCTTTATTTACTATATTTCTTTGTACATATATATAAATATACTATTCTGATTTAAAAACTGATGTAGTTGGAGAGCAAGTAGCAGACCATAATCGAGCAACTGTATAAAGTGCATTTGGGGGATCATGAGTTAATACTTTGGTAGTAGTTTGAGATCGCTATATAATAGAGGTAAGGAAGAAAAATATAGCGATTTGTACAAATATATTATATGAAATACGAACCTGCTTATTAGCATTTTTGATTGAATAATACATTCCTAATATCAAATAAGTTGGAATCATGTTATCACCAATGTCTTCTTCATCATCATGATCATAAGGATTCATAATCATTGTATTTTTCTTTATCACCTTTAAAATAAATATCGAGTCGAATTAAAGTCCATAGTACGTTATTGTGCCATTATATCTACTAACCTTTAACTTTTGTAAAATACTCTCACTAAAATCATGATTATTAACAGACATAGTTGATCTAGAAGTGATATAAATTTTGTATAAAGACTGTGCAATATTTGGCAAATAAGACATATTTCCTGTTATTTTCTAAAGAGAAAGGGTGAGTTTTATCTCTTTCTTTCTTTCTTTCTCGTAATATTTATACCTTTGTATAATAATTAGAGAATATAAGTGGATACATATAACTTGTCTTTTTTATAATAATATTCGTAAATGCTTGCTCTATATAATGACCTATTAAATCCAGATTGAATTTTCTCTTCCAAGTCGATTGGAATTCCTTCGATTGTGCTGAAGCAAAAAAAAAAAAAAAAAAAAAAAAAAAAAAAAAAGAGAGAGAGACAGAGAGTAGTTAAGGATTTGTATTTACTAGTATCTATCTTTTTTTTTTCTTCCTCTCTCTCTTTCTTCTTTATATTGTATTTTTTTTAAAAAAAAAAGGATATTTGTTGGAATCCAGTCAAAGATAATTTCTATCTTATCAAGTGTTCCATAAGGAGCCTTCTTGTCTAATAAATATGAAAGTGGGGTGGTAACAAATGCTTTTTTAATTTTATAATGAAGACAATATCCATCATTTTCTGTTTGATTATGAATAAATCCACAATCTGCCATGACCTATTTCAAAATAATTATTTAATATCAAAACTCTTTTCTTTTAATATAGAATTTACCTTATTTAATGGGGTTTGGAACCATAAAGGATACTCAAGCACATTTTCTAATCCGTTTAAAAGAAAAGAACATTGAATATGGATTGAACCATTTGAAGCAAGAATGATATCCAGCTTGTTCATATCAACAGAGGGCTCTTCTTCTTTCAGATATACATAATAGCTTAAATAATGTATGCAAGTAACTTGACATGCAAATAAAACTGTAGGTAACAGGCTGTTACTCTTTGATTCTGGAATTAACATCTCTATTGACTTGGTTGTCTTCACTTGCCTCATTCTTATCTTTTGAGGCTTTTCTCTGACAATAACAGATGTTGGAGGTGATGTGTTGTTTGAAGAACTAGTAACGAGAGTAGATGAAGTCTCTTGAGTGCATAGAATTGAATCTTCTTTCAAGCTAAATGAAGAAAATTCACTTTCACTATCATTTGAAATAATCACTATTTTTTCGTGTATCTCTTTATCCTCTTTTTTGGATTCCAATGACATTATATATAAGTAAATAAATAAATAAAAAGGAAATTAACAACAAAATTATGACATTTATTTCTAAACAATTGATATTTGTATACATATTTATATATACAAAAAAAAGTAGTCCTATATTTTATATAGTTGCATTCAGTTAAAATAATATCTATCACTTATGATTTTAAAGTCATATCTTTTCTATTACATGTATTACTAAATTGATATTCTTTATTATGTAAAATAATTACATAAGAGCCAAATATAAAGAACCAACAACAGTTCCACCAAGAACCATATAACCTGATCTATAAACATCCTTAATGTTAAGCATTTTTGTAGCATCCCAAACCTAATACAAATATATATTTATATACATATATATATTTTTTAAAAAAAAAGGGGGAGAGGAGATAAAAGCTTAATCTATCTTTTCCTTTCGAGTATGTAAAATAATGGATTGATTTCTTACCAAATGTCTAACACCATTAAGACAATGGAAAACAAAAGGGAAAGCAACCGTTGTCTTTGCAACTACTTTAGCAGCTACAGGTGCGGCAGCTACAGTTGAAATAATGCTGGCTGTATCCACAGTGGCACCAAATGCTGGTGCAGCAAGATAAGCAAGTGCGCTCAAATAAAATGCTATACATGTATATATTTTAATCATTTATATTTATAATATATTTGTATATATTCTTCGATCTTTGGCATATATGAAATACTTACCGCCGCCTAATGCAACACCAGTAACTCTATGAGCAGCTGATAAATACCAAGTAATTTGAGGTTGGTAAATAGAAAGATGAGGAGAAACTGGACGAAGCTTGCGCTGTTGACGCAAAAGTTCTGACTCAGCAGCAGCACATTGTTCCTGTACCTTATGAGAAGCATTGAAATGTCTTTTTTTTTTTTAAAAAAATATATATATATATTTGTATATGTATTTATACAAATATAATAACTATAAATAACTTTGATCGAGTTTCTTTTTTCTTCTTCTTCTTCTTCTTTTAATTTAGTTCTCCTCACACTCTCTTTTTAAAATTACCTAACACCAAAAGAAGGAGCAGCAGCAAAAGTGCTTCTTAATGCAACAGGATCTAAAATTACAAGATGAGCAAGTTAATTCTCCATTCGAGTTTTTCATGTATAATTTTTTTTTCCAACACAATAGCTTTCTATTTTATTTTATATTTTTACTTTGAGCGATAGTTCTTAATATACCACGAGTAGCCAGCATAATTGATGTATTAATATTAATGTATGTAAAAAAAAAAAAAAAGAGAGAGTGGGGTGTGAAAGTTATTGTTAAAGAACAAAAAAAGACTCAAAATGTGGAGAAACAATCTGGGGTCATATTTCTGACTGAATGATTCTACCTTTTAAAATAGCGAATGACGGAGTATAATTTTATACTGATGACGTAAGTTTTTTTTTTGAAATTTAGAAAAAAATACTTTTCCTCATTTTTACAAAAGTGATAATAATATAGACGTGATTGAGTACGATCATGAGTGATGATAACAATGAATCATCAACTTCAACTACTACAGCAATGGATGTAGATAAAGAATCTAACAACGAAACAAATAATAATAATAATAATAATAATAATAATAATAGCATTCATCATGATGATGGCTCAAACGATCATTTAACACCAGAACAACGAGCACAAATGATTAAATTCCTTGCATCTCCAGTCCATTGTAAATTATTTGTTGAAAAGTTATCTATTAAAGGTGATTCGGAACTTAGAAAAGCAGAGATTATTTTAGCAAGAGAAACGAAAAATCAACCTCGCGCACTTGAATATTATGTACATTACGTTGAATTCAATAAACGTCTAGATGAATGGGTCCCATTCAAACGACTTGATTTTAGTAAAGGTGTTGAATTTCCAAAACCAACTCATAAAAAAACAAAGAAAAATGTTTCTACGACGTCAAGTCGTGCATCAACACCTATGAAAAGAAAGATGGAAAGCGAAGTCAATACACCTTCTTCAGATGGAGTGCAGGAAGAGGTTATATTGACAGAGGAAGGAGAGGAGGAGGATGAGAAAGGAACGATTACGATAAAAAAGAAAGAACCAGAAAAGGAACCATTTTCAAAGGAAAAAGAAATTGAACGACTTCGTACTTCAGGTTCAATGACTCAAAACTTAAGTGAAGTGGCGAGAGTAAAGAACATGAACAAGATTCAGATGGGTGAGCATGAGGTAGAAACATGGTATTTTTCACCTTATCCTAAAGAATATGCTTATTGTGATACATTGTATATTTGCGAATTCTGTCTTCAATTTTATGATTCCCATAAACGACTTGAGCGACATCGTACACGATGCCAATTACAACATCCTCCAGGCAATGAGATTTATAGAAAGGATGACATTTCGTTTTTTGAAATAGATGGACGAAAGCAAAAGACATGGTGTAGAAATCTATGTTTACTCTCCAAATTATTTCTAGATCATAAAATGCTTTACTATGATGTTGATCCATTTTTATTTTATTGCATGACACAGAGAGATGAATTAGGTTGTCATTTAATTGGTTATTTTTCAAAAGAAAAGGAATCGGCAGAGAATTATAATGTAGCCTGTATCTTAACATTACCTCAATATCAGCGTCATGGCTATGGTAGATTATTGATCGCTTTTTCATATGAATTATCAAAGATAGAAGGTAAAACAGGATCACCAGAGAAACCATTATCTGATTTAGGTTTAATGTCTTATCGAGCTTATTGGATGGATACAATTGTGGGATATTTACTATCAACAAGTGAAGAAGTAACGATAGAAGAGATATCACAAAAGACTTCTATTACCACACAAGATATCTTACATACTCTTCAAAGTATTGGTGCTTTAAGATATTATCGTGGACAGCATATTATTTGTTTAGGTGATAAAGTAATTGAACAATGGGAAAAGATGCAGCAAAAGAAGAAGCGGATTATATCACCAGAAAAACTTAATTGGAGACCTATCCATTTTACTTCTTCTCAGTTAAGGTTTTTGTAAATAAAGCGAATAATCATAATGCATAATAGAAAAGAAAAGAAAAGAAAATGTAAATAATAAAGGATGTCTACAACTATTGTGTTTCATTAAGCATTTACCCTTTACTGTTAGTTTCAAACATAAATGTGCCAAAAAGTTAAATTTACATGCATGTTAAATATGCAGTCTTTTAGAGAAAGAAGAGCAATTCATGTTTCGTCCATTTTAAAATTAATACTTTTTTACATACATTAATAAACACTCTTTTTTCTTTCTTTCTTTCTTTTTTTTTTTTTTTTTTTTTTTTTTATACATGTATATGTGTATATAAAAATGCAAGTACATAAAAGGATTTTCTTTGTAATATTTACTTTATGTGGGATCGTTCTATCTAACAGTAAATGCATTTATTCATCACGTTTGATTAGCTATTAAAGTAATTCATTTTATACTAGTTATATATCCAACTACAGGTATAACATGGGAAGTCGGACAGTCAGTTAATATGGTAAAAAATAAAATAAAAGTATATATACAAATTTTGTAATAAAAAAAAATGTAGATATTAGATTCTGGTCAAGCAGGAGAAACTGTCAGTATTTTTTTCAATAATGATCGAGATACTATTTTGGCTGGAGGACCCATTGATAAAGGAAATGTTAATAGTCATTCTTTTCAGTTTACAGTTCCATTGAAGGCACTCAGTTCTGCGGGCGGATTAACTGAGCTTCTTGTAGTTCATCGTATTTCTGGATATCTCTCTTCTGTTGATACTGTCCTTGTCAAAATTATATTGTAAACAATAAAAGAAAAAAAAATCGGTTTAAATTCTGAATATAAGCACTCGTATTTATTGATCTATATCTTAATTTCTCTGTTAAATATACTCAAAAATGTCTATTCTTCGGGAACAATATCATCCTTCTTTATTATTGTCTTTCTTTAATATCTTTCAGGCTTTAATTTATCAAATAGAGAAGGATGAAGGTTGTTATGTTCAGTTGTTAATATATAAAATATATATATATATATAAAGAATCTTTATTATATATGCGATTAGTACGTCTTAATGATACATTAAGGTTTTTAAAGAATTGAAAGTTCTAATGTAGTAAAGGGACATATGATGTTGCTTGATAATAATAGATACAATTCAAAAAAGAAAAATTTCTTTCCAAAGCTCTGTAGTTTTCTAATTGAGTTCGGCAAGAAGTCTAAAAATAATCATGAAGCTATAATTTGAAGATTCAAAACAAGTAAAGATACAATTGTAATGAAACTGTATATTTTTTATATTACCAAAGAAAGATACTCTAGGCATGAATATATCTAATTTGCCAATAGCCTATATTTGTGAAATAATTAAATAATTAGTTTTATGCCATGCTTAAAAGATATATTTGCTTGTTATATTCGTTTGCAAGTAACAATTAGACAGAATAAAGTAGGCTTTGATACAATCATCTACAGATTACTTTTGATATAAAGTCGATAAGAAAAATAAATTCTGACCATGTCATGTATGTTAAAATCATTTAAGAGAAGGCTACTATAAAACCGTTTTAACGATATTTAATAGTACAATTTCAATTTTATTTTATTTTTATTGTTTTTTATAGTCATACCACATTAGGGATGTATACGGAATCTATCACCAAAAAAAATATAAAAATATAAACCACAATAATCGGGCATATATCACCTACATTTAATTGTAGGCAGTCTATGTAGTCTCATGTTCATGCAGTAAACATGTTATTAGAAGGAAAATAAAAAAAAACAGGTAGTACAATTCAGTATAAGCCTCTGTAACATTTTATTTGTAAAGCTTAGCCGTCAGTTTTAAGTTTGCCAAGGATATGAAGTCATAAGTTTGATTCGTATGCTGCTGCTGTGTTCTTTGTTTTGGCTTAGCTCTCAGAAATATTCTTCTGTGACACTATGCTTATAACTTTTTTTTTTCTGTCAAACGCATACTAGCGAAATGTATAAAAATACTTTAATCATCTTCTTTTTCTTTCTTTCTTTCTTTCTTTCTTTCTTTCTTTTCTTTTCTTTTCTTTAAATAAAACAACATCAACACAATGGCATTATTTGGATATTTAGCAACTTTTTTCACATTTGCTGCACTTGTGCTTCAAGTATTTAGCATGATTGGCACAACATATAATAGACCTTTTTTACGAGATTTGTATTTCGCTAAAGTGACTATTAGAAATGACTTTTATATCTTCGGGTTATGGAGTTATTGCACTGGTGATATTCGTAGTCGTGATTCATCATCTTTTGTGGTCGAGAGTTGTAGTAAACCTGTTCCTGCGTTCGATTGGACTAATACAGAGGGTATAAATCGATACTTCAGAGATATAGGAGACCTTCATAAGCTATTTCTAGCCGATTTTATTTTATATTGGATTGCATTAGGCTTCACTTTATTAGCTTTAATCATTACGATTATGAGTCATTTTAGACGTGGACCTGATCTATTAGCTTCTCTTATGACATTTATTGCTTTTATTATTCAAATGGTAGTTTTCATTATCATGCTTGTTGTTGGTATTCGTGGTGTCAATGCTGTAAAAAGTTATGACCCTGATATTGCCAATGGTCAGCTGGGTCCTTCTATGTGGATGACACTGGGCGCTTTTGTTGCATTATTAATTTCTTCTATTGCATATTGCTTTGCTTGTATTTTCGGTCGAGGCAGAACTCATTCAGGTGAAAAGGCCTAAATAACGTCGACCTATTATATATTCATGTATATATATATATCACATTTTTATTGTGCATATATTGTTTCAATATGGTCATTACTTATTTATCATATATCCATACTTTTTTACTCTTTTATTGTAATCCTAATATTTATTCACTCATAAATTTAATAATAAAGCAGAGAATAGAATTACACCACTTGCCTATATTATAATCTAGTTGGAATAAATACACATAAATAGAATCTAGTATACAATTATCCATAATAAGAACCCTATTTTTTTTTTTTCAAATTCTTTCTCTATATTCCTTCATTGGTTAAAAATAAATTTTCATTTTATTGGTTAAAAAGTTCCCCCTTAATAAATGTTAACCCCTCCCCTTTTTTTTTTCTTGCTCTTGTTGTTCCACTTCTTCATCTGCTTGCCTTACAATTGACTCATACTCGTATTACTAATGACATTGAAAGAATATACCTTGAAAGAAGTGTCCAAACATACAACAGTTGATTCTTGCTGGGTCATTTATCAAAACAAGATTTATGATGTGACGGAATTTATCCAAGATCATCCAGGTGGAGATGATCTTATTTTAGACTATGCAGGAAATGATGTTACTAAAGTAATGAAAGATGTTCTTGAACATGATCATTCAGATGCAGCTTATGAGATCCTATCAGATTATTGTATTGGTTCACTTAAAGGAGAACAAGAAGTAAATAATGGTCGTCATGAAGACTCTTCTACTTTAACACTTCATCAACGACGTATGAAATTATTGGAAGAGGAAGAAGAAAGTAAAACATTTATTCGGGAAGATTTTAAACCAGTTGAGACAGATATTAATTCAGATATGAAGAAAAATCAATTTTTAGACTTGAGTAAAGCACTTGTACCTCAAATGTTAAGGGCTCGATTTACAAAAGAATTCTATCTTGAACAAGTGCATAAACCTCGTTATTTGCCAGGTCCAGCTATCTTTTTTGGTCATCCCTTATTAGAGCCATTAACAAAGACAGCTTGGTATATTGTTCCTACTGTATGGTTCCCTTATGTTAGTTATCAACTCTATTGTTCCCTTTCATATGATAGTAATATAACTACTGGAGTTAGCTTTTTGATTGGTATACTAGTTTGGACTTTATTAGAATATTTGCTTCATCGATTCTTTTTTCATTTGGATGATTTCTTACCAGATCATCAACTTGCCTTTATCCTACATTTTGTTATTCATGGATTTCATCATTATCTACCAATGGATAGGTAAACCCTTATATATATATATATTTGTATATATGTGTGTATCTTTGTATGTTAATTTGTTTATATATAGATTGAGACTAGTAATGCCTCCAGCTTTAGGTGTTATCATCGCATACCCTCTTATTTCACTTGGTTATATCTTATTTCCTCCTTTAATTGCACATGGCATTATTGCTGGTGGTGTATTCGGCTATATCTTGTATGATTGTACTCATTATTATCTTCATCATGCTAAAGTATACAAATATCATTTCAAAGAGATGAAGAAGTACCATATGGCCCACCACTATAAAAACTACGAAAGTGGTTATGGTATTACTTCTAAAATCTGGGATTATTGCTTTGGAACAGTTTTAGCATATGCAAAATGATACCCATATTAATATATATATGACTACTGTACATTTATTTATTATATACATATCCCCTCCCTCCATTTTTTTTCATAGTTCCCGTCTGATATTATACATTGCTCGACTTTATTTCATTTTTTTATTGTTAACAATCTATTTTTTTACCAGTAGCATGTACTAATATATATAATATTATTATAATCGTTAAAAAAATAAAATAAAATAAAATAAAGAGAGATAGAGAAAAGCACATAATTATAAATATATAAGTGTATGCTCGAAATTCTTCCAACTATGTCCTTCATTGTTTTGTGGTTTTATCTTGCCGTTAAATCCGAATATTTTTATTCTACAGGTTTTCGTTACTGCTTTTTTTTTCTTTAGTAGAAGACAGTAATTAATAGATAACTATAAAGAGTTCAAAAAGCCAAATTTAATAAACATAATGGGAACTTTTTTTTATTATTATTATTACAATTTATCTATCAAGGAATCGATATTATACATACAATGAGAAGTAAAAAAAAATTATACTAAAGAGTATAAAGTTTATAGAGTTACACAAGTTTATTTTACACATACATGAATATATGTGTGTACATTATATAATGAGGAAAAAAAAATGTCACATTCGCTTTTAATAAAGGGCATCTAATAAGTGAGCTCGTTTACCGACGTTTTTCATGGATGCTCCTTCCGCCTCCAATTCTATCTTTAATAACTGGTCACTCAATTCTCTTCGCTTTGACTCTTCATTATCATCTTCTACTCTTTCATCTTCGTCCTCCTGCTCTTGATTTAACTGTTTCTGCTGCTGCCATTCAGGTCTTCTCATACGTTGACGAAATGTATCAGCAATTAGGATTGCATCAGACGATGATATTGGAGGTTCAGATCGACTAGAGGCGTTATCAAGAGAGGCAACTGATTCTATTTCACTATTATGACCCACATTCCTTAGTGCTCTTTGTCTTTTATCATCAGAGGTTCGTTCTTCATCTTCCATAGATAGTATAGGTGTAGAGAGAAATTGGCTCACCTTTTGTTGCTTGATGGTATTGCCATTATTTAGTTCATGTGGAGTAACTGCTACTGCTACTGCTGCTGCTGCTGCTGCTGCTGCTGCTGCTGTTGTTGTTGTTGTTGTTGTTGTTGATGAAGATGAAGATGAAGATGAAGCATGTACCGTCTGTTGGTTCTTTAGGGCACCTTTATGACGTGATACCGTTAGGCCATATATATATTTGAATGGTGAAGGTAGTTTTTTGATATTTACTGAATGAGTATTATTTAAAGATGATTCAGATAATTGTGTATCCCTATGAGTTTTCTCTGTACAATTACTACTGTCTGGTGCATTATTTGAATCTATCGAATAATTATTAGAATTGTTTTATATATAAAGAAAGAAAGAAAACAAACAAAAATGATTACCATTTAAATTTCCTCTTTCAATATTAACTAATTTTCTTTTCCGACCTTGTCGTATAACCCATAGGATAGCAATAGATGCACCTATAACAGCCAAGCATGCTAAGACAACTGCAGTAATTACCCAAGGCTCTACTGCTCTATTTTGTAAATTTGTTTGTAAATTATCCGTATTATCAGAATAAGAAAATTTAGTGAGTGTTGGAGATGATGGCGGTATAGGATTGGATGACGATGTTGTATTCAATGTTGTATTGATTGGTAGATTTAACACTGGTTCTAAAGATAATATAAATATTAGTATTCACTCTATATGATATGATATATATATATGTGTGTGTGTATACATACGCTCAACAAAGCTATGAATAGGCTGAGGATATTTTGAATAATGTTTAGACAATTCATTCTCTGGATCAACTCCGTTTGATACAATATATGTTATAGCATTATACGTTTGTGCTGTAAAATCTAATCGCCATGTATCATCTACAAGTACAGGTATTGTGCCTTTTGATGTTCGTATATCAAGTATCTTTTTTATAAGAATATTTTGATAATTCTGTACAAAGTAAATATAAATATCCAATGAATTCTGGAATTAATATTCAAAAGAATTAGTTGCATATATTTATAAAAAGTGATTCTATATAATTATACTCACACAAGAAACATAAGCTGGATGACTATATTCGAAAGGAAAAAAAAAAAAAAAAAAAAAAAAAAAAAAAAAAAAAGAGTATTATGATCAGCATAATAAATAAATAAAAAACAATATATTCATATTTACAATGCATTCCAAGTAATTGGATACCAAGTTCCATTTCTCCATATATCTCCTAGTCTAGGTGAACAAATTGTTTCTGTATTACCCGTTGAACCACAAGGAACTAGCAATAAAAGAGTTAGTTATATTATACATATATATACGTATGTGTGTGTGTGTGTGTGTGTGTGTGTTTCGTAGAGAAGCACTATATAAGCGCGTATTTTATAATTGTAATTAATTCCTTTTTTTTTGTATTATTTACCACTGTTAAGCTTATTAATTGCATTAGATGAACTAAAATCAGTTGGTGTTTCATTTGTAGTCGTTGGAGCTCTTTCACCATATACAAATGACCTCGATAATAGGCTCAAAACGAGAATAGCTGAAGTCTTTATCATTTGAATTTTTATATATGAATCGTTGTTATTGATGATGATGATGTCTAATTATCACAAGTGTAATAAGTTGAAATTTTAATCTTTTTCCTCTTATTATTATTAGTTATAGTAAATAAAGATCAGTTATGTGTTTATGATATGATAATTGTAAAAATATTGGAATATAAAAAACTGGTTCAGCTTATAAAAGTTGAGTTGTATTGTAGTTTGTATGTGTCTAAGCTGTTGCTAATAAATAAATGTACAAATAATAAATAATTGATAATTCTAGAACATATAGTATAAATGAAAGGAATTTGTACAAAAAAAAAAAAAAGAGAAAGAAATAATAATGATATTATATATTTGGTTTGTAATGCTTTCATGTCAAAAAAAGGAGAAAAATGAGTTGGATAAAAAGAAGTGGGAGAATGAGATTGCATAAATATATGTATATAAAGGGAGCTCATCAAATGAGTTTATTTTATTTTACCTATCTTTTCTTCTTTCTCGTCTAAACCTTTTCTTAAAAAAGAATAAATAAGGAGTAAATTTGAATTGTATATAAAAGAAGGGAGAAGAGAGTGTAGTGTAATGAATAAAGGGAGGTTATGTAAAAAAAAAAAAAAAAAGGGAAGAAAGAAGAAAAAAAATGTTACTTTATCTTGAAGCCTTTATTCTCGAAATTAAATTTTCAAATGTGATGTCTATGTATAAAGTCTTGAATTTTTTATTTTTTAGAATAGTAAAAAAAAAAAAAAAAAAAAAAAAAAAAAAAAAAAAAAAAAAAAAAAAAAAAAGAAAGATAGAATCTTGTTGATACATATTGCATAGATTAATAGAAAGACTATGGATACAAAAGCTTGATTAAACACTTGGAACTGTTGTATACGTATAATTAGTATAGGAAGGGAGAGATAGTATATTTAAAAGGAGTCAAGGCTTTTGAGTATACATTCCCATTTCTATACGCACGATAAAAAGTTATAGATAGATATATATATGTTTATATTAAAAAAACGAATGCTAACCTCTATTAATACGTCAACATAAATTATAAAGTATATTTCTTCTATAGGCTTCTTATTATATATCATACAGTACATATATATATATATATCTTTACATACATAATTAAGCTATAATTTAAGAATGTACGTTGTGTAGTAAAATAGAGCATTTAGTATAGTGCAATACACTACTTTTCTTTATATTTTAACTGTGTAATAGATATAATATGTCTGCTCAAATAAAGAATATTTACTCATTGAAAAGAATAAACTTATAAATGAATTTTTTTAACAGCTTGTCAAGTTTACACTTAATTTAATCGTTGATATCCTTTTATAAAATTTTACAGTGTCATTATAATTAAGATTAAGTTGCCTTGAAAGGCAGAATTTATTAATCCCAATTAGACACTGTATATTAATGCAAAAAAAAAAAAAAAAAAAAAAAAAAAAAAAAAAAAGGCACAGAAGAATCGAATTCTTTTGGAAAAAGTATATAAATTCAAATCAAAATTGGACATTAGAAACAAATAAATGCAAAAGAAGGATAAAGAAAAATTCAAACAAGACAGCCTGGAGTTATTTTCTTCATTAATACGAATACATATTTATTCATTTTAGACGTAAATTAAATTTTACACTACTTTATGTTATACAATTTCTTGTATTACCTAATCTATAAAGAGGGGGAAGGGCATTAAAAGAGACATTTTACAAATTCAAGTTATAAATATTTACTACTTCATAGGAGGCATTGCTGTTGGTACTATTTTAGTCTTTGTCGTGCCTGCTTTGATGTTTAGACTTTTATCTTCACTACCACTATATTCGTCCCAATCTTGTACATTAATGGATGGTAGATTCTCTGGTTGTTTTGTCCCTTTAGAGCAAATAATAGCAACTGTCTTGGGTACTGGTTTCAGTGTCGATTCCAACTCTGTGTCACTTCTTTCCTCTAAATCAAGGGTATCATCATCAAGTTCATAATCTGATATTTCTGCCGCATGAATTAGATCGGATGCTAACACTGCTTGGTTTGGAGAATCCTCTTCGATTTGTTCCCATCCTTCAAAAGGTGAGCCAGGTGGAGAAATAAGTAAATTGCGTTGAAAGTGTGGCACTTGAAGTGAATTAGAATTTGGATCGACATGTATAGTATAGTGCTAAAAAATATATTTATGTATACGTGTTATTGTTAATATTATGATGATGAATAATCTATAACATCATGTTGTTGTTGTTATCCTTAGTTTTAATACCTGTCCATAATAAACTCTAAATTGTCTAATTTGATTGTTTGCATCTATCCATGTCTGTTCTATTTCTTTATTCCTCGTAATAAGCGTAATAATATCAGGAAAAGAAGAGGGATTCTCTTTCCAGACCATAATAAATCTATCTAATGCCTTTTTTGCATTCATTGCATGAATTGTTTCTTGAAAAATGATCATTAATCGTCTAAATCCCTTCATGGGCACGAATGTATATAAAGGTCCAAACTCAGCAAAGGCATCATGAATAGTTAACATGGCATCATCGCAGCCAAAGAAATAAATGGGTATATCAGGAATTAATAAAGTATTTGTTGCTATTGACTCTGCTTTATCAAAATGTGCCATGTTCAATATAAATGAATAAAGTAAAATAAAGAGGTCCTCAGTAGATTGCTGCTACAAAAAAATTTAAATCTCAAATTACGAATTATAGCAGCTCTTTTAATATTATTAATGGGACAATTTAAATTCAGAAGAGATATTATTTATGCCAAAATTATCAATATCAGACAATAGTTATTTTCTTTTCAAGGGATATTCTATTGCAATATTAGGAATAAAATTGAAAGTTTTATTAGTGAATTAATCAGGTATGAATAACATAATTCGTAAGTACAAAGCAGAGATTGATCTTGGATAAGTTAAACTAGTTTTCAAATGAGTGCCTTTTTTTTTATCATTTAATATATTTATTAATGTCTGTAAATATGAAGCTTTTTTCTTGAGTTAATTACTAACTAAAATTCTCCTCGCAAATGATTGAATAAGTGTGTTTTTTTTTTCTTTTGTAAAAGTGAATACCATTTCTGTTACTAAATCATAATTTGCAACTTGAATATTAAGCTTTATCTCCGTGTCATGTATTATGCGCTGTTACTAATTCTCTCTTATTTTCTTGTTCCCAATGTGACTTCTTACCATCTCTGTCATGCTCATAGGGATCATTTTTTGTAGCTTTTAGTTACTCAAATATTCTCTTTGCCCATTTAAAAAGTTAATTCAAAAAAATATACATACATACATTTATAAATATATATGTATATATATATATCCTATCCTAATCCTAGAATGTGTCTATACTGTCATATCAGACAACAAGCCATTTTCTACTAATAATGTTACAATATTATATACTATTTATTAATACACTTTTTTTTATTATGCTTCAATGTCTACGCCAGTAGCAGAAGCAGCAGCAGCTTCTGGGGTTTCAACTTGTTGTCCTTCCATTGCTTTTTGCTATAAAATAAAAATAAAGTTAATATATCCACATAAATTGCTAACTATGATATTCTTATGTTATACCTCAATAGCTAATATAGAAGCAATAATTTGGAATACAGGCTCAGGAATAGTTTTCTGGTAAATCATAATTAATTCCATTTTATCGGGATAGACCTTAAGTGCCTTATAGAAAGGTAAAACAGCATCATCATAATAGCTAGGTCCTGATTATGTCCTATTTTAATATTATCACTCTAATTAGATAATATTTTAGTTACCTTGGTTACACAACTTTTCACCAGCAGCAACATGCTCCATAAAATACTTTTCTTTCGCTTCAGGCGTCTCAGGTAAGGTTTCCTTTGCACATTCAATAATTACATTTTCAATCATTTTTAACTTGGATTCTTTTTCATTCTTCTCAGCCTCCTTTGTTGCCTTAGCAGCCAACTTACGCTCACGTTCTTAAAATGAAAACAATAATAGATTACGAAAATGCTTTTTTTTTTTTTTTTTTTTTGTCATAATAAAGCTGCTTACTTAATTGCTTTCTAAATTCAGGATTATTTCGTCTTTTGGAATCGAAATACAATAAGTAGCCGATACCAGCAGTAGCAATTATACCAGTTGTAATCAATACAGCAGTTGATGTTTTCATTTATCTTATAAAACCAAAAAAAAAAAAAAAAAAGAAATATGTTTTAACAGGGCCCATTCTTTACTCATGCCTTTTATTATTATTATTATTTGCAAATATTGAGAAAGAAACGGGAAATTTTTACGGCGATTGAAATTAAATACAAAATGGTCACGATTTTCTATGACATTTTAATTGGTATATAATCGTTGTAACTGCTTTCATGGAAGGCATAAACTTTTTTTTTTTTTTTTGCTATCATATTTACGTTTATACAATACAAAAGTTCTCGGAGTTATGTTATTTGAAGTAAAATAAATCAAAGTAGTACACTTTTAGCATATAAAAAATTTTAAAAGCTAATCAATAAAAAGAGATACTGTCCTGCTCCTTACTTTAGAGAGAGTAAAGGTAAGTTACTAACACAGAAATACCCGAGGTTAGTTAAAAAATAAAATAAATAAAAATAAAAATAAAAAAATAAAATAAAATAAGGGTAACAATAATTCTCTTCAATGTTGATTTTACTATAATTTTAGATATCTAAAACCTTTCTCCTAGAGTAATATCCTTGACGAAAGAATTGTGTTTGATACAACGATTATTCATACACGTGTTTTTTTTTCTTTTTCCCTCTTCTGATAATAAGCTCTTTCTTAAAATTTAATAAAACTAAACGTATATCATCCTTATGACACAGCTTAGAGTAATGAAACGTTAAAGTCAAGTTTCCTTCTATTTTTAGAAAGTTGAAATTCTTTATGCCAAAGATATTGGATTATCATAATAACAAGAGGAATATGATTAATAGTAAATGCCAAATATATTTCCAATATATTTCATTTTAAAAAGGAAATCCGCAACTCCAGGTCTTAAGATTTAGATTACTGTACAAATTCTAACTTATTTTTTATTGTTATATATAATTTTTTTTTTTTAAAAAAAATAAAATAAAAAAATAATGGTAGCAAGGAAAATAAAAGAAAGGAGAATGATAAAAGATCAAACAAAAACGGATTCAAAAAAAAAAACACAGTTTAATTCTTCTTGGGAACAGGCAAAGTGTATGAAGCAAGAATCTCATCACCCTTTTTAATATCCTTGGTGGCAGTAACAGAGAGAGTATCATTTTCAAAAGATATTTTAACATTAGGAGCATTTTCAGATTGACCGATATAAGTAGAAATCTTGTAAAGACCAGCACCGATATATTTAGCATCAGAATTTGTCTTTCTGATATGCTCATCAGAATCACGAACATCGGTCTCTTCTGAACTTGCAGGGACACCATAAGCATTATAGAGCATCTTACCTTTAAGCATCAAGTAAATTTCGTCTGATAAGAACTCATTAATACCTTGTACCTTAGGGCCAAGTACTTGTTTCAACATGGAAATTTCATTCTTAGAATCATCATTGGGAGTTGTTTCCAAATATCTAAAACGATCAATGTGATCCCATGCACCAAAATCTGTTTCATTTGATTTTTCCTCTGTCTTTTGCTTTCTTAATTCTTCAGCAACCATAGAAGATAAGAAACGAGCAATCATGTAAGGATATTTAACATTTTTGCTCTTGGAAGTTTCAAAGAATTCCAAAGCAATATTCTTTTCATCTGCTTCATCTGCCTCCTTAATGATATATGCTGATGATTTATTATGAGAACAAATATATTGGTGATAATCTTCATTAGCATGGTCAAAACACTCTTTACTACAGAAGGCGACTAAATCACAGTCAGGACAATTGACCTTATTTTCGGTTGTAAGTGGCTTTAAACAAAGGTTACAATATGTTCCCTCTAAATCAGGATATAATGCTGAAACAAGAGGACGTTCGGTGTAAATCAATTCACCTTCAACAATATCTTTATCGGCAACGAGTGAACGACGAACGATAGGTGTTCCTTCCTCATTCTTACCAGCAGGTAACTCACCTAACTTAACATGTGTTTCTTCAGGAGGGAACTTTTCATAAAACAAGTTTTGACGTTTTTGTTGCTATTCAAAAGTATAAAAAAAAAAATTAATAATTCTTTTCCTCTTTACCCCGGATTTTTTTTTTTTAAAAAAATAAAAAAATAAAAAAATAAAAAAATAAAAAAAAAAAACTTACATCAACAGCCATCACATTAATAATCATTTGGAAAACAGGTTCAGGAACAGTCTTTTGATATATCATGATTAATTCCATGGGGGCAGGATAAACCTTCAAAGCCAAATAGAAAGGTAATACAGCTTCATTATAATAGGCTTCGCCTGAAATAAAAATTAATAAATATTTATATCATCCTTAATTTCTTTCTTTCTCTCTCTCTCTCTTCCTTTTTCCTTTTTTCTTTTTTTACCTTTATTACAGAATCCTTCACCAAGAGCAACTTTTTCCATGAAATATTTTTCTTTATCTGTGGGGGTAGATGGTAAAACTTCTTTCTCGGCAGCTTCTATAACAGAATCGATGACTTGTCGAGTACTTGACTTGAGTTGTTCTTCTGCCTTTTTAAGCTCTTTCTGTGCTTTCTTTTTCTCTTTTCCTAAATAATGATATATGAATATATTTGATTGAAGAAAAATATAAGTATATAAATATATATAAAACCAGGGTCCGCTTAAAGGTTAATACAAAAGAACTTACTCAGTTTCTTTTTAAGAGTAGGATCGTTACGTCTCTTATAGTCAAAATAAAGCATATACCCAATACCGGCAGTAACTGCAACACCAGCAGTAATCAATGCAGCTGTTCTTGGTTGAATACCCATTATTAATAAACTTATTTTTTTTAAAGGCAATAATAATAAAAAAAAAAAAAGCAAATAGAAAGAAAAATAAAATGAATAAAAGGCTATATTCAATAGACCTTATTAACTAAAACAAAAAAAAAATGAGACTAGCTTTTTTTTTTTTTTTTCCTGCGGCTCTCTAAATAATAAATGGTATTGGTCATACGTCTTTAAGAAAAGAGCTATTGTTCTTTTTTAATGAAGAAAAAAGTTTGTTTCGTTTAATAAACTTCATTATAATTCACTACATGTAATGAAGTAATGACTGTAATTCTGTCCTTATACAAGCAAATGGTATAATATTTAAACAAAAAATTTTATTATAATATAACAATAATTATACTACTACGTAAAAACATTTCGTGGAGTTAAAAAAAAAAGTATTTTACATGGCTACATTTTTTTTTAGCTTTTTTTTTAGCTTTTTTTTTTCTAAGCAGAATATCTGTGTGGCTTATGTATTAGTTCTCCACAATAATATTACGATGAATACATTAGTCAAAAAAAAAAAAAAAAAAAAAGCTCAGTTGTGTTACTTTAATCTGTTCAAGCTTAGTATTATGTAAGGAGGAGTATTGTTGATTTTCTCGGAGAGAATCATAAGCATATGTTATCGGAATATAAATACATGACTAAAAGTAAAGACTATCTTCAAAATACAACCAGTTATGAGCACATTGTCATTACCACCCCACGTATGACAAGTTTAATAGGATAGCTTTTATTAAAGATGACGTTCATTCTTTTGTTATCTTTTTTTTTTATTATTTTTGCTTGTATATTATCTATTTATAACGATTATTCTTCTTTACTTTTCTTTTCAAGTTCCTCAATAGTTTCATTTTGTAAAGTACTGATAGGTTTATCTTGTTCTTTATCAGCCTTAACCTTTAAAACATGATGACAAACATAGAGTTATGTTAATAAAATAGTGCTTAATGCTTTTTCTTCTTCTTCTTCCCCTCCCCCTCCTCCCAGACTACTTACTGCTGCTTCACTATGAGAGGCTAACTTTTCATTCCATTCCTTATTTTCTTTTTTCTTCAAACTCTTTTCCTTTTCTTTTTCAAGTACTTCTGGATTATTATCTGACATATGAGAAAAGGCAGTCATAGTTCTTGAAGTTTGAGTGACGGATGTAGATGTCAATGAAGTAATATAAGTAGAGCGATAGGCTTTTGTGACCTGGGAAGCTGCTGTTCTGGCGTACATATTTATTATTATTATTATTATTATTAATGCAAGTTTGGAACTGTAATATTTAAATTGAAAAAAAAAAAAGAAAAAAAAAGAAATATAGTTGTATAATTATAACCTGTTATTTATATCAATTCAACTGCTATTATAAACATTAGAAATGCAGAATTTAAAATAAATGATTATCTATCAATCATGTCATATTAATGTCATAGAAAAAATATATTTTACCATCCAGCAATATTCAAAAAAAAAAAAAAAAAAAAAAAAAAAAAAAAAAATACGCAATGACGTTTCATGTATTTGATATAAATAATATTATTTCTCAAGCATTTGACAAGGAAAGGTGTTAATCATAGTAAATATTATTTAATTATGGATACGTGTATTATATAACACACTTTGTTGTTTTTTTTTTCATTAACTAACAAATTCTGTGTAAGCACAGCTAAAGAAGACCCAAGTAGTTTAATAGAACCCCTTATAACTGTATCAACTTTATAAATAAGTTATAGAATAAAAGCTTTTTCAGGCTGAATATTGAATAAAAAAGGCTAAATAAATATAGTAGAATGACCGGTATTTATCATAGAAATAAAAGGCAAATGCATCATAAAAATCGATAGGCGACATCAAAGGCAGAATATATATACATTTATAGAAAAATCTTAGAAAATGAAGTTAGTTTACACTATTCTTCTTTTCTCTCTCCCTTTATATATATATATATATATATATATATATATGTGTGTGTGTGTGTATATATATCCTATTTGTTTATTAATCAATATGAATTAATAGATAGAAGGGAAAACGCACAAAAAAAGCCTGCTTCTGATACTGATAAAAGAGATATAGACATTGAACTCAGAATTATTGCTGAGGCTAATTCCATTGTAGCTAAGCAGCTTTCTTTTTAGACTTGGATAATGAATTATGCGGCAGGAGTACATATATTAGTAGAAAGGAATTGAAGACATAGTTAACTGTAATTAGAAATTGAGTTTTTAAGTATCATAAAAGACAAATAGCTGAGCAGCACGTAAAAGCTAGTTATTCAGATGTAAAATCCAATAAATCATATATGTTTGTCTATTCATTTTGCAGTCTTATTAAACCACATACCGCTCACAAAAAAAGAATTTTTGCAGAGTAATAGAAATGATATGAGAGAGGAAAAAAAAAATACAAATAACTCGAATAAAGTCAATTCGTAGTAATTTATTGCCTCAAGCTCACAGTGTCCTAAATAAGCATCTTTAATAGTTATATTCAAAGCCATAAGAGAAAGAAAGTTACTTTTAATAAGGAGATGTATTATCTGTAGCAAGACAGAAACTGTATTTATTTTGAAAAGCTTTTAAACGTATTAAAATTAGTCAAAATAATCTTAATAAACGCTTAAACAAGGTTGAACAAGTTGCGCTTAATGGCTTTACCTTTCCATTCTTTTTTTTTTTTTTAACTGTTGTTATTTCTTTCCTTACTCAACACAAGTAACTTTATATTCTATTCATATTGCATATATTTCAAAACATTGCACTAAAACCTCTTCTTCTTTTTGGAATTTGTTCTACTCTTTGAGTAAATAATACTGCTGCTATTTCAATTTTGTAATTTTTTAAATAGTATCGGTTTTAAGAAAAGAAAAGAAAAAAAAAAAATTCAAGTTCAAGTTTAAACTTTTTTTTTATTTTAACAATAACAATAATAATGTAAGTATTTGAAGCATGCTATAGACCTCCCACCTTACAATGTGATAAACTCTAGGTATAACAAATGGGATATTAGACCAAGGATATGGTGTAAATACTGCAAAAAATTCATTACCAACAATAAGCCTGTAAGTTGTTTTTATACATCTACATACACGGATATTTAATCGTATAATGAATAACCAATTTAGTCAATTCAAATTCATGAAAATGGTGGAGCCCATAAAGCAGCAGTAGAAAGTTTCTTACGTAATGTATACAAAAAGGGGAGACAAGAAAAAGAAGAAGAAGAGAATATTAGATGTGAGCTTCAGCGTATCGAGAGTGTAAAGCAAATTATAATGATCAGCAATTAAATTCATCACACGCATGTTAACTGTTTATTATTATTATTATTATTATTAGGCAGCATTAAATGCAGTTGGTATTGCTGAGCGAAGTAAATACAGTTCAACGAGTGTTGCATCACCAAGTCAAATGAGTACATCAAGTAAATCTACTCGCAGTACAACTACTACTTATAATTCACCAGTCTACATTCCAACCATTGATGAACTACGCCAACAAGCTGAGGACGAAAAGAATCAAGCGGAAAGAGCTAAATTAGAAGGGCGTGAGGAATGGGCAGTGAACACACAAGTAGCTAAAGTTGGTGAATGGGAAATAATAGCTCAACCTTCAGTAGATTCTACTGCAGTCAATAATCAAAGCGATAAAAATAAAACGAAACCGGCCACAACACATGATCAAACTCCAGAGTTTCAAGATGATGATGAAGAAGATGAAGAAGATTTACATAATTTTAAAATTAAGGAAAAGGAGCTTCCAGTAGATATAGATAATGCTCCCGGAGATGGTGAAAAAGAAGAAATAACGTTCAAGAAACGTAAATTAGGTGGTGGTGACTCGATTTTCAAACCAAGGAAGAAAAAGCCCCTTAGAAAGAAAGATTGATGTAATAACGACGACATGAATGATACTCATATGTATATGCATATAACTCTATGTTAGGGTGCTCATATATGTAAATTTGTTGTATTTGCAGATACATGTTACATATCATGTAAGCTATTTTTTGTTGATATTATTTTATAAACATATAATTGTATATTTTGAAATAAGAGACGCATACTAGTTGAATGCTTTAAAAGAAAAAAAAAAGGCAGTTAAGGAGAAATGTGCAGACAACCTATGCAGTTGCATATCCTTTAGATGAATATAAAAAGTATATTTGATGCTTGCTCTTAACAAAGGAATGGCGACATCCTTAAGTTTCAGTCTAAAATCTTGCTTAACATTCACCTGATTCTTGGGCTTAAAAAGTGCCCCTAAAAAATATATAAATATTATTTCTGATTTCTTAGCGAAGAGGCCTCAAAAATAGTCAGTTTTGATTCTTTTGTCATATCAAAGATATTGAATAAGTTAATCAATAATCAATATAGCTTTGAGTATTTTGATAATGTCAATAATGATTCAAACTCTGTCCAGATTACAGTACTATATTCTATAAATGATTTATAAAACCTTTCTTTTTTTTTCGGATAACTTTAAAAATACGACTTTCAACATGAATAAAGGTTCTTTGATAAACATACCATACATTCTTACGTTCTCCACTATTTTTCACTTTTAAATCATATAAATTATATTTTCGAATTCTATTGAAAAATGTATTTTGTAGTGTCATTGCTTTCATTATCGACACAGTTGATTGATTTCTGCAGCTACTAAGATTTGATATCAATTATATTGTTTACCTCGTCTTGCTCTTCTATAAAAGAACCAAAATGATTTAGAAGAATCTAATCGGTTATGTTTGTTTCATGGTCTTGTCTTCATTTTTCATCAAGTACAATCAACAGTTTCATGAAATCAAAAAAAAAAAAAAAAAAAAAAAAAAAAAAAAAAAAAAAACTTAAAAATGCGTGAAAATTTTATATTAGAATTGACATATCAAACTAGTTTATCATATGTATTTATATACATATTTATTTATATTTATTTAAGAGTAGTCATTCTTATATATAAATATACAGTTTCTGAGACAATAATTATGTACTATACTGTGTCCCATTTATACTATTTCTTATTTATATACAAAATACAGATAGTAAACATGTGATTTGTATGTAACTTATGTATATTCATATTCTCTCTGTTTACATATTATAGATAGCTGTTGCTGATCATAAAATGATAAAATATTATATTTATATGATTGGTTTGTATTTATATGTCTCCTTATAAACTATTCTCTTCTCTTCAATACATGTCTATTTTTTTTTCTTCCCCTTCTTCTTTTCTTTCTTTCATATATATATATATATATATATATATAATACATGGTGGGTCTTCATTTTATTGGAGATTATTTCATTTCCTCTACAATTGGATATGGATCAACAGGTTTGAGATAGAGTGATTATTCTGCATACATTCCATTTACACTACTTGTATGTATACAGGACAAGTAAAGCTTGGGATACATCAAATAAGTGGAACAAAAGTAGCTATCAAAATCATTCCACGTAGAGAGCTTGATTCATCTTTAAAAATTAAGCAAGCAGTTGAACGAGAGCTGGCTGTATTACAACTTTTAAATCATCCAAACTTAATTGAACTTTATCAAATATTACAAGATGAGAGAAACATCTATTTTATTATGGAATATGTTCCTGGAGGTGAATTATATTCTATTTTAAATGAAAAACCGGATAGACGATTAAATGAAATAGAGGCCCGAGAGATATTTAAGCAGATAGCAGATGCTTTAATCTGGTGTCATGCTCATCATATCTGGTATATTAAAGTAGCATCGTAATACCTTTCTTTTAAAATCTATAACCTTTTCTTTCTTTCTTTAAGTCATCGCGATCTAAAGCTGGAGAATATCTTATTAGATGAAGGAAAAAGGAATATCAAGATTGCTGACTTTGGTATGGCAATCATGCAACCAACGACTCAATTATTAAAAACAAGTTGTGGGTAAATAATCGCAACCTATTATGATATCACACTATTATCAATATATCTATTAAGTATTAAAGTGTTGTATTTCTTCAAAGCTCACCACATTATGCTAGTCCTGAAATTGTTAGAGTATGCTAATATCTATTTATATATAAACAAATGGCTTTGGTCTGTATTGACAAGGCTAATTTTTAGGGAATTCCTTACTATGGACCAGCAGCAGATGTTTGGTCATCTGGAGTTATTTTATATGTATTAATAATAGGAAAATTACCATTCGATGATCATCACCTGGGTCGATTATTGACAAAAATAAAAGTAGGACGTTTCAGACGAATACCTAATTGGGTATCTCCACTCGCCAAAGATCTTTTATGTAGAATGTTAACTGTGGATCCAAATAAAAGATTAAGTGTAAAAAAAGAAAAGAAAAGAAAAAGAGAGAGAGAGAGAGAGAAAGAAGAGACTTATAAAATAGATAGAATTTAATATACGTGTATTATAGTTTATTGATATATTATCACATCCTTGGATGATATCATCACCTAGTATCTATTGTAATAATATACTTCTTTCGTCTACATTATGGAATGATGAAAAATTAAAATATCCTTCAATATCCAATTCAAGTGACTTGCATGGTCCCACAAGGGAAACATTAAAGGTTTTGTGGAGGGATCTGAATGATAATCAAATAGAGTCTGCACTAATGAAAAGAAGGTATCCATTCATTTACTCCTTTGTTTTTTTTTCTTTACACTAATATATTTTCTTGTAATTAAAAAAAAAAAAAAAAAAAAAAAAAAAAAAAAAAAAAAAAAAAAAAAAAAAAAAAAAAGCCCAAATGTTCAAAAGCTTACGTACTATTTATTACAACAAACACAAAGAAAGAAGAAAAAAGAAGAGTCGACATATTTTACCAGCGATAATAAACAAAAAATGGTAAAGCAACCACCAAATACGATTACAGCTGATAAGTCTCCAACACTACAATTATTAGAGCCAAATATAATTCATCGTCACCAAAGTAAAAGTTATTTAAAACATATATTGATTTATCCCCAAGAGCAACATAATAGACCAATTGCAATTAAAGCACTTGTAAATCAAAAATTAAATACAATTCATACAACCTGTCTTCATGCATTATCTCCTCATACAATCATCACTACTTCGTCTCCCAACTTATTACCTCAAGGCTTGCTATCATTTATGCCTCATCATAATAACTTAACTACATCTTTAGTAACAAAATTAGTACGACGTCATACAGCCTATTTGACGTCAATCACTACAAAACTAGTCAACACATGTACATCTTTATTTGGATCAAGGAAACGAAAGGGAGTAAGCAAAAATTATTGTGAAGAAAAGACAATCTCTTGTATTGCAGAATCACAGAATATGGCTGCAGGAAAATTACATTATATTTTATCAGAAGTAGATAAATGTGTTATTTTATTTTTCTTATTTTATGTTACTAATTCATTATTTCACTGACAGCATTTTCAGGGTTATGTTAATGGATACATGTACTCTAATGGTAAAATAATTTGGTATGGGAAGCTAGGTATAGTTAGCTTTATGAATCTTTCTATTATATGCATACTAATCACTCGATTCTTATATTAGATGACAGCCCTTATTATAATACTAATTTTATTTGCAGAATTCAAAAAGTCGAAATAGAAGATGATAAAGCCTTGTTGTACAAGATTATCTTTTCTGTACATAACAGTAATAGCTCAATGATTGAACGTATCATGTATTTACTTACTTTATATGAAAATGAGTCTATTCATTCAATTCGAGTAAATAACTGGGAGAAGAGAATAATAAATGAATAAATGATGTCTATATTATAGCATCATCGCAACTACTACAACAGTAATAAAATGATATGATTATACACGAGTGACGTGAATGCTTATGATGATGATATTTTAAAGTTTAAAACCCTTATAAATTCCTTTTTTTTTTTTTTTTTTTTTTTTTTTTTTGCATAATAATTATTTATTTATTTATTTATTTTTTTTTTTTTTTTTACTTTTCTTTTTTCATTAACACAGTATATAATGACCAACTCTGCTACTAACAATAATAATACAACAACAAATTGGCTTTCAAATTGCTGTACTCACTTATTAGAAGACCCCATGACTTCTGTTAAAGTCCTTATACCTTCAGTTGCTATTGAAGTTATTTTGCATAAACAATTGTGGCAAAGGACGTCTTTAAGAAATTTAACATTATGTTTAGCCGGTATTAATGCTTATTGGTTTGCAACTACTTTAAATTGGAGCTTCTTGGAGACTCCCTTCTTTTTAAAATCACCTCACTTGTCTGATCAACAAAAGGTGGGTTACAGAAGACAACGCTTTAACTGGTTAAATAAAATCGAGGTAAATAGATATACAAATAATTGTCATCCATTTTTCTATTTTTAATGACTTGATATATACATATATTTGTGTGTGTCTATATGAAAATAAATAAATAGATTGCTGTAACTGTTCTTGGTTTAGATTTGTACTGTGAATGGAGAAAACGAATTCTTGATAATAACGGGTATATTGATGCTTGCTTAGCTAGATCGATTTGGATTCCTGCAACAGTCACAGCTATTCAAGCAGTTTATCTTCTTCCTAAATTAAACAAAAAATCAAAAGAAATTCCTTCTTCAACACAATCTAATGAAAAATGTGCATCGTTTCCAAAAGCACATTGTGCTTATATTGGATTTGAAGCTGTCAAACTTACAGGATTAGCAGTTGCTGGTCTTCGATTTGGTAAAATGCTTACACTTTAAAGTTTATAAATAAAAAAAAAGAGTAAAGTTGTATTGTATCGGATTTTCTTCTTCTAAATAATATGCTGTATTCGTATATGTATTATTCTCTTTGTTTTATTTTAAAGACAAAAAAAAAAAAAGAAAGAAATAAAAAAAAAAGAAAAGAGTCTGAATAATTTATTTGATTTAAGCATCCTTAATCTTCTTAGTACCACGGAGAAGACCAGTACGACGGGCAGCAATCAAACCAACCTTTTGACCAGCAGGAGAGTCACGAGCCTTAGTAGAAGCCTTACCAATGTGTTGATGGTTACCACCACCGTGAGGGTGATCAACGGGGTTCATGGCAACACCACGAGTCTTGGGCCAGCTGTTACGCTTAACTCTGTACTTGTGGAAAGCACGACCAGCCTTCAACATAGGCTTATCAATACGACCACCACCGGCAACGATACCAATGACGGCACGAGAGGTAGAAGGAATGACCTTCTTGGCACCAGAGGGAAGACGAATACGAGTCTTACCATCATCACCGTGACCGATGACGGTAGCGTAGTTACCAGAGGTACGAGCAATGGAACCACGATCACCGACCTTTTCTTCGACATTACAGATAACGGTACCTTCAGGCATGGAGGACAAGGGCATAACGTTACCAATGTTCAAAGCAGCCTTCTTACCAGCATAGATGAATTGACCAGTGTACATACCTTCAGTGGCAATGAAGGTTTCGGTACGGAGCTTATATCTTTAACAAACATGATGTTAGTTATAAATTGAACCATAGCAAAATGACTAAATAAAAAAATCCACATTTTTTTTATATACTTACTTGTAAGGGTCACGGAAGACAACCTTGGCAAGAGGAGCACCTCTTCCGGGATCGTGAACAATATCCTTAACGATACCACGGATATAACCATGACGTTCAGCAAAGTCGAAAACTCTCAACTTGACGGCACCTTTACGGCCGACAGTGTGAGATTTGAAGATACTTCCAGCACCCTTTCTCTGAGCACGAATGACACGACCCATTGCTGTAAATTCGTAAAATAATCATATAAATGTATATATAAAGTAAGATGTATAATTGTTGAGTTATGTTGATCAGATTAAATGAATAAATAGGTTAAAATGCAAAATCATAATGGAGTCAATCAAGTCATAAAATAAAAAAAAAAAACTGTTAGCCTTTTATCATTTTTTTTAATCCATATTCTTAGGAAAAGGGAATAAATGAATTTAATTAATCCATCAACATATGAATCGAGATGCATCCATCAGTTCCCTTTTTCCTTTCTGTACTGTATTCTGATACTTGCCTAACTAGTGGAAAAAGAGAAAGATTTAGTAATTCACTTCCTCTTGGATCATCCATATCTTCGATAAGTGAAATAATGAAGCAATCTAGTTTCTTATGAAAGTTTTCCGGTCCGGATTTATTTTTAAGTCCGTCCAGGCTAAAAAAAAAAAAAAAAAAAATGAATATAAATCAAGAAAAGCCTTTTTGCCTTAAAGTATTAAAACATATTGTATTACTCTAAAAGAAAGGTTGTGTTTATAGAATAGAAACATACCATCGTATTGTTAATTGTTTGACCAAAATAAAAATAGTAGCTTGTATGGTCTATTAAAATAATGAGGTCGGCTTCAGTCATCTTTTAAGCTATTAATTACAAAAGTCAATAAATAGAACTTTACATTTTGTCAAACGTAATACAAATCAAAAATTTTGATATCTAGCATCAATAGATGACAAATTCCTTTAGTCATTTATAGTGCAAACAAGAATGAATGGTCAGATTGAAAGTTTAATAAGTTAGAATATCAATGAATTGGTTATAAACTGTATAGTAAATGAGATGATTTATTTAAACTTTTCTCATGAAATTCTGTGTAGAAGTATAGAGTTTGGAGTCTTCTTTTCCACCTGTTATAATAAAGTTGACTAATCTATAGATCGCTCCAACTGTAATGGCAGAGCCACCAATAATACCACATAATCTAACCATAAAATGTAAGAATGACTGTTGACGAGATTCGCTAATTTGAACAGAAATAGGCTCAATATCATATTTAAAAAATATCCCAGGAACAGCTCGACCATCTTGGAATTGTTTATGAAAATCTAATACTGCATATTGATTAGTAAGTAAAATGTTGTTTTTATGATCAATATAGGTTGTAGGAACAACTGAAATTGAATATTGAAACATCTCAAAGGCTACATAATACATTGTTTGTATCAGTTAGTCAAATAATTTGGGTTGAGTACATCTTTCTTGTTTGACATACGTGTCTCAGAGATTTCAATACTGTCATCTAAAGGATTAACTAAATTAGGATAAAGCTGTCCAAACGAGAATTCATCAATACGATGTGTAAAGTTAAGCACTAGTTTTTTTTTTTTTTTTTTTTTTTTTTTTTTGAACAGTACATAAATATATAAGTAATAATAATAATAACGTATTATTTAGCACTTACAATTATGGCTTGTATGAGTAAAACTGGCTAATTTTTGTTTTTAACAGAATGTTAATGTATTTTGTAACATTTACATGTACTTTTTTTTTTTACCATAGCCATGACCATCTGAAGTAATATGGAGATTAGAAGCAACCTTATTTACATTAAGTGAACCGTATATTCTACATGCTCCCATATCATCTAAATTAAAATTAGGCGTGGTTGATAGAAGAAATAATAGATTATGTACATACTAGCAATTTCATGATTGTATTGTTTTCCACTAGCAGCCTTAATAATTTCATGAATATATTTTGGATCCTCTACTTGTCTATTCTTGTTTTATCAAAAAAAAAAAAAAAAAAAAAGAATTATTGTTTTCTATTTTCTTTTAAAAGTGTTTTCATACTGTACCTATATTTTGTAGCTGTACGAGCAGAAAATTCAGCCTATAAGAAGATTACATTATTTTTAACATGGTAATTGTTTTGCTTTCTTTTAAAACTAATCTATATACTATACTGGAATAAGTCGAAGGTCATCTGTTAATTTTATACGCTGACCTGTAGCGTCTATAACGTGAACCATTAAAGCTATATATATATATGTATGTATGTATATTTAACTATTTAGAATGGGTCTTCACATGATAATAACAAAAGAAAGTTTACATGGACAAGGCATTGCAACTGTTACATCGATATTAATTTGCATCTTTGTATCAATAGTTGAATCAACCAAGAATTTATAATTGGTATGAATTTTACGATAACTATTTGTTATTTTATTGTAAAATTAGCTGAAAGTATGAATATTTCAAACAGATAGTATTGCATTTATATCATTTACTCACTCAGAATACTCGCTCATGGTTAACAAAAATAAACATAAAGCAACTAACAGAGTTAGAAGCCCACCTTTCTCGCTACGTTGTTGATTATCATCCTCAACTTTAGGAAATGCGTCAATAGTTGCTGCTTTTTCAGCAAATTTCCGAAATACCATTTTTGTTTTTATATGAATAAAATTATTATTTTTAAAGCTTTAAAATAAAATAAAATAAAGAATGCCACAAAAAGTCTGTTCCTTTTCATTGCCTGCAGAATTCTCAAAAATAAAATAAAATAAAATAAAAGGGAAATCAACGGGAATTTAATGTGACTCGTTAATAGATGACGTTAACATAGGTTTCTCGCATTTTTTCGAAATAGATATTATTACGCGTTGCTTTCACAAATAAGACAACTATAGCCACATTTTATTTTAATTCTACTTTTTTTTTTATATATATATACACATATTAATATACATACACATATTTATATCTATTTTGGACATTTATTTTTATAAAAGAAAAAATTCATTAAACCAAACATGGAGGAAATTGGCATTCATATTAAATCTGAGGTAAAAACATATACACATATTATATATCAACGGCAACAAGTGGCATTGCAAGATGAACTCACTATGCTTTTTGTTTCTTTTTCTTTTTCTTTTTTTTTTTAGCATCAAACAAAAGAATCAAATAATCTTCTTCCTAAAATCACTCAATTAGAAGAATTATCGGAAAAAGATTTATATGTTAAATTAAAAAAACTTCAAAGAGATTTAGAATTCATTGAACTTCAAGAGGAATATATTAAGGATGAACAAAAGAATTTAAAGAGAGAATTAGTGAGAGCACAGGAAGAAGTAAAGCGAATTAAATCAGTCCCTCTTGTGCTTGGTCAGTTTCTCGAAATCATTGATCAACATACTGGTATTGTGGGCTCTACAACTGGTTCCAACTACGTTGTACGTATTCTCAGCACTATTGATCGAGAGTTGTTGAAGCCAAATTCTACTGTTGCCTTACATCGTCATTCAAATGCTCTTGTTGATGTTTTGCCACCAGAAGCTGATAGTAGTATTGCACTTTTAGGAGCTGATGAAAAACCTGAAGTTTCATATTCGGATGTTGGTGGTTTAGATATCCAAAAACAAGAAATTCGTGAAGCAGTTGAATTACCTTTAACACACTTTGACCTCTATCGTCAAATCGGTATCGATCCTCCTCGTGGTGTACTTTTATATGGACCTCCAGGTACAGGAAAGACAATGCTCGTCAAGGCTGTTGCACATCATACAACCGCCAGTTTTATTCGTGTAGTTGGTTCTGAATTTGTTCAAAAATACCTTGGTGAAGGTCCTCGTATGGTTCGTGATGTGTTTAGATTGGCTCGTGAAAATTCACCTTCTATTGTCTTTATTGATGAAATTGATGCTATTGCTACTAAACGTTTTGATGCACAGACTGGTGCTGATAGAGAAGTGCAACGTATTTTACTTGAATTACTTAATCAAATGGATGGTTTTGATCAAACGTCAAATGTAAAGGTCATCATGGCTACGAATCGTGCAGATACTCTAGATCCAGCTTTGTTACGTCCTGGTCGTCTTGATAGAAAGATTGAATTCCCTACACCTGATCGTCGTCAGAAACGTCTTATTTTCCAAACTATCACATCAAAGATGAATTTATCTGAAGAAGTTGATTTAGAAGAATGTAAGTATTAAACTTTACATTTTTTTTTTCTGAGAGAGAGAGAAAGTAAACGTTAACTTGAAATTTTGTTAAAAATTAGTTGTTTCACGACCTGATAAATTATCTGGTGCAGAAATTGCAGCAATTTGTCAGGAAGCTGGTATGCATGCAGTTAGAAAGAACCGTTATGTTATTCTAAGTAAGGATTTGGAGAAGGGCTATAAGGCTAATGTTAAAAAGGAAGACTCCAACTTTGAATTCTATAAATAATAATGTTAATAATAATAATAAAAACAATACATTTTATGTATATATTCATATTAATACGCATATCTTTTTCTTTTACATTTCTGCGTAATACTTTTTTCTTTCTATTAGTAGTCTGTTACCAATCCCAAGATCTGTTAAAGATATGAAAGCAACTTTATTAAAATCTTGGGATGTTTACGTTAAAGAAAGAAAGAAAAAAAAAAGAAAGCTAAAGTGGTAATAAGGAATTATTATATATTGAGATCGTATCTTTGTAGTAGTTAGTCTGTCTCTCTATTATCTATGAATGACTCTCATATTGTGTGTATCTCTTTATTTCCCTATAATAACTTTTTTTCAACACTACATTTCTACTTGTAATTTAATAGCTATCATCATTGCAAATTGAAGGGAGATAAATAAAAAGAAAAGGAAAAAAAAAGGAAGACAGATTATTAAAGAGACTCTTCTTGAACATGTCGTAACTAAATTGCATCCTATTGATGTATATACGAATAATACTTTGAGATATTTTACCTTAAAAATCGTTAGAAAAAAAAACATATCAAATATTAAGACTCAGTGTTGTACAGACAAAAACAAAAAAAAATAATAAGTTTTCTCTCTTTCTTTTACACATTTTTTCTTTATTCTCATTTAATATATGATGTCAACTGAATTTGAAGACATTCCTGAGCTTATCCCAGTAACTAATTCAACGTAAAGAATAATTGGGATAATAATAAGGAGAATACAATAAACTAAAGTATTAAATGTTAATGTAGTGAAGTAACAACTCCCATTGAAGAAAAAGAAGGAGAGCATAAAAAGATTCCAGTTACCATTGTCACAGGTTTGATTATGCCACACACGATTCATTTTCGTTCATTATTAATTCCATCTCTCTAGGCTTTTTGGGTAGTGGAAAGACAACACTGTTGAATTATATTTTAACAGAAAAACATGACAAAAAAATTGCTGTTATTCTAAATGAGTTTGGAGAAAGTAAGAACAAAATATATGTATAAAAATGTATATATATTTAATTCCTCTTTTATATTTTCATTCTTTTTTTTTTTTTTAGGCAGTGATATCGAGAAAAGCTTGTCTGTTAATCAGGATGGAACCCTTTATGAAGAATGGTTAGAGCTTCGAAATGGTTGCTTGTGTTGTTCTACAAAGTAATTATTTATTTCGATATGAGTGTATATACATATTTGTATAACAATTCATTCTCTTTTAGAGATGTTGGAGTAAAGGCCATTGAGAATCTTATGGAAAAGAAAGGAAAATTCGATTATATTTTGCTAGAAACAAGTGGATTAGCTGATCCAGGACCTATTGCTTCTATGTTTTGGTTGGATGAAGGATTAGGCAGTGAAATTTACTTGGACGGTATTGTAACATTAGTCGATGCTAAGCATATTAGGGAATATATGACCGAGAAAAAGAAAGATGTCATGATTAATGAAGCACTCAAGTAAGTTAATATATAGTTTGTATTAAAGGATTCAAAATAGTTATTTATTTTATTACAGGCAAATTGCAATTGCAGATCGTATTGTTATTAATAAAAAGGACTTGTTAACAGAAGAAGAAATAAATCAACTTGAACAAGATTTATCTTCTATTAATTCTGTAGCTGATATGCTAGTTACTGAAAGATCAAGGTACATGATATTATATTAAAATTTAATAGTTTTTCCACTTATATATCAAATATTAGAATTCCATTAGATTATGTATTAAATATCAATGCATATGATGTTAATAATGCTGATGCTTTATTGAAACAAACAGAAAAAATTGAAGAACATGGAAGCAGTCATGCCCACCAGATTGGCCATGTAAATAGCCTTTTTTTATTAAAACCGTATAATTTACTTTTTTTTTTGTTATAGGATGTTCAAACTGTATGTATTCAATTTGACGAACAACTCGAAAGTAGTGAGGAATTTGAAAACTGGATACAAGAGTTATTATGGGAAAAGAGAATATTGGGTACAAGCAACAATGAAGAGCCAGTGATCGTTCTCAGACTTAAGGGCATTTTATATCCTCCTAAAAATAAGATGGAAGAAAGTGGTAAACAGAAGAAAAGAATGGTAGTTCAAGGTGTACAAGATTTATATGATATCCAAGAAGGATTTACAGGCGATGATATTAATGAAGATGATACCTCTAGCAAGATTGTTTTGATTGGAAAAAATTTAGATAAAGAAAAGATATCTAAATCGTTTACAAATTTATTAAGAGTTAAACATAGAATTATTTAATAGAATTTTAATAATAAAATAAATAATAGCACCACTATTCTTGCTTGCTTGCTTGCTTGATCATAATGACATGTAACTATCTATAAAGAAGATGATGTGAAATGTAGCTTTCTGTTTTTAATTCAAGGTCTATTTCTATCTTTGGAGCATTTGGCCAATACATTAATTTTTGATTAATATCATATCTTTCTATCGTATCGCATTCCTCTGAACGAAACATCCATAAATGACCATTATGACTTGCATTTAAACATGATAGACATGGTGATATAATATGATATCCAAGAATATTACCACTGTCAGTTTATCTACAGTTTAATACATCATACTTAATAATTTAAAAGTCAATACGATTACCATTCAAGACAAGCTGTATCTTGAATCCTACATTGGCAGGTATCCTTTAAATAATGTCTATATAAAACACAAATACTATATACAAAGATACAAATAAATTCAGCCTCTCTCTCTCTCTCCCTCTTTTTTTTTTTTAGTTTATTTTATTTTTACGTTAATACCTAGAAGAGGGCACATCTGTACTGTATAAATCAATTCTATTATTAGCTAAAAGGATAGCTTTCATTCCTCGAACACAAACAAGCGATTTACAATGTTGACATAACAATTTATAGATATGTCTAATAGAAGGAATTTGACTAGAAGGATTACCTATCATTTGAGAAGGTCGAATCCATTGTTGAGGCGCATGAAAGTCTTCAGAAGGAAATTGTATCTCTTGTCTTCTCAGTCGCCATTGAGTATTAGTATCGTTTGTAATAGATGATGATCTTATACTATTACTGATATTTTCACTAATAGAAGATATTCCTGTTGTTCGAATAAATCTAGCTCTTGGGAGTCGAACGTTTGGCGGATCCATTCTATGTAAGGGAAGAAGGGGGGGAAAAAAAAGTTTGAGGAAAAAGAAACTATGAATTTGCGATTTTTTCTGGTTTTTTTTTTTCAGTTTATTGTGTATTAGTTCCAATTATAACAAATTTTGTATATATTTGCATACCTTTCACTATTTTGAAAGAGATGACCTGTGTATTAAAATAAGTTCATTATGTAATACCACAAAGATATTTAATTTATATTCAAGCAGTAGGATTATCATTTTACAAGACATTTGTAATTTGCAGTTATTTATTATATTTATGTAGATTATTTAGATTTACTCACTATAAATACTACTTGCTTATATTACAAAGTATATTAGCCGTTTAATTTTTATTATATGACTGATAAAGGTTTACATTTCATCACTATTACTAGTTCGGAAAAGATAAAAATAAAAAAAGTGTGTTGAAAATATATTTTTTTGAAACATAGCTTATTTCATCTATGAGTATTCTTATATAGTGCTGTCTACTTTCAGATGATTATATACATGTATATGTGTATATAGAACACTGCTTGTGTGTGTGTGTGTGTGTGTGTGTGTGTGTGTGTGCGCGCTTTATCCTATTTTCCATAATTATAATAATGGTTGTTTTGAATTCCCTCCCTCTAGACTCCTCCCTTGAGCATATGGATCACCTATTCTACAAACCATAGATTAGCTTAATTTTTCTTTTTTGTATTTTAATGGCTACATGTGTAGATTACCACTATTATCATTATTACTTGTAGATAGGACAGAATTAAGACTTTAGTTTACTTGAGAAGCCCATTTCAAGCCTTTAATTCAAGTTATCTGACTGGATTCAAAGCCAACTCTGTTTTCAACAAATAGATATTATTATTTGGGAAATGAATACTGAACCTCCCCCATAATATATACAATGATAAGGTAAACTTACTATCCATTCTTTAATAACTTACTGTTATATATGTGAATGAGCTTATTGGTAATAATAGTAAATTGGCTAAATAGGATTACTTTCAAGTTATATATTGAGCAAATAAAATGATAAAATAGAGGTCTAAATTTACTATGTGCATTTAAAAAAAAGAAAAGAAAAAGAAAAGACATTTTCGGTTTTAAGAAGCTATAAAAGACTGAAAATTAAGGTCGATAATATTAAAAAGAAATAATGTGTGAATGACAGAAATATGAGTACTGTACACTCAATAGCATACATGGTTATATTATTTTTTTTAAAAAAATAAATAATAGTTTTCTCCAAGCAATATTACTTTGTATTACATTGGTATCCATTTTCTCTTTATGACTAGGTTTAGAAATAAGATTACAATCGTATTTACAAAGAGGACATTCAGAAGATTTTTCTGTTAACCATGGATCTATAATTAGATATATATAAATGCTTGTTTAAACAAGTGTGAGATAGAGAGCACATTACGAATACTAACCTATACAATGACAATGATACTCATGCTCACATGGTAATTTACGAATCTTTGAGTTTACTGTAATGCTTTCAAGACAAATGACACATACGGGTGGATCTTCAGATGAAAATCGGTAGTCTGAAGTTATATCTATAATAGGGAATAAGCTGTCAAGTTGAGATTTATCCAGTATTTGTTTCCCCATAGGCAGCATCTCAACAGGAATAGGAATTAAGCCCTGTTCAATCAAATACTCTTGCCTTCTACGCTTTCTCCATATATGCCAGTGCATGATAACTGTGAATATGTATATGTATATTATATAATTATACATTAACAAAAAAAAAAAAAAAAAAAAAAAAAAAAAAAAAAAAGAGAGAGAGAGAGAATGATCTAATGCTGTATACACTCGTTCATGGATGTAATCTCTCTCGAACAATAATGTACATACCTGAAGCAAGGAAGCTTGTGACAAGTAATATGGATACAATTAATAAGGTTACTTCCCAAGCATTGATACCACCAGGGCTTGCAGGTAATAAAACAGTACGTATATAAGGTTTAACACTAACAGACCTATCTAATGAAGTTGAAGGGTAATTTTTATAAGACATGACCTTGTCAAATAAGTCTTCACCTATCTTAATATCAACAAAGTAAACTGCAATGGCAATATTGGTTCCAGTAGGGATCTAATAAGACATTTGTATTAGAATCGGAATAATCTTAATATTGTCATCCCTTATCCTCCTCCCTTTTTTTTTCCTGACACAGTTATATACTTTAAACTTAATATCTCCTTATATATAAGGGTATATATTTATATATATGTATATAGGTAAGGAGACTATATTATATGATAACAGTTTTCTTCATTCTTTTTTTTTGGGGGGGAGGTAATACTTTTATTGCTGTTGTATACTAACCATGGTTGATTTTTCTTCATCCTTTGAAGGATTTAATATAGTATTTCCATACATAATAACCCCAACTGCTCCTTGGTTTTGAGCTTGTAGGATATTATCAATGACCGAACAGCTACTTGTCTCTATCTCCTGTTGATAAATAAGAGCAATCTTGGGCAATCCAGTTGGTAGAGATACAAATTGGTCTGAAGATGATGAGTTTATGTTATTATTAGCCATACTACACTGGCTTGAATCTTGAATATAAAGAACACCTTTTAACCCAGATTCAATAGGTTGACTCAAATTAGTAGCAGATCTTATATTATTATTATAAAATATAGGAGTAAAACTATTATCAACGTGTACTAGTGTAGAAGAGTTAGAGTATATCCAGACAACATCTATTTTGTATAAATAAACTTTATATTTAATGATTTATTATTATTATTATATTTGGTATGACCTTGAGTAATAGAGACTTGTGAATTAGAGAATAAACTACAATAAGCTCGTTGAAATGAACATGATAACAAGACCAAAATAAATATGATTCTAAAAAACGATTGAATCAAAGTCTTTTCTTTAAAGGTCATTATAGAGTTGTCTATTTTCTTCACTCTGTTTGTGTGTGTGTGAATGAATGTAAAGGTCCTGATTTCTTCTTCTTTTTCAATAAATATATTTCTCCTGCACTTACAGTATAAAGTAAAAGTTTTAATCTAAGGACTGTAATATTTTAAAAGAAAAGAAAAGAAAAGAAAGTAAATATGATCCCATAAAAGCAAATGAAAAGAGGAGATAGAAGCACTCTTTTTTTTTTTTTTTTTTTTCCAAAGATGCAATTTGATTCCCTTCACTCCTTTGCCCTACATAATCCAGTGTTCCTCTGTAAATACGCTTACGATCTATTTCAAAGATATATTCAATTATATATTACTAATAAAAGAAAAACGTATAATTTTAGAGTATGTCTTCTAATATTACATATTTATGTGCAGCATTCAGAATGAAGATTTGTTGTATGTAATTTTTATGATTATTAGCTTTATAAAAGAATGCACATAAACCAAACGTATTCAGTCTTCATAGTTTACAATATATAATATTTGATAATAAAAGAAAAACATGCATAAACATGAGGTATAGAATTCTAATTAAGTTATTTAATAGCACCCTTAACAGAACTTAAGTTAGGGTGAGGAGAACAAAGATCTTTTTTTTTTTACCATTCTAAAATCAAAAACAATACAAAAGCATATTAATTTGGGGAATGGCAATAAAATTCAAATTCAGTTAATGAATGGTTAATTTTTTCTTTTTTTTTTTTAATAAATATTGCTGTTCCTTTTTCTATTCAATTCTGTCTTTATTCAATTCACATCTGGGTTAATTCGAGGGAAAAGTTCGAAATGAATTCCGAATTTGATGATGTAAAATAAATTAATTGTGTAAAAAAAAAGAGAAAAGAAGAAAAGAGAAAGGCTAAAGAAAGAAGGAAAAAAATGATATTCATCATTTGTCTTTTATTTGGATTTTAGGTTTTAACTAATCAACCTGTTGTGATTGATAATGTAAAATTAAAAGATTAAATCAACTATTTTTTTTTCTCCCCATCATCTTACCATTCATTCAATTCTTTCATAGGGATCAGGTGTTATAAAAGCAGGTTTTGCAGGTGAAGAACAACCGAAATGTTTTTTTCCTTCCATGTATGTATATATCATATTTGGTCATATCAATATTAACACATACACATACGTATATGTATATGTATATAAAGGGTGGGTCGACCTAAGCATGTTCGTATTATGGCAGGTGCAGTGGAAGGAGATAATTTTATTGGAAGAAAGGCTCAAGAGTTGCGTGGCTTGTTAAAGATTAGATACCCTATTGAACACGGCATTGTCACTGATTGGGAAGACATGGAACGTATTTGGCAATATATTTATACCGATGAACTAAAAACTCTTTCTGAAGAGGTAAATTAAATAAATATCTTGTCGATATTATTATTATTATTATTATTCATTTGCTTTATTTCGATACATTATTAGCATCCGGTTTTATTAACTGAAGCGCCTTTAAATCCTCGAACAAATCGTGATACTGCTGCTCAAATCTTTTTTGAAACTTTTAATGTACCTGCTTTATTTACTTCGATTCAAGCTGTTCTTAGTTTGTAAGACCAAAAAAAAAAAAAAAAGAAAAGGAGGAGGAGAAAGTTGAAATTGATTGAATCAATGACTTTTTATTATAGATATTCGTCAGGTAGAACTACAGGTATTGTACTTGATTCGGGTGACGGCGTTACACATGCAGTACCTGTTTATGAAGGATTCGCGATCCCTCATGCTATTCGTAGAGTTGATATTGCAGGAAGAGATGTAACTGAATATTTACAACTTTTGTTAAGAAAGTCTGGCTATAATTTTCATACAACAGCAGAAAAGGAAGTCGTCCGTATTATAAAAGAAAAACATGCTATATTGCATTAAATCCAGCCAAAGAAGAAAAGGAAACAAGTGGTAAATTAGACGATTTTATGTTACCTGATGGAAATATTATAAAGGTAATCATTGTTTTTTATTCTATTCTATTTTATTTTATTTTATTTTTCTGTTTCTTTTTTTTTTTTTTTTTTTTTTTATCCACCTTAATAGTGGAAGCCTTATTGTAATTTCTATTATATATAGCTTGGACCTGAAAGGTTCCGTGCACCAGAAATTTTATTCCAGCCAGAATTAATTGGAGAAGAATACCCTGGAATTCATCAAGTGATTGTTGATTGTATTAGCCGTGCTGATATGGATTTAAGGAAATCACTTTATTCAAATGTTGTTTTATCTGGAGGTTCCACATTGTGTAAAGGCTTTGGTGAACGTCTTTTATCTGAAATTAAAAGACTTGCATTAAAAGATATTAAAATCAAAATCTATGCCCCGCCTGAACGTAAATATAGTACTTGGATTGGCGGTTCCATTTTAGCTTCCCTTAGTACATTTAAAAAAATGTGGGTATCTGCTGAAGAATACCAAGAAGATCCTGATATCATTCATAAAAAGACCTTCTAAATAAAAAGTCACGTCACAAGCTTGAAAAATTATTTTTATTTTTATTTTATTTTTTTTTGTTCCTGTACATAACTCTTTCCTTTTTTTTTTTTTTTTTCTTTATATCTCCCTATCTCCTTTCTTCATTTTAGTATTTAGTATGAAGGAACAAACCTGTATTGACTTTCGTGGAAGGGTATTTTATTGTTTTATAATTTTACATGTCTCATGTTATTGACCTTGTTTTTATACATAGAAACGTGTGACACGATTTGATTCGGATTTCAATAGGAGCAAAGTAGTCGATTCAGAACATGTAAATAAAGCTTTCAGACCAGCTGAAGAGGTAATAAAAAATATATTTACAAAGGAAGCTTCTTTCTATTTGAATAATAAATTTATTTCTCTCTTTTAAATATTAGATTCCTCTTGAACCAGTAAAGGTAAAATAATAATAATAATAGTAATTATAATAAATGAAAGACTAAATAAACTTTTATATACATTTATAGAAACCTCAATTACCAGTGCGACAGAGTAGTCGTATTGCTGCTACAAAGAAATTAAAACAAACCGTTTTGATACTTAAAAATGATGAACCATCTGTAAATGAAGCTGACAGCATTTCTAAGCGAAAAATGGAATTAGTTCAAAATCACAACATTAAAAAACAGAAAACAGTTCATGTTGAGCCTATTCACGATGACCATCCTTTAACAAAAGAAAAAAAGAATATAAAACCCAGTATTAAAGATCTTATTTTAAAACAAAGCCTTAAAGAAATAACAGAGACGACTCCTGTAGAGTCAGAAACAATTTTGGAAGATAAACGTGTTCAAGAGGATGAGCCCTCTATTCCAACAGAAGATACACCCTCACCTCCTTCATCATGTTTTATTGAACCAGTCACACCTCCTACTCATTTAACGAATGATCACTACATTGCACCTTTCAAGACATACTTGACAGAATCTGATAAAGAAAGAATTGACTATGAGAAAACAACACTTGAAAGACTTCGTAAGGCCCTTGATATTATACTTACTGATCGTGCTGCACGCAATAGGCCCGCTTTATACCATCAAATTGAACCTGTTTTGAGAAATTCCACAAGAAGAACGATTACCATTTCACATATTTGCAAAATTATGTATATTGTACCTAGTTTATATCTAATTCAACCTAAAGAATTAAGAGATTTTGGAGGAAAAGTGACAGAAGCCTTTTTACTTGAATTTGGAAAGGATTGGTTGATTCCTCTATCTGGTAAAGATTTACAAAAGCGAGCTGATATGTTAGGTGATGCTATCACCGATTATTTCAAAACTCATACAGAAGTAAATAAATATATATATATTATATATTTATATAGAATATAAAATCTAATTTACACATGCATATCATTAGTATAATGCTAGTATCCCTGAAGCACCATTACCAAGATTAGGTCTTGTTGTAGATAAAAAAGAATGGGTGAAAGATGCTAAGCTTCCACCAGGTGTAAGTAAATAATAGAAGCTACAATAACAAACTAAATTAAACATCTATTTCTTTTTTTAGGTACGATCATTATTAGAAGCTCATGAGAGGGCAAAGGAAGCTGAAAAAGAACGTGAAAAGCCTAAGCCTAAACCTACAGGAAGTGTTAAAGATCGTATGGCTGCCCTTCGTGCCCGAGTAAGTCACTTTATATACATATATACATACAATGAATTTGCTTTAACCCTTTTGTTTTTATCTATTTTAGCTTGCAGAAAAGAAAGCAAATAACAATAAATAAAGATTCATTATAAATAAACACGTCTTTTTTTTTATATTTATACATATACAAAATATACATATTATTATTATTATTTTTCAAGTTTATTATATGCTTTCTATATATATAGTAACGAGATTTTATTATAGTATTAATTATCATTTAAGACAGAATAAGCGTTTTGTAATGACTCATAGCTATCACCACCAACTTCATCAGGTGTAATTGAAGATGCATGTAAAAGTTGGGCAACATATTTAGGTGCTTGAGGCACATCAATAGTTAAATCATCATAAGTTTCCATAAAACTCTTAATTGCCTTTATATACAAGTCCTTCTCTAGTAACTCTTGGGAATTGAGATATTTGATGACTTCACAGATCTTTTCAACATCTTGAGCTTTCTTTTCTACTACAGTAAACATCTCTCCAATAAAAATAACACGATAATCAGGGTCATCAAGTTCTTTAACACATTCAGTAAGTTCCTAGTTTTTTTTTTTAAATAAAAAAAAAGTTAGTTCCTTAGTTAATCATATAAATGCTTATATACTCTTTTGTTAATACTTACTGCTTTATCGTTAATACTAAAGTATTCTTCAAGAATATTCTTAGATTTACGCTTGATGGCCTCTTCGGATAATTTAGGCTTCTCTGAAGGTGATTTCTCTGAGGATACTGGCTCATCCTCTAACTTGGGTTCTGTTGTTGTTACTGTTCTAGGTGTTAATTGTAATTTCTTACGCTCTTCAGTCTTTTCACTCGTACTACTTAATAATGCACTAAACATATTAGTAGCAGGGCTGGCTCTTCCTTCCATGCTGCCCTTTGTATCAACATTTGTAGCTGATTTACCTCTGCTTAAACTAGGGAAAGGACTGTTGGATGGACCCAGAATATTGGTCCTTGATCTACTTCTGTCCATTTTACCAAAGTTTGAAAGCTCATTTGTGCGTGTCTTGTTAGCTCCTTGAGAAACAGTACTCCATCCATCACTAGCAGTATTATTAGTATTATTATTATTATTACTACTATTTGCATTGTTATTATAGGATTGGTAACCACCAGGACGATAAGATCCAGTTCGTGAAACAGGATGATTACTGCTATTATTAGTAGAATTACTACTATTATTATATGGATTATTGCTTTGTGCATATTGTCCACGTGAACTATTGTTACGCTTCATAGCAGCAGCGACAGCAGCTTCCTTTTCACCTTTAGCCTTCTCTGCCATTTCATGAATCTTTGCAATAGTAGTAGGTCCCACTTGGGTATTGCCATGACGAGGAATCCATCTATCTTTACGTAAATCAAGTAAATCTTGAATCATAAACTTCACACGAGAAGTTAAGTTAGGGCTATTCATCATTTCATTCTTCATTCTAGTTATGACAATATCAACCCATTTAGACGTCTTGGGTTTACTATCAAGTGCTTTACCAATTGTAGTAAGTAATTTACAAAGGGATTCAGCCTCTTCATCGCCTGCATTACTAGGATCATTACACAGCTTAATTACACAACCATACATAATACGTTCTGATAACATTTCTAATTTAAACAATTCACCAATAAACTGAATTAAACCTAAGCCTTGACGTTTCGCTTTAGCAGCGGCATAATACTCTTCAGTCATCATCGCATCATCATCCAATTTAGGCATATTTACTTTCCAACCCTTTTCAAATTCAACTTGACAACGATTGAATAAATACTTTCTAAATAAGGGAATACCACAAGAAGCATTGCCCTTATCATCTACAATACTTGTATCGCAAATATCATCTGTCATTGAATCATACATCTTACGACAAAGACGAGCCCACATACTGGCAAAGTTAGGTTCATCACAGGCCTTTTCAAAGGTCAACCTGATGACAGTACGTAATGATTGTCCATCTTGTTCTTTAGCAGATTGACGTGCATAATCAAAAATTTGATTTGAAATGGAATCGAATCTCTCCAATGTTAACTTATTAAGCAAGGCATTGACCTTACGAGTAATGAATTCTTGAGACATGAGTTCACCTTCCTTAGGAGCATCTCCAGATTGTGCAGGAGTGCGAGGAACCCATCTGTTTTCACTCTTTTCAAGAGGTGCAACGGGTTCCAAGGGTGGAATCATAGATGATCCACCCATGGCTGCATTTTGCTGAGGAGGGTTACGAATGATCTTCATACCACCCGATGAACCACCACGACCATTACCACGACCCATCATCATACCACCTCGAGAGGCGCCATGAGATCCTTGACGTTCCATATGGGAACTATTGTTACGAACTGCTAATGGACGACCCATGTTAAATTTACCCATTTCCATACGACCATCACGAGATCCCATTTTATACATTGCAGCATCTGGACTGAAGTTATTATTATTATTATTATTGTTACCGCCTTGATTACGAGCATTTCTACTACGATCAGAAGATTGACGCATTGATGACGATCGACTACCAAAGCCAGAATTATCATGGTCTTGCTTTGCACTAATAGCAGATAAATCAACATCCGTTACTGAACAAAGTTGTTGGAATTGAAGTAAAAAGTCAATAGTATATACATATTTATTATTTTCAGTCTTTGTGGGTGGTTTGATACCAGGAGGGTATTCAATACTTTCGAGATCTTCAATCAATTTTGCAGGTCTTATAGAGGTGACGTTAGGAGAAGATACAGGAGATTGAGTTAATTGAAGACTGGAGGTATTTAAGGTCGTAACCTCAGAGGCTTCTTTTCTTTTCTTTTCAGCCTCTAATTCACTAATAATGCGTTTAGATTCTTGTTCTTCCTCTTCCTTACGACGCAATTCTTCTTCTTTCTTTTGCTTTTCTAATGCAGCAGTGGCAGCCGCAATAGCTTCTTCAGCAAGACGAGCACGTTCAATCTCAAGTCTTTCTTTTTCTAAACGCTCCTTCTCTAAGCGTTCCTTTTCTAAACGTTCAGCCTCTAAACGTTCTTTTTCTAAACGCTCAGCCTCTAAACGTTCTTTTTCTAAACGCTCCTTCTCCAAACGCTCAGCCTCTAACTTCTCCTTCTCCAAACGTTCCTTCTCCAAACGCTCAGCCTCTAATCTCTCCTTTTCTAAACGTTCTTCTTCTTCTTTACGTTCTCTTTCTTCACGTTCCTTACGTTCCTTTTCTTCTTGAGCCTTTCTTTCGGCTTCCTTCTTTTCCTCTTCAGCCTTTCTCGCTGCTTCCCTTTCAGCCTCTTCACGTTCTTTCTTTTCGCGTAGTTCACGATCACGAATAGCAGGATCAACGATCAAGACAGCCTTAGAGACATGGGGTGGTTTTATGAAATCAGGTTGCTTATCCTCCTTATTTTGAATTGATGAAGCAGCAGAAGAACTAGGATTGTTAAGAGAGATGGGGCTTGTGTTGACGGCCATACCAGTAGCTGGATCAATAATAGCAAGCCTTTTACGAGTTGTAGAGGGTGGAATAATTGTTGTACGAGCTGTTTGAGGCATATTATAGGGCACAGTAACAGGATACTGAGGGGGATAGAACTATTTTAAGAGAAAGAGATAATTAGAAAAACAAGTTATAAGCTAGAATAGAATAGATGTTTGAATTCACTTACATATTGATTAGCAGCAGGCCAAGCAGTAGTCATTTGTATATTTTGAGGTGAACCCTGAGGAATATGAGGAGATAATGTATTCTTTTTAGTTGGACTATAAGCATTCTGATTAGGAGAAGTACGATGATTCATGGGAGATGGAGGTAGAGTGTTTTGTTGTTGAGGGGAACGTTGTTGAGATTGTTGTTGTTGAGGGGAATACTGATGATGATAAGGCTGATTCGGAGAATGATGTGGTTGAGTAGAAGATTTTATGTAACCATTGTTTCTATAGTTATTGTAGTAACGATTATGATTATATGGGGTCTCACCTTGACGGGGTGCATAGGGTTGAGTAAATAATCGACCATCATTAGTAGTAGTAGTAGTAGTAGTAGTAGTAGTAGTAGTATTACGAGGTTGTTTGGGTATCTCTGACTTTTGTTGATGTGTTGTTCTTGATCGATACTAGAAAAATAAAATAAAGGGTTAACACACATGTTATAATAGATATTAAAAGCAATTTTTTGTTTATCAATATTTACATTGAATGAAGGAGATGATGTATCCGTAATAGCTGGCAAACTGCCAAATTGAACTTCAGTGGTTTTTGCTGTAGTTGGTATATCATTTGTTTTATTTCCTATATGACTTGTATTAGAAGCTACTGGTTGTGTACTATCTGAAGGTTGGTTAATAGATCCAAATTGAATAGGAGCTATACAAATAAAATTATTAGTACAAAATAATAAGGCTTTTTTTTTTTTTTTTTTTACTAGTGTCTGTAGGTGGAGCCATCGGTAATTGCACAGAAGGTTTTCTATTTAAATATGGTGTGTTTTCCTTTGGTTTATTATATCTATTTTGGAAAGAGTATATAAAGATTAAACAAAAAAAAATGAGCAAAGATTTAAAAAGTTATATTCACATTATATACATGTATAAAAATGCAAATTTGTTTTAGTATAAACTTCATCTTATATATATTTACGTATTAAAAGTATAAGAATTTTTATAGTTTTGGTATGGTGCTTGAGTCATGCCACCAGATTTGTAATTATTATGTTTAGAAGAGCTTTTTGTAAAAGTAGATTGCTCGAGATTTGCTTGTTGCTGCGGTTGCTGATTTCGCGTTTGCTGTTGTTGCTGTTGCTGTTGCTGTTGATTTGATTTAGCAGCTTGAGCATAATTTGGAATCTTGTTTGCTCTATGCTCTGTGTTATTTAGATTGTTTCTATTCATATAACGTTCCGAGACAAGTAAAAAAAAAATAACAGAAAAGAAAATGAAACCTATTTTTACGTTCGTATTTTTTTAAAAAAAAAAATTATAATTTTTTTTTTTTTTTGTTTTTTGTATATGGACAAACCCGGGGGACGAAAATAATTACAGTGTTGCCGGTGCCAATTTTCGGGATTTAAAATACTTTGTGCGATTGTTTGTTTCCAAAATTACTGAAAAGTTTTTTTTTTTCTGTTTTGTATTTCGATGCTTTGTTATTAGTAGGATATGAAACTGTATTCCAACATAATGAACTTTTATTAAAAAGATCAAACTAGTGGTTAAGGGTAAATTTCTTCTATGAATAGAAATTGATAATAGAAAACTTTTAGAAAACAAAAAAAAGAAAAAAGAGGAAGGCTATTATTGTTGGGGGGAGGAGGAAGAAAAAGTAGTATAATCTATTTGGATATGAAAAGGAAAACACTAAGAAAAAAAAAAAATCTAATATTTACTCAAACAAATAAAAGGAAAATGCTTTATTTATAAACGAGTAAATTAAGAATGCTTTCGCGTCTTAAGTGTACATTGGTGTCCTATCATCTTTGCACTGACACTAAATTTGTAACACAACAGGTAACAGAGCCTGTCAACTCTTTGTCATACTTTTTTTTTCCCTTCTAACTAACTAAGAGAAGATATAATATATTTATTTTATTATTCACATAAATGTCACTGTTAAATATCAAGCTAATTTATCGTGAATAAACCTTGTTTCTAAAATATGTTTATTCTATTTCAATCCTGAAGAAAACAAAAGTCGTCCTTATTTGCTTTAAGCATTTAACTACACAAAATGGGTTGATGGAATCTCTTTTTCTTTTTTTCTTTTTTTTTTCTTAGTAGATCAATTTATAGGATGCTTTCAACTTTCTATACTGTGTAATAAGAAATTATCGTTTTGCTTTACTGCAAAATGAATAAGAAGAAGAATTAAGCGCTAAGGTTATTTTATATATTTGTATACATGTATAGGATCAAGTAAAAAGTAAATTTAAATAGAATAAAATGTATTTTTTTTTTTTTAATTAAAAGTAAGTAAAATAAAAAAAAATTGGGAATTTTAGATGCTGTTTTGATCATCATCTATTAGAGAAACAATATCTGATAATTCGCGTAAGAATTCTGGATCTGTAGTAGGCTTTAACATGGATAACATTAATTTTTCACATACAACGGGTATGTCTAATACACGACTTGCAATTTCAGAAATGGATAATTTTTGATCTTTATCTTCTGTTTGTTGCTCTAAAGAGGATGTTTCATGTCCTTGTGTCTGTTGTCGGTTACGCCTTCGAATACCATCTCCTCCACAAATAAGTGCTCTAAGGAATTCCATACCTCTTTTGGTTACTAAACTAAATTGTGGATTTCCTGATTCTGCTAATGTCATACATAATCGTATCATCATCATTCCTATCCCTTTATTTACTTGAATTAATCTTTGTCTTAAGGATTCAGTTTGTGTAATCACGATACTATTATAGATCCCAATCACTGTTAATTCTAACATAGCCAATTGGTTTGTAGTTAAGGCACTCATCACATTGCCATCTAAAGTAAAAAAGTCGCGTCGAATAACAGCAGTGAGCTCTAACCAAATATCTTCTAATAACTTCATCATCTTTTCATTTTCAACAACTAACGCATATAATAACTGTCGATTATCGTAATTAATAGTTAATTTTGCCCATGTTTCAATAGCTAATACAGAATAATACGTGTCTGGTCCATTCACTAAAAAGTCATGAATTAATTCAACAAGTGCAGTCGCTGTCTTTGAATCTTGTGCATTAAGGAACATGGATATGTTAGAAAAGGCAATTAAAATGCTTTTACGAAATTCTAAGGTATCCATACGTCGAATACCAACAAACCATGCTTCTTCTCCTCTCGTATCAAGTCCTTCAATCGTACTCACTTGACATGAGCTAGTAATGACTCTTGCAAGTAAAATAATCAAACGACGATGTCTAGCTAAATATTCTATATTTTCACTCATAAACGAAAAATTACGTAACAAATTAAAGATACATAAGCATCGTTCTCGAACTGAAATCCATACGTCTGAAGTCGAATTTTCTAACTGAGGAATTAAACTTTTCATTTCATCCAACGACATGTCAAATAAGTCTGTATAGCTCAAATCTTTCATCGTTTTACTTTCATTCTTTTCTGCTGCTGCTTCTGCTGCTGCTGCTGCTGAGGGTGAGTTTTGATTATATCTACTACAAGCTCCAAAAATATCCTCTTCTAAACGATCCAATAATGTATCCAATAAGTCATCACACTGAGATAAAGGTAATTGCGAAGGCTGATGTGCTGATAAAACTGTCAAGATATTTAATGCATTTGTTATTTCCATTTTCATGCCAGATTTAATAGATAAAATAAGTGCCTGAATATCAATGATACCAAGTTCATTTATATGAGGAATGAGCGGCTTGATTTCAAATTTATCAAAGTACTTTAGATCAACACCACCATAAGTTTCGACATTACGTGTTTTTGGTATATAAGTGATTGTGTCAGAAGGCTTAGTAGGAGTTGAAGTTGTATTAGTAGCAGGACTCATATGAGCTGTAGTTGTAGTATTGTCTAATTGTTGAGGTGTCTGGTGTGGAGTAGACTGTGTACTTCCAGCTGGTGTAGCTGACTGACGTTGTGATAGTGAACGCTGACTAGGAGAAGATTGTTGTTGCTGTTGTTGTTGTTGTACATAATTGGATCTATTATAATTTTTATTTACTTGACCTTCAATTATGGATGAATCAGCCTGTTGCTGTTGCTGTTGTTGTTGTTGTTGTTGTTGTTGAGGTGAAGCATATGACGTAGCAGATGAAGAAAGGTTATTTAAAGAAGGCGAAGCATCACTTAAATTGCCTTGTTGTTGCGTATAGCGATTGTTTGCTTGAGAAGGAATGACACGCATCATTTGTGGCGATGGTGAGATACCATTACCTTGTTGGAGGCTCTGTACAGGTGATCCTACATTGGGATTCATAGGCGAAGCTATACAAAATAAATAATTAGTGGTTCCTATCTTTATATACATATATATAATAATAATAATAATTCGTATTTACTAGTATATTCAGGACCTATTCTTCCGCCTATCATATGAGAAGTATTATCAACAATAGGCGAACCTATTGAAGGATTAACAGGAAAATGAGTATTGTTAAGTGCTGGAGATTGACTTGGTGAATGTTTAGCTTTTTTTATATTAAATGAGTACTATAGTTTGTTAATGTTAAGTCTTATTTTTATATTTTTTTTTACCTCTACTCATAGCTAGTACAGCTTGTTGTTGCTGTTGAAGCATTAAAGCTTGGGGAGTATTAGGCATAATATTACCAACATTTTGATGATACATATTTCTGTTTTGTTGGAAGTGAACAGCTAAACCAATAATAATAACAAAAAAAGTTAATTGAATAACATTAATCTTTTTCTTTTTTTTTTTTTTTTCTCTCTTCTTTCTAAATTTACCTGGATTATTTCCAGCAAATGGCATTGCATACTGAGGCGAATAAATTGGCTGAGAATTTTGACGTAATTGTTGTTGTTGTTGTTGGAAAGCATTCAAGTTCATATTACCCATAAGAGGTTGATTTGCTTGAAGAAAAGGATTTATATTATTTAAATCAGGTTGATCAATTCCATTAAAATCAGTTTGACCAAAATTCATTCCACCTGCAAAATTAGCAGGATTAAAAGACATGCTACCTAAACCAGCATTAGTTAAAGCATTAAACTGTTGTTGCATGTCTGGTTGTTGTGCTTGTGCTTGTTGAAAAGGTAACATTTGGTTTTGTTGATTGTTCATGTTCATTCCTTGTTGAACAGCTGCAAAGAGTTTTGGATCCATTTAAAAAAAGTTTAAATTATATTACAAACATACACAACTATCATAGGGGAAGGAGAAGGGAAAGAAAAGAGAATGAATAAATTTTTTTTCTCTCTCTCTAATACATAATATAAATTAAAGTAACGCGTATAAATAAAAAATTAAAACTTCCTGTGGTGAATTTAGGTATCCGCATATTCTTATATTTATAAACCAATGTCCACAAAAGATGATCCCGATGCTTACTTTAAAGAATTAAGTGTACCTGATGTTCGTGCGCTCGAACAAAAAACTCGGTATTTAACTATAAAAGCATTACAAGTATAAAGTTAAATTCTCATTGGTTCGACTTTTTTTTTTGTTTTTTTTTTTTTTTTTAGAAATGCTATAGAGACTCAAAAGAAGGAATTGCGTGCCATGGTTGGGTAAATATACGTTGGAACAAAACATGTTAAAACGAATTGTTTTTACCTTCTTTTTTTCTCTCTCTCCCTTTTTAATAGTGAGCAATACCAAGACTTAATATCGGCTGCAGACACCATTATTACAATGAGCCAAAAAGCACATTCAATTCAATCTAACTTTAAACATATGCAAGCAGCTTGTGATATCAATAACATTAAAGAAAGTGCAAAAGAAAGGCTACAGATACAAGATGAAAAAAATAACCAAGGTATTTGCAGTTTATATAGTATTTGACAAAAGCAGGCTAATCCTATTTTATAGTTTATATAGATACAAAACGAAATGATATCTATATTATTGCTGCTCTAGTTAAATCATTAGCAGATGTTCCTGAACAAATATGGCACGCTTTAGAGAATCATAGATATCTTCATGCAAGTCGACTATTTATATTAACGAAAAAAGTATATGAATACTTGGAAGAGGAAAAGACAAGATTGACGATTGATATTGAGACTGCATTCCCTGTTATTCAACGACAATGGGATTCTGTGAGTATTTTTGAGACTCAAATCATTCAAAGATCTATACATTATCTTTGTAATTCAGAACAGACATCAGAGGTAATTTGCTTAACCTATATTTATATGACTAGAGAAAATAAAATAAATAAATTATATATTAGCATATTTCAGAGGTGATTGTAGGATTAATGCTTTTAGACAAATTATCATATAAAGATTCCCTGGAAAAGTTACTAGAGATGAGGTTTAATGCTATACAAGATATTCTTCAGCTCTACAGAAAAAGGTCAGATAATGTCAATCATCGTATCACACATCAACTCAGAGAAATAACATGTATCATTCAACATACATTTCTACAAGTATATGATATATTTATCTCAAAGGAGAACAAACCTATAAAGACACTTTTAGAGTCTTATGTTGAATCATTTCAAAAAACGTTCTTAATACCTTCAAAGTCAAGTCATGGAAATGAAACACCTAGTCAGCCTGCCGTTACTCGTTTATTTTCACCAAGCTCAAGTGTACATTTAATTGTACGCTACTTACCTGAAACAATACAAACATATACGCCTCAATTTAATCCTGAGCCTTTATTACAATTAAAGGATGTTCAAACATCAATTAAAGCATGGATTCAAAATGTAGAATCATTTTTAAAAGAAAAATTATCAGAGCTATTTTTATCTATCCAAAGTCAATCTGAGCTTGTTCAAATCCGATGCAAACTATGGAAATTATTAGAGGACAATGAATCAAACATAAAAAATAATAAGTGGGAAACAAGCATTCAACATTTATTTCAGGACGATTCTTATTCTATATGGGGTAATATATATAGAGACATTTTCAATAATCAAGCCAAGTGTATTATAGATAGAGATCTTGAAGCGTTATCCTGTCAGCCTGAGACACATGTTTGGCCTCATTGTGTTACAGATCCAAAAAAGAATATACCATTGACAATTCATATTTGGCCTAACTCTAATGGGAAACATCAAAGTGCATTTACCTTACCCAATCTTTCGTCTTCCAAAGAAATTGAGAAATTTAAAACCACTTTAAAAGAAACAGCACTTGATAAAACTGACGCACTGAGTTACCTTCAAGAATGTTTTGATTCTACATTAGCTAGAATTAGAGAGGATATTCAATCTCATTTTAATTATTACGATAATGATCAGTTTTATGCCAAGTAGTAAGTATCAGATTTAATTTAGGAAAAAAAATCAAAAATACTAAACTTTTAAGATCGTTTTTTAAATAGTGATATAGAAATGATAAAAACATATTTCCAAGATAAATGCTATGAATCTGTCATCAACTATTCCAATAGATTAATAGCTTTGATTAAGCGTACCCATGAATGGACAGATAAGAAAAAAAGTAAATACAAAAAAAAGGGGGGAGCAATGTACAGCAAGACTATGCTTAATATCGATTTAATTTATTTTTTATTTTTTTTTTTTTTTCGACAGGAAATGAATTGTCTATCTTTTTGGGACGTCTTGCAAAAAATATCGGATTTGTATCAAAGGAACTACCAAAGACATTAATTTTATCAACTGAAGCTACACCTGTATTTGAATTACGTAGTAACATTATGAAAGGTATAGAAAAAGGTCTTGTAATTGAAAATCTAACTAACTAACATTAAAAAAAAAAAAAAAAGATCCTAAATACACAGATGTACAAAACATTCTATTAAATACTTTTCATGATTCACATAAATTATGGCTGACATGGTTAGAGGAAGAGTTTAAAAAGAAATTGAGCTCATCTTTATTCAGGTTAAAATGGAATGAGCATTGCTCTGCTATAAATATTTGGGAAAGTAAGTGTTTATGAAAGACAAAAGAGGAAGGAATTTTATTATTTATTTCGCAATGTGAATAGGTATTGAAGATATTAAAATGCCTACTCAAGCAACAAATGCTATTGTAAATGATTTATATTTTATATGTGAAGAAATTCAACGCATAAATAGTTGTATGCTGGATCAAGTAAAGTAGTAATGAATTTTTATAGATTTTCATTCATTTATCTTTGCAAATTTAGGCTATTATAAATGAATTAAAACAGGGACTATCAAAGAATGTAAATGAAGTATTCAATACATCCAATATTAAAAATGTGGACTTTACAGAAAATGGAGCAGTGCAGTTACTTTTTGACTATCTATTCTTGAATGTAATTTTAACGCAAGAAATACAATTCAGGGATAACGACGCATTGATTGAATTCTTAAAAGAAAAGGTATTTCACACACACACACACACACACGCGCGCGCGCATTTCTTTATCTGATCTTTTGTTCAATTGTTAGATCGATCCTATTAATTGGGCTAGTTATGTGCCTCACATAAAAATAAATGTAAACAAGTTTTATCTTAAACAATCCTTATTATTTGGTGTCTTGTCTAATACCAATCATGAAACTTACGAAAGGTATTTAAAAGCATATGCATGTATATATAATGACTCTATCTAACTAGCTATTGATTAAACAATAGAGCACGAAAATTAATGACAAACCAGCAGCATGGACAATATAATATATTACCATTAGCATCTCAAGTAACAAGATTTACTTTACTTCCTATTAGTCATTCAGTATTTTCAAACAATTCTGTTAAAAGCAGATGATTTTTTATTATATGCAATTTAGGTTGAAATTATAATAAAAAAAATAAAAATAAAAATAAAAAAGAGTATAAAATAGCCTTCCCTTTCTTTATATGTATTCTTTTTATACAAATATATTATCCTATTATTTAAACATGAAGTTCCATACTGCGATTGCTCTCTTAACTATGATGGTATCTTCAATCGTTGCTGTCGATCTTCCAACTTATCGTTCACTTCATCAAGGTAAATAATATTTCATTTATAATTCAGGAATCTATTTTCGTTAATACTCTTTTATAGAATGTAGCCAAAATTTAGTCTGTGCAGATGGATTATATTGTCGAAGATATAATGGAGCTGTATATGGCACATGTGAAAACCCTACTCATGTATAACGATTTAAAACGGGGAAAAAAAAAAAGAGGATTCTTATATAAAACATCTTTTTGTTATCATTATTAAAATGTATTATTCTTTTATCACATATATACACACACTTTTTTTTTTGGGAGGGCAATTCGTCTCATAATTAATTATTGCTTTATAAGATTGACTTGAGGCTGCAATGATGATTCACATAAGTTTATGTTGACATAGTTCATATCATAACATGATAATAAAAGAGGGATATTGTATGTATATACTATAAACTTTAGGTTTATCATTATTCTTTAAAAATAAATATGTATGTATGTATATATATATAAAAATAAGTGATGTTTATTATAAAAATCTATATGCATGTGTATATAAAGAAAGAGATATAATAATATGTATACATAAATTGATATGAGGAGGAAGGGATGTGATAAAAATATTTAAAGTAAGTATGACATTAATATAAAAATAGTTAATAGAGAGCCAATACTAGTGGCCTTGACAGTAGTAGCAGCAGAATGCATGGATTGTGTATTAGCTAAATTATTTACTGCAGATGATTCAGCAGCGACATCAATAATATCAGTAGTACTTGGGTTTGGAGTGGCCATATTAGTCGTAGTAGGTGAGGAACTTGTAATAGCAGTAGTTGAAACAATTGTAGTAGATGTATTAGTAAGGGGATCCTTTTCAGTTGGATAAACCCAGTTAGTTTCCCAGTAAGGTTGAGAAATATTCATACACTCTTGAATAGTAACAACATTAAATGTTTTTTGAAGCTTAGGTAACCACTTCTCAGCCATTGAGACAGTAGAATTATTAAGTTCATGTTGAAGAACAATATGACCTGTCTTATTATCTTTTCCGTTCTTACGAACTGCAATCCAGTTTTCAAAGTAACCATTAACTGTGCTTGGTGGTAAATTTCCTCCACCTTCACCGGGCATATCCCAGTCATTCGTATCTTCATCCCAGAGAATCGTTTGTAAACCCATTTGCCAAGCAATAGCACGAACACGATCATCAACGTCACCATAAGGAGGTCTCCAGCATTTAGTAGTAACACCTGTAGCTTCTTTAATAGCACGAAGAGTCCAATACAATTCAGCAACAACTTTTTCGTTAGTTTGAGTAGTCATTTGAGGATGAGACCAAGTATGAACACAAAGAACATGACCATCATTAAGTGCACGTTTTGCAGCTTCAGGATATGTTGCAACATTGGAGCCAATATACTATATATATATATATATGTATATGCATATGTATATGTGTATTTTTAAGTAATCTATTATTACTATTATTTATATTCTATACTTACAAAGAGAGTAGACTTTTGGTTCTCTGTTTTAGCTAAATAGTTATAAAGCTCAGGCTCAGCCCATTTATCGATATTCTTATCACCAGTTGGATTGAAAGGCCCATCATCAAAGTTAAGGCCCCAATCACCAGCTCTAGGACAATGGTGTATATCATCAGGTAAATAAGAAGCTTTAGGTTTGACACAATTTGTATTAGACCACCAACAGTAAGGATCATTAGCTTCATCATAACTAGACATATCAATATCACCATTAGGTGTAGACTTTTGAACAGGTGCTTTAGGAACTTTATCCCAATCAATTGCAGCAATAACAGCCTTAATTTCTGGATGATCAATAGAAGGCGATTTCCAAGGTGTAGGATACGCGGAAAGATTTAATTTCTTTGCTGATAATGTTTCAGAAATATTTAAAGGACCGGTAGGATAACTTAAACTAGCACCCTTTGGAATAGGGAAATCAGGTAACCATGTAGGGGACTGGACTGCTAAAACCCCAGAAGAAGTGGATGTAGCAGCAGCAGACACACATGTTCCTGTCATTGTTGCTGTTGCCAAAAGTAATGCACTAATTCCTGTAAGGTAGTACATCTTTTAACTAATAGATAATAATATGCTATAAAGAAAAAGAAAAAAAAAAAGGAAATATCAAAAACACGATGTTATAATTTATATAGTCTGATTGCGGGTCATTAATATAAAAATACATTGTTTAAAATGCATGTTTTTAGGACATATTTAGCCAGTTGTAATAACCTTTTTTTTTTTTTTAGTAATACTGATGGCCCAGAAGAGTATCAATCATACTCCGTTCTAAATCCAAGCTTATTTCATTATATGATATACCTGGTAATAAGATGAAAAATTCAATATTAAAAATAGCATTGCATTTATTATATAGCTGATTCATATTACTTTATTTCAACTGTGGACAAGTTAACTTTATAGCAATGAAATTTACTATTAAAAATCAACCTAGTGTGTAACGAATTGATATAAATATTAGCATATGACGTATACAAAGTTTAAATAGACACGCTAATCTTGTTTCTTTTAATAAAATAAACCTGATACAATAATTATGGCTAATGTATTTCCCCCCCCTCCTCCCCGTCCCTTTTCTTTTTTAGCTGCTCAAAAAAAGAAAAAAAGCATCGGAAAATTATAATTATTTTTCTTTAAATTCTAAACAGAATAAAATATTTAAAAAAGGAATATATTTTCAAAGTGAGCGTGTAATAAAATGCTTTGAAGATTATTAATTCCAATAACAGTAATAAATAGAAACTATCTTTTTGGCAGTAATAGGCTTCAGTAAATTTTCTTGTAAGCATTAATAAAAATATTTTTTTTAAAACTATTTTTTTCTTTTTTTTGAAACATCATAAAAATAGTTTAATGATGAGCGTATAATATGTATCGATACTAAAAATTGTATGTTTGCAAACAAACAAGACTCTAACTAATAATATAGCATAGAATATATAATAGGTGTTGATATAATAGCTTGCTTAGGAACAAAGGATGAACATGGATGGTACCCGTTATTACTATTAAACGCCTATGAATCAGCGACTATCATTTTTAATATGGAGCCCCTTAAAAAAAAAAAAAGTTAAATATATGATGCCTTTTCGGATAATATTCTTACTAAAAATAGATCTGTTACCTAATAAAACAAATGTGTTCTCAACGAAGAAAGGAATTCTATGTAAAATGATACTATTTACAGACTTTATGACGTGAACTTTTCTCTATAAATATTTCAATTACAACATCTAAGGTTAATAATGATGTGATTTGAGTGCAGTCTAATCTTGGATCTATTATTTCTATACTCTCAAACAGCAAATTCAAGAAGAAAAAATAAGCTATAAAAATCTGAGCTTGGAAAGGATAAATAATAATCACATGCAATTTTTTTTTTTTGATATTTACGCTGGCAATTCTACTTGTTTATTTATAAGCTTGAATCTATCATATAAATAGGATCGACCTATTTTGGACATTTATTTATATTGTACAAATATAAATTGAAAATTTTGACTAAAATAGAATAATAATAATTCTGCAAGAAGACACAAAATATTACTACTGTCATACGTGTTACAATAGTAAAAGAAGAATGCTGAATTCTATAATCGTTTTATTATATACATATATATTTTTTTCAATAAAGTTATACAACAATGGGATATTCCAATAAGCGACAAGCTTACACCTTTTTTCAGAAAGTATTCGTATTAACAAGCTTTTTTATTTTATTTTTTTTGTCTGACAAAAAAAAAAAATTGATTTGTAGGCAAAAGTAAGACGATAATAGATATTATTTATTTTGTAGTATTTTAATATATTTGTATTTAGAATGTAGAAATTACTGGTATTGACTACTAAATAACCACGAAAATAAAAATAGGGTCCTGATTACTTTATTCCTCCTTTACCTTAATATATTTCACTAAATAGAGATAATCTTTTTTATTTTATTTTTAGTATCATAAAACAAAAGAAAATATATAACAGCTATATTCTGTATTTTTATAACTACTAATAAATCAAAGTAACCAGCTTATACGCCCTACATATGTTACACCTTAAAAAATAAATAAGATTGTTACATTTATTGATAACAAATGTCTACCCAATTCCCCTGATGATGAAAATCTTTATTTATTTTATCTTATTTTTTTTTTTAGCTAATCTATGACCAAGGACTACAGTAATTAGTTTATGTTACTTGATAATAATGTGAACTTAGTGAAGAGCTTTTAAAATAGGTCAAATTTTCTCACTCATTTGTTTAATAAACGTAACTTGAGTTCTTCTTATGTTTGATAATGGAGATTTAGTCAATTCAAACAGTAGCTAGTTAAATAATGTTGTCTATTGCATAAATTATATACAACTTGTATTCAATCTAAATTATGTGTTAACTTTATTTAATAAACAGTTTTATTTAGTGATTATAACTTGCTTTTTTGCTCATTGTCTTTATAGTGACCTCATCATGCCTAAACTCTTCTACTTTTGAAATAGTCCTTTAATAGCTTCCGTACATCCTTTTATTTATAGATGATCTCCGAGCTACAGAAATTTGCTTTATATATAGATCGAATAGACTGTTTTAAGTCTTATTTTTATATAATAAATAAAACTGTCTCCGAAAATACAGTTAGTTTTATATAATAGAAAGTATATTTATTCCTATATATATATAATAAGAATACGCTTAAAAAAGGAATCTAATACCAGTTGATCTCTTTGTAATTTGTATTTTACTATATTCTCTATTGTTTGTTTTTCTATTTCAATATACCTTTTATTGTTATTATCAGTATATTTATAACATTATTCTCAGCTCTTTCGTGCTCATATAAAGTTTGCTGGTCTCCCATTGTTACTTCTATATTATGAAATTGAAAAAAAAAAATCAAGATATAAAACTCTTTTAAAATAAAGAAAAGGTTTACATGATTTCAGATGCTAAAAGATTATATATTATTGAATGAGTAGAGATATTCTCTTCAGAGTTGCAGTATAGATCTTACACGTAAAATAAAATCTAATGCTTTTAAAAACGTTATTCGCCTTTCTATTTGTTGACTTTATATTAAATTATCTTTTTTTCATTTTGATAGTATCATCTTCAAGTAAAAAATATTGTAGTTACATTAAATAAAAGCGTACTATAACATGAGGAAAAAAAGGAGCTGTTAGAGGTAGTTTGCTACTATGTATATTCCTAGTTTATATTAAAGTCTGTCTCATCTTTATTTACTAATAATAACCAATTTCTACTTTTATTTTGTCGAAATAGTGTAGTAAAAATAATTCCAAATACCTTATATAATTATTTACAAAACATCATGCTATAGATCGTCTTTACATGTAATGTTAATTTTAAATGTTTAAATCCGTTGATGACTCTTGCTCTCTCCCTCTTTTCTTCTAAATAGGGGTGTTTTTTTTTCTTTACACATTAAATGCGTGTATATTTTAATGCTATTTCCTGGTTTGTTGTTTATTGTCTAATTATTTGTCTACTCCTACATGTACTCGGTTATCTCCTTCACCATAAAAATCTACATTTTCACTTCTAGCATAATCCGAGAAAATATTTTTTCGATTGGCTCTCTTCTTCCCCTCCTCTTTTCCTCTCGCTATTTGCGTCATAATTATGCTTTTTTTTTATTAGTAGTCCGTCCTGAGCAAAATTGACGTGTCCAATATCACCTGCCTAATTGAGAGTTGTTAAAATAAAATTTTTTATTTAATAGAATATTATTTGAATGTAGGAAAGATAAATCAATTATTAGACAATACATAAGTGTACTTATGCTAATCATAAATAAACATAAATAAATAATTTAAACCACAAATGGGGTCAGAATAAATATACGTATTTGCTAAATACCAAATTTTATAAAATAGAGAATAGTTTCCATGGTAACAAGTTTATTTCAGTTACGAAATTTTTAAGGTTGCATTGTTCTACTGGATCAAAAAAATAAAAAAATAAAACCCAGTTTGTATACTATAATAATCAGATTATTTTTATCTATTTTTTCGTAAGATTTACTATTTATATATAAAAAGAGAGAGAGAGAAAGAAGCCTAGTAATTTATTATTCTTAGAAATAATAAAGAAAAATTTTTTACAAACGAAAACTTTAAAGCTTTTTTTTTTTTTTTTTTTTGCCTTTTCTTATCATGAACACGGCCTCTGTCACAGATGTAAAACTCACATGCTTTTGAACCAAGACCCCAAAAATAGGATTAACAATGAGCAACAATAAACCCACATTTTCTAAAATTGGAGTTTGATTTTTTATTAGAAGACATTATTGTTTCATAATAATAGGACGATTATTATTTTTTTTTTTTTGACATCTTTTAAATTATCAGCATTTTATTTTGCATCCCATTTTCAGGTACAATACACAGACAATTAATAGTAAGGATATGAAAACCGACAATAAATAAACAAATTACGCAATTTGTGTCTCTCTTCATTTTAAATTAAGTCTGTCAAATTTACTTAAATTTATTGTTTTTTAAACGAACAATAATAATCTCAAGGTCGCGCCACTTTTGTAATTACCGGGTGGGGTTCCATTATTTAATTTTTAGTGTTAGTGCACTCTATTCTTATTATTTATTTAAGTATAAACTACTGCTATTACGGACATTTACACAGATTTTAAACATAAACTTTTATTGTTTTATTATTCTTTATCTTTCTCTTTTTTTAAAAAAAGTAATTAAAAATAGCTTTAATCACTTTTATGAATTGCTTTTATTAGGGAATCAAGTTATACAATCCTTTCTTTTTTCTCTCAAGAAAAAAAAAAAAAAAAAAAAAAAAAAAAAACTTCTACTATCTAAGCCATTGTATATTTGTTATTTAGTTGAATGTTATTTATATTTTAAAAGTCCGGTAATACATAAATTGATCCATTTCTGTTTTATTTTTCTGTTTCTTTTTCTTGTTTAAATCAAAAAAATTAAAAACTATCACATAGTTTGACATCTTTCCCCTCTGCCCCTCTTTTATTTTTTTCAACAAAAAAAAATACCTTATTCTAGTAGTAATTTCGATCCGCTTCAACGCTTCTATTTTATAATAAAATATAAGAAATAACAAAAAAAAAAATGAATATGAGTCAAATTCTTTCATCTCCTCAAACTATTCCTGCTGTTCTTAATCCCGAATCAAGCATTTTAACCATAAATTCACAAAATGTTAATACATCAACAATACAATTACCTCCTCTTAAAGATATTTCAACTTGTAAGCTTATTAGTTTTAATTTTCTTAAATACTTGATTATATTAAATTATAGTTATTTTTTTTTTTAGCTGAAAAATGTACCTCTATGCTATCCGTAAATAAGTTACCTCAATTTCTAGAGCCTATTCCTGTATTTGAAAACTATCGTTGCGAAAGTGCATTTGTACCAAGGATTTATTCTTCATTTAGTTCAAAGGAAACCCCTTCATTAGTTCCATCCTCTGCTTCTTCTTGTTCTGAATCACCTAACCCCCCTTCTCCACTTCCCGATGTAAATAGTTCTATTAGTCATCAACAACGTACTTCTCCTATATCTTCTATTAATTCTTCACAAATACCCTGTCGTTATGCATACTTACCATCTATTCAACCTAAACCTAATACCATTCCTCATCATGAACAACTCGTCTCCTCTAGATGTCCTGTAGCACATAATAGCAATTGGTCAAGAGAAAGTAGTAGCATCCCAATGGTCGATGAATCAGGTGCACCTTTATCTCCTACCATGAGAGCTGCTGCTGCTGCTGCTGCTGCTGCATCCATGCAAAACCACTCTGGCTCACTAGTTGCAGATACCTTTATCAATTCAATTAGTTTATCTGCTGCGGATGAAGAAGAGTTTTCAGCAAAAAAACAACGTCTAAATCATGGTCATATTACATCATCTTATACTGGCGGTGTTTGTCCATTTTCTAAAGAAATTGCAAATGGAAACAAACAGCCCTCTTTTGCTCGTGTATCATTTATGTTACATGGCACCAAACGTCCTTCGACAATAGGTGCTGATCAAAGAATGTTTTTAACAAAGAATGCACATATTAAGCGACCTCGTAATGCTTGGATTCACGTAAGTTTTTTTTTCTTTTCTTTTTTTTTTTTTTTTTTTTTAATTCCGCTCTTTTGTTATTTTTCTCTTTTTCCATTCTTTCAAAAGTGGAACGATAAAGAGATTTTTTTTTAATATATAACTCCGTTCTAATCCTTATTTTATACTTTGTTTTATTAGTTTCGTTGTCATTATGGTCAAGCTTTAAAATCTCAAGATCCTACTTTACGTGCAGAAGAAATTTCAAAGTAAGTTACTCTATCTATTTTACAATGAAATATTAATAAAGTTTATTTATTTATTTATTTATTCAGACGTGCTTCACGCCGCTGGGCTCGTTTATCGGAAAATGAAAAGAAGCCATGGCATGATTTAGCAGAGCAGGATAAACAGGCTCACAAGGCAGCATTTCCCGAATATAGATATTGTCCAAGAAGATCAAACACTGCAGCCATGCTTGCTGCAAAGGATGCTGCTGTGGTGCAACAACAACAACAAAAACCTGAGACAAACTCAATGTACAAACCCATTTCATCCCATATTTAAATAACTAGAATAGAATGCCCTGTCTTTTATTTTATTTTTTATTTTTGATAAAACTTATTGTCTTTATTACATGATTACTCCTTTGTTTATCCTCACTCTATAATATTCATCTTTTTTTTTTATTTTTCCTTTTTAAAATTTTACTTAATGATCAAGCTCTAAAGAGGGATTGATTTAGGATACCTTAGTTTACTTTATCATTAATATTAACATATGGAGAACTGATAACAATAAAATAGTTTTTTTTTTTATTATTATTATTTCTTGCAGTAAAATTCATAAATTTAATTAGTTATTTATTACTTGGAATTTTTATCCATTTCTGGGTTTTTGTTTCACTTTTTTTTTTATATGTATTTTTTGTTCCTGTAATAATATGAAACATAATAAAAATGATACGATTGTTCTACTACTACTGATTAATCTAAAATTATTTGTTGAATAAAACTTATTAACGTGATTATATATGACTATCAAAGACACATTTTATTGATGTGTTATTATATAATACATATTAAAGTTTTATTCGTATAGCAGATTAAAAGGAGAAAGTGGTGTGCTTTTTTTTTTTTTTTTAATTTTTAAAAAATACAATTGATATAACAATAAGAAAAATAATTAAATCACGGATAAATTTATTTTATGCGCAGTTATCAGATTTTTTTTTGTATTATACATTATTGTTTAATACAAGTGAATAAAATCATAATTTTCATCTATTTTGACCTTTACTGTATACTCAAAATGATGATCATTCATTCTTTTACAAATAAAAATGTCTTTTTATATTTTTTTTTTTTTTAAAAAATGATTTTATATTTTGCACTTTTATTTTTAGAAAATAACATCAAATTCATATTTATTTTTTTTGCTTACAAACATACACAATTAATAGGTATAAAGTTTTTTTTTTTAAAAAAAAAAAAAAAAACTAGTATTGTGTGATATTATGGTCTTCTTTTTGAGGTTGTGGCTGAATGAATAATATACCTAAAATAGTGAACTAAATCCGTTTTGGTAAATATTCCTTATTTAGCTTATATATGTATACACATATATGTATCTTTTTTCTATATTTTGTGATTGTTACAGTACTATTTGCAATTGTCCCAAAAATAGACAGGTAGTCGTGTAACAACTGCAACCCTATATAAATTCCTAAAGATGTATCTATTCCCTCCCCTCCATTTTCCCCCTCTTTCTCACTTTCTCTTTTGTTTTTTTTTAAGAAAAAAAAAACCCTCTATACTCTCACTCACACACACACACATACACACACATATATATATATTGAATGACTAATTCATCAATTTTACAATCAATTAGTCTAGTGTTAACATTAGCTATTTCAATTCTTCCTAAGGCATATACACAGAATACAAATTCGGGATCGCCTTCTTCTGACAGTGCACCTGCTCAAGTTCCTCCTACATGGCTTTCTGACGTAGTCCCATTAGCTGGAAATGTTCAATCCTATCCTAAGGATAACTCATCTATACCAACAGGTTCATTACCGGTGATTGATTTTAATGCAGCTGGATATCCTAGTAGTTGGAAGATGCCTCCTACAACTTCAGCAGAAGTTCAGGCCGTTATTCGGGCGATTGATTGGTCCAAAGTGCCCAATAGTCCTGTTCGTAAAGCAAAATCGAATGGTGATCTAGATATGTCTGGTTATGATTCATCTGATCCTGATTGCTGGTGGAGTGCTACAGGTTGTGTTCAATCAAAGAATCCTCTTATTCCTCCTGATGTATCTGCTTGTCCTCAAGTAGGAGATTGGGGTTTAGTATGTATATTATTATTTTTTTTAAAAAAAAATTATATATTTATATGTTTTAATTTTTTTCTTTCCTTTTTCCTTTTTTTTTTGGCTACAAAAGACTTATGATGATGGACCTCTTACAGAATCAGATGGGGGCATTTGGGCTGAACCGCATCTTTATGATTTTTTGGCTTCTCAAAATCAAAAAGCTGGATTATTTTGTAAATATTTAAAAAGGAAGGGACGCCAAAAAAAAAAAAATAAAAAATAAAAAGAGGGTGAAGGGAGGGGGAGAGGGGAAGGTATCCCTTCCCTATATATACATATACATATATATATATTTGTACTTATTATATAATAGACATAGGATCAAATGTAATTGCTGCTCCAGCTGCGGCACAACGCGCTTTAGCGAGTGGCCACACATTATGTGTTCATACTTGGTCTCATCCTGCTATGACATCACTTTCAAATGGAAGCGTTGTAGCCGAATTGTATTGGACAATGAAGGCAATCAAGGAGATAACAGGTGTTACTACCAAGTGCTGGAGACCTCCTTATGGTGACGTTGATGATCGTGTTCGTGCTATTGCTTGGCAAATGGGCTTACAAACGATTCTCTGGGATGAAGACACTGATGACTGGAATATGCCTGGTGAAGGTGGAGGAAAGTTACCACCAAGCACAGTGGATGGCTACTTTGAAAACTGGATCACAGATCGTAAGAACGGAAAAGATAATAAGACAGGTCATATTGTTCTTCAACATGAACTTAATAATTCTACTGTCTTGATGGCTGAAAAATGGCTTCCACGGATCAAGCAAGTATTCAATGTAGTTCCCTGGAATCAATGTTTTAATATTTCCCATCCTTATTGGGAAACCAATTTCGTCTATCCCATCAATGAACAAAATAGTTACAATAGCACTGCTGAAACAACTCGTTCTTTAGTTAATTCTCATTCTACCGTTACTACTGATAACGCTCTGGTTAGCGCTTCTTCTTCTTCAATTATTCCTTCTGCTAATACTGTCAGTGCTAGCTCTACTATTTCTACTTCCAAATCTATTTTTTATACATATATTTTTTTTATTCATTTTTTGTTATTTCCATTTTAAACATATAATTCTAATTATATTATTAAATATTGATCGTTATATTTATATATTTGCTTCAAATAAAATTGTCTAATATTTATCTTTTTAACTACTCTTTAAATAGCTGTATTATATATATTGACACTAAGCCTCCCCCCCCCTCCTGTAAAGCTTCAATAAAATACATGATAGGGCGCAAGCATAACTTTTTAAAAGAGAATGGACATATACCTACATGAATTCATTTTATGCATATATGTATGCATGTTTATATTGAAGCCTTTTTTTTTCTTTTTTATGAAATATAGTAACACAAATACAAAGTTTATAGTTATACAACTTAGTACCAGGGAAACTATTATCATAATTTATTTATCAAAAGATAATTTTACTGTTTTCTGTAATTTATACCTCCCCTCCTTTTTCTTTGGCTTAGCTGATCATATGCTTTTGTAAACCTTATCCAAATATGTATAAATATATACATATATATATAGATATATAGATATATATATACATGTATATACATGTATATACACATATATACACATATAATGTAGGTGGGGATGATTGGTTGAATTAAAAGATCAAATCCATGACAAAGAAATGCAAGGATACATATTTAGGACACGTATAGTGTATCATTTGAGGGAAAATTGTAAGAAGAAGAAGCAAGGTACAGGAGCACCCTCCTAATAATCATCTACGATACTAGACTAACAATCAGTTACTTGTCTTAATTAATTATAGAAATTTATACCATAAAATCTATAGATAGAAAAGGATAGTAGGAAAAACGTAGTTGATAAAAAAAAAAAAAAAAAAAAAAAAACTTTGGATATGAGTAAAATAAACGTTCTTTACTTTTGTAGTTGTAAAAAATGATTACAACTTGTATCAAAAAGACATTTTGTGTGTACTATATATAATACTAACACAATTGACTACTATCACAGATTCCAAAGCTTTTTAAACTGATTTGTAACTATTCCTAAATCCTATGTTTGTATGTGAATTAATCATTTATTACTGGAAGCTATAAAAGCATAATTTGAAGGAGGAGGAAAATTTAACATAAAAGATTATAATACTACATCATATATCTATATATATATATTTTTTGGTATTGATTATCTTGTAAGCAAGTCAAAGAACTTGAACAAGATATCCAAAATAAAAAGGAGCAGAGCTTGATTAAGAAAAAGTTCATTATATCAAGTATGACGATACTAATACTATTAATTGAGTCGAGCTCTGATTGTATTTTCAGCAGGATTATATGCTTTAAAATTAATATCATATCTAGTATAGTATTAATTCTTCCAAGTATATAATGTAATGATATATGCATAGGAATGCTACTATGAATCACAATTTACTTTAGCTTTTATACAACTGTAAATGCATTTAAAGATTCATGTCTTCTATACTCAGTATATATTCTAAAATCCACAGAATTACTAACACAATTAATTCGTTCTTCAGCTTGAACTTATTTTTCACGTTGACTGCTTACTTTATGTTGAAAAATTTTAAGCAAGTAGTATTCATATCCAATTTTTTTTTTCTATAAATTATTCTGAAATAAACATGGACTATACATCTTAGATGGAAGATATCAATAAAAACTATGTTTACTCTGTATTTACAATGGATATAAATGATTATAATAATAAACATTTTATTCAAAACTACACTGTATCTAGTAATCAAACTATACTCGGTATACATAGACATACTGTCAAGTACAAATTTTATAGGGCAGCCTTGAAGTTACTCGTATGATGATGTATCATTCTCTATATATTATTACTGGTATGTATTTATATCCAGGAATGAGTCAATAGAGCAAACTCTCCTAAACTTCTTTTCAGCAACTTATGGTAACAAACTCAACTTATATATTGATACGTAATGTATTAACAAGCCAATATACAACAAATATACAATAGAGATATCGCTTTATTATTTTCTAATTACTTCAACAGAAAATAAGTTTGGGCATTTTAGGGGTCTACGTTCTTCGTCCATGTCAAATTTCTTTGTGTTCACTTTCTTATCTAAACTTTCAATGACAGACATCACAGCTGGAGCATCTACTAAAGGAGAAAATCGCTCGGGTAATGTGATACGTAATTGCATGGAAGGATAATTAGTAGCATCATTATCTTCAAATTCGCTATCATTATCTTCATATACAGAATCTGAGTCACTACTGCTGCAGTCACTACTACTACTACTACTGCTACTGTTATTACTATTTTCATCTTCGCTATCCGTTGTACAATTATGATTGTGAATAATCGTAGTAAAGGAAAGTCCGCTATCAATTAGACCAATGCCAGGATGTAATGGTGATACAGCAAATACTAATTCCATTAATCTTCCAACATATTTACAAACCGAAATTCCCTTACGACCAATGAAAGCTTGAACTGCATAAAAGATAGGGTCGGGAACAGATCCTCCCTGACGAAAAGCCAATAGAATGGATAGAATAGCACGCTCACGATGACTTAAACCGGGCACATTAGCTAAAGGGCCGCCTGCTAATGGCATATGAAATGCAACAAAGGCACGCGTCTCCTTTGGATAATGTGAAGTAATGTTGGAAAGATGAATAGCAGCAGGAAGTAAGCGATATAGCTGTAAAGGATGCATTGGATCCAAGTAAAGCTCAGGTAAGGCGTTTACAAGAATGGCATAAATAGCATCAAATTCCGCTTGTGACAATGCAAACGCTGACTGCGCAGCATATGCCTTAACACCTTCTAAGAATGGATCCTTTATTTTTTCTTCAAGAGGTAACAATTGATAACAAAATCCTTGTCTAACACCGCCTTCACTAAAGTAAACCCGTTTTACCTTGAACACTTCTAAGATTGCACTTAATAAGAAGCAAGATGCAGGAATCATACCAGCACGTCTTTTTGATATACGAAATACTTTTAACTTTTTCATCAATTCACGAGGATTTCGATAACGATAATGTTTTACAAGATCTTTTAATTCTCTTCCAGTAATCGAATAGCCATTAATGATTGGAATAGGATACATATGCTTACGTTTTGTACTTCTTCTTGGAATAATTTTATCTTGAGCATTTATTGCCATTGAAAGATAGCCTATTGCTCTAAATCCACCACCACTCATGTATACTTTATATCCATCTTTGTGCAATAATGTTTTCGGTAGCTTAGCTTCATCATGAGCCTTCTTTAGTTTAGCGACTAATTCATTATAAAGATCATTCATTTCATCTTTTGATTCACATTTTGCTAGTCTTCTCTTTAAAGCTGCAGCACCATAAGGTAATGATACTGGATGTGTAGATACACGGATACTATCTTTTATCAATGAGTTGCTATCATCATCATTATTATTACTATCTAAATATGCCGAGGTCATTACATAACTAATTTCAACTGATCCACCACCAAGGTCCATAGTCAAGCCATTCACGTGATTAAAGGAACCTTGCATAACAAAGTAGTCAGTACATGACTAATAAAGTTTTCATTTTTATAATTACTTTTACCTACAATACCAGAAGCAGAAATCAAAGCTTCTTCCTGCTTTGATAAAAGTGATACTCTCCAGCCAGTTGCTTGATAAATTTTGTGGAGAAATTCTTTACTATTAGCAGCAATACGTGTTGCCTCGGTAGCTATGACACGAATATCATTTGGTTCTACTTTAGCGTCTTGACATAGCTTTTTAAATCTTAGAAAACTTGTAATGACTTGATCTATGACATCGTCTGGAATGACACAATCATCTCCTTGAGCATCGAGGAGAGCAATAGGTGCTCTTTCTTCATAAGCAACCGGTAAATGGCGTGCAAGTGCACTAACAATGCCAAATCGAATACCATTGGAGCCCATATCTACTACACCAAATGGCGCTTTAATAGGTGCATTGTCTGTCATTTGGAAATTTTATTTTATGAAAATTAAACAAAAGAAGTTGAAAAAAGAAGTTTTTTTTAAAAAAAAGAAGTTGAAGAAAGAAGTTGAAGAAAAACAAAAATGTGTTCATTATTAAGCGTTATAATATTATCCAATTGAAACTAATACATTTATAATATCTCTAATACAAAACAAAAAAAAAAAAAGCTACTATTTTTAGAGTTTTTTTTTTTTTTTTTTTTTTTTTTTTCATTTTATTTTATTTTATTTTTATTATATAATGATAGATACTGTAGATACTAAAACAATACCTTTAATACCTAATATAGCCGCTATTCAGTTTTTACGGCAAGCAAGTTCTATGTTAGATTTGTAAATGAAAGTTATAAAATAAAATATGATACACACTTTTAACACCCATACATACTCTCATGTATTAGACCTATTAGAACTACAGCAACTGCCATACTCTATTTTCATCGGTTCAATGCTTTTATGGATAATAAGGAAAAAGTTATCAATTTAGACGGGATTATTAATGAAGAAGATGCACTTTATAAAAATCCTGAAGTAATTCATGCAGTTTATTTTATTTTTTTTTTCGAAAATGACCCTTTGGTTAATTAACGCGCACTTTGTTTCCCATTAGTTATTAACAACAACTTGTTTACAATTAGCTTGTAAAGCGACAGAAGTTCCTCGAAAAGTGAGAGATTTAGTCAATGTCGGATATAGGTATCCTTATGAATATGTTTGTGTATATAATTATTTGCGTGTATATAAACAGTTTCTTTTCTTTTATATATTTGTATAGATATTATCATCCAAATGAAGCAACACTAGACGTTGATGAGGTATATTTTTCCTTTTTTTTTTCTCTTACATATTGTATTTCTATAACAAAAACACTTAATTATTATTAAGAATTATTTCAAAATGAGGTCTTCGCTTGTAACTAGTGAACTTTTATTAGTTAGAGCATTAGGTTTCGATTTAGAAATGGAATTACCATTTGCACATTGTTTGAATGTATTGAGAGGTTTAGGATCCATTCGATATTTTATAATGGATGAAGCAAAAAAGCATTCAAAAAGACATCATCATTCTTTACAAAAAGAAATCTGGAAACGAATAGAAAATGGTAATATAGATCGGATGTTGTGTATATAGTTGCTAATTCCCTTTTTTTTAACAACAACAACAACAAAAGATATGGAGCCAGAAATGAGTACAATTGCTCGATTGGCATGGATGTATGTTTGGGATAGGTAATCATTGAAACAAAAATGAAATATATATATACATGTATACATATTTAATACTTATAGTTCTTATTAGTTTGTGTTCACCTAAAATTGCATTATCCCATTCAATACCAAGTATTGGTCTTGGTTGTCTATACCTTGCACTTCGTACAACTCAAGCAGAAATGTCTATGTCAATGAGTGAGTATGTTGATATGTGGGGTGCATCTGAAAATATATCAGTTCAAGCAGTACGAGACGTTGTGACAGATTTATTAGATTTTTACGAGCATTTTCCAATCCAAAAATATGACATTACCAACTAAATAATTTATTATATATAATGAACGATATATGTATCCTTTACAATAAAACTTCATTTTTTATATCACAATACTCCCATATTTTCTAATTTATGACGCTCTATATTAAAGGAAAAAAAATAGAGTAAATAAACAAATAAGCATATAAATATGTATATATATAACTCACGTGTTTGTCGATTATCTGCGTCTTCTGCTTCACTATCTTCACCATCGTTATAGTCATCCAAGTTGAAATCTCCTGGAACTTCTTGAGTTTGCACTGAAGGAGCAAATGGTAAGCATCTTAGGTTATCGATAATTCTTGCACTAAAAAAAAAAAAGATATGTTTATATTAATTAACTATGTACATATAATACGTATATATTTTATATTGGAAGCTTACATAATGCGATCTAAATATTCGCGTGTATTGTGATTCACCATATTGTTGGAGGGTACATCTAATTTATATTCTGGACCGTAATATTCAAAATAGTTATTATATGGTAATTCTTCTTTTGTTAAATCCTCTCCAACCGCTAAGCCTGTTTCAAATGTCCATGTTCTTGCTACATTACGAATTGTATATCCACCTCCACCTACCATCATCATTGGTATGTTGAATGATTTTATAAATTCTACGCAGGATGCATGACCACGCATAGATAGATTGAAACAGCCCAATCTATCACCAGCTAATGAATCACCACCACATTGAAGAACAACAGCACCAGGTCTAAACCAATCCATAATACGTTGAATTATTGGCCGAAATACACTTTTATAAGTTTCATCATTAATTCCATCTCTTAAAGGTACATTAACTGCATATCGTTTTCCTTTTCCAAGTCCAGTGTCCTAACATTATGTAATCTCAGTCACAATTTTTTTTTTTTTTTCTATTTTGAAGAAATTTACTTTAATGTCGCCAGTACCAGGAAAGAACTCACCAAACTTATGGAAAGAACAAGTCATGACTCGATCTGTAGTATAAAAGGCTTCTTCAACACCATCGCCATGATGCACATCAATGTCAACATAGAGTACACGCTGATGATATCTATAAAGTATTAAAAGTTAGCCTATTGATTTGTATTATATACAAATATTTGTATTCCCAGTTTACCTTAATAATTCTAAAATGCCTAATACAATATCATTAACATAACAAAATCCGGATGCTTCTGTTTTTTTAGCATGATGAAGCCCTCCAGACCAATTAATAGCAATGTCAGCTTCACCGTTTAATAATTTATTTGCAGCACCTAAAGCAATATGTAAATAAAATTTTGCATATTATTTTATAAAATATTATACCAATTGAGCCACCAGCTGAAATTGAACAAAATTCAAATAAACCTTCAAATACAGGACAATCTTCTCCTACGTTAACTGTAACATAAATTAGTTCAACTAGTTCTTATTTCTTACTATATTTTTCAAAAAAAAAAAAAAAAAGAAAAGAAAAAAAATTACATCGTGCAATTCCTTGTTCTAAACCGCCATATTTCATGGCAAGTTCTTCTAAATTATCAGGTGTCACTGTCTGTAAAAAATTGACATAGTCATCAGAGTGAAAACGAGTCATTTGATAAGCTGTACATCGTGTAGGTTTCTTATAGCAATTCAGTTAATACATGTTCTTGTATATATGTATATACTTTATCTTACCACAATATCCAACTTTTTATAAAGGCCATAGTTCACAACCATATTATGGACCATATGCATACGTTTGGGCTTCATATAGTGACCTAATGTGATTTAACATGTTAATATATAGAGGAGGAAAAAAAAAAAAGCTTGTAATTCAAATAACGTTACCTGGTCCATAGTTGAAATTACCAACATCGTCTATGAAGATAGATTTAGCAAATAAAATAAGAAATGCGATATATTTAATTTACGGTCATAAAAATATGAAACTCTTCTTTTTGAACAATTAGCTAAACTATAGGAGTTGGACATGCTATTACTATTAAAAGGAAAAGAAGAAAGGCGGAGGATAACTACAAAATCCGTCTCTCTCTTTTTTTTTATTTACTTATACCACAATTGTTGGTAATGCTAATTTTTCAATCTCCTCCATTATTCTGCAAATCAATACGATTGAATTTTTATTTTATTTTTTAAAAAAAAAAAAAATCGGCCTAATGTGAGCACATAGTATGGAGTATATACTGTACTGCTCAAGCTAGTTCGATCTAAAAGCTTGATAAACCAAAAAGCAATTGAAGAGAGGAAATAAAAAAATAAATATCAAATTCTAAAGAAAATAGATTGATAATACAAGTATTAGTTATTACCATGTAACGAAAAGAAGAAAAAAAAATTAGGTTAAGATTAGGTGTAATGTGAGGGTATGTGTGTGTGTGTGTATTCTGTCATGAAACAGATTGTTGGGTTCGAGCAGGATATGGCAAATAGCAATGTCATCATATATTCCAAAGGGAAAAGTAGACGAGTTAGGGAGGGGGGAGATGATAGAGTGACGATTATTTTGCTATTTTTATTTTATTTTGTTTTGGGAGTTGATTGAGTAGAAATGAAAATAGATCTTTAATAGTCGAAGAGATGTATAATCATTGGTGCATTTGTAAGCCATATTATTACATATACTCGAAAATAACTAATATTTGGATGATAGACGTATAATTTCGGTAGACTACCCGGACGACCAGTCCAGGCATTATTCAAGTAATCAACTATGTCCAGCAACATGAGTTATAGATAACCAATATAATAGAGTTAACTCCATTCTTAGTACTGAAAAACAAGGTAGTTTTTTTATTTTGAATCTAGATATTGCTAGTTCTTTTCTGGACGAATTAAAAATAAAATGCAGAAACTATGTTTTACCTTATATTAGGCGACGTGAGATATCTTTCTTCTTTCCTGTCTTTTTTTTTTTTATAACTGATAAGCATAGGTAATGATGTTTATCAAAGTAAAAAATAAACTTTTCTAATCAAATAAAAAAAAAAAATGTAACTCCCAAAGACAAGTTATTATAATCAAAAGTGAATACTAGTTTAAACATTTGATTTTTGAAGGAAATAAGCAAAAAAAAAAAGAGTTATTTTGAGTCCAGTTTTATTACTTACTGTACCACAAGTATATGAAAGTATAACCAACTACTTTCAAAGACTTGTCAAGTCTCTCTAATTTCTTGTATCATGATTATCTATTCACCATCTATTCAAGTATAATTTTATTTTTTATCGTAACAATGATTTGGATGCACTGTAGTCTACAATAATAGAAAATGGATCTAAACTGACATCTCACGTCGCCTAATATTAGGTAAAACACAGCCTCTGCATTTTATTTTTAATTCGTCCAGAAGAGAACCAACAGTATCAAGATTCAAAAAATATATATATGAAATCTAACTCCAATCCTTTAGTTATCAACGATTCTCCCTCCCTCCCTCACATTGAGCATGTTCGTATCCTTTCATTCATGTTTTAAATAACTCCCTAGTAGCTGTTGCCTTTTATTATCCTTATGATAACTTTTACCCATTATCACTCTAATCAAATAATGTACTCGTACTCATTGGTCATTTTTATTTTATTTTATTTTTAACAAGTAAAATAAATCGAACTTGAAATCTAGTTAGTAACTCCTTTATTTCCCTAATGGGTCCAGAGGGGGAGGGGGTATGACTGTGTTAAATAAATACGTATGCACATAAAAAATGTAATAAAACTCATTTTTTATTTATGTATAACTATATATTGACTTGTTTCCTTTTAAGATAAATCCATGTAATCATTAGAACGATTCTCTCTACCTTCAGCTTCAGCAAACGCTAATCGATATTCTTCAGCAAATGGACCAGTTCTGACATTCATCACAAACATTTCAAATCCAGGTGACATACTAGGATCAGAAAGAGGATACAAAGCAACAATACATCGAAGGACAGCTCGAATTAACTCTTGATTTTTTTCAACCTCTTGTTTGACAGCATTGCTTCTCATCTTAAAGTCAAGTGTTGTCTTGAATGGCTCAACAAAATCATTTAATCCTAAATAAAAGATGTTTTTTTAGTAACAAAATACACATTTATATGTGTGTATATAAATATTTACTTTGTGAAACAGCAGCAGGAGCAACTTTACTAATACGAACAAGCATAAGATAAGCAAGCATTTTAATGTCATGTTGGTCGTCTAAACCAGCTCGAATATGATCAAGGAATCCATAGACATCAACTTTATCTAAACATGTACTTAGAAGTGTATACATACACTCATATGCAGCCTATAAATAATAATAATCATTATAGTAGAGTTTAATTTCTTCCTTCAATAAAACGGATATGAAAACATACCTTTCTGATCTCAAGACCATCATCTACTTTATGTTTGAATGGGCCCATTTCAACAGTATGGATAAGTTCCTCCTTTACTACAGTTTCTGCATACAATAAAGGAATAAGTTGATCAAGTGTATTCCTGATCAGATACGGTTTACGATGGGCAGCAGAATTTAGAGTTAACAAGGCTAAACGTCGTACATTCTAATAAGAAGGGAATTAATAATACAATTACTATCATTATTATTTTTAATTTGTACCAAATCAGAGTCTTCCAAGAGGTTCAAAAACTTGACCATAATAGGTTTGAGAAATTCATCGTAATCTGATGAAGGATTAACAACAGCATATTTGATTGCAGTTGCCACTGCTGCTCTAACATGAGAAGAGGATGATTCTAAACGATCTTCTAACTGGGGTAAAAACTTTGAGGGATCGGTCAATGCAAGTTTACCCAAACATTCGGCTACAACGGTACGTGTTCCCTCTTCTTGATCTGTTTCACTACTCTCAAGAAGAAGTGTCCATATTTCATCAGCAGCATTACTTAATGAATTATTACTAATATCGTTTTTACTTTCATTTCGAGTAATAACCTAGAAAAAAGCAATATATACATATAAGTTTCATACAAAAAATGACTCTTAAAAAAAAAAATCCAACTCATATATTATATAAGCTTACCTCCTTCAAAGCATGTAATAATAAATAACGTTTTTTTGGTTCTTCTTTAATTTGGGAAACAATAGGTGGAAGGTAGTTATTAATGTTCCCAACACAAATATTACCCAATGCAAAGGCAGCGGCAAATTTAATTTCTTCAGATTGAGCAGAAAACAAATGGATAACTTGTTCATTGATTTCTGGGAATTCAGATAAATCACTATAAATAATGTAAAATTAGTCAAATTAATCGTTAGTAGTTTGATGTATATTTATATGAGAATAGATTACATTCTACGACCAATTTCACCAATACTTAAAAGACTTAAATACTTTATCGAATCATTAATAGTAGGATTTAAAATATAAGATTGAAATTCTTTGACAGTTTGATTACGATTCATTTGGTTAGCATTAGCTGCCAATACAGCAACACATTGTGCTACAGTAGATGCTGCTTGTTTGTTTGATACTGCAGCAACACCACCCGCAGCGACACCAGTAGCCGTTTTAACGTTCAAAAGAGGATGAACAAGTCCATTGACTAAAGTTTGATAATCTGCAGGATTAACTTTACCGAATGCGGCGAACATATTTAATAAACTATCCAAAGCAGAACCTTGAAGTAAGGGAGATTCAATTAACTTGAATAAAGAAGGTAGAATAGATACTTTAATCTCATTTACTGATTGGGGACTAGTAACCAAAATTGATTGTACTACATTTAAGGCAAGAGGTAAAAGAAGAAGATCAGAATCAGAAATCAAAGGTTTCAATTCAGTTAATAAGCTTGAAAAGCTCTTTGCAGGTATAATTTGACCAAATCTTAAAATGGTATATAAAACAAATCAGGAAAAAAAAAATTAATAAATAAATTATTATATTATATGTATGAATATATACCTTTGAATCAAAATAATTAAGCATTCTAAACTGGCAACACGTAAAGGACGATTACTCTTTCGCAAAAATAGCGATATTTCATCAACAGCAACAAGAACGCATCTTTGTAATTCCTCACCTGCAGCAACAGGACTTTGACAGACAATAGCAAGAGTCTTAACACTGATCAAACGAGTTACTTCATTTCTTAATCTTTCTAAAAGAACATCCCAGGCTTGTTTTTGCTTTGACTGAAGAACATCACATACATGAGCTAGTAATGTTCCAAGACACATAATAGACCTCTCTTTCACTTCTTGATCTGCATCACTCGTATTTAAAGTCTTCAAAGTTACTTCAAAAATGTCATTGACATATTTTATATTGTTTGTATCCTTTATAGAAGAGACTTGGTATTTGCCGGACTTTTCACGATAAATAGGTCGAATCACTTTAAGTAACTCAATACAGACCAAGAATGCTTCAGAAGTAATTTTGTAGAAACGGTCAGAAACAGACTTAATAATAGAAGGAGCTAAATGATGAATAAATGCGTGAATATGATCGGCTGGGTGATTACGGAAAAAGAGTCTCAGGAAGTAAAGAACTTCAATCTTTAAATTAGAAGAAGAAGCATGTTGTTGTTCAGCAGTTGTGGTAGAGAGAGATGATTCAATAGCAGGAAAGAATAATTCCATTTGATCCTTTAATCCACCGTGTAAGACAATTAAGACTTCACGTAGTAAATGGAAACCAATTTGACGTGTCTGTATAGATTTTGTATTAAGCTGTTTAGAAAGAGCACGACATAAGCTGGGAACTTGATCTTGAAGTAATTGCCTGGGACCATTTATAGTTTCCATAGATGAAGAAGAATAGGGACACGCTGTAGTTAAAAGATCCAATTCATCATTCATACTAGATATATTGAATTGACGAGTATATTCTTCAGCATTGCCACCATAAACATCTGTTTGTCTTAAAAGGCTGATAAATGTTTGCAAAATATCAACACGAACAGTTTCCTCGCGTTCCTTAAATCGACTAATTAATACAGGAGCCACATTTTCATAAAGCTGTTGTAATAAATCCAATCTTGTTTCAATAATAGCTGACAAAACTTTAGAAGCAGATCGACGGACTTTCCAGGACATATCATCATCATCATCAGAATAATCACTACAAATAATTTTAGCAAGTCAATTTTATCTATATTTCATTTCACTTACGCTATGTCATCATATTCATCTTGCTCCTCTTCGTCTTCAAGTTCCATATCATCCACCTTTAAAATTATATTCATTATATGATTTTTATTTTAAATAGATATAAAGATTGTAATTTACCTCTTCATCATCGTCTTCAACAAAATTAGGATCATACTTAATATATTCCAAAGCAAGATTTGTTATCTCTTGAACAAAAGGTGCAATTTCTGTAGGACATCTGAGAATGAAAGATTCAAGAGTTTGTAGACAAATTTCACGTAATTCATCATCTTCATCAGCGTTAACAGTATATTTGTTAATAATAGGCACTATCTGTGATAAATGTGCGCCCAAACGTGCAGCGCTATAACGACTAGTTGCATATATAAAATGTTAGTATTCTTTTAATAGGGAGCTATATGAGTACTACCTTAAAACGCCTGCACATTGGACTAAAGTTCTGATTTTTTCACTCGAACCAACATCGTTACGTAAACCTTCCAATAAGAAAGCAAATACTTGATTAAATGATTCATCATTAAGATGCACAACAAGATATCCAATTGCAACTGTAACCTTCTTACGGACAGCGGCACGGTTGTAAGAAAGTAAAGGTAATAAAATATTTTGAATATCTGTTTGTTGTTCAACAGAAATTTGTCCACCAAATTTTGCCAACACTTCTGCCAAAATATCCAGAGTATCCATTTGCATTTCATATGCTGCTTCCACCTATACAAAATAGCAAAAAAAGTAAATATGTTATTTTTCGTAATATTATTTCCTATTTACATTTTGAATAGTGTTTAATAATTTAGGAATTATTCTAGCACAGACTTGATTTCCTCTATCAGGGTCGACTTCAACTACAACTGTTTTTAATCCTAAAAAAAAATCATTACATATTGTAAATAAAGGAGAGAAAAAAAAAATGACATAATATATTTATTTCGTATTTCTTACCAACACTAGCGATGCCACGTAATTCGTCATTTTTTTGTTGTGAAGCAAATTCACTAAGAAGATCCATAATTTGGCATAAACTCTCTTCTTTAACTTGCTTAACTAATGGTCCAAGACTTGCTCGTTTTTTATTCGTTATTATTTATATATCAAATGTATTCAAAAAATATATATATATTATGCATACCACTTAACAGCTAGATTTTGAACTTCACTGTTTTTATCGTCCATAAGTTGTAAAACAGCTTTGACAACTTTATTTTCAATTACATACTCCATGTTAAAAGAAGCTTTTTGAAGTTCGCTCATTAGATCATTAAGAGCCATGTAACGAAAATCTCTATCTTCATTACTCATCTAGTATTTATTTTTATTTTTATTTAAAGAATATAGATTAAATAATTTTGCTTGATATCATTAATGACGTTTATATTCACCTTTTCTAGTAAGCTGGCAACCATGTACGCGTTTGTTCCTTGATGCGACATGGTAATTTATAGTTTGTCTAAATACACAATCCCAGTTAACTGTTGATTTATAAGTATAAAAAGAAAAGTTTAACGCATATATTCATTCTTTACTTACTAATAAGAACAACGGAGGGGAGGGGAAAGACAAAAAATAACATAATGAAGATTCGTATAAAAGCATATTCTGAGTTTAAAGTGAAAAGAAGAGAACCTTAATAAAAAATGAACCTAAAACTTTCATGCATATTACAGAGATATACTTATACTATAAGCATATATATAGATATGCATACAGCACTATATCTCCATATATATGAATACTATGAGAATCGTATTAAGCATATATATCAGCTTTGTTTTTATATATATAAACTTTCAAGTTGTGACTATCATTTGTATCATAAAAAAAAAAAAAAAAAAAAAAAAAAAAAGAGAGAGAGAGAGAAAAATTGACAGAGCTTCAACACTTTTTATTGCTTCTATTTTATAAAAAAAAAAAAAGAAAAGCATAAAATGCCTATTGAGATTGTACCGTTAGGAGCTGGTATTTTTGTTTATTAGAAGAAAATGTAAATTTAATAACTTATAATTGAACTATTAATAGGGCAAGATGTTGGTAGAAGCTGTATTCTCGTCACAATTGGTGGTAAAAACATTATGTTTGATTGTGGTAAATACAATGTTCCAGAGTGGAGGAATATAAATATCAAACTAATTTTTATTTTACTTGATAGGAATGCATATGGGCTATCAAGATATGAGACGATTTCCAGATTTCAGTTATATATCAAAAACCGGCAATTATACAGATATTCTAGATGCAGTGATTATTTCACATTTTCATTTAGATCACTGTGGAGCACTTCCTTTTTTTACTGAAATGTGTGGTTATGACGGTCCCATTTATATGACTCATCCAACTAGAGCTATATGTCCTCTTTTATTAGAAGATTATCGAAAAATCGCTGTTGAGCGTAAAGGAGATACTAATTTTTTTACTTCAGCCATGATAAAAAGCTGTATGAAGAAGGTTATTCCTATTAATTTACATCAGACAATTAAAGTTGACGATGATCTTGAAATCAAAGCATATTATGCAGGCCATGTTTTGGGAGCTGCCATGTTTTATATTCGTGTTGGACAAGAATCAGTTGTATATACAGGAGATTATAATATGACTCCTGATCGACATTTGGGCAGTGCCTGGATTGATAAAGTGCGTCCTGATGTCTTGATTACAGAAAGTACTTATGCTACAACTATTCGTGATTCTAAACGTTCTCGTGAACGTGATTTCTTGGCCAAAGTATATGAGTGTGTGTCTAACGGAGGAAATGTCCTTATTCCTGTTTTTGCTTTAGGTCGTGCTCAAGAATTGTGTATTTTGATTGAAGCATTTTGGGAACGTATGGGTTTAGATATACCTATTTATTTCTCTACAGGATTAACTGAAAGGGGAACCGAGTTTTATAAGTTATTTATTAATTGGACAAATCAAAAGTTAAAGTCAACGTTTGCACAACGAAATGCTTTTGATTTCAAACATATCAAAGTTTGGGATAGAACTTATCTAGCCAATGCAGGCCCAATGGTTGTATTTGCATCGCCTGGTATGCTAAATGCAGGAACATCTTTACAAATCTTTCAAAAGTGGGCCTCTGATCCAAAGAATATGATTATTATGCCCGGTTATTGTGTTGCTGGTACGGTGGGGTCAAAAATTTTATTAGGACATAAATTGATCGAAGTAGATAAGTTTACAAAAATTCAAGTTAATTTGCAAGTTAAAAATTTGTCCTTTAGTGCTCATGCGGATGCTAAAGGCATTATGCAATTGATTAGAATGTGTGAGCCTAAAAATGTAGTTCTTGTTCATGGCGAACGTGGTAAAATGAATTTCTTAAGGAGTAATATTATGAAAGAATTTGGCATATCTTGTTATATGCCTGCAAATGGTTGTAGCATAAAATTGGAAACAAGTCGAGCTCTAGAAGCTAAAATTAGTACTGATTTATTAAAATCACTCTTATCCTCTACATCTTTTACTGATACTACAAACTTCATTCGACCTATTAATTCAATCCCCATCAATGCTACGTTATTAATGCATTTTAATAACACAAACGCAAAGCAGAATCAATCTCCACCTACTATTGAAATAATCAAACCGACAGATTTAAAGGAAGAAAAGGAAAATAAACAAAAACGCCAGCTATTCTTTCAAGTTGAGAAATCATTTCAACTAACAAACTTACTATCAGACATAGCACATACAGAATCAACACCTGAGGATTTGGAACGAAGAGTATTAGATTTATTACAAATAACTATAACTAGAACAATTGGCCATCTATGTCCTATAGAACGTAAAACAACTAGTATTATTGCTCGAACTGTTTCATTATGGCTACTCAATTTACAATCTATTTGCATTAAATGGAGCTTTGAGGATGAAGATTTGGCGAGTTTTGTATTAGGTGCAGTGAATATAATACTACATAATCAACGGCCTATTTCTATTAATACTGTTTAAATACTGAATATACCATTCACAATACGGGAATGTCCCTATTTCATTTTAGTTGTAGATAAATAAATACTGTGCTTCCACTCTCAATTTACAGATTTTTTGAAAACACTGCCCTTTTATATATATATTTATATTTTTGTTTTTGTTTTTTTTTTGGCTATAGACTTGAAACGCTGAATGACTGGAAGCAAGATGACTACGAAACCACCATCTACAGACGCATTGCTACCATTTTCGACTTTATGTTTCGTGACATGCACGTCAAGTTAGCCGAGTAAGTAGAAATGAAAAAAAAAAAAAAAATGAAAGGAAACTGAGACTCATGATTTTTACTCTTTATGCTGTGTTAGTGGGGAGACAGCATGTGACCGCTCTAAACACGAACAACAATACAATGACATTGTTTTTGGCGCATCATCTACGGATCGTGAACTTTGTGGTCGGAAGATAGACCTATTAGTACGTTATGGCAGGGATACCAAAGACTTGGAATTATCAAGTAACGAGTTTAAGGAGCCCTCTGTTACGACTTCTAATGTCATCACCCAACAGTGCAAAAATCTTCGTGTCAACGATGCTATCCTCAATCACCTCCATGGACTGAACAAGAAGATCGATCCCCTCCTCGCAATGGACTGGATAGATAAGTCTTTTTTCTCACGACGCATCAACGATTTGAATAATCGATTCATAATTGATCACTTTTTTATACCTGGTTAGGCAGCACCGGCTATATCTATTGTTTAGTTGCTCATCATGGTGTATATGTTGCTAAGTTTATTGATATCCTGACAATCCCTACCTCTGTAAATGGCTTGCTTGAATTTAAGAATACTCTGCAGCTTCTCTTTGCTTATAAGGTGTTCACTTACCCCTTCCCCCAAAAAAGGAGTCATTGACTGACTGAAAACATCAAAGGATTTTATATTGCGAATAGGTATAATTGCCAAGCATTCCCTGGAGGAAAGACGAAAAGTAGATCGATTTTGGGAAGTTATCGATGTCGCTGTTACCACCCCTTCGCCCACCCTTCATCATGAAATTTTTTTTACACCAACTACGTACTTTATCAAGAGAACGAAAACAGAAAATAATGTTTAGCACACCTTTTGTCAAAATGATGTATATCTATTTTTTTTTATTACTTTGTCCAATAAACTGTTATTTTATTTTTTTTCGTCTCATGCTGTTTTTTTACATTGTCTTTATACTTTACATTTGGAAAGGCGGCAGGTTGGTCACAAAAATCCCGACATCCTTTTTTAAAAATCCTTTGTCCGTTTTGCAGGTGCAACACCTATCTCAAAATGTGTGACAAGTAATTACGGAAACACTGCACTGTAAACTGTTCTTCAATTAGATGAAAAAAAAAAAAGCCCATTGAGATGTAAAAAACGTACCCTTTGAAATTTATAAAACCGCCTTTTGAGAAGAGGATACAAACATCTACTTCTAACATGGCACTTGGGAAATTCATAGCTTCATGCTACAGATTATAATAAAGATGTATTTATATTTGGTTTTAGTAAGGTGATCCTTACTGAATACCACTTCATTAAGGTAATCTTCTTAGGTTATAGTAATGTTGGGTTGTGATTTTTTGAATGCCTCATACTATGTACAGCACCAAATAAAGAAATTGTGTTCTTTGTTCTCTGATTTTTTATAGCAAACTGAAGGTTAATTGCATAACATTAAGAACCAATAAAATCTTTCTAAAGATTTTTTATTTTGTAATCTGTATAGGATAAATGTAAATACTGATCTTTGAGACTTTTCTTTTATTCTTGTAAAAGAAGATATTAATTTTGTAAGGTTTGATATCAAAAAACTGTCAGATCAACTTTTTTTACACAAAACTTTTCATATTAAAAAATTTAATTTTTGTGTGCGCTAAGCAGTATGGGAGCTTTTACTTTAAGAGTTATTATGGGAAGAGAAGATGTTCCAATTGAATAATTTCCAAATTTTATCTAGTATTCCATAGACACTCTCCTTAAATATTTCAATAAAGAACCTTTATAAGCATTTTAACGTTTGACTAGAAATTGGTCAATCTATTCGTAAAAGGTGGATAATATATATTCAAAAAGCTGGGCAAATCAGCTTCAAATATCTGGCTAAATTAGCCTCACAAATGCGCAATTTTTCTCAAAAAAAAAAAAAAAAAAAAAAATGGGCAGTGTTTTCAAAAAATCTGTAAATTGAGAGTGGAAGCACAGTATAAAGATTTCTTCCTCCAGAAACTGTCCCCCTTGGTACAAAACTTGTAAAATGTTTACGTAACCCTGAATCTAGTATTTGTTGATATATCTTGCTTTTCCTTTTCCCTTCTCTTTCTTTTTTACCCTTTTGCCTATCAAAAGGTTTTTAGTATAATTTTAACCTTTCTCGAACTGACCCGGGCAATCCAATACGCCAGTATTATGCGCTCACATGGGTTTTTAAATTTTGTTATAAATTTTTTTTTTTGTTATAAATAAAACAATTCTTAATCGTCTAAAGATTTCTTCCTTTCTTTTTTCCCTTTTCCTTTATTTCTTAATAATAATTGACATATCTTCGTACAACATAAACATCAATCATTTCTTCCTTTTTTTTTGGTGAGCAAAAAGAAATAGAGATAAATAATGAATAAGGAAGATTAGCATAAATCAAGTTGCTTTTAATATGAAACTAATTAACTTAATTAAAATAAAAACGAGCAAAAGTACTTGAAATATATATATCCTATATCATCTGATAAATTATTAGTCCTTCTATTTTAAAGGTTAAAGTTATATAAAGTATTGCTTAGCATGTTTACTGCAGGCATTCTTCATATCCAAATGGCGTGAGTTTTTAGTGTATCTTATTAAATAAAAAGCATATTCTTTTTCAGGTACCCATTATTTAGCAGAAAAAAAAAAAGTAATTTATAATATTAAAAAAAAACAAAAAGATGGGGTGAGAATTTATTAACCAATCAGCTTGATTTCTTATACAATTATGTGAATTGAAGTTTATATATAACATTTACAAAAAATGGCCTGTTATGTGATGGTATCACCTAGCAACTATCTCCTAGAAACATGATTCTTCAACTTTATATATAAACTTTTTTTTTATCTCTTTTTAATATATGAAACTTTCTTAAAACCTTTATATTTTCTCTCTCTTTCTCTTTTTTTTTCTTCAAAAAAAATAAAAATAAAAATCTTATTTATAATAGAGTATGCTTCAAGAATTAACAGATTTAGATTTCGACACATATTTCGATGTCACTTCCAATAATCAACATTCTCAGACACCTAATAGTCATGATATACTTTATCATGGTGACCAGCAAACAAATAATAATCATCACACTTTAATGAATAATAACGAAAATCAGAATCGAAATCTGTATTATTCACAACAACAACAACAACAACAACAACAACAGACTAGTTTCGATTTCTTTAACTGGAATAATCTAAGTTCACAGTCTAACCTAGGTCGTTCTTCTTCAATGCAAATATCACCCATTAGTTCTCCTCAGTCTTCTTCAGATGGATATACATCTCACTCATTATCTCCTCAAATGGCAAATGGTTCACCTTTATATGCTTCATTTGATACAAGAAATGAACCCAATAAAACTTTAGAAGGCTTCTTTACAAAACGTAATTTATTTTCATCTGATCATAACTTACAAAACGTACCTGGTATAAATATCCCAACAACTCCTATTTCAGAAAATAATACAACTATACATCATGGAACGATAACAAATTTACCTTCTCCGCCTTTAGATAATAACCCATTATCAGGTGCTTATTCAGCTATTGATCAATGGGGACAACTAAAAGGTATTTTACAAATACATACTTTGTGTTAACTTACCAAGACTTCATTCTTATATATTTATTTATTCATTTAAAAAGAACAAAATAATAATAGTATCCATCCTTTAGATAAAAATACAGATCAACATACAACTAGAAATTGGAGAAAAGCGTCTGTTAGACATCAACAATTACATCAATCTATTCCAAATACTACTCTAGAATATACTCGAAATTTTACAGAACCAGGTAAACAACTCAAGAAAGTCGCTCATAATGCAATCGAAAGACGTTATCGAAACAATATTAATGACCGTATTCGAGAATTAAAAAATGTTGTACCAGCTTTATACAAAGCTCGAATCAAAGAAAGAGGGGACGATGATGACTCTAGTATTGATTCAGGTGAAGACGGTAATAATAATAATGAAGAAATTGTCGAAGGCGTAGAGGTAGCCAAGAAGCTTAATAAAGCAACTATTTTACGTAAAGCAACTGAATACATTAACCACTTGAAGCATACAAATGAAACAACTGAGCAAGAAAACATAATCCTTCAACAAATCATTGCACAAATGCCTGGTGGTCAAGACGTGTTGTCCCGTTTCTTGTGTCAAAAGAATGAATTCAAAAAATCTGAACAAGAACGACTTATTCGTGAACGTCGTGAAGCTCAAGAACGTGAAAAGTTAGAGAGACAACGTATCTTACGTGAACGTGCCGCTCAACGAGCAGCATTAGCTCAACTCTTACCAAAAACAGAAAGAAGACCCTATCAACGAAGACAGTCTTCTAAAAATAGCAGAAAATCGCAACAATCGCCTACTACTGAAGATAACAATGGGAATAAAATGTTTATGGCTGCCTTTTTATGTATTGTCTTTTTTACTGCTCCTTCCTCTTCAGATAAGCTGAATCTTCCTCACCATGTCAATAATCAGAGTAGTAATACAATCACACGTACATTAGATACTGCCACTTCCTTCTCTTCTTCCGATTTTTGGTAAATCTATTTCCCGTTTATTATCTAAAATAATTATCCATTATTAACATCATCTTTTTTTTTTTTTTTTTTTTTTTTTTTTTTATAGGTATTATGCTCGTTATGCATTCTATACATTCGGTATTATCTACATTTGCCTTATCCCTATTTTCCTTCGTTGGCTACGTCCACGTCCAATTAATCGTTCTAAAAGGTGTCTTACGCATCACCATTATGCGAGTGAAGTTCCTACAGCTTGGAGTCAACTTTATACAAACTTGATTGCTATTGTTAATAAATCCACTATTGTGAAACCTATGACGACTCATACTACTCTTTTAGAAATTTTATCAATGCTATATGATATTATCATTTATAGTCTTTCCTTACTCACCCCTCGTTTTCTATTGACTATTTTCCATAAAAACGCAAAGCCTGTAGGTTGTCCTGAGGAATTAGCTTATATCGGTGCCTGGATTCGTTTAAATGAGGTTGAATGTTTAGGTGGTATGTATTTAATTATTTATTTATTTTTTATTTTTTGAATTTGTGCATTATCAGCTATAATTATTAATCATGAACACAAAAAAAAAAAAACTTTCTTATTAGCTAATCCCGATATAACACGCCTTGGTTTGTTACATTCTTGTGTTGGTATGCTCTCACAATTACACAAAATGAAGCGAGATGAAAGACATGTTATTTACTGCGAAGCAAATACAATGGCACGTGTATACGCTACTACAGCTATGCAATTGGAACTTTGTTTACCTCAATTTATCTCTACTTATATTACATCCTTTTGTTGGAAACGTGTGATCTCAGCAATGAACCAACAACAACAACAACAACAACATGTGAAAAAAGAAGATATAAGCAAGCCATCAAAGACTTCATCCTATCAACTAATTACAAACGAATGGCTCACTTCACCGTGCCATGATCAAGTACGCTATATCCTACAAGTTCGCAATGGCTTTATTACCGCATCAGGTCATGATATGATTGATAGTGCTTGTCGAAATACTTTTTATTCCTTTGTACTTCCTTATATCACCTCTCCTCTTGATCTAGTTCTCTATTGGCAACAATTAAGTGAACTCGAACAATGTTGGCATTCTTATTTGAATGGAACAAGACCTGTATTTTCTGAAAAGCAATTGAATCACGTTCTTCTTGTTTCTGCTACCACGACTGCTCCTGCTCATATGCTTCAATGGTGGATCCGAGTAGGTCTAGTACTAGAATCACTTAGTAACAGTCAAGACTCTCTGGATGTTCTTGCCGAGTATACCCGAACCCAAGCCATCAGTCATCCATCCTCTAATCTTTTACGCCGTCATCAGTCCATGATTCTTTATCTCTTAGAGGCCACGACTGCCTTAAGAAAGCATTCTCAGATTGAAGAAGTACCCCAGTTTCTACAATCCGCCATGAATGATCGATCTGCCTCCCTTGAATGTATCAATCAAATCGCCTCTATTACAAAGAATGATAACTTGGAAGCAAGCGTACTCACCCTTTCGACCTTGGCAGTTCAATTGAGAACACTAAAGGCACTTATTATTCATCAACAAACAACCAGTGCTGATAAGAATAACGATAAGGATTTGCTTGCCATTCAAGCATCCCGCTATATCGCTGAATTAAGGGATCAAATTATGCAAGATATGGAATCACCTTGTATTAAATCATCTCTGTCAGTTAAATGCAAGAAACATATTCAATCTTATATCGCACAAGCAGATGATACCCTCAGTCTTTAAAGTCTCATATTATTTATAATACGGAAAACTAACTAACAAAAAAAAAAGTGTGCCATTGCTATTATTATCATTATTACTATTATTACTACTACTACTACTACTATTATTATTATTATTACTATTCTTATTCACTCATTTCTTATATTATGTATTTTTATTTATTTATCCAATCATTATATTTTATATAGAAAGCAAAATCTATCAATCTTTTGTAATTTTCTTCATATCTATTATTATACGCATAGAATATATATATTTTTTTTAATTCAGAATATATTACGTTATTCATTATAATACGATAATACTTGATATCGTATGATTTTATATGTAAGAAATTATACTACGTGTATTTTTTTTAAGAAAAAAAGTAACGTTACATACTTTTTTTTTTTTTTTTTTTTTTTTTTTGTTTCCTTTAAAACCTTTTCATAATGAGGCTTTACTAACATTTATTTATAAACATTATCAAATGTAAACTTTAGATAATAAATTGTTATTGTAAAAAGAATGTCATCATTTCTCTCTTCCTCCTCCGTGTTATTATTCACTTATATTAGTGAAAAAGAGAGTCAAAGACATTTATTAAATAGAAAATAAGGCTTTAGTAACTTGCTAATTGTATTTTTTTTTCTTTTCTTTTTTCTTAAAAAAAAAAAGGGAGGGGGGAGGGGGAAAATCATAGATCCCTACTATGTATAAACTCTTTTTATTTTTAAAGAGTTCTACACATAGTCGTCTCAAAATAGAATCCAAATAAAAGAAATATTTATTTGTTATAGGCGAGAGCTTGTAATAATTTCATCGCGGAATTTCATAGTGATACGAAAAAAAAATAACAAGATACTACTTTCAATTCTGTCTAAAATACATGCATATAATTTCAGGAACACTTGTTTGTATAGATTTTTTTTTAAAAAAAAGGGAGAGTTTATTATGGATACGGTTTAACTATTTTTTATATTTGACTTGAATCTCTTTATATTTCTTCTTCTATTATCAGATTTAGAAAAGTAATGTATACTATTGTTGATATATATATGTATATTCTGAAAAGAGCAACTACAAATAGTGATTTAACCAAATAAAAGCTCAAATAGCATTAAAAAGAAGTGACTATATGATATATTGATAACCCAAATTATTACGAAGGTTTTCCTATAATTTGGGTCAATTGAGTGCTATACCATTAACTATTCTCTTTTCTTTTCTTCTGCTAACAATAGACACCTAGTCTATCAATCTCTTAACTGTTATCCAAGATTTCATAATAATAATCTTGTTACAAGAGTTAAAAGTAGTAGTTGAGCGTTGTTTTTACAATTGTTAATAATTCTATTGGTAGATAGAGGCCTTATTTTTTTTTATAGCAGCTGCTTTAACAATTGTTTGTGTGTGTTTTTTTTTCTAACCAGTGAAACATGAAGCTAGATAAATAACTACATTCAAAATCAATAAATATACCTTATTTGAACATATACACGCCTAAAATTATCCCTTTTTTTTTTAACTAACAATAATGATGTTCTCCCTTAAAATCAAGCCTAACTTTCCAATTGTGTATCAAAAAAAAATATTCAACTTTATGTTTATTTAGCATTTGAGATAAGCTTTTATTAGAGAGAGAGAGGGAAAAAAAAGGGACTAAAACGAAACAGAGTATTAGTTTAAGTATTTCGTAAAGAAGACGAAATAAGTACGCGAATTAGAAAAAAAAAAAAGCCTGGCAGTATAGTATAAACGCGTCACTAATATTTTGTATTATAGAACAATGTCTCTATACAATTTCGGTAAAAACAAAGAACCGATCCTTGGTAAATCTTTTTTTTTTTTTCTTTTTTGTTTCACTTGCCTCTAGGAAAAAAATGAAAAATGAAAAAAAATAGAAAGTATATTGTATAATAAAGTCAATATTTTTATATTAAATAAAGTATCAAATTTTATAATCTTATTTACGTAAAGTAGTTATTTGTCTCAACATATTGAAAAAAAAAAAGAAACTCAATAATAATCTTTATGTAGTTAGGCTAAATTTTAATTTAGTTTCTGGAAAAAAAAAAACACTTAATACTTCTAAAACAACCGAAATATAAATGCAAATTTCGTTCAAAATTGAGAGTTTTTTCTTTTTTTTTTCTTAATAACTACTTTTAAATATAAATTATTCGTAATCATGTCTCGTCCCCAAGAAGATGGTATCATTCGTTTCGGGTAAAAAAAAACAATATTACACGATAATAAGATAAGGAATTAATTATATTTTTTGCTTCATTTTTTTTTTCTCTTCAAATAAGTGATCATATTTCCTTGAAACACGTCTTTACAGGTCGTTACCTTACTTCCAGAGCTGACCAATTCTATGAATCTGGTTCTAACCAGCAAAAGGTAACTTTTTAAAAGAAAAGTAAAGAAAAAAAAAAGGGAGAGAGAGGGAGGGAGGAAAAGTAAGAATCTTGTCCCTTATAACCATTTGGGTATATTTGATAGGTTTTCACAATTGAAGATTATCCTGGAGAGGATGGCACATTTATTGTTATCCCTCCCAAGGTTACTGAAGAAGAACCTGGTTATGAGGTTGGTTTTGAGGATGAGATTCGTCTCAAGCACGTCCCTACTCGTGCCAATTTGCATTCTCACGACATAATAAGCCCTGTTAGTGGCCAACAAGAGGTCTCTTGTTTCGGAAATGATGAATATTCCGATGAAGGTGATGTTTGGAAAGTTCTCCAATATGATGAAGATGATGAACAATACGATGACTTCTGGCGTGTTGGACAACCTGTCGTCCTTCAACATGTTGCTACTGGTAAACTTCTTCATTCTCATGATATTGCTTTAGCTGATGGTGAAAATGAAGTCACTGGTTTCGATGGTCGTGATGATAATGACAAGTGGGCTGTTTCCTTTGATTAAACATATAACCCTTCTATATATATATATATATATATGTATATATATACAAATATCCCCGACAAAAAAAAAGAAAAAAAAGAAAATTAATATAATAAATCATTTGTAACTATATTGATTTTAATATATAAGATGAAAGAGACTACATGAAGAAGAAGCTTTGTAAGATAACATACTCTTATTACTTTTTTTTGTATTTTTTTTAAAAGTCCTACTACTACTACTAGCAGTAGTAGACATTTAGGTAACATAATATTTTCTCACCAAAAAAAAAAAAAAAAAAAAAAAAAAAACTTATATATTTATTTTACAGATTGTAATATGTGTATGCATAACTCGATTATACCATGTTTTGTTCATGTATTATACATTTATTTAATACATCATAAGCCATAATCATCATCATAATGACTACAAATAATATACCTACAACATTGACATACATGATGTATTTTACAATAACCCATTTTACTAACCTAACAACAGCCTATTTTGACATTATCATGTTACATGTAAATTAAAAGGTTTAACAAAGCATACCCAATAACACATTATTTAAGGGTAAATAAAGTTATAATATCTATATGTAATTATGATAAAAAGTGAATGTAAATTATATATCTTTGTAGTTAGTAGTAGTTAAAAATTAAATAAATAAAGCATACAAGCTAAATAAATTTCATAATCGAGGGCGTAGTTATTATATATTTGTAGGTCCCCATTTTAGCCATCGCAAGGATAGCAACGGAATAATACAAATGGTTTTGTAACAAAAAAGGAAAGCCAAACTAAATCGGTCTTTGGAATCTCTATTTTATTTTATTTATTTTTTTTTTGTACCTGGTATGACTTCCAATAAGAATAAGCTTTAGAAGAAAAAAGCAAGACAAGAAAAAAAAATGGCTCTTTGTATTTCTCGCTTTTCTTGATTTATTTACTTTTTTTTCTTTAAAAAAAAAAAAGAAAGAGGAAGAGAGAGTGAAGGAGAAAGAGATCACAAGAAATACCTACAAATCAATTTTTCGAAAAATCTAATTTCTTTTTTTTAAAAAAAAAAAAAAAAAAAAAGATGCAAAATCAAAATGACATTTCAGAAAGAATTACAAATGCACGAAGAGAAGCTGAACTATTAAAGGAAAGAATAAAGCAAAGAAAAGAAGCTTTATCAGATACATCATGTAATACTATAATCTTGTGTATTTTAAGTTTTTCTTATATTTATACATCATCACTTGTATAGTAAAAGAAATGGCGAAAGGCGTTGAGCCATTAGCTCGAGTAATGATGAAAGTACGAAGAAATTTAAAAGGACATCTGGCAAAGATCTATGCCATGCAATGGTCATCTGATAGTCAACATCTTGTCTCTGCATCACAAGATGGTAAACTTATTATTTGGAATGCTTATACAACTCATAAAATCCACGCTATCCCACTTCGTTCTTCTTGGGTTATGACAGCTGCTTATTCGCCTTCTGGTAATTTTGTCGCATCTGGAGGTCTTGATAATACTTGTTCAATTTATAATATTAAACATAGGGATAATAATGTGGCATCAAGTCGACCTGCCCGCGAATTAGCAGCTCATGTCGGTTATATAAGTTGTTGTCGATTTATAGATGATCGGCGTATTTTAACAAGTTCTGGTGACATGACTTGTCTCCTCTGGGATATTGATGCAGGCGTCAAGACACATGAGTTTGCTGATCACCTGGGTGATGTGATGAGTCTTTCTATTAATCCGAATGATCCTAATATGTTTGTTTCCGGGGCTTGTGATTTTACTGCTAAAATTTGGGATATTAGAACAAGACGATGTGTACAAACTTTTAATGGACATGAAAATGATATTAACTCAGTACAGTAAGTCAATGGTTATCTCTCTCTCTCTCCTTTTAAATATATATATATTTATTAATTTATTTACATTTATTGTGTAGATTCTTTCCTAGTGGAGCAGCTATTGGAACAGGTTCTGATGATGGAAGCTGTCGTTTATTTGATCTTCGAGCAGATCGTGAATTGAATTGTTATACAGAAAAAGATATACACCATGGAATAACATCGGTTGCTTTCTCAGCTTCGGGAAGATTATTATTTGCGGGCTATGATAATTTTAATTGTCAAGTTTGGGATACTTTAAGGAGTGAGCGTGTGGGTATTTTGACAGGTCATGAAAATAGAGTGTCTTGTCTAGGTGTATCAAATGATGGAATGGCTCTATGTACTGGTAGTTGGGATAGTTATTTAAAAATATGGGCATGATATATACACATATGTATTTTTGTATACCTTTTTTATTCATTTTTATTTTATAACCTTTTGCGGCTTTGCGGAAAGAGAAAAAAAAATAAATTAAATGGATTTACCTTTCACTTTACAAACATATTATATTATGTTATCGATTCTTTCTCCTCCCCTTCACTTTTTTTTTTTCTTCAATGTTGAAAAAAGTTTCTTTTTTTTTTTTGTTATAATATTAGTATGTTTTTATTTTATAATAGATAATGATATAGTTACAATTAGGAAGAATAAAACAATATCATACATGTACAAGGTTTCGCCAAATATACTTTTGTAACGTTCAAGAATGCGACACAGATTTGTTTTCATTGCTGTCAAATGAATTAAACACATTATTATGTATTCAGTAAGTGATTTCATCCGGTCAGGTTTGCTTCTAGTAAGAAGTTTATTCACATCATTTTATTTATTATTTCCAGACTAGTCTTATTCCTTTCATTAATATATATGTGAAATTAATCATAGTGCGTTATTGGTCGAGAATGGTCATAGTAATACAAAGTGTCTCTTAAAAATCGTATACATACATACATACATATATGAAAGCTTGGCTATAAATCAGCTTCTTAATCAAACTGGAATATAGTTTTGATAGTTAATTTATTTAATTGATCCATTATCTACATATAGCAAATAAACAGAAAACTTTAATCACTTTATTTTTATTTTAAAAGAGGAACAAACCAAAAATAGTTTCTAAATTTATCTTGATGCTAATAAAGGATCTTAAGAAAACATATATTTCTCAATTTCGTTCTATTTTCCAATTATAAACTCAACTCGTGCGTTAAATATCACAAACATATCTATGTTCAACAATGTCAGCAGAAGATTTGGAAGATAGCTAGCAATTGAGAGATGCACATGTTTAATTAATTGAAACTAAATCATTTTACACTGCACTCACTTACCGAATTGTGCAAACTTGATTTAGATATTGAGTTGTGTATTTTCCCTGGAGAGAAATCAGTCAGGAAGGGAAAGAGAAATAATGATATTCTGGGAATCATGAAAGAGTACTCCTCCATCGTAAAATTTATTGGTATTATGAAAAGTACAAAGTAAACGAGTAAGTACTATTTCAATGCTAAAATTATGTTCATTTATAGTTTCTTTTAAAGACAAATCAGAAATAATAGCTACCTTCTTCTCCATATGTAACTTCTGTTCTCTGTCAAAGATTCATTATTCTTTATTTTAAATCTGTTGATTCTCCAAAAGCCTTAGTTTTACAGAATGCCTCTACTTTGTCTGTCTGTTAGTCAGCTCTCTATATAATCTTATGCATAAAAGGAGCTATTCAATCTTTTCTTCTTCTCCTCCTCAAGATTCTAGCACCTAACTAGTGAGATAGTTGTCTTTGTAGTAGTACGAATATTACAGTTACTGTGTTTTTTTTTTCATTTCCCTTCAATTCTCATACATTTTTCCTTTTTAATGTATAAAATTTTTTTCTCCAGAACTAGTCTGACTAATACAACATAACAAAAAGTTGCTATATGCTTATTGATCTTTATCATATCATGAATAAAACCTTGTACTTTAATCGTATTCTAAATTACAAAATGACACTATTATGTGCAAAAAGAAAAATGTAGTACATACGTAACTTTCTTCTAATATATCTAGTAATAACAATTTTTATGAACTCTCGTTTATCTCTCACAAAAAAAAAAAAAAAAAAAAAAAAGAGTATTGGCAAGGAATAGGCTCATTATGTTAAACAGACCTTAAGGTGAAATAGAAAATAATTATTATAACTACTATTGCTTTTTATTGATACAGTTCATATAAATGCATACACTTATATTAGAAAAGAGAGTTTATCATAAAGATATATGGTTTATATTTTAATATTCAATATCTTCTAAAGCTGGTTTAGGACACATCATGCTGGAAAATGAAATTGATTGATATAAAACTTGTTCAATGTAGAGATATGCTTAATATGTGTCTATTGTGGTAATGATATCGTTTATTATTATCTATCATTTATATCATGATTGATAAGCTTATATAATATAATGTTCAATACTTACTACAAGTAAACGATATTACACGATTAAGTTTACCCTAATTAGAATACTTATATATATAGCATTTAACTAAAAATAATATTATCGTCAGTATCAGATCACTAACAACTATTGCTTGTGATTTTATCAGATTAAACTATCTGTGTCAAGTCATGGTGCCTGAATAAACAAAATATATTAAATAATATTGTATGCCGGTGTTTAATTTAGCTGAATCAAGGTTGTATCTTAGATGCCAAATAAAGATTGGTTACTATCTTTTCCCTTGGATATAAAAAACCTTTGATAAAAAATGAATAATTCTTACATGTATAGATTTGAGATTTAAGTGACCAATCAGATTAATTTATCTTTTTGCGAAGCAATGTCACAAATCAGTTTAGCGTTTTTTTTTTCATTATCGAAGCTTTATTTTATTTTGTTTTATTTTATTTTTTCATCAATTGTATAAACTTAATTTTGAAAATGTCTTTAGCTCGTGTTCGTAAGTTCAAAGTAGTAGAAAATTAAACGAGATATTTATGTCTTATTTATATGTTCTTTTGCAGATACTGATAATGCTCCTAAGGCTGTTGGTCCTTATTGTAAGTTTTTATTTATAAACTAGTTAATTACATTTGCTGACAATTTAACAATTGTTGTATAGCACAAGCCATTAAGGTCAACGGTTTTGTCTATACTTCTGGTCAAGTTGCTATTGACCCTACTACTGGTAAATAATAAAAACATGATAATTTGATCTATATAATAACACTATACAATACATTAGGCAAGCTTATTGAAGGTGATATTAAGGAACAAACTAAGCAAGTTTTCAGTAACCTTAGCGAAGTCCTTAAGGCTGCTGGTTCTAGTCTCGAAAAGGTTATTAAGACTACCGTTTTCCTTAAGGATATGAACAATTTTGCTGCCATGAATGAAGTTTATGCTAGTGTAAGTTTTTTTTTTTTTTTTTTAAAAAAAAAGAAAAAAGAAAACGCGTGTTTCTATTATTTATTACTTACTCATATATGTTTTAAATAGTACTTTACAACTCAACTTCCTGCTCGTTCTACTATTGAAATTGCTCGTCTTCCTTTAGATGCTGCTGTTGAAATTGAATGTGTTGCTTTGACTGATTAATTTTTTTTCGTTTTTTTTTATTACTACTAAAAGGTGTATTACAATGCAAAATAAAACAAAAAAAAAAAAAAAAAAAAAAAAGCATGTACATAATAATTGTATCTGCCATTAACGTTTATATTTATTTACATGATATTACATTTTGTATCTTTCTTTTTTCCCTGAATTTCATCTAAATCATTTAACCTTTTTTGAGCATCTTTGCCAATAGAACCACCAGCAGTAGCGGATTTCTCTAGCCAATGACGAGCTTCGTTTAAATCTACTTTTACACCTCGACCTTCTGTATACATACCAGCTAAATTAATTTGAGCTAATTGAAATCCTTGCATAGCTGCCATACGAAAGAATTCAGCAGCATTAAAATAATTAACTTCTACACCATGTCCTTTCAAGAAACGTAATCCTACGTTATATTGAGCTTCTGCCATTCCCTTAACAGCCGCTTTTTGAAAATACTTGAATGCTTTTGCTTGATCAGGCTGTCGGTTATCTTCATCAGCTAAGCCAGAAGAATAATACACTCCTAACATGAAATTACATTGAGGGTTACCTGCTTGTGCTCCCTTTTTAAAATAGTCGATAGCCTTTTTATGATCCTGATGTACACCATATCCTAAACGATACATACGACCAAGCTCAGTATACGCTTTATCGAGACCTGATTTCCCTGCTAATTCATATAGTTGAATGGCAGAATTGATAAGATTAGGCTGAGTACGTATCAAGATGGCAGCCAAGTTCATTTGTGCATAAGGATGTCCTCTCTTTGCTAATTCTGACATGATCTTGATACCCTCTTCTTCATTTTTAGGAGTGCCCTGATAGCCTCGATAAATCATGTTTGCATAACTAAATGCTCCTCGATCGTCCCCCTTTTCCATAGCAAATTTATAAAGCTGAAGTGCAAGTGGAGCACCATCTAAAATCAATTTTTTGTTAATTCTTTTTTTTTTTGTCTATTATACTATATACTTGTCACCTTACGCTTCGAGCTTCTTAATAAAATGTTACCAAATGCTGTCAATTCATCTACTTTATTATTTACCACTGTTCATATATACATATACATGTATATGTTTGTATAAAAATAGCTTAGTAACAAGTTTTATTTTGTGCATATATTACATGTTAAAAGCCTTTCTGATTCATTCTTATTATTTCTTATATTATCTAGTAAGACATTCACTACTTCTTTTTGTGTTTTAATAGGTAATGTCGTTTGCTTATGTTTTAATGTTAATTGTAATAAATCATCATCTGGCAATAGATCTATAATAAAAAGCTTAATCTTTTTTTTCCCTTTTTCCTTAACTTCAGTATACTATCTAACCTTTTACTGTCAATTTAGTTAACAGTTCTTTTGGTGATATTTCTGTCTTTTCCGTCGCTAATTTCTTATCGCTTTTTTTTTTAAAAAAAAAAAAAAAAAAAAAAAAAAAAAAGAAAAGAAGATTAACTAACTATAATTATGCAAGTGATCATACATACATTGTGTTATTTAGAAACGGTTCAAAAATGCCACCCATGGAAGTTTCAATTTTTTTTACACGATTAGCATAGTATCTTTTTCGAATAATAATATTGTTATATCTATGTCTTGTAATAAAAACAGTGCCAATTCGTTGAATGGTTTTTTTACTTGACATTTTTTTTTCCAAAAAAAAAAAAAAAAAAAAATAAAATAAAATAAAAAAGGGAAGATAAATTATGTAAGCAATATCTTTCACATGATTTACTACTATTGCTGGGCCCCCTCCCCTCCCAAATTAGTTAATTAATGGGGGAAATAATAATAAAAACTCGAACCATTAACGTTATTACGTAATAAAGATATATTTATATTATCTTTCATGACCTTCACTGCTTACTTTGTAAATTATAAAAGCGTTATGCTAAATAAAGTGCTACTATATTATTATATGGCATTTTATATACGAAGCTTTGTATTCAGTTATAATCTTTATTATATAAATCTCTTTATATATTTACATGTAGATATAAAAAGGAGATATTTTAATTCTCTTTGCTAATATTAGTATAACGTATGACTTGTAAATGAATCTTGAAAAGGCATTATACATTATTATATAGTACAAATTCAATTATGTATACATTTATAGGTTTAATATAAAATAAAGCTATCTTTATCTATTGATCCCAAACCTGCTTATCATTTCCAGTCCCAGATAACAGTCAGGCAGTAATAATATAGAACAAGTTGAAGGTGTGTATGTATCTTTAGAGATTCTAATTTTATTATATAGATTTCAATTTAAAATGAAAAATAAGGAACTTGCTTGAACAAATACATGGCTTAGAAACTGTTTTTAGTATCTAATTTTGCTTAAAAAAAAAAGGAAGGAGTATCTATATATTTAATAATATAGAATCTTACAAAGGATAAAGTCTATAAGAAATATGCATATTTACTCTTTAAGTTTATTTAATTATATAGATAGATTAAGTTGATAGCAACACAAGAAATAAGTACCAATATTAAAGAATTAGATACACATGCAATAAAGAATATGCAGCATGTTTATAATACTTTAGTACCAGTTATACATGCATGCATAGCATATAGTAAATAATTCATATCATGTATAACTTTTGTATGCAACTGTACAATTAATAACTATTGCCAATTATCAAGGAAGTGTGTTGAGTGTATCAAAAAGGATATAATTTTATGCGGAAAGTAGCTCAAGACAAAATACAAGAAGAAGATAGCTTTTTTATTATTATTATAAAAAAGATAGATCAAGCAACAAATATGTTTATTACCTCAGAATTTTATTAAGTTGATGTTGTCTCACAAATAAAACATTTCTTTTTTTTTTTTTTTTGTTTTCCCTTTTGTTTTTCATTTATTTTTTTTTCTTGTTATATAATGCGACTTGTTAAAGGAAATATAGACCAATCACTCGTAATAGTTGGTGCAATAATCTTAATATTAGACTTTTGGATTATCTACGATGCTATTATCTCAACTCGATCTATAGCTTATAAAATGGCTTGTACAATTGTCATATCTTTATTTCCATTTGTTGGCTTACTTTTGTATTTACCAATAACATTTTTATTCTCTTGACCACAAACAAACAAACAAGCAAGAACTAGCTGCATATCATTATTATAATAATAATACTTTCTACATTATAGCTCTTAATTGAACCAGATCATTTAGTAATCTATTACGCAATAAACATACGATTATTTTATTGATATTATACATATACTCTAAATATGAAAGAAAAAAAAATGATAAATTGTGCTTGTGTACATGGAATAAAGGATAAAAAAAAATGAAAATAACAGGAAAATAACAGACTTAAATAATTTTAAGCTTTGTTAGCACCACGGAATCCACCACGACCGCCACGACCGCCACGACTGCCACGGAATCCACCACGGAATCCACCACGACCACCACGGCCGCTCTTGTTACGAGCAACACGTTCACGATCATTACTATCTGAAAAGTCGGTACGAAGAGGGCGACCATTGACTTCAACACCATTCATACCCTTTACAGCGGCTTCAGCTTGTTCAGGTGTTTCAAATGATACATAAGCAATACCCTTTAATGCACCTGTCTCTCTATTATATGGTAATCTGATATCACCAACAATAGTACCAAACTTTTCAAAGTGTTCCTTAAGTGCATTACGATGAGCTTCTTCATCATAATCATGATTCAAGTTGGCAACAAAAACCTTATTAGAACGTGGACTGTAATTTTCATCCTTATTACGACGACGGTCATTACCATCAGCACTATCACAACGAATAGAACGGCCCATAAATTCGGTTTCGGACAACTTCAAAGCGGCTTCCTTACCTTCCTTAGTAGCAAAATCGATATGACAGAAGCCCTTATTCTTATTAGTAGCATTATTATCCATTCTTAATCTGACTTCAACAATTTCACCACAGGATTCAAAATGCTTTTTAATATCTTCTTCGGTTGCTTCGTATTTCAAACCACCGACAAAAATGGTGTATTTTTCGTCTGTCTTGGCTGCCTTTGAAGCAGGAGCTGCTTCACTTTCACTTTCGGCCTTTCTCTTTTGACCCTTTTCTTCAGCTTCTTCCATCTTGGTATCTTCGTCTTCCTCGTCAGAGGATTCGGATTCGGATTCGGAAGAGCTGTCAGAAGAACTGTCGGAAGAACTGTCAGAGGAGCTTTCATCCTTCTTGGTTTCTTGAGATGATTCTTCCTTCTTTTCTTCCTCTTCATCAGAAGAGGATTCGGAGTCAGAGGAGCTTTCAGAAGATGATTTTTCTTTCTTGTCTTCTTCTTCATCAGAAGAGGATTCGGAGTCAGATTCAGAGGAGGATTCAGATGAGGAAGAACTGTCAGAGGAACTTTCGTCCTTCTTGGTTTCGTCAGAGGATGTTCCCTTCTTTTCTTCTTCTTCTTCTTCTTCATCGGAAGAGGAATCAGAAGAGGAATCAGAAGAGGAATCAGAAGAAGATTCGGAAGAAGATTCGGATTCAGAGGAGGAAGAAGAGGAGGATTCAGATTTAGATGATTCTTCCTTCTTTGTTTCTTCTTCTTCTTCTTCATCGGAAGAGGAATCTGAGGAATCAGAAGAATCAGAGGATGAAGAATCAGAGCTGCTACTAGAAGAACTAGCTTCCTTTTCGGCTTGTTTCTTAGTAACCTTGGTTTGCTTTTCAGCTTGCTTCTTGGTAACCTTGGTTTCCTTTTGAGCTGTCTTCTTTTGAGCCTTATTAGATCCCATTATATGCGTATATTGAATAATAAAAATATAAATATATTAAACAAAAAAGAAAATTGAAAGGCGTCTCCCCTCTTTCTTTCTTTTTTTTTTTTCTGTGAAAAAAAAAATGTGACGATTTAACTTTTAAAGAAGGCAAAAAGGAAAAGCAGCCATTAAGTGTACACCTTTTTTTTTGCGAAAGCCACTGAAATAAACATCCAATAAAATTCGAGAATTATACACTAAAAAAAAATGGAAAGAAGGTTATCGCTGCATAATAATTTTTTTTTTCTAAAAAGTATTATCATATGTAAACATACATCATTAAATAGCTTAGATTTTTCCAGGACACTAAAGGGGCATAATTATATATTTATTAAAGACATCTGTGAGTGTAGTATGTGTAAAATAGTTACATCCCTTTAAAAAGAAAGAAAGTGTTAGAAATCACTATCAGGTGATTTTAATACATTATTCTCGAGATTTGTAACGCTATAAACTATGATCAAATCTTTTTGTTTTAGTATTTTAAACCTTACATATTTCAAAGCTTGAATAACTTGTTTTATTACGTATGAGTTATCTTGTTCAACAGCGTAAATAACCCTCTTTATAGCTATACCATTTACGCCATATAACTTAGTTATGCAGCATTCATCACAACCAGGTTCCAATATACAATAGAATTCCCCCATACATTAATCCAGGTCAAGAACCATGAATAATTATTTTCATTAAGAAGAGAGCATTATTAAGAGGTATGTTTATTATACCACCTTTAACAAAATTTATGCATTTATTTAAACCATATTTGGTACAAGAATAGACCTTACAGCGTTGAATCTGATAATCATTATTATTGATACAGTAATATGAGTTCTCTTAGATCTTAACAATTTCCCTAAAATATCACACCAGTATCCTAGTAATATTTTTTTTCTTCTTGGTTCATTATCTATTATAGAATATCAACTTCTTGGTCAGAATAACGAGTATCATCTTCCCTGGTTTATTTTTCGGCCAGTTATTTGTACAATCCTTAAAGAACCTGATTACCTTTTTTTTTTTTGCCACGAGGATATATCCTCACTATTATCGCAATCTACTCAACACTTCTTTAATTGGATTCTCCTTTTCCTTCCTATCAACAGTAATGTCATAGCTATACTTGACTTTTTTTATTTTTATTTTTGTTTAAAGGTAGTAATAATGTTCCACAGACAAAATGTATAAATCAATCAGTAATAAATACACAAAAATAATTAATTTGTTACTCCCATTATTATCCTTTTTGTTCTCCTTTCTTTTTTTCAAATGAGATCCAAATATCTAATTCAAATTCTTCATCTATGGAATGCAGTTATAGCACTGATAATCTTTGGACTATTAGTTGGCGTATCTTCATTCATCAAATGGTTTATAAATCTTGGCTCATCAATTGCAGGTTTCGGTAAATGCTAACTGAGGAGATCAAAAAAAAAAATTTTTTTTTCTAAAGCCTAATAATAATTATTATTATTTTATTATTTTAGGTGGTTTTACAACATTTGCTTATCCAGCAACCTTTGTATTTATGTTTATTCCGACCATTTCAGCTATCATTTATAGTTTGATATTAGTCTTCGATTCGAGTCCACAGTATAGAGCTTGGTTGCCATCCAAAACAATGCAGGGTACTATTATTTTCTTTACAGTCATTACGTTTTTGTCTGCATTACTACCAGTATTACCAAATATTGATATTATGACTGACAGATCAAGTATTGAATGTCTTTGGACTAACTATATGCAATGGACAACCATTTATAATAATCCTATTGCATTTCCTTGGGTCACAGGAATGGAGAAAGCTTGTTCATTATTCAAGATAGCAGATATCTTTGCCTGGATTTTATGGATAGGCTGGCTAGCTCAATCTGTATTATATTTACGTGCTGCTCATTATGCAAAGTTTTTCATTAGACAATAATGAAAAAAAAAACGCTATATGTATATAATAATAGTTATTAGAAATAGAGAATTGTGAGGGGTTTTTTATTTTTTTATTTTATTTTATTTTAATATGTATATCCTTTATTTTACCAAACAGACTTAGAAATAAGACTAGTAAGTATCAGATCATATTATATTTATCATAGAAATTAGATAGTAAACTTCAGTCTTTGGAAAATGGATAAACTTATGATCCTTCCTTTCCCTAAATAGATAATGTAATTGACATACTGTTGATATCCTATTGTTAAAATATTCTTTGTGTTTCGCTAGTAGTAAGAATATAGTGGTTTGGGATACTACCAAGCTCTCCCTAAAAAAAAAAAAAAAGAAAGAAAATAATAATGATAATAATTAACTATTAACTAAGACCTAAACCAGGCATTATAGAAAACCAAAGCCAGAGCGATTTTAAAGTATTTCTGTTATTTAATATATATTTCTCAAGTATGTTGTATTCGACATTTGTGAGTTATAAAAGTTAAAGAAGCTTAATCATATATATATAAAATAAATTGTACATTTGGGAGTAGACCACACAGTACGTGATTGCATACTCCTAATAACTTGAATTCATTAAGTGTCATTATAATTGAATCACCCAAAGTCTCTCTCTCTCTCTCTCTCTGCAATTTTTTGATAGAAAATATCAATTATACAATTATGTTACAAGCCTTCTAATTATTATTATTAAATTTTTGTATCATATGCTTGCACCTAATACAATAAACATTTTTTTTTCCTTTTTGTATGCTATTTGCTGGATTTAGCTATATTCTATTCATTGATATCACAAACAGAGTTTTTTTTTTTCCTTTTTTAAAAATAGATATGCTTATTCATTATGGAAAATATCAAATTTTTAAAGCAAAATGTCGACAGAAGCACCTAAAAAACCATAATATCATTCGAGACTTCAGCCAGCAAACCCTGAAATTAAGGTAGAGTTTTAATCAGGAAAAAAAATAAATAATAAGGTTGAAGATACAAGCTTTTATAATAACCATAACTAACAATAAGGTAAATCTATATCTTTAACTGTATAAATGGATGAAACACCCATTGTAATATAGCAACTACTATCAAGAGCTTTTCACGTTGTAATTGCGATTATGGCTCTGAAACTTATAGACTTTATTCTTGTTATGGGAGAAATAACTTCAATTGCCTTTTTTTTTCTTTCTATCCAATAATATTTTAAGATAACTGTTTGTACAAGTAGCAACTGAACTATTATAAATATGACTTTTTTTTTCTTCCATTACAATTTTCTTACGTAAACAAACATATTATTATGCCTTCCTATGTTACTGATGCTAATCTTTCAAGTACTGAATTAGCATTTTGTGGTGCTACTGCAGGCGTCATTTCAAGGTAAAGAAATAAAAAAAAAGGGCTTTTAGAAATTAAATATATTTACAACAAAAATAAGGGTCGTCATTGCACCACTTGATGTTGTAAAGATTCGAATGCAACTACAAACGCATCGTACACATTTTAGTTTTAATGCACCAAAAAAACATCAACTTACTTCTAAAATAAAATACTCAAATACAATTCAAGCACTTAAAACAATATTAAAAGAAGAGGGTATAAGAGTATGTACATGCATAAAATAGTAGTAGTTTTTTTTTTTTTTTTTTTTTTTCTGTTTATCCCACATTAAAAAAAAGTAAAGGGATTATATAAAGGAAATATGCCAGCAGAATACCTTTATTTATCTTATAATGCAGTTGAATTTTGGGCTTATAAAGAATTAGAACAAAGAATAGAGAAAATAGATAAGGAAGGCCGACTACTGTCACATCCATTAAAGACATTTAGTAGTGGTATGATTGCCGGATGTATGGCTACAACCGCTACTTATCCTTTTGATTTGCTAAGGACCCGATTTGCTGCTGCTACTTCTGTTCGAGGGTCAGGAAAGGTTGAATATGAAGAACAGAAATAAATAAAAGACGCCAATTCTCATTATAATATTCATAGGATTATACAACAGTGGCACGAGCAATAGTTGATATTTATGAAAAAGAAGGTATACATGGTTTTTATAGAGGATTATGGCCTGCAATTATTCAAATCATGCCATATATGGGACTACTGTTTTCAAGTTATGATTTATTTGCAAAAGGATTTAAAAAACTAAGGGTAAATTTATAAGAAGAAGTAGATGAAAGATGATAACGTTTTAATCTAGGATGAACAAGTTCTATCAGCAAGTTATAAACCAACACACGATATGATTAGTGGAGCTTTATCTGGCTTATTCAGTAAAACAATGGTTTATCCATTTGATTTGGTTCGAAAACGAATGCAAATGGAAGGAACAATAAGAAAATCATGGTTAACGTGTATAAAAACGGTTGTTAAACAAGAAGGATATAGAAGTTTATATAAAGGCCTTATTCCATCCCTTGTTAAAGTAGGGCCTGCAAATGCTGTTACTTTTATGGTATTTGAAGAAACTAAAGATATTTTATTATGGCTTAAAAAAAAGTGATTTATAGCAACGCCTTTTTTTTTTTTTTTTTTTTTTTTCTTTTTCTTTTTCTTTTTTCGTTATATTTGTAATACCAAAATAATACAAAAAAAGGGGATACACATGCTCCATCTTATTTTTTGTTTCCCTTCCTTGCCTTTTTTTTGTTTTTTCTCCTCTCTTTATTTTTTTCTCTTATTTTATATTTCCCTTTTCTTTTGATATATATAAAACGATTAAATATACGATTTCCCCTCCCCGCTTTTCTCTTGGTCTATTTTAATTAACGTAAACAGTTACTTTTTATTTTAATATGAGAGATGCAAAATAAAAACATGAATTTACTTTTTAATATTCTCTAATTTAGTGAATATAAACAAGCAAAACTGTTATTATTCTATAGTCTGATTGAAACCATATAAACAACACATATATATTTATATCAAGGCAATTCATTTTTTTTAAAAAAAAAAGAGAGAAAAAAATGACGGTAATATGTATATTAGTAGATTTTTAAGATTTTTTTTTTCCTCATTTTTTTTTTTTTTTTTTTTTTATAAGATTTCTGAGTTGGAAGCTAAAATTGAACATAGTCGTACTATGCGAGATAAATTTATTCAAATGAGGCCTTTATTAAAGGATAAAAATGTAATATCTGATTGTGAAACTCAAATCAAAGAATATCAAAAATATATTGATTATTTCACCGAGGAATTACATCGTTTAGAAAGTAAACAAAATGAAAGTTCCCCTGGTTCATTTTTACCAGAACAACATGCATCATTCTCGAAAAATATGGACCCATATCAACAGCTAAATCCTCCTAGGACAAGCTCTATGGCTAATAATACAACCGAACCTATTACTGCCATAGTGGCTCAATCAAAGAAGAAAAAATATTCAAACTTGGGTAAATAAGAATGGACCAAAACCGGTCTTATGTTTTGTTTATTTTTTACTTACTTTGAATGCATAAACATGTATATAGATTTATTAATGTCAGAGACTCCTTATAATAAGCCTAAAGTGTCTCTTAAATTACACGAATTGGAATATAAATTGGATGTTGAAAAAACTGTTCTAAAAGGTATTAGAGGCATGTTCGAAGTCATGGAACGTGACCCTTCCACCAACAGTAGAAGTCGTACTGAATTACAAGATAAAATGCTTGAAAGTCAAGAAAAATTAACTTTATTAAATTCTGCTTTAAGAAAATACAAAACTTTATATATTGGTGAAGGTGGAGATGAAGATGATTATGGTAAGTCATAAAAGGAAAAGAAAAAGAGAATAAGAAAGAAAAAAAAAATTCATACATGTTTATAATAGAATTAGAAACACCACCTTCAGCTCGTCTACCTCCTGGTTTTCGTAGACCAGTCACAGGCAAACTTCAAATAGAAATTTTAGAGGCAACAGAATTGGCTCATGCACCTACTCGGATGATTCGTTCCCCTACAACAATTGTTGTTGTCAAAATTGATAATCAAATCGTCTTTCGCTCAAGGCCCGCTCGTAACAGCGATAATAAATGGAATGAACTATGTGAAACACATGTTAATAAAGCCTCTGAAATTGAAATCAGCATTTACGATCAATCACCTGAAAAGTCTTTACCAATCGGCTTTTTTTGGTTAAAGATCACAGATATTACTGAGGGACTTCGTAAACGAAAAATGCCACAATGGATGCTGGCTGAAGAAGCCCAGCAAAAGAAGCTTCAAGAAGTGAAAGATGATTTCGTATCTCTATCTCAGGAGGAAGAAGATAAGATGAGACAACAACTGAATACGGCTACAATAGCTCCACAACAGAATACTGAAAGTGGTATTGAAGCCTGGTTTGATGTCGAGCCAGTGGGTAAATTGGCTCTTCGGTTAAACTTTGTTCGTACAGAAGGAAATCGTCGTCCAATGGATAAATTAGGTCGTGCTGGTGCTGTTCGTCAACGTCGTGAAGAAGTGGTTGAAGTAAACGGTCATCAATTTGTAGAAAAGAGATTCTACAATGTTATGAAGTGCGCACTTTGTCAGGAATTTTTTGTTAATAGTGGCTTTCAATGTGAAGATTGTGAATACACTTGTCATAAGAAATGCTCTAGTAAAGTCGTTACTAAGTGCTTAGCAAATTCTAAAGATAATGTAAGTAGAGTTACTATAAAAAAAAAAAGGTGGCAGTTTTAACATATTGTTTTCCTCACCTACTTTGTTATTTATGTATGCAATATAGGATTCTGATGAAGATAAATTGAATCATAAAATTCCTCATCGTTTCGAACCTATTACAAATATTGGCGCTAATTGGTGCTGTCATTGTGGTTATATGTTGCCATTGGGCTCACGTGGGTCTAAAAAATGTTCAGAATGCAGTGTAACCGCTCATAACCAATGTGAACATTATGTACCAGATTTCTGTGGCCTTAGTATGGAGATGGCAAATCAAATGCTTGCAGAAATTAAAGCTGCAGCAAAACGTAAGACGACTGGTTCAGAATCAAACAAATCATCGAGTAGTCATCGTATTTCTAATACTAATAAGGAGGCGCCTCTTCCTGCTTTACCAACTCAACATTCACCTAGTTTAGATAATGATAATAGCGAAGGGCTTAGTTCTCAGTTCTCTTCATCAGTGACCCTTGTTTCTTCTCCTCAAAAGAGTAGTAGTAGCCCTGTTACTCCTCAAACATCTCCTTCTGTACATCATATGCTACAACAACAACAACAACAACAACAACAACAACAACAGCAAACACCTTATTATCCTCCTTCTATGACTATGCCTCAGCCACCTAGAATATATCCACAACAACAACAACAACAACAACAGCAACAACAAAGACCTCCTCCTGTTTTACCACAACATCAATCCCCTTATATTAACCCAAATTTAAGTGTTGATTATAGACACCAGCAACAACAGCCTATGTATTATCATCATCAACAACCTTCCCCACCTATCATGAGGCCACCCCATTCTCCTTACAATAATGGTCCCTATCCAGCGAATAACATGATGATGGGAAGACCTCAACCTAATCCTGCCTATAATCCTAATTATCATCTTTATCAACAGCAGCAGCAACAACAACAACAACAACCATTGATACAAAAACAGCCCAGTATGATTCAACAGCAACAAAGACCTAAAAAAGTTGCTTTAGATAATTTTAGTTTCCTAGCTGTTCTTGGTAAAGGTAACTTTGGCAAAGTCATGTTAGCTGAAGAAAAACATGATAAAAAATTATATGCTATCAAAATGTTAAAAAAGAGATTTATTATTGATAATGATGAAATTGAAAGGTATTGGATATAATAGAAATATATATTTGTCATATAGCGTATAACTTTTTTTTTTTTTTTTTTTTTTTTTTTTTGCATAGTGTTCGTTCTGAAAAACGTGTCTTTCAAGCAGCAAACCGTGAACGCCATCCTTTCTTGATTAACCTACACTCAACCTTCCAAACCGAAACTCGTGTTTATTTTGTAATGGAGTACGTAAGTGGTGGTGACCTTATGTGGCACATTCAACGCGGTCAATTTTCGGAACGAAGAGCCAAATTTTATGCATGTGAAGTCCTGTTAGCACTTGAATATTTTCATAGTCAAAACATTATTTATCGAGACTTAAAGCTAGATAATATCATGTTAGGTCTGGATGGTCATATCAAGATGGCAGATTATGGTCTTTGTAAGGAAAATATGGGTTATGGAAAGACGACAGGTACCTTTTGTGGTACACCTGAATTTATGGCACCTGAAATTTTGCGTGAGCAAAGTTATGGGCGTGCAGTTGATTGGTGGGCCTTTGGCGTTCTTGTGTATGAAATGCTACTTGGTCAATCTCCCTTCCGTGGCGAAGATGAAGATGAAATCTTTGATGCCATCTTAGAGGACGATATATTGTATCCTATTAATATGTCCAGTGATTCTATCTCCATCTGTCAACAGTTATTGCAACGTGAACCCACACAAAGATTAGGTGCAGGTCCTGATGATGCTATCTCTATTAAACGACATCCATTCTTTAGAGGTGTCAATTGGGAAGATATGCTAGCTAAAAGAGTTCCACCTCCATTTTATCCTTCCATCTCAAATCGCTTGGATACGTCGAATTTTGATGAGGAGTTTACGAATGAGACACCTGCTTTGACGCCCATTGATTCTAACCTGACGCGTGTTGAACAACAAGAATTCCAAGCATTTTCTTATGTTGCTGATTGGGCCATGTGTTAGCATGTATCGATCTTTATATATATATGTATGTGTGTGTGTGTGTAGTAATATATAATAAATGGAAATAATAGTAATAGTAATAGTAATAGTAATAGTAATAGTAATAGTAATAGTAATAGTAATAGTAATAGTAATAGTAATAGCAGCAGCAGTAGTAGTAGCAAATCTATTTCTATCATCAGTATTTGTACATTTTATTGTAGTAAAGGTAGTTCCCCCCTTTTTTTTTTCTTTCTTATTATGCTTCTTGCCCATTATATGATCGTTTTTTCCACTCGTATTCAAATCGAAAAAGAACCCAGACCCATCTTCGAACAATCTCTGTGATATCAATACAGAGAGGATGTATATGATAGAAATAGGAGCTAATTTTCAATGATCTAAAACATCCATTCAAGAGAATAGCCAAAAGATACCACATAGGATTAGAGAAATAAAGATCTTTACGAATACGAAAAATGAGAACACGTTGATGCATATCTATTTGTATTAATCCCCAATCCATAACCAAATCCCAAATGAAAGCAAAGGATGCATTCGTCATTGCAAAAAGAAGCCTTTTACATACATACATATATAGATATATTAATCTCTTTTCCTTTCCTTTTCTCTTCTTCTTTTTTTTCCCCCTCCTCCTCCTCCTCCTCCTCAAACAGGAAGATAGGTAGGAAAGGTAAAATAAAAGAATACTATGTATACATACATACATATATGTATAGTTATATTTATATTTGTACCATAAACAAGCTTCATCTCTTTCTAAATGATGATTGTAATGTTTCGGTTTCATATGATGATTTAAAAATATAACAAGTATGGAAGAAGCATACTTGAAAGCATTTACAAGTTGATGTTTATTCTGCTGTTTTTGAGAAAAATAATAATCATTTAAACACTGCTTTAAACGGATCAAACATGGAAGACTACAACAACAAGAAATAAAATAATCAGCCAAAAAAAAAATCCCATAATGAATAGAGTCGTAGATGGGGTCTATACCTGTTTACAAAAGGAACATAATATAAATAAGATGTTGCATTGAACAATTGTATCCATTGTACATAAAAGATTTCAGTCAAGATACTTGAAAAACTAATTAAAATATCTGCTACAAGTATATCAAAAAAATAAATCTGAGAGTAATGTAATTTAAAAAATAATCGACGCAAACACCTTAATAAGAGTAAAGATTCATTTTGACAAGGTCCGAGGATTACTAGTATCATCGTTATAATGTAACATGAGATAACAGAAGAAGAACCTATTGCTGGATATAGTACGACATCATAATAAATCATCATAGGTTCTAATAGAATGATATGACAGATAATGATAGTCGTTAATAATATCGCAAAAAGTAATAACGGTCGAAGTGGCTGATATTTTAGTGTAGAAGAATGATGATGATAAAGAACTAGACTAATATCGATCTTTTGCAAGTTTAGAATGTTTAAAACAGCTATCCAACCCCAAATACCGAAACAGATAACGATTAAAGGAAAATAGATCTCTGGTAAAGAAAACATCACTTTATTATTATTATTACTATTATTCAAGATTACTTCTAGCATGATGATATTCTGCTAACAATCTTGTATTTTGATCTATTTTTAAAAGGAAAAGACATGAAAGAAAGAAAGAAAAGTATATATGTTGCTACAGAACGTTTTATTCAAATAATTCTTTTACAAGACAGGATCAAAATTTATAAACATATCTACACAAATAAACACTCTAATTGTTTTGCATACTTAATACAAACTGATGCATACAATCAGCCTGTCTTTTGTGTTACTCTTGGCTGTTGAAAAAAAAAACCCCCCAGTTCCTCTTTTATATGTAACAGGTACATTCTTTACTCAATACATTAATCTACTTTAATATTATATAATGTGAATAATGAGAGTATAGCTGCTATATATCATTTGGCGGAGTTACCAAAGTACCTTTTTTTTTTTCCTTCTCCCGCCCCCCACAACACCCCTAGCATTCCCCCCATTATATTCACTACCAAGAATTGACATTCATTTCACAATTCCATTGCCTGCCCATCTTCCTTCTTTCTTTACTTTTTGTTGTTGCTGTTGTTTTATTTAATTTCATTTATTATGCTACATATTTCAAGAAGAGCTTTTTCAACATGTCGTTCATTATTTCATGAAAATCCTTTAGTAAGCTAATGTCCATTACAAAGATCAAAAGTAGTAAAAAAAGATCTATCCATGAGCATCCTTAACAAATAACCTTTTTTTTTTTTGTAGGGATTACCTCGACATGCATCAGCACCTACCATTCCTAGAGCACAACGAGGTTTACCAAAGAAAATGCCCATTCCTGGTGTAAAACAGGTCATTGTTGTTGCTTCAGGAAAAGGAGGTGTTGGTAAATCAACAACAGCAGGTAAAAAAAAAAAAAAAAAAAAAAAAAAAAAAAAAAAAAAAAAAAAAAAAAAAAAAGACTGACACATTCTATGGCTATATTCATTATTGTTTGATATTAGTCAATATTGCTTTGGCAGCTGCTGGAATGAAACAGAAAGTGGGTATTTTAGATGCAGACATTTTTGGACCATCAATACCTAAATTAATGAATTTAAAAGGAGAGCCTGAATTAACAGAAAAAGGTTTGTGCGCCTGCATATATTAGCATAACATATCCACACACACACACAAAAGGAAGAAGGAGGGATTTTTAATTCATTTTTTTTTTTTTTAGGTGATCGTTTAATACCTTTAACTAATTATGGAGTAAAATGTATGTCTATGGGCTTCTTAGTAGATCAAGAAGCCCCAGTTGTATGGAGAGGTTTAATGGTCATGAAGGCACTTCAACAACTATTACATCAAGTGGATTGGGGATATTTAGATTTATTGGTAATTGATATGCCTCCTGGAACAGGTGATGTTCAGCTAACTATTAGCCAACAAGTCATTGTAAATGGTAATATTCAAGTAAAAGCTTGTTAAAAAGTTTTAATCTATTCATATTCTCTACTTCACAACGATAGGTGCTGTCATTGTCTCTACACCTCAAGATATTGCATTGATTGATGCGGTAAAAGGAGTAAATATGTTCAAGAAAGTGAATGTGCCAGTAAAGTATTTTCATTATCATTTATTTGATATGTTAAAATAACCCAACATTTTTTTTTTTTTTTTTTTTTTTTTTTTTTAGATTCTTGGTATGGTGCAAAATATGTCGTTATTTATTTGTCCAAACTGCAACCATGAATCCCATATATTCGGTCATGATGGTGCTGCAAGAATGGCCGAAGATTTTAATGTTCCCTTATTGGGGGAAGTGCCACTTCATGCAGATATTTGTCAATTATCCGATTCCGGTAAACCTATTGTTATATCACAGCCAAATAGTCCATTTTCTAGTCATTATCGTTCTATTACTACAAATATACTCGACCGGTTATGTTGTTCGAATATGTAAGTTTATTATTTTAATAAGACAAACAAATAAATAAAAAAAAAAAAAAAGAGAGAGAAAGAAAATAAATATAAAAATTATTGCTGTTCATTATTAAGAAGTATAGTTGTCTTTAATATCCTTCCATTGTTTCTAATAAATGAAAATGAGATTTAAAAAAAAAATAATTAATGAGTTAACCTAATAGCAATGTAAACATGGCAAATACTTACTCCTTTGTTGACATTATCCCAGACTTTACTTGTAATTGAGTCAAAGCCAACTTCAAAGGCGATGGCACCAACAAAGATGGTGGTAATGAACATGGAGTTCCTTTTGAAGAAGGTATTGTAAATTGTACGAGTAAAACCAGAAGCAGCTGCAGAGGGCATATTTATTTGATAAAGAGGAAGAGAGTAGGAGAGAGAGAGAAATTAAGGAATAAAAGTCAAAGTCATTTTTTTTTTTGTATACAATTAACAAACAGGGGATTTTTTTTTTAGGTTAGCTGAGAGAGGAACAATTATATGTGGGGGGGTATGACGTCGAAAAAAAAAAAGGGTAACCTTTATTTATTAAAAATATAATATGCAAATAAAGAAATGTAAAAGTTTCTAATCATGAACATTAATAATGCTATAACGTCTTTTATACTTGGTCATATTTTGCTGTTGTTCTTCACTACCTCCTTCGAGTCCATCTGCTCCCATAATAACCCATTGTACTTGCCCATGCCTTAGACTTTCGCTATAATCGCAAGGAAAATGATCATTCAAGAAGAAGGGAAACAAGATACGAAATAGAATACGGATTCTATTTTCTCTAGGTAGTCTACGAATAACATAGCGATTTAACAAACCTGATAAATGTAAAAAAGAAATAGGTCGGACAGGGACAGGCTCATTTGTGTAAGGGTTAGGCGGGTAAATAGTTATATTAAAAGCGGAATCAATATATACGAGTGATCCAGGTGGAGTACTATTTGTTGAAGAAGAAATCAGTTATAATTAGGTTGTATATACACATATAGATAAATGGCTTACTAGTAATCCCAAAAGTTAAGGAGACGAGGAACAACATCATTATTATAAACATGATGAAATATTTTACTTGTCATATGCGGACTGAATACCTTTGAGAACTCTGCATCTCCAATTTTAGGCTGTCCATATGTATAAAGACCTGCAAAATAATCCAAAAGGGGGCTTTTGGTTTGTAGCATTTTTGCTAAAAAAACTAATATACACATATAAATATACAACTCGCACTAGATTTGTTACTATTCTCAGGTTCCCTTACTTGTTCCGAGTGCACCACCTAATGAATGCCCTGTAATAAATAAACGTTTTTTTTTCGGTTTGTCTGCTTTCTCTTGTGATAATAATCCTGACATTCTTCTTTTATTCCTCTTGTTGTTATTGTTATCTTCATACAAGTGGATTAAATTCAAAATATGCTCTTCAGCCAATGCATACATACTATTCGTTCGAATGTCTGTATCGGGACCTACCCAACTATGATCGATCGGCTCTTTAACGTGATAAAACAAGTTAGTCGTTAAAAACTTGAGAATTTTAACTATTGCTTGAATAGTAGACATAATGGTACGATAGATGGATGTGTTTGTGAGCTCAATACGTAAGATAGGTCCTTCTTGTCCTATTTTATTGTTGGTGGCAATATCAGTTGATGATAACGATTTTCGTTTTTTCAGAACAGATGATGTTTTCTTGGTCATAGGTTCACCCATGGCTTTCCAGAAGCCTTTGTGAACTCTGCCCATAGGACCCCAACTTGATTTTACTGATGCCATGCTCATGGTAATGTTTGTTAAATAGTTTTGAATATTTAATGGATTTGTTCTATATAGATAGACATATATCTATATTAATATATTTATATTTTTCTTTTTGTATTTATTATTTAGTCGTATTTATACCCTCTAAATACAAGTAGAATATCATCTTCTTTTTCTGCAATGAATGCACATATATTCTTATACGCAATGGGTCGAAATGTGTTTTCAACGTCAAATCCAGCTTTCTTTAGTTCATATTTAATCACTTCAACATCTTCATAAACAAGCTTGCTTGCTACGGAAAGGGTATAGGCTAAAGGAACCGAATATTTAGGTCTTTTCATAAGTGATGTTAATGCACCTGACATCCCGTTCTCTTCCTTCATTCTTATTTGTTTACGTTGCTTGAATAGTTCACTGTTTTCTAAATGTCTTGTTCTCGGGATAGTGTCATCAAAAAATTCAATACGGGGATCCATAGCGCAGGTGATAGCTATAGGAAAAAGTCCGTCATAAATGATGTACCTCCCTATCCCTCACTCTCTCAGTCGCACACACACACACACACACACACACTCTCTCTCTCTCTCTCTCTCTCGCTTTAAAAAAAAATAAATGGCAGTAATTCACTTACAATAGGTTCTTTTTGAGGGATGTCTACCAATAAAGAGTCCAAATACAATACGTATCAATTGATCGCTCATTAATAATATGACAAAGCTTAAAAAGAATCCAATTCTGATGATCAACGAAAATAAGGGCCCTAGAATGATTGTCTTCGATAAGAACCGAGCCATTGGTGCTAAGGATTGACTGATATTAGCTAAGGTTGATAATACCAGTGGTGTACCATGTTTTACTGTCTTGTAGCTTAAGAAAATAAAGGTTGATATACCCATACTGATGATAGATAAAGCAAACAAGAAAGAACTAAGGACAGTAAGTTGATGCTTGAAGGCATAAATGGCGACTAATGCTGGGATGGAGGAAATGGCAAAAGCAATTGCAAAATATATTCGGTTTCTACCTCTTGCCATTATTATCTATTAAATTCATTAACAAAAATAAAATAAAAACTAAAGAAGTAAATAGAGTGGCTATATTAGAGAGGAAATTAAATTAAAATAAAATAAAGTAAAATCATGTAGTGTGAGAAGTATTGCAGAAATTTACCTTTTATAGAAAAAAAATTTTTTTTTTCCCTTTTTCTTTTTGGGGTTTTCGTTTTTAATACGTTTTTGATAATGAATACTGAAGAATATGAAGAAGAGGTATAGGATCATCGCTTTCTTGTTTTATCTCTCTTTCTTTTTTTTTTTTTGAAGGTGCAAAACTTTTAAACTAATGTGAGTGTTCTATTTTTTTTTCTTTTATTCTGAAGTAGATAAGCTATGTAGAATTTGATTTGCATTCAGCAATTTCAAATGAGTATGTAGAGGCGGTTTCTCATGAAGGAGGATGCTCTATAATTGTAAAGAAAAAAAAAAAAAAAAGGAAAAAAAAATGCAACTTGTATAGATATTTAATCGACTTGATTAGGGTTTAGAAGAAGGAAGACCCTATTTACAAATTGGTGAATTTATTTTTCAAGGCAATGTTGATGAGTCAATTGGGACTCATTTATTATTTGAAATTAATGAAAAAACAGAAGATCAAACTGGGTTACTTCCTTTGTTAACTTCAATGCGGGTAGAAGATGGTCAAAAACAGCAAAGATATACAGTTAGATACGCTTGCTCAACCGAAAAATTAGTTACATTCGATAATGTGAGAGTTAAAGAAAATTCTTCAGAAAATCAAGAAAATAATAACTCAACGTTTAAAAAGATACAACTAAACAAACAACCAGCTACTATTGAAGATAATTATTTATTAACTTTATTTAGAGAAAACAAAGAAATGGAACAAAACCGATTAGAGAATGAATAAAATAAAAACTTTTCTATTTGTCATTACAATGAATGGAAATATAGGAATCATTTGTATGTTTATCTTTATTTTATTTATTACGATTTTTAATTCTTTTTTTTTTTCATTTGTGTTATGTATAATATAATAAATATAAAGAATGAAACCCACAAAATTGCATATAATACCATCGGTTAATACGAAGATTAATCCTCTGCATTCTATGCACCCATTTTAGTGTGTTATAGGTAGTCTTCAATTGCTTGACGATTTCAATGTTTCATAGATAGATACCGAAGTACCCAATCAATCACATGAACGCTTTTAGTACAATTGTTATATAATTGCGTTGTGAAGAAAAAAAAAAAAAAAAAAACCGAAAAAATGGATCCTCTCATGGCTTATTTATACTTTTTTACTTGAAAATTTTTTTAATAGTCACTTTTAAATCGGTAAATTAAACTTAAAATTCAGATAGTTTGATAAATTTGTTGAAGCGAATAGTTTTCCTATCATAAAATAGTAGTGTTGAGTTTTAGATAGCCTTAGTTGATTAAAAGAATGCATGTATATAGTTTAATGAGTATTTTGAGAATAAAAGCTAATACTTTACCCGTAAAAAAAAAAAAAAGCATCACTATTTTCTATGGTAACAAAATGTTTTTTATTTATTTATCTATGGTATTGTGACTACTATTGTTGCCATAGTTATAAGCTTGATGGTCTTCTGTTGCTATTTCATATATTTCTTGCTGCAAAATGGTTATTTGTAGTTTATTATCTTAGACAATTCTTTAATTATTACCAAAAAGATATCACAAGTCTTTTCTTTTGTGTTATTGAATATATATATTACTGTAGTATACTATATAAACTTTTAAAGCTCTATCTATGTTAATTATTCGTGTATTTGCCTCAACTTTGATCAGTAAGTAGCCAAATCTGGTGCCACCAATTTGATTTATAATACTTGTTTTAATAAAATGTTAAAGAGTAAGCATATAGTCCAAATACTCATTAGAGCAGCAGGCAAATAACATGGTCATCTTTTATCATTATTAAAAGGATAACATATTTAATAATATTAGTATGCTCCTTTGAACTCTTTTTTTTTTCTATTTTTCCCTCTTAACTATTTACTCTACACCTTCGAATATAATGTGGGGTCTATCCATGATGAAGGGATAATAATAAAAATTATTTATTAAAAAAGGTATATAATTATATTAATAGGAAGAGAAAGAAAAAAAGAAGGAGGGTAAAGAATAATATATTATTACTATGTATGTGTATGTCTACTTTTTTTTTTTGATTATCATTATTACTATGCGTGTATATATAGAATGTATATAGTTAATTATAACATGCCGGAATCCCTTAACGCATTCTGTAATAATGTTTCTTTCACCGCTGCAAATACAAATCGAATCTAAAAAAAAAAAAAAAAAAAATTAGTATGTGTAACCCATAGTAATAAATTAATTAACTTACATTAGATGTGTCTGTAGCTTGTGTAAGACTATAACATAATAACAATTATGTAAGACATTCATAATAATGCAAAAGAAAAAAAATATACATATTTATACATGTATATGCATATATACTATTTAAACTTACTGAGGGTAAATATTCAGCTTATTTCGATTACATTGTAAAAAACGCCAAAGGATATATTTAGCAGCTTTATTAGCATCACTACCACCTCCATAATCAGGAAAATAATTTTCAAGCGGTGAACTAACGATTTTAACTTTGAATACATCCACTTTGTTTAAAAATAACATGATTGAAGAATGAATAAACCATCTACTATTTACAATTGATTCAAATAATGCTAAGCTTTCCAACATACGATTCTAATCATGTATATAAATAAATTAAAGTCATCTATAGACAATATTCATATTTCTACCTGATTTGATTCTTCTAATAACACTTGGTCATATTCACTTAAAGCAACACAAAAAATAATAGATGTTACAGAATCAAAACAATGAATCCATTTCTTCCTTTCTGATCTCTGTCCACCTACATCAAACATACTATAAAAAAGGAGAGGAAATGAATAAATAATAGAACGAAAGAGCGAGTGATGATTTTTTTTTTTTACTGTATAAATAAACCGCCTAATTGAAATTGTATTTCAGTAATTCCCGTTGTTTTTAGTCTTGCCCGCAAGACATCTTGTTCATTAGGTACATAATTTGCTTGGCCAATTCTATCTAAATTTTCAAAAAAACTAAATAGACGAAAAATAAATTAATTTTTTTTTTATGCATTCTAATTTATGAATGAAACGGCTACTAACTAAGTTGCGGAGTCCATTAAATAAAAATTTGGCTCTCTTTTCTGTAGGCATGAAATAACAACATGGTCTTTCCATAGTAATTTAGAGAAAGCGATAATCTCAGGGCTTATTTGACTCTTAGGGTTCCCGGATACTCTATAAGATAATATTCGATCTATATTTTCCTAAATAAAAAAAAAATCAATTCAATCCATATAAATTACAAAAACTGTATTTTACACATTATTACATTTAATTCTGGGCTTTCAAACGTTAAACCTGCTTCTGTTAATGCTTGTACAATAGTTTGTGCGGATTCAACTATATTTCGATAAACTGTTGTACGCCAAGTAAATAATTCGTCTTGAGAATAACCATTCAAATTGATGATTTTCATTTGCTTAAGAATGGTTGATTTACCCGATTCACCACTACCTAGAAACCAAAAAAAAAAAAAATATTAATGTACGTGCCCATTAGAATCAATGAATTTATATGCTTTTCTTAAAACCTAATAAAAGAATCTTGCATTCTTTATCTCTGACGCTTTTTTCTTTTTCAATTAATTTATCAATTTCATTACTTCTTTGATATTCCTGGTTATCTTCTTCTGAAGAATGACATAAACCCATGTTTTTTTTTGCTAGAATTTATCTATCAAGAAAGTAAACTTATAAACACATATAACAGTTAAAAAGAAATAGTGTCGTCTTATTTCTCTATGAAGAATTGAACAAAAAAAAAAAAAAAGAGAGAGAGAGAGCGACTTGTTTTTTTCTGTTTAAACAAGAAAAGGGAAATTGAATAATAATAATAATTATAAAAAAAGAATTTTTAAATATTATTATTTTCTATTTTTCTTTTGATGTACAAGCAAGACATATTACATTCCATATATACTATTTGCGGTCATTAAAATATTAAAAGTAGCCAGCCAGAAAAGAAAAAAAAAAAAAAAAGAGACACCAGACAAATGAATGATGTGATGTAACATTGACCCTTTTGTTGTGTTATTATTAAAATAAAGGAGTGCATGATAAACATTGACATTTATCTAAAAAAAAAAAAAATTCATAATAGTGAAAGAATGATATTCCCAAAATTCGGTAATTTAATTCGTATACAAGATAAGCATATCAATTGAAAGAAACATCTTCTTTACAAGTAGAATATTTGGAAGAAATACTTTTAGACTATTTTAAAAAATAGTATAATATAATCTTATTTTCCCTGTGTTTTTTTGTTTTGTTTTGTTTATTATGTAGTAGTTTTCATTGTTATAAATCATAGAAATTCTTAATTTAAGCGACCAAAATAGAAATGTTCTTATATAAGGTACTGTTACAAATTAAAAAAAAAAAAAAAAAAAATACACATATGAAACATGTTGTCTCATATCATTGTGACTTTTTATTAAAATAGTATTAGACATAGACAACTCTTAATTATACGCAAATTTTCTCTCTGTTTTGCTCCTTTTTTTTTTTCGTCAAATATGGAATCAATAGCAACTACTGTAAATCTTCCATCTCAATTTAGATCTAAAAGACAATTTAAAATTTGGCAAAAGCAACAAAAAGAAAATGCGGAAAAACGATTGAACCGAGCTTTGTATGCAAATCAATCTCCCTTTCGTTATGCTGAACGTATTTATAAATCACGTTTACTTACTGAAGAGCAAAAAAATGAAATTGTTGACTTTAATTATATCAGTCAAAACAGTGACCAAGTGAATGAAAATTTAGTTCATGTAAAGTTAAAGCATGATTTAAGAGAGCTTTCTCCTCTTTTTGGCTCAATAGATGATGATGGCTGGAAAGATCGATCCCATCAAGCTTATGTCTTGAAGAATGTGCCAGGTATATATATATTATCTATGTATGTGTAAGGGAGAGAGGGAGCTTTTTTTTTTTTGTACAAAGTTGATTTATTCTTCTATTTCATTTTTTTTATTACAGGTCTTATAGTTATACCTAACGCCTTTACACCCAGTATACAACGTCGCTTAATTAAACAATGTTTAAGAGATTACGCTAAGCCTCCTCATACGTCCAATTTAAATGGTCACTATCATGTTCCTCAAGATGGTATATGGCCACTTTATGAAAGAGAAAAAAGAGGTGAACTTGTACCTGGTGATCCAGATTATTATGTGCCTATTAAACCTATTTTAGACAACGAGCAAGGAACTGATATTTATTCTTCTCCTTCTATTGATGAAACAACAATTAGTAATAGTAATGATGATGATGATGCCAAGTCAACTGTTAGTAGCATGTATTCTTCAATTAATTCAAATACAAAATCTTTACTCTTGGGTCCAACATCCTTGCTGAAAAAGCAACGTTGGGTGACATTAGGATATCAATATCATTGGGGAACAAAGAAATATGATTTAAATAATCCAGTTCCTATTCCAGATGAAATTGCTGAAATTATGAAAGCAATTGTTACAGCTACTGAAGACATTGGTTATACTGATAATGATGACTTGAATACAAACTGGAAGAATCAATATAAAGGATGTGACTTTAAACCAGAAGCAGGCATTATCAATTATTACCAACTGCAATCAACGTTAATGGGTCATGTTGACCAAAGCGAAATCAACATGGAGGCCCCTTTAATTTCTATGAGTTTAGGTCATTCTTGTATATATTTGATTGGTGGAAATACACGAGATGTAAAGCCTATTCCTTTACGTCTACATAGTGGTGATGTTATTATCATGACTGCTATTGCTAGAAGAGCGTACCATGGTATGATGATGATGATGATGATGATGTTCTAATGTGTATATACTTATTTTTTTGTTTACTTTTATATATAGGTGTTCCTCGAATATTAGATGGCACTTTACCAGATTATTTATCACCTGAAGGGCATTATGAAGATTCGCCTGATTGGAAGATTTACGGTGATTACATGACAACAACAAGAATTAATTTAAATATTAGACAAGTCTTTTCATCAAAAGAATAAATAATTATGTAATAATAATGTACTGTTAGATAAAAAAATATGAGTCAGTCTTGATCATTCATGCTATTCGTATCATATAATTCATACTCAGTTAACCGGTCTTAATGCCTTAAAACCGAGGATTGACTATAACAAGTATAAAAGATACATCAGTCTTCTTTATCCTAATATTATTTTCAAAAATAAGAAAGCATAATACTAGATTTTAATCACGTGTTATTTTGACATAATTCACTTTCTTAATCGTACTTTTTTTTTTTTTTTTTTTTTTTTTTTTTTTTTTTTTTTTTTTTTTTTTTTTTTTTTTTAGTACAAATGTGCAGGGCCAATTGAAAAATTAAAAAAACGGAGTTTCATCAATAAAAAAATAGTATAAATCTTTATTCTGATTAAACTTTAATATACGCTTTATTCCTTGAATAAAAATAAATATACAATCATGTCCTTGAAATTGAAACCAACCATTGAAGAAGTGCAAGCTATTGTAACAGAAGGAAAAGGAAACACAATTCCTATTTATGCGGAATTGGAAGCAGATTTCTTAACACCTGTCACAGCTTATCTTAAAGTTGCTGATCGTTGTGATTATTCATTTTTGTTTGAATCTGTAGAAGGAGGGGAAAATATTAGTCGTTATTCATTTATTGGTGCAGGTGAGAAACAAATAGAGTTAAGAGAAAAAGAGCAAGTCAGTAAATAAAGATTGACTCACTTTTTTATTTTATTTTATTTTTTATTTTATTTTTTATTTTTATTTTTTTTTTTTTTTAATAGATCCTTACAAGTTAATCAAAGTGGGTGATAAAGAAACAATTCATGGCGATCCTCTTATTCCCATTCAAAAAGAATTAGAAAATATCAAGTATGTCAAAATACCAGGCCTTCCCAGTTTTACAGGTATAATTGATAAGAAACTTATAATTATGATAAAGAACTCATTTATATGTTCTTCCACAAAGGTGGCGCTGTTGGTTATGTTGGCTTTGACTGTTTTCAATACTTTGAACCTAGTATTCAAGGAGAGCTTAAGGACCCTCTTGGTATTCCCGATGCTGTATTTATGATGTGTGATACTTTAGTCATCTTTGATCGTGTTCGTCAAATCGTGAACGTGGTCTCCCATTTCCGCAGCGATGTCACTGACCCAACTGAAGTCGCTAGGGAATACCGTAAAGCTGCAGAAGAAATTGAAACTACATTATCCTTACTAAATGAAGAACGTATTCCAGCTATACCTCAAGGACCTATACAACTTGGTAAGACAGCTATCTCTAATGTCGGTGAAGCAGGTTATAAACATTTTGTGTCCACTCTAAAGCATCATATTAAGGAAGGTGATATCTTTCAAGCCGTACCCTCTCAGCGTCTATCTCGTCCTACTGATTTACATCCCTTCAACGTCTATCGTCATCTTAGATCACTTAACCCCTCTCCTTATATGTTCTATATGAAACTTGAAGATTTTACTATTGTTGGAGCCTCCCCTGAAATGCTTACAAAAGTGCAGGACCGTATTGCTTACACACATCCTATTGCAGGTACACGAAAACGAGGCAAGACAGCAAAGGAAGATCAAGAACTAGCTGAGGGGCTCTTAAAGGACCCTAAGGAACGTGCTGAACATGTGATGCTTGTTGATCTCGGTCGAAACGATATCAATCGTGTCTGTCAACCCACAACTGTCAAGGTAGATAAACTGATGCAAATCGAATATTACTCTCATGTTATGCATATTGTATCCAATGTATCAGGTAAGCTACGTGATGACCAAACCCCCTTCGATGCCTTTAGAGCTATCTTCCCTGCTGGAACCGTCTCAGGTGCTCCAAAAATCCGTGCTATAGAACTGATTCGTGGACTTGAAAAGGAGAAACGAGGTATCTATGCAGGTGTGGTGGGACATTTTGATTATTCGGGCGATTTAGATACTTGTATTGCAATTCGCACCATGTTATTTAAAGACGGTATTGCTTATCTGCAAGCGGGTGGTGGTATTGTTTATGATTCTGTGGAGGAAGATGAATATCAAGAGACATTGAATAAAATGGGATCTAATTTAGCGACTATTGATGAATGTGAACGTAAAATATATGAACAACAACAAGCATCAAAATAAAACAATAATTATTTATTTAAATATGTATATAAATATATATATATATCTCTAAGAGGATGATGATGATGATGGTGGAAGAGGAGTATTTATAGGAGAAGGGTTTACATTATTAATATCTGTTGTCTGTTGCTGTTGTTTAATATGGAATAGCTTTACTTGAGTATGATTCCAAGGTCCATAATTGGATACAGAGGAGATATAAGTTTGTCCCCATAACATACTACGAAACCAAATCACTAAAGGCTCTGTCCACTGAAATTTACGTATAATGACAGGGTGAGCAGTAGTAGGCAATAAACCATCTGTAGATGTGATATGAATCAAATTAAATACTTCTTGTTCATTAGAAAGATTATTATTTAATTTTGGTAAAAGGGTATGTATTAAAATTGCAGTTGTATCTAAAGGAAGTTTCGAATGCCAATGATAAACCTAAAATATAAGTTAATATATCATAATAATAGAGCCAATTTCTCTTTTTCTCTCTCCCTCTCTTTTTTTTTCTTTCCATACCCAATCTTCTGTTGGAATAAACCCATTTTTTGTGCCTGGTAAAACAAGATTGCCACTGCTATTCATTGAGGATAAACTACTACTTGATTGTTGCCTCTGAAATTGCATACTTGAATTACTTGATACTCGTGATAAAGAACTCCCTTCTGGTAATTTACCCCTTGCTTTTTCTGACATTCCATTTTCACCACCACTTTCTCTTTGTTGAAGACGTGTTTCCTTCAAGTGGCGTATTCTTTCCATTTCTATTATGGCATTGTCTAAACTAAACTCTGCTATTTTTTCAAACTTTTGGTGATATCGAAGAATCATGAAAATCAAATTGGGATTATCTAAACAAATAAAATGAGTGATATGATTATTATTAATAATAGTGTTCGTTTACTTGTATATTGAAATTGAATGATGTTGTTGATAGTTTCTAATAAGTATTCAACAAGGTGATAATTGGCTTCATCTGCTAATATAAATCCAGGGGCAGATATTGAACCGAATAAAGTCAATAATTTACTGCATGTTAATCGTGAAAGACCTTTAAGATAGGGCGATATATTGGTAATCGTCTTGATTAATGCTGGATAAAGTGTAGATAACGTTCCTTTTGATGAAGCAATTAAAGAAAATATAGACTAATTTTGATTTTTAGTACAAAGAACATTGTATAAATGTATTAAAGAAGAAGAAATACATACTAAAATCAAATAATCAGCATAAGTTCCTTGAAAATTTGGTATTCTAATATTTATAGGAAGAGAAGCATGGCCATCAAACGACTTGTTCAGTTTAACGCTAAATGTTCTATTGGAAGATAACATTTGCAATGTAAATGAGCACATTCGAACCAATCCAATTTGAGCTAAAAAAAAAATCTATGTTAACATTATAAAATACACACTTTATAATTTATAGCATTACACAAGTCAAGCTTGTTTTCACTTGCATAAAATACTAAAACAACCATCAAATCTAAAGCTCTTTCTGTTTCCATTAAATAATTGGTAAATCTCTAGAAATAAATAAATAAAATGTATAAATAATTCTATTTTGTACTTTGGTCCATGTATCTTACATTATTGATTTCCAATAATTTCCAACATAGCATCATCATTTCAACATGATATCGAACTCTCTTCGATGATCCAGGCAAATAACTATTTAAAGACTATATAAATGTAAGCAAATTTAAGGGTTAATTTTAATAGTTTTTCTTTTTTTTTTTTTTTGTTCTTTTATATATAAGTGTGTGTGTTTACCTGCATTGGACTGCTCAATATTCTATAAATTCCATCAATCAAAAATTGAAAATCTTGGGCTCTATGTAATTTTGACAAATAATATATAAATATATTATTGTCCATATCCTTTTTATGATTATTAGTCTCCTCGATTGAAATGGCATCCATCTTGGCGACTATGTCATTTCTGGTATTATTACTACTACTACTACTACTACTATTACTGCTGCTATTTAATTGATTTTGTAATGCTGATACAAGAGTTGATTGATCATTATAATCCAATAAAATTAAAAGGGCACGTAAACAAAGAGCAACTAATTGTTCTCTTGAATCAGTAAATACGATATGGTTATAAGGTACAGCAGTTGTCCAGCCCATTGGATTAAACTTGCATGCTGTATTCAACATACTACACAAAAATGCCAACACTACTTTTCTTTCAAGTCGATTAGGTCTTATCATATAATTCAGCCATGGATCCGTTTTTGTCAAGACATGTGTGGGTGATTGATACATGGATTTAGAAAATAAAACGATTAAAAATCGAAGTATCTCTATTCGATTCATATCATTATCTCGAGAAGATCCAATAGGCGTTGAAGAGCCTACACCTGTTTCCCAAATAACATAATTAACTCGATTCTCTGCTGTCCCCATCGATTGTGGTAAAGTAAATCCTGCCATAAATAAAGCTTGTAAAGTCACTATTTATTTTATAGTGAGAAAATTTAGATGATTGGCTGGATAATGATGTATAACAAAATTAACTTACATTTTATCAATACCTCTCCTCTAGGAGGTAACATGGTATTATTTGATTCTTCTTTCACTTGTAGACGAGGTTTCCAAAAAAATACATCTTCCCATTCATTACAGTCCGCACTTTCAAATAAGAAAGGCATAATGCGAGTTAAAATACGGAAACAGTTTAAAAATTGAATCGGTTGAAAATTATTTGTTGAATCAATTAGTATTGTCATCTGTTCCATAACCTATAAACAAATGAATAAAAAAGAAAAAGAAAAAAAAAATGCATTAATAATGCATATCATTTATACAATAGGTCTTTTGTTTTTTTTACTTTGTCAATTAAAGTTTCGAGGTTTTCTCTTGCTCCGTCTCTTGTTTTTCTAATGTCAGTCGGACTCACTAATGTATATACATCATCAACTGTTTCTGGTAATGTCCAAAACTAAGTTTATTATGAATAATTAGAAAGAATAAATATTACCCCATACATCATAGCTGTGTATTTACCAAACTCCAATAATCATCTGCAAAACTAGATACATTCTACACTAACATGTTAATATTCTGCTTACTTTTTTTTTTTCTGAATCATTAGCTTACTCTTTCTTCGAATAAACGAAATACACTTTTTCTAAAAGCTAGTTTACTATCAGTTGCGCCCATTTTTTTTCCCTAAAAAAAAAAAAAAAAAAAAAAAAAAAAAAAAAAAAAAAAAAAAAAAAAAAAAAAAAAAAATAGGAAAAAGATAAAATAAAATCGATTATTATGTAAATAATAAAAGCTTAATATTTATTTATGGAAAAGTAGCAGTAGCGGAGGATGTTTTAAGGGATGTAATAATAACTTTAATTAAGTAGACTAGACTAGATAAAATATGTAAAATAATATTCCTTTCTGTAGATATGGACAAGTGATGTAATCTACTACATATTATGGCTGCTGCCTTTTCTTTTTTTTTTTTTTCCTTAAAACGTCACACTATTTATTACATAACACTAAATTATAAACTATTTACTAGTCTGTTTTTCTTCAGTATAATAAGTGTGCAAAAATGTCAAAATTCGATATTCTTTATCATACTTTACTATTTTTTTTTTTTTTATTTCATAAATAAAAAGATAATAAATCCCACAAGTTGTCTATGAAATATACTTTATATTAACTGTACCGGCGCCTTAATTTTATGAAACCTTTAACTCATTCATAACTTGAATATAAGGGCATTTTATTGTAGGTCGTGTGCTCGTCTAGTACACATGCATCTCTATCAATGTTTCCAAGAATATTGTTTACTAGATAAATAAATTGCGATGAATGTCTTTCTTTTACCGTTTCATCGTTTTAATGTTTAGTTACATTTTGAAAGAAAAAAAATAAAAAATGAAAAAAAATGAAAAAATGAAAAAAATAAAAAAACGAAAAAAAAAAAATAACCTTACATATAAAAGTGAAAATGTCATGTATTTATTTATTTTATTTTTATGTGTCTTTAGTAAGAGGCTTCAATTGTATCAAACAAGTGCTAAAGCTCGTTTTAAATTCACTCTTCTTTTGTCTTTGATATTCCTTTTTATTACCTATTTATACAACACATACCTTCAAACATACGTTTATAACAATTAGAACAACATTTTCATCGTGTACCTTAAAAAAAAGCCAGTCCATATAGAATAGATAAATGTTGTTTGGAATATTAAAAAAAAAAAAAAGCTTATATAAATCATGAATACTTGCCATTACTTTCTTCTTCTTGTTCTTTTATTTTCATCAACATAAAATGCCTCCAAAAGTAGTACATGAAAAGAAAAGAAAGTATAACTGTGTTCAACATTCTTTAATAAATAATGGTAATATTGACAGTAAAAGATCAAGAATGACAAAATCAAATGACTCTATCATAAGTGATCCTACTCCCTATTCCTCTTTATGGCTTCCTCCTATTTCCAGTCTATTAGAGACTCCCTCTAACAGTAGCTGTTCTTCGTTAGCTTCCACTGTCTTGATGCCTTCTACTAACAGTGATGTAATCTCGACAAATATAAGCAATTCTTCTTTTGTTGATTATTTATACTATCCTTATTACCAAACGAGTTTTAACTGTTATGTACCTCAACCAAAAGCAACTATAATGCCTATGATTCCTTATTTCTTTCATCACCAGCAATTTGGTATTGAAGCCTGTATGCTTCAATTAGAAGCACAGAAGCAACAGCAGCAGCAACAACAACAACAACAAAAGAAATATTTTTATTCTCAAATGAATGGCTATTACAATAATTATTATAATGCTTTTATTTAAATTTATTGCACAATATATATTTATTACACTTAACTTGTAGAATGCGTGCACGCATTAAATAAACAAAAATTATTTATAGAGATATCTTTTTTTTTTTTATACATGTTTGTAAATGTTTATTTTATTAGCTGCTGCAGCTGCAAGATTTAAAAAAAAAAAAAAAAAAAAAAAAAAAAAAAAAAAAAAAAAAAAAAAAACGTAACTTATAAAAAAGCAGTCATTTTATTTTAATTCGTTTCTTTTTTCTTCCCCCTATTGTATGAATATGGCCTCAATATTACCAACAACGCATTCAAGCAACTTCGGCTCATCTCATAGTTCATCCTTTTACTATAATGAAAATAATGGAAGATATCGAAGGAATACGAATATTCTAAAACGTTTATTTCGATTCCCTCATATGGACTTTGAAGTAATAGCAATAATAATCTTGATGATGAAATAGATAGACTCATCTTTTATTTTAATCTTAGTTTGCACTATGGCAAATGGGTTACTTATTAATTGCGCCGAGAAGGGTGTAAGTGATTTAAAATAAAATAAGATGATTAAAATTTTTGTTAACACGTCTTTTATTATTATATAGTTATAGAAATATTTATTATCATAAACGTAAAGTATTTATGGAAAGAAAAAAAAGAAAGAAACGGAATATAATATTTATTTGAAAACATAGAAACAAAAAATCAATGGTCAAGAGATGACCCAGCCTTCATTGTTCTTTTAGCATTATTTTTAACATGTAAGAGTCATGCATTATATATATATACGTCAATGGCACTAATTAAATAGATGTTAGTGTCTGGCATTATCTGGGGATTCACATATAATTATAGTGTTTTAGACATCATGAAAACATCCTTCTTTATGGTGTTTATTGATTTGTTGTTGGTTGGATTTACTATTTCAACTGTGACATGGTAAAAAAAAAAGAGGAGAAAGAAAGAAAGAAAGAAAGAAAGAGACGATGAGCAGAGATATGACTTACACATTTAAAATAGGTTCATTACCAATAAGTTCTTGATTCAAAATATAAATAGTTATGCTGTAGCACAAAAGGTAGAATGGGCTTATGCATTTGACATTCATTGTAATTCATTTGTTCCAGTTTATATGATTTTATACATTATTCAACTCTTTTTTTTGCCACTGATATTAAAAGAGAATTGGATTTCAATGTTTATTGGTAATTTCATGTATTGTGCTGCATTAATTTGGTATACAGTGGGTACATTTTTAGGCTTTAATGGTAAGAAATATACTATTATGATATCTATTATTTTTTTTTTTTTTTTTAACGATGGCCGTCCTTTTTATAGCTTTGCCCTTTTTAGTTCATACTGAATTATTCCTATATCCTATTGCTTTGTTTATTGCATTATTTGTAGCTTCTTTATTCGGATTTAATATTCCCCAGTATACGCTTGGACATTATTTCAGCAATAATTAAGATACACTCATTTTTATAGAATTTACAACAATATACAATAATATAGAGATCTGCTTATGTAATAACATTTATGACAATTTCAAATAAAAAACAAATAATGCATGATCATTTTTATATTTCTAAAAAAAAAAAAAAAAAAAAAAAAAAAAAAAAGGCATGCACACATACACAAAGTTTTATGTTTATATACTTGTAATAAGTTAATTTATTTCAAGAAATAATTAAGGGTTTGTGTGTGTATATTATGTATAAAGTTGTCTTTATTTACTTTCTTTGCTTTTCAGAAAGGAAATGAGAGAACTCTTGGTAGGGAGTCTCGGTGAATTCAGTTTCTTCCCAAAGATCAGGGGTCAAGAAACCATAGGTGTTACCGATGGCAGCGAAAGTAGCCTTAACAAAGTTACCGAGGGTACGAGTGGAACCACGAGAGGTAGTATAACAATCGGTAATACCAGCCAATTGAAGGACACGCTTAGCAGTGGGAGAGGCGACAATACCAGTACCACGAGGAGCAGGGACTAAACGAGCCATAACGGAACCACAACGACCACTGACCTTACAGGGGACAGTGTGAGGTTCACCAAGGTTAGTACCCCAATAACCACGACGAACGGGGATGATGGAAAGCTTGGCAAGGATGATACCACCACGAATGGCAGTAGCAACTTCCTTAGCACACTTAACACCCAAACCAACATGACCGTTTTCATCACCAATAACAACAAAGGCCTTGAAACGAGTACGTTGACCAGCAGTAGTTTGCTTTTGAACGGGCATGATCTTCATGACTTGATCAGTCAACTTAGGAAGGAAGTAATCAACAATTTGATATTCCTTAATAGGCAAAGAGAACAAATAGATCTCTTCAATGGACTTAATCTTACCAGCTTTGACAAGACGACCGAGCTTGGTGACAGGAACCCATTCGTTCTTCTCTTCTCCACGACGTCCACGACCACGGGCGCCACCGCGTCCACGACCACGTCCAAAACCTCCACGTCCTGAATAATGAATATATAATTATAAAAAAAAAAATTGATTAGCAAAAAAAAAAAGGAATCTCCAATGTACATGTTGCATTGCGTAATATTCATCATTAAACAAATGCTGATAATGCGTCTCATAATCTTTTCTTTCCTATACATTCCCTCTTTCCTCATCTTTTTTTTTTTTTTTTTTGTTTGTTCAATCATTATAAAACATACCACGATTACCGGCCGTAGCAGAATCAGCCATACTATTATTAATTATAACAATAAGAAAATTCAATTAATTATCAATTCTTAAAATAATCCATCCATATCCAATCTTCATCTATCCCAGGCTATTTATTGCTTTCATGTTACTTACTTGAATTTATATATGTATATATAAAGGAAGAAAGAAAAAATTCAACTGATCATCATCTTCTTTTCACATAATACCAGTACTACCTTCAATACTATTTTCCATTTATGGTAATTATCCGGACCGGAAGCAATTATAATTTTATTTTTTTATTTTTTTATCATAATACAGTCTTTTAAACACCCATATAATGAATGCTCGCACAAGCTCAAATGCCAATATAAACATTAACATCCAAAAAATAAACCAACCAATGACATTTTTGTTGATTGTCAATATTTCAGGATGACAGAATGAACCCTGAAAACTATACATGCCCTTACTATCTGAATAAAACATACTAAAGTAATCACCTAAATAGCTTAAAGGCGTTAAAGCCAAGTAAGAGGAAGGTGAATCGACATAGACTCGTGGCCTTGTCCCTGCTGGATCAAATAAAAATGAAGTACGTCTGCTACGTATTTCTTGCATGACTGAGTTACGATTGAATTGAGTAGCATTAATAGTAAGCCATACTTGAGCACCTATGGAAGGATGATGAAGATCCATTCCCACCATTTGTATCAAGTTATATTCATTCGTAGCACGGTATGAAGCTAAATCAAATGTTTCTTGATTGATTATTTCAAATCCATCCACTCCCCAACTAATGAGTTTTTCAATGCTTGGATGATTAGGTAATCTAGGAAGCTGATATCCATTTTCTAAATAAAATAAAAAAAAAAAAAAAAAAATATTCATTTGTATTTGTACACATGTAAATTTATTTTCGGCGCTACTTTTCATAGTTTCATTTTACCTGTTGTGTTGCTCCAAGGAATATGATTGACAATAACTAGCCCACCTAATTCGTGTACTCGATTTATAACTCTTTGTAATTCTTCATCAGTAGGGAAAGGTGCAGTTGCTTGAACAGTTTCGTTAATATTCAGAAAATTCATATGAATTCGACAACAACTATATATGATCTGCGTAAGCCTACTTTCTTTTCCTTTTTTTTTTTATAAAATACACTTTACGTGTACTCCATGCCCGGAATAACAACAATTGAATTGTTGTATTCTTCTAACGCTAATTTCTCTGCTGCTAATCCACCTTCGATTGTATTATGATCACTTGAAGATATAAATGTATATATATTTAAGTAAATATATTGACAAGTAAATACAATGAACTTACGTAACTGCTACTGCATTATATCCATTTGCTATTGTATGTATAAAAATTTACTTTAGTTAGCCATATTTATCAAATAACTAATTTTACCTAAATGCCACTCTAATAGTTGCCGTACATTCATTTTCCCATCACTATAGGTTGAATGAGCATGTCCATTCATTAAAACATTATACTTGAATGAAGTGTTGTATGGTATTAAATAACTACTTGGATCGATTTTCCAGTCAAATTCCAAGTTAGAAAAGTCTTCAACAGGCGGCATACCATCCGTATATCTTAGCCCAATACCTATAGCAACTAAGACACCTAATATCACTATAAATGTTGCAAAACGATGAAATAATCCCAAAAAATAATTCTTATGCACATGAACGAATGTCTTTAGAAAGAATTTGCTGTTCGTCGATGAAGAGGATATTGGTTCCATTGTTACCAAAATGCCATCATCTCTATTAACATCAAAAGAACCACTTGGTTTACTATTTACTGGTTCATAATATTTTAATGTACTATTCATATCCTCCTCTACTACTGAATCGCTTTTTTGGTCTTTGGCTGAGATATGTACATCCTTATTAATCATGTTTGTCTGAGATTATATATACGGATAAAATAAAATAAAATGATATCCTTGCTTTTATTTTTACTTTTTCAATTAATATTCTGCTGTTTCTCTTTTTATTTTAAAACAGTTTCAAACTACTAAAGGCTCAAAGTGAATCAGGCTAACAATGCTCGGGAAGAAAAAAAAAAAAAACCAAAGTGTTACTACCATTTGTATGCGTTAGGGTTGTTGTAAGATAAGATACACATATTCTTTTCCCGATGATTATCAATCAAAAGTCACTATTTTGTGGGGACTAACCAGTATACATTCTTGTAATATTATTGACTCATATTATGGCATATAAAACAATCTATTTTATTTTTATTTTTTATTTTTTCATTTTTTTTTTTTATGTATTATTATTAATTTGTCCTTTTTTTTTTTAAACAATTAAAGAAAAAAGAAATGCTTCCTATTCAAACAATTACACGTAAAACAGCTTTAATAGCTAGTGCTAATGCATTGGCTGCTACTCGTTCTGTCCTGAAGGCTTCTTATACAACTAGAAATAGTCGAATCTCGGTTGAAAACCCCGTTGTTGACTTGGATGGTGATGAAATGACTCGAATTATTTGGGCTGATATTAAGGATAAACTTATTTTGCCCTACATCAATCTGGATATCAAGTATTATGATCTTGGTATACAGAATCGTGATAAAGTAAGCATGTATATATATATATATGTGTGTGTGTGTGTGTCTATACATACATACAAAGATTAGATTGTTTATATATATATATATACACTCTATTCACAAATATATATGCATAGACTGATGATCAAGTTACTATTGAAGCTGCTGAAGCTATTAAGAAATATAACGTTGGTATCAAATGTGCAACTATTACACCTGATGAAGCTCGGGTCAAAGGTTTAAATAAATATGCACACGTATTAAACAAAAATTAATTTTTTTTTCTTGTAGAATTTAATTTGAAGAAAATGTGGAAATCACCTAATGGTACTATTCGTAATATTTTGAATGGTACTGTTTTTCGTGAGCCTATTCTTATGGATAATATTCCTCGTATTGTTCCTGGCTGGACTGAACCTATTGTCATTGGTAGACATGCATTTGGTGACCAAGTAAAAAAAAAAAAAAAAAAAAAAAAAAAAAAAAAAAAAAAAAAAAAAAAAAGGTTCTTAACCCCTTTTTTCTTCTTCTTCTTCTCCCCATGTAAATAATAATAATAGTACCGTTCAACTGACTTCTTGACAAATAAAGCAGGCAAATTTGAAATGACATTTACCCCCGCAGATGGATCTGAACCACAAAAATGGACAGTCTTTGACTTCCCATCTAGTGGTGGTGTCGGTATGGCTATGTATAACACGAATGAATCTATCACAGGCTTTGCTCATAGCTGTTTCCAAATGGCCCTTCAAAAACGTATGCCCCTTTATCTCAGCACTAAAAATACGATTCTCAAGAAATATGATGGCCGTTTTAAGGATATCTTTGAAGAAATTTACCAAACTCAATATAAGGAAGCATTTGAAAAAAACCAACTTTGGTATGAACATAGACTGATTGATGATATGGTTGCACAGGCACTCAAATCTAAGGGTGGCTTTGTTTGGGCATGCAAAAACTATGATGGTGATGTTCAATCAGATATTTTGGCTCAGGGCTATGGATCTCTTGGTTTGATGACTTCAGTTTTGGTGACTCCTGATGGTAAGACGATGGAAGCTGAAGCTGCTCATGGTACTGTTACAAGACACTACAGAGAATATCAAAAGGTAAGGGAGAATAGCATCATTTATTTATTTATTTTTCTTACAATTATATATCGTAAAAAAAAAATGAAGGGTAATCCTACTTCTACAAACCCAATTGCATCCATCTTTGCTTGGACAAGAGGTTTAAGTCATCGTGCTAACCTTGATAACAATGGAGCTTTGAAAAAATTTGCTGCTGATCTTGAACAAGCTTGTATTCAAACTGTTCAAAGAGATAATGTGATGACAAAAGATTTAGCTTTAACCATCCATGGAAAAAAGTATGTACTACAGTAAAATTACGTAAATTTAGTTCAGTTTATTAACTTTGGCTTTATTATAGTCTTAAACCCGAACACTATGTTACAACATCAGAATACATGAAACAAGTTAAAAAGAATTTGGATGCCTCTAGATCAATCTAATGAGTGTTATATTAAATGATATATGCAAAATGTATGCAACATATAAAGGCATTACATTTTATTCATTATAATATATCATTTTTTTAAAAAAAAATAAAATAAAATAAAATAAAAATAAACGAATCAATGAAGAATCATTAATCAACAGATCTTTTTTCTGTTACACGTATTAGATTTTGTTGTATATATATAATAGACATTAATTTTTCTTTTTTCCTATCTTTTTCCACCCCTTTTTTTATTATTATTATTATATTACATATACATATACGCATATATATATGCTGAACAGTACTATAGATAATCCTAATTCAGTAGAAACTTCATCTCTTTTATCATCACACCAAAATAAGCAATATTATCATTCAATAATTTACAAAAGTCAACAAAATTCAATAAGCGACATATGTCAGGAACAATCAGACAATTCAGAAGAAAATAAAAATAATTCAACTACTAATAAAAATGAACAAAACTTATCCATCTTTACATTTCTTTATTGGCATTCTATTATTAATCAGTATTCATCTTCTATTTATCTAGAAAATAAAGCAAGTGTCGCTCGCGATCATTTAGGTAATGTACTTTAATAGACAGAGAGAAAGAGAGGTTTATTCTATAGTTGTTTATATATATCTTTACTGTATATAAAAGCGAATGAACGAACTTATTTGGCTTGGTTACGTACAAGTTTATCTATAATCTCTGTAGGCATAGGTATGATAATGATATATGCATATATATGATATCAATTTAAATTTATGCGTAAATATTATAGGGATTACACAATTGTTTCGATTAGAGAAAAAGACAACACAAACTCGTCATTATCATCAACAAGACAAAGCATCTATCTATGGTCAAATGATTGGTTTTTTATTCATAATTATTAGTATTTTGTTTTTAGTTTTTGCTTTCATCCGATATTTTCATACACAACTAGCCTTAACTAAAGGTTATTTTCCTGCGAGTCGATCTACAGTCTTGATTGCATCCTCGTTGCTCTTCTTCACCATGGTTTTTGTGCTAATTATAGTATTCAAAGTGCAACAATGATCTTTTTCCCCGTGATGTATATAATCCTATTGTACTTGTTTTAATATAATTTTTTTTTTTTTTTAAAAAAAAAATTACCCCGTTTATGACTGTAGTTGCTCAAGTGAAATAATAAAAGTAAATTATTACTTATTATATAATAAAGAGGTTTATTTGAATAAAATTTAGTATATTGAACTTTATCGGATAATCGTTATTATTAGAGTGTTTGAACATCTAATAATTATTCTGCTTATCGAATTATGCAATAATATAAATTATTACAATAGGAATATGACTATGATATGTTGTCACACATTTATACTATGTACACATACATGCATGTTAATGAAATTAACAATACCCATTATTTTGTAGAAGTGATATTGTTATAGCTGGAGTATTCAGTATATCTGAATGCCAATGCATTATTCATTTTAGAAATAATAGCTTGTTTCAAAAAAAAAAAAAAAAAAAAAAAAAAAAAAAAAAAAAAAAACGATAGCCCAGGAAGAATAAAGAATAAACTAATTGAACAGATGCAAAATAATTAAAGGAGATATAATGTTTTCATTAACATTGTTTATTATATGCATACACACATGTATATTATACATACTATTTTTGTATTATCAAATCTTAGACTTTTTTTTTCTCATGGTAAGTAAACCTTTGTACATTCTCAAGGATAGCCATAATGATACGATTTATAATTAAATATAATATTTCTTAGATATGACGTTAGATTTCAAGACATGTAACAAATACATATATAAAAATATTGAAAAGTGAAATAATAGTATTAATTCTTTTGATGAGAGTCGTATTTATTTATTTATTTTTTCGAGAATAAAATTTGTTTATTTTTAATACATATGAATAGTAGCTTTATAAAAGAAACCTTTTTTTCTTTTTATTATTATATAATACAGAAGGAATGTAATGGATAATTATTATATGAATATTTATATTTATATATATATATATATTTAGATAAGAGAAAAAAAAAATATAAAATTCTCGGAAATGTTATCACATATAAAAAAGATAGATAAATAATATGTATATTATATTAATAAAGAATTAAGCAATAATAATATTAGAGTTACGAAAAAAATAAAAAATAAAATAAAACCATTAAGCTACTGCTGTAGTAGCTGCAATATTTTCTGCATTAGTTATCTCTGTCTCTAATACTTCAGTAGTTGTTGTTGCTTCTGCTGCTTCAGTTGTTGTTGTTATTGCTGCTGCTTCAGTAGTGGTAGTAATAGTTACCTCCGTTTGAGTAGCAGGCTCAGCTAAAGATGTTGTTGTTGATACATTAATTGGAGTTAATGTTGTTGTTGTTGTTGTCGCTGTCGCTGTCGCTGTTGTTGTTGTTGTTGTTGTATTAGTAGAATTTGTAGTATCATTATTCAGGATCATTGCAGCAGTGACGCTTGCAGGTGGGCTATAGCAGACTGCAAGGAATTCCTCCTGCGTCATTTCATCGGTCAAAAGTGGAATTGTTAAAGTATATGGCGTGTTTTGTTGGTAGTAGTACATGTTAGAAACGCTAAAGGCTCCATCAATAATCACAGATGCATTTTGAGTGACATTATAGGTAAGATCCATGTCAGCAAACGTAGCCAATAAGCCAGGTATATCAGCACCATTATCAATCTTTACCGGCCATGGACCAGCGGTCGCTGTAGATTTAGGAGGAATGGTCAAGGGTGATGCTAACTCATAATCAATAGAACCAACGAGACGATTTTCTCCAACATTACCAGCTACTGTACACTTAATGACCTTGTGGCAGTCAGCTTTAATATGAACGACTGTAAAGGGAACTTCAAGAGGATTGTAAAGCGTTACGTCAGCTTGTGCTTCACCACCATAGATTGAAAGGATATCACTATAGACGCTAATATGTTTAATAAGACCATCTTTGATACCATTCATAGTTGTTGAGAGTTTAAGTTGAGAGAGAGCTTGTTGGACAGGAGGGATAGTCGATGAAGAAGGAGCACCAGCAATTGTCAAGGGAACTGCGGCACCAGTCAAGTATGAGGTTAACATAGTACCCATGGCTTCAAGATTGGTAGCACCCTCACCAAGATGCATTTCGGTACTGAAAGTATTGACGCCGGGAACGATAACAACATTATTCAAATAAGCCTTACCAACATTAGTATTACCAAATTGAGGCATTTGAACATTAAAATTGATGTCACCAATAGAAATTGTGATATTAGATGGGTTGTTAAATTGTGTAGTTAAACTAATCTTGATATAGTGTGAAGCAGCGCCTGTAACTTTGATATCAGTAATAGTAGCAACACCACCAAAGCTGTTAAAACCTATGTATTTTTTAAAGAATTAAAAAAAAAATATTAGATTTAAAAAAAAAAAAAAATTATAATCTTTTTTTTTTCCTTTCTATTATATGTTTTTTACCAGCTAAATGTGTGTCAACGTCAAATGTAACGCCAGGAAGAGAAAGTGTACCAACAGCAGTTTTAGCAATAGCGTTTGATGTACCATTCAAGCCGAAGACAACTTCAGGAGTGAGTGTCAAAAGACTATTGAATCCTGTAAATAATTCGCGATCAGCCACCTTGAAAGGAATATTATTGAACGAAGTAGTAATAAGTCCAGAAGCATCAGTTGTAGCAGGGGAAGCAGGAACATCCAATGTAGCAACTAAACCACCATGATAAGTAGCCTTTACCTTCATATCAAGTTGAGAGACACCTAAAGAGAAGCCAAATGGGTTCTTTAATTGTGCTTCAACACGACTAGAACTAATAGGTGGATTCCAAACATCCTTGGTAAAGTCTAATGTCATATCCTTCATTTCAACTGAGGGGATCAATTCAGGAATAGTCTCAGGGCCAGGTAGGATAACATTTTCAATCTTGATTGTCTTGAAAGCAGATGTAAGCCAACTGACTTCACCATTATCGCCAGAACCAGAGGCACCCTTAACGGTTAAAGTTGATGGTTGTCCTGCAAGATAATGACCGAAAACGGTTGTAATAGCCTTAATACCTTCAGCGTTTTCTTGAGGAATCAGAAGGCCCTTCATGACCATAGAGGATGAAGCCTGTGGAGCAAAGTTGGCAGCACCATCTGAAGCTAAAGGACCCAAAAGGATATTGCCAAAGTAAGTTTCAAAACCGGCACCTCCAAGATTGAAACCGACCTGACTTGGATTCTTGATGACTGTGTTAGCTACAAGTATGATACCACCATTGTTGGGCGCATCAGAAGGTAAAGTGAAAGATGAAATAGTAACAGCATCCTTAAAGCCATTAGCACCTGCTAAGGTAACATATTTGTGAAGCGTGATGCCTGTAAAAGTAAAACCAAGTGCTTCAACAGCAACATCAGCTGATGTAATTTCCCATTCAAAGCTGTCATTATTAATCATATAAGCGGCGAACTCAGCCATTGCGTTCTTATCGGTTACAGTAAATGTTCCTTGAGTATCAAAGGTAGCACCTACATCTGCCTTTGCTTGGATGTCTGCCATTGTTGTCGTACCAAGTTTTTTACCCTTCCAAGCAATAGTTAGTGGTGATGGGAACTTGATAACAGCATCCATTGGACCAGTATTAGCAACACTACCCTTCATTTGAACTTTAAATGAATCCTCAGTAACAGAAGACATAACAATTGCACTAAAGCCAAGAACAGAACCATCTACAATCTGTTGAACGATGGGGTGTCCGACAATAGGGATAAGAGCAGTAACAGAGTTATCAACAGCAACAGCTACATCTGCTTGAGAGAAAGCAAGATCATTTACATATTCACCAATAGCAGTAGTGGAAGAAAGAGAGAGATCAACCTTTAGGGCCTTCATTGCATTGAGAACATAGTCTGAAATGTTAAAGTTACTAAAGACACTAGAATCAGGCGTAATACTCTCTCGGCCTTCAATGGAAAACCCACCCATATTAAGCAAAGCGTCAAGAACGGCTGTATCCATATTAGCTTGAACGGCAAGCGTACGTAGCAGTAGAGCGACAGCAGCAGGTTCAAGGTTCATGCTCATAAGCAATGTCTGAGATTTAGCAGCTGATTTACCAGGAATAATAAAAGGGTTACTACTGATATCTTGATCAATATTACCAACAGGCATACCTAAAAAGGTAGCAGCAGAGATAACCTTGGAGATACTTAATCCAGCTGTAAAAGGGTTAGCAATCGTAACTTGAATACCAACCATACTTGTTGTAAGAGTATCAGGTAGAACAGACATAGAGGCTCCTTGGATTAAGGCAGTTTTAAGACCAGGAAGGGTAGATGAGAGAGAGACGACGCTTAAGGCTTGAGCAAGTGACGTAATGCTGGTCGAGTTAGGATGTCCAGTAATATCAACAGCATTATCAGCGCCCATAATAAATGTGCTTAACAGGTTTTGTCCAACATCAGATGACTTTGGATCGAAAGATGCAATAGCAGCTACTGTATTCTCACCACGATTTAAAGTAAGATTATTTAAAGTAACTAGACCAAGAGTAACGTCACTAGCGCCCATGTTGAAACTGACATCACCTGTATTGATACCAAAGTCAGAGGGATTAGCCATAGTGACATTGATTCCAAGATTCAAACCAGTTGTAGTACCACCAGTAACATCAAGAGAGTTAATGACAGTTGCAGAGCTGTTTAAGAACTGAAGACCCTTGAGTGAAGTAGGTACAACAAAGTTGATCCCTGTTAAAACAATGGGACCAATTGGGGTATTCGTCTTGGTAGAAGCATTACCAGCGATCATAAAGGTGTAATTATTAGAAGCAGTTAGAGAGTAGGTGTATTGATTGTAGAAACTTTCTTTGCCAGAGATACCAGCCAATGCAGTGTTAGCTAAACCAAATACAATAGTACCACTTTCAGGATTAGTAACAGCAGGAACAAAAGGAGTTTGCATAATAGCAAAGTTTTCAGTATTGGCACCTGTTGTATTAATAGCAAGTGTAATATTTTGAGAAACTTCTGTAATATTTAAAGAGAAGCCAAAGGGTAACTTATAGCCAGCCGTGACAGCGGGGGCATTGATGACAGGAGAATAAGGGGATGCAGCATCAAACTTCAAGTCAAGATAACCCATACTGACTGAATTGATAATATTTAATGGAGAACCAGCAGTTAACCCAACATTTAGACTCACTGACTTGAAAGCCTCAGAAAGCCAACCAACAGGATTTACTCCGTCTGGAGCAGAGCTTAACCCAACGGCAGTAGTATTAGAGAGCTTTCCAGCAACATAATTGGAGAATAGAGTACCAATCTTTGCCAAAGAAACTGTATCATTATGTGGTTGAAGTGTGCCTTTAAGAAGAATTTGGTTTTCACCCTTAGCAAGATTAACATTGGTGCCAACGACAGTACCTAGTGGGACACCATCATAACCAATAGCCATTGAAATTGTACCTAGCTGAACGCCAATGGGGGAGGGACTTTCTAAGATAGTACCTAATTCAACAAGAATACCACCATTGGGATCATCACCAGGAAGTTGAAATGAAGTGATTTTTACATTTGGGAATCCATTCATACCTAAAGTAGGAAAGTTTTTTTTTTTTTTTTCGTTAATAAACAACGTAATATAAATCAGTTTATTTTATATTATTTACCATTTAGGGTGATTTCTTTGTTAAGGTTAACTGTTGCAGTTCTATATATAAAAAATTAGACTTGGTCAATTTAGAAAAAAAAAATAGAATAACTAATTAGATATACCTGGAAAGGGCAGTAATATCAAGTTTTCCTTTAAGAGTCCATTTAAATTGTTCAACAGCCAACATTGTCTTTGAAAAAGAAGCAAACGCGGCCTGGTTTCTGATCAGAAAAGGAGTCACTGCATTTAATTTTCCTTTGCCTCCAGCGATACTTGTTCCATTAAAAATGAAGATATCACCAAGATGAGTTTCGTTATAATAAATTTCGACAGGGTTATGGAACTTGAGCTTTGCATGGAATGGACCTGTATGAGAAAGATCGCTTTCCATACTCATGTAAAAAGTTGAATTCATATCATCCCCATTACGTTTAGAATAAACAGAATTGGCTAAAGAATCAGGTTTATTAAATGATATTCCAGCAGCAGTAACATCAATCTTGGATTTATTCATCAATGATTGTGCAATCTTAGGGAAAATAACAAAGAGGATAAGGATAACAAGAACAACAATTATGATTACTGAGATAATAGAACAAATAATCCAGTATTTCTTCTTTTTGTAAAATTTGCGTTTTTGAGGAGGAGGAGCTTTTTCAGTATATTCTTCCAAAAATTCATCAGTCCGAAGACCGTTATGTTCATTACTAAGTGTATTGTGATAGTATTCACCACCATCAGTAGTAACTACCTGATGGTCATACGTTTGATGTATGCTACCAGTCATTACTATTTATAAAAAATTGAGTAAATATATTAAATGTGTTATTAAAGAATGGAGAATATTAAATAAAAGGAATGTAAAATTAATAAGTTATATATTAGATGATATAAAAGAAAAAAAAAGAGAAAAGAAGTATAAATCTAGTTATTCTACATGTATAAGTATTTATATTACTGAATACGATAGTATGAATGAAAATTAACTAGAGGTATTCGTTGCACAGTTGTATAAAACTAGTCATCCAGCTCTATCCAGAGAATGCTTTGTTGTAGCAAAAATTCTGTAATCATTAATAAAGTACTACAAGGATACAAAAAAAAAATACACGACACAAGAATTTAAAAAAAAATAGAATAATTGTAGCTTTTCTGTTGCTCTCCATGTGAAATGCCCATAAACAGTAGATAAAATATAGATGAAAGACAGCTATATATGGAGTTTATGGCTGGTAATAAATTTCCAAAACGTATACAAGCATTATAACATTCAAGCATAAAAAAGAAAATCAAATGACTACCAAAATAAAACCTAAGAAAGATGTTTTATTGCCCTTTTGATTTAGTGCTACAAATATAAATCATTTTATACAATTCTGATTTGTATTGTGATTTACTATAAAATATTATGTTAATGAGGATGATGATATACTCAGCGTTACTAACTCAAGCAATAAAATTATAACATAATGGAATTTAACTATTAAATTTAAGCCTTTTGTTATCTTATTATTTTATCGAGAAATGTGTGTAGATTTGCAAATAAATTCAAGAAAAAAAAAAAATAAAATAAAAAAAATATATAGCTGTTAAAGGCACGAGATGTTCTTTCATTTATAATTGGAATCTCCGAATTCAGTGTATTATAATTACCATTTCACACAATAAAGGTGGGAAGACAAAATAATATTTTTTATTTACAAATGTCTGTTAACAAATATTTCACTATGCAAAAAAAAAAAAAAAAAAAAAAAAAAAAAAAAAAAAAAAAAAAAAAAAAAAAAAAAAAAAAAACATAAATCATAGAAGAACTAAGTATAGAATTGTCAGAAATTAATATGTTTAAAATAGTAATACAGACGGTCATCAAAGCTAGCGAAGAAAAAAAAAAGGTAAGAATGTGCATAGTTTTATCGCTTATCAGTTATAATTGAATTCAAATTCACATCCAAGTTATTTTTACTACATCACAAGTTATTGAATAAAAGAGATCCAAATTCTTGCTAACATATAAATATATATATATATAGCATAAAAGGAATTTAAATAAGGTGATCCACATGTAACTTTTATATTACATTCATCTTATCGATTCAATGCTATATATTTCATTAGTATCAGCAGATAAATCAATATATATTGCGCTTATATATGTAAGATGAAAGACATTTTATATCGTTTATTTATTGTTTATTAGCATGATATATTGAATCTTTCAAATTAGACACATTTCTTTAGTCCTATATATACATATAAGATCAATATAGAATAATGGAATATTTATAATATCATATAGTATATTACATTTGAATTTTTACTGTTTTTTAAAGTTAAATTTCGAAAGAAATTATATAAACACACCCAAGCTTTGATTACTACCCATTATTATTGTTATAATATGCAGTGGTTAACAAAATCAATACTTGCAAAATATATTTCTATCGTATCTTATATTCAGACAATGCAGTATTGCACAAAGAAAAAAAAAGGGGGGGGGAAATACTTATATTTTAATGTTCAGACTTACAGCTTAAAATTAGTGTTATCCATATATAGGAATTTTAGCAAAATGGGGATAAGAGCAAGAAAACTCTGAGTTTATTTTCATCGTGTGTAAAGGAAATATTAATGCTACAAAACCACCAAACAATCAAATATCTATGGAATAAAAGAATTTAATAAGACTTGAGAAAATATGAATTAAAGCTTGTAATATTTAGCCATTTCGATTATTAGTTTTATATCGATTCTTGAACGTTGTATCAAATTGCTGTAAGCTTAAAATTCACTTGACATATTTTAAAATTTGACATGCTTTTTTTTTTTTTTTTTTTTTTTTTAAAAAATTTAGCTTATTGCATTTGAAGTTTAGCTTTTTTTTTCACATGTTTTTTTTATTTGTCTTATTTTATGTTAAAGACTATGAAAGGCGAAATAACTTCTGAAGATCAAGTGCACTTACATTACCTAGTTGGTTAAAGTTGAAGAACAATGATAAAAATCTAAAAGATCAAACGAAAATAAATACAGAAAAATAATTAAAATAAATAAAAAAATATGGTGTAGTATCTCATATATCTTATTCTCTTTAATATTTATCTCAATACACGCATACACCGTTTTTGTCTATATGGACCTTATAATCTAATAATATCGCTCATACACCATTTTATACAATTCCTATAAGTATTGATAAAAATATCTAACTACTATACTAAATATACATTAAGAGATTTATAGGTTTTATTTTTATTTCAATAATCATTGTTATATAATTCTTTATCCTGTTACACTAATAAGCGTCTAATACTTATTCAACTACACTCTAAAGTATTTAATACATGCTATCTTCTATGTTGATTGTATAATATAATTATAGATTTCTAAGGTCATATCTTATATTTGAATAAAAGAAAAGGCCTATTGAAATTTATCAAATATTAATGTTCGCTTCAGTAGATTTAGAAAAAAAAAACGTTTCCCACTTAAGCTTTCTTTAAAATTCCCGAGTAACTAAAATTTTATATGTTGGATAATATACATATTTTTGTGTTATTAATAGGACAGCAACTCAGATCCATGGGCAAACGAATATTGTTTATCTTATAGGCAAATGCTTAGGTGAACTGAGCAAAAGATTTAAATAGTATCTACCTAGCGATTACAAGATTCAACATATCATATCCTTATACAGTTACTCCTTTGCCAATAAATTAGTCTTCATAACTTTGTCAGTAGCAGCTTTAACTATTTCATCATTGTCTTCCATTATAGGAGACACTCACGATTAATAATGAAAATAAAAAAAATAAGGTTCTGATGTTACCTAATGATACAAAGCCAAATAAAAAAAAATGGCATACATGATTTAAGTTATATTCAGCTTTATCACAATATCCTGAGCCAAGTTCTTTTATATTATACAAATATGTGACAAATATAATATCCATCAGATACATTCTTAAGATAAATGAATCTGCATATTGGAATTTATCTATGCCAACATTAGATATTCTATGAAAATATTTCTCTAAGCAAAAATACAGTTAATGACTTTATAGCTTTTACTTTTTTTTGTTATGAATAAAAGCCATAATACCATCTCATTCATTTGTAAAGTATGCTTTATGTATGCTCACAGTCGTTATATATCTTAAACTCCGCTATTAATGATTACTACATTTGAGAATACTATTCATACTTTTTTTTTTTTTTTTTTTTTTTTCAAATAAATCATTTTACAATGACGAATGATATTTCCTCACGCATCATGTAAATCCTATGGAAATAGATTAATGTTCATTTATATAACTCTCCCTCCTCACCCCCTTTTTTTTTTAATTTAATAGGCAATTTAACTCTGCGCAAGAAGAAATAGATTACTGGCGATCTCATGCAGAAAATCTTGAAAACACTTTACAAGATACAAGAGCTGCTTTAGATGAATTTCAAGTATCCTCACGTGAACTAGAAGAAGAACTTGAAAAAGAATTACAAGCAACCGAAAAAGCCTACATTGATTTAAAGTCACGTTGTGAACATTACAAGAGAGATGCAGAAGATTGGAAGGTATATTGTTAATTGAATAAATTACAAGTTTCACTTATATTTTTATCTATACAGGCAAAATATACAGAATCAAAACATGAACAAAATATCACAATGGTACAGATGCAGCGAGAAATTGATATTCTAAGAGCAACTGAGGAATCATTTCGAAAGAAAATTCTTGAATTGGAATTAGATAATGATGATCTAGAAAGAACAGAAAGGTTAAAAAAAAAAAAAGAATTACACACACACACACACACACGTTTACATCTCATTTCAAATAATTATTAACGTTCATATATAGAGCTGCTACATCCTCATTAACCGATCTTGAAATGAAGTTAAATAAAGCTATAGAACGAAATGTCATACTTGGTATAAAATAGAGAAAAAAATAGCTATAAATTCCATGTTCACATATTTTATATACACATTTTTTTTTTTTTTAGAAAACGAAATTCAGATAAAAGATAATCTGATGGAACAAATACAAAGATTAAAGGATGAATTAAATGGTAGGTTTAAAATGGTTGATAGGAATATTCTCTCTCTTTAACAAAAAAGGTACTTTGCTTATTTAGAGGTAAATCAAGAATTATCAGTTCTACGAAAACAGTCAACAAAACAGTCAGAATATATTATGGAGTTGGAACATAAAGTAGAAGATGCGGAAAAAAAGAATAGGAAGCAACAACAATTACAGCAGAATAGATCACTTACACCTGAATCAGGTACAGGCTATTATGAGTCTTATTCTCGAAACAGATCTACTCGTATACCCCGCACACCAACGACTGGATCTTTCTCAACTTCTTCAAATCCTGTTAAAATGGTTCAAGAGATGGTGGGACGTGTTAGAGTAAGTTTTCCTTTATAACATTGTACAAATATACTAAATCTTTGTATATTGTTTAGAACTTGGAAGCAAGATTACAATCATGTCGCTCTTTGGTTACACCACTTTTAAACCCACCTCCTTCATATAGTTCATCCAATTACATTCACAGTAATAGAGATTCGCATTTATTTTCAACAGGTAGTCGTTCTTCTTCTCCAGATACAAGCAGCATTCACTCTGGAAGTCCTATGAACTTTTCGAATATTAAAGCTAGAAGACCCTCTGAATATATGAAATTGGATTTAGATACCAACGATGAATAAATGAACAGTAATTCAATTATGTTTACAGTTAAATGTGTTTTATAGAAATATTTGATTAGGTAATTTATAGCTTCCTCTTTGTCTTTTTTTTTCTCTTATGTAATCGTCCCTTGTTTTTTTAAAAATTTCTAATAATTATATTAGATAATAGCACTCTATTTTTCTTGAAAAAATAAATAAAAATAAATAACATACACAATAATTGGAATAGGCTATATATTTATATATAAATAAATATGTATATTAATAGTTGAAGCATACATATAAGATGTTATACCGTATTATCTAGTCAACAGAGTATGAGTGTAGATATATAAATAGTCATTGATATTTTCTTTCCCTTATAGTAGCATTATTATTAAGGTATGTTGCTCTATGAAAAAGAGAAAGTAAATGAGAGAAATAATTAAGGAATAGATGAGGGGATAGTGGTGGTGGTATTGATGACGTCTATTATTATTTATTCTCTTGTTTTGAAGATAGCTGTAAGGGGAGAGGGTTTGTGTTGATTGAGGATCCTTATGATAACCTAATAAAGGTAATAACTTTATTCTTTGCTTTAGTGCTTACTACTACTAATATACAATTATGTTATTTCCTGAAATTAATGGAACACTTCAAAAAAAAAAAAAAAAAAAAAAAATCAAGCACTATAAAAATTTAAAATTGGGACATTTCAAGACTTTTTTTTTTCAGGTTTCAAATCAATTAATATGAATCAATTTATATTCGAAGACGGTAAAGGCAAGATGTTCAATGAAGATAGCAATGAAGTTACTGTGCTTCAAATGGAAGTTGATGACCCCAATTTTCCACTTGGCGATGTTACTAATTACAGTGAATATCAGTATCTTAAACCTCCTGAGAAACCAAAAGGCGAACGAAATGAATCAAGTAGTAATAAAGCAGAAAGCGTCCACACTTCTGAGAATGATACGTAAATACTCACAACATATCATCGTTGTAAAAAAAAAAAAAAAAAAAAAAAAAAAAAAAAAAAAAGACATGGAATACTTCTTTTTTCTAGTAAATGAAAAGGGAATGTCCGTTTGCGGCGCAGCCAAACAGATGAAGATTCCTTCAAGTACTGCTTTCAACTGGCATAAAAAAGGTACTGAAGCGTTGGATGACTTCGTTGAGTTGAGAAAGGCCGGAAGTGGAAGACCTGTAGGCAGACCTCCGAAGCTAACTGACGACCATCGAAATTATTTGGTAAAGCTTGTAGATGAGAATGATACAGGATGGACTCTTGACCAAATGATGGAAAGCTTGACGACCGAATTTATGGGTTTGCAGATTTCTAAGTCTGCTTTTCATGAGTTTGCCAAAACAAAATGCAGAATCAGTTTTAAGAGAGCACACTTTCAACCTGAAGAAAGAAATAGTCCTGAGAAGATCGAGCAAAGATGCAATTGGGTCAAGCACTTGGAGAATACTGATATGGATTTTGAAAGTAATCGTGTATTCATTGATGAGGCAGGCTTTCATATAAACAAGAAGCGATCTTTTGTATGGTCACGAGTAGGGACTCGCGCAACTGTAAAGATCCCAAAGACAAAATCGAAAATGACGACAATCCTTGGAGCCGTTTCCGTTATTGGGGTTGTTAACGTAAAAGTTAGGAATTCCAAAGTTGTTCAATCAAGAAAGAGAAAGCTGGAAAGCAATAAAGAAGACAAAGGAATTATGGATAGTGCAAAAAGAACAGTCGGTACAGTAACTGGCCATTACTTCAACTTTATTGCGAGTACGCTAGATATTATGGATAAACATGAAGGATTCAAAGGCTATTATCTAATCATGGATAATGCACCTATACACAAACACGAAGATATAAAACTTTTTGTTGAGAGCCGTGGCTATGACTGTGTTTATTTGCCACCGTATTCCCCTGAATTGAATTCTATGGTCAGTCTGCAAAAAGCAAGCTTAAAAGAGAAGCGCTCTTAACTGAAAAAACTTTAACCTCGCGTATAAAGGACGCATGCAACAATGTTCTTATTAGTAATCTTAAAGGTTTCTGTAGATATTCAGCCAAGAAATCTGTCGGTTGCTTGCAGCGCAAACCCAAATAGATAGACCACCCATTTGGGACATTCGGGCCACTTTAATTTTGAACCAATAAAAAATTGTCTTTTGCCTCATTTTTTAATTGGCCATTGCCTGAAATTTTTATTTATTCTTTGGCTCATTTTTATTTTATTTTATTTTATTTTTTTTGAAGTGTCCCATTAATTTCAGGAAATAGTATACATTGTTAATAAATCATTGTCAAGTTTTGCGGTGTTTTAAAATATTATGAAACCTCCCCTTTAATAATTTATTATTGTTCTAAACCCTCTGGGTTTCACTTTTATTCGGTAAAGATTACTTTCCACTAGTAGATTACCAGATAATGAAATCAGGGACTTTTCTATCTGGGCATATAATAGATGTAAAAGAAAGAAAAAAAAAAAAAAAAAGATACTTGTGAATAAATTACTATATGAGTATGGAAACTGCTTGATCCCGATTTTTTTCTTTTCATGGAAGGGCAAAGGAAGTTTTCGATATCTGCCATAGATTAAAAGAAAAAAAAAAGAAGAGGACTATACGATTGTTATATACCATCTAAAATTACTTAAGGGGCAATTAGCCATCATTTACTAATAATAATTTCAAACGTTTTTTATTTTCTTTTTTTTTTTTTTCATTTATAATTATTCTGCTTCAAGTTTTGAGACACGATGATGATTATTTTTCTATACATTTCATAAGTCTCAGTAGTAGGTGTAGTAGGTTGAAATAAAGAGGGTTTGGGTTTCATGGACGATGATGTATTGGTGTTTTGATATAATAGACTCACATCAAAAAATGGAGTATGTTGTGTAGGTGAAGTAGGTGAATCGCTTTCATGATAATCATAAGAGTCACGCATGATACTCGCTGTTCTTCTTGGGATATTGCTATGATCGGTTAATTCAGTAGTTGGTAACGTATGTTTCCCAGTGGTTGTTGTTTTCCTTGATGAAATACTTATAGATCTTCTTATGTTATCACGTATCTGCTCCATGTTCATTAAATGTTCAGAACCGTCTTCTACAAGCGTTTTATTTGTTGCAGGCTGTTCTGGAAGAAGTAATTGTTCCAGCAATTCTTCAGGAACAGGTGTAACACATACAAGAGGAAACACTCCCTTTAAACCTGTTGTTACATTAAATCCAAGTGCCCAACCATCATCAAAATTCATTGCCACGCATACAATATCACCTACATGCAAAGCTAATTCATCTCCCATTTGCGGTGGATAAGGATGTTTGACTTCAAAAAATTCCTCTACTGTAGGTTGAGTGATTGCTCCCTGTGATGTTTGTTGTTGTTGTTGTTGTTGTTGTTGTTGTTGCGGTATATTCAGTAATGATGGAGGAGTAGTAGGAGGTGTTACTGCTGCTGCTGCTGCTGCTGCTGCTGTTGATAAGCTATTTGTACTTGCAGATTTATGATTGTAAGGTTGTGACACAAGTGCATGTTGAGATACTAAAGATTCATAAGCAAATGCACTTGAACTATCTTCTTCTCCATCATGAGCTTCCCTCTCTTTCTTATTTTTTTTCTTTTTATAATTCATCATAAATCCATTATAAGATACGCCATTTTTTCTCTTCTTTTTATAGCAAAAGTATCTAAAAATAATAGCGCCTACAATGCCTACAAACACTAGACATCCAATGATGATACCAATAATGGCTCCTACTGATAATTTCTGACAGCCTGATACCAGTTGACAGCATGCATCCTTTGAACCACTCGTTGATTGACAGTATTGACAAGCTTCTTTTAATCCACCAAATCCACATAAATTAGGCTCATTCGCTATACCAATAACGCAATTGAATGTTGCGTTTAATCCACTCCAATATTCGCATGATGAATTCATATTTAAAATCATTTCACGTTTTTCTGCTTGGTTAGGACACAATGAGACGCTGTTTGTGATTTCATTGACTGAGGACATGTATTGAAAACAAGTTTGTCGACAAAGTGGAGGTGGAGATAATTTATGATCATAATTACACGGTAATGAATAATAGCTATCTTGAATCAAGTTAGCGCAAAGATAAGTTAAAGAATAACGTGCATAGGGTATCGTTTCTGATTTTAATACTTTGTTTTCACATCCCAAAGGAATTAAAAAGAAATCAGATGATTTTACATGTTTTATCATTGCTTCGTCAAAAGATGCAATATCAGTGACATTTTCAAGAAATGAATATTCAAGTAAACTAATGTAATAATCTTCATAAGCTGGACAAGTGCTTGAACCCTTTAAGGAAAAGCAGGATTGATTATTATTATAATCATAATCATCGTCTTGCGCCATTATCTTGTTACTCATAAATAACAGTAATAAGGCTGTTGTATGTTTTAAAATCTTCATATGTGTGTATGTATATGTATGTGTGTATGTATGTATGTATGTATGTATGTGTATAAATATAAATATATATAAATGTATATATATTTATATGAGTATATGTATGTAATATATGTATTTATATATATATATAGATAGATATATATAAATATATATGTGTGTGCGTGTGTAAGTATGTAGATATGTAGATATGTATATCTAAATTATGGTTTTAAATTGAAAGTTTTGTAATGTTGGATTTTATACAGAAATGATGATGAAGACTTCTTTTTTTATTTCAACTGTTTTCATTCCCTATTATTTTTAATTTTATCAAATTTTTTTTTTTCTTTTCTGGCCGAGAAAATATAATTTTTTTTTTTTTTATAGATTATAGATCAAGACAAAAAAGTTAAATATAGAAAAAAAAATGTACATAAATGTTAGTTAATATACAACATCTTTATCTTCTATTATAAGAATAAAACAGTCTTCTCCTTTTTTATTTTATTTTATAACTAAGCATACTCCTCACAATATATAAATTTAAAAACTACACATGAATAAAACAAGACCTTACCAGATAATGCATATCAAACAAGAAGTAATCCTAATGCCTCCTTAACGTGAATAACAGTAATTACTACTTATCCTTTGACCTTACTTGTTCTAAATATTTATTTATACAAAAATAAACAAGTTAATAAAGACACAAACACAAAATTATAATCATTTCTTCTTTCTTTATTATTTTGAGGATGGTTAAATAAACATCTTTTTTTTTTAAAAAAAAAAAAAAAAAAAAAAAAAAAAAAAAAAGAAAAAAAAAACGGAAATGAGTTAAACGGAACTTGAAGAGAATTTTCCATTCTCTTAAACTCGAGAGTTTAAATTCTTTCAGCATATATTTAATGATGAAAGCCAATATCCAGAGAATCGGTATTTATCCAAAACTCTGATAGCAGTTATAAGCTTAAAAGTAACATAAATCTGAACTTCAGAAGGAAACGAAGAAAAAAAAAGTGTGTGAGAGAGAGATAGAATGGTTTAATAATTAGTTTACAATGTTTGATCGGGTATTTGACCTTCAAGAATAGACAAGTTATGTTTAATCAACAGAATACGCATATACTTAAGTTTACCTCCTTCATTTTTTTTTTAAAAAAAATATTGCCCCGTCTTTCAATATCTACTATTTATTTATGTAAGCATTCATGCATGTATAGCTTATAATAAAAATTTTACCTAATAATTTATCTCTTTTTGAGGGAAGATCATTCAATTATTTGTGCACGCTGTATACAGACTGCTGGTTATAAATATACAAATAAATATTTATATACACAAATGGAGACGGAGTCTTGAAATATATTAAGTAACCAATATAAAGAGGGAGTTACAATTATGTTAGGGGGGTTTATAAGTTTTCGGTGTGTGTGTGTGTGTGTTTTTTTTTTTTTTTTTGAAGTTGGGTTGGAAATGAGGAAGAGGAATGAAAGTAAAATGTAATGAAAATACACATTAAACCATGTTGTCAGAGATATGAAAGAAAGGAGGGAGGAAATATAGTATGTGACAAAGAAGATAGGATTCTTGTGTACTTTTGTTTGAGATTCTTATGAAATAGATAAATAATTCTCGTGCAGGTGGTAAGCAGTGCATGAAAGATGGTTGACCAATGGGTAGACCAAATCACTTTGAAAGCTACTGCTAAAATTGTATAGAAGGAATGGGAGAAGAAGCCAGCAAGTGAGAGTAGAGTGACGAGAGAGAGAGAGAGAGGTGAATGAGAGAAGAAGTGTAAACATAAATAAGGTATGTTATTGTCGAACAGCTGGACAATATAGTACAACTACTGTAATTGATTTAAAAAGGACCTCGATCTTGTTGGATGGTGGCGACCATAAGGCGACCACATATGCTGATGAGAGTATTATGAAAAGAAATTGTGTTGGAGAAGGGTATCAAGTCACAATGAGAAGACAATATACTATCGTGTGCTTGGAATTGTGTATGAAAAGTAATTTATATGTTCCTTGTAAGGCAAGAATGTCAAAAAATTTAGAGTGTATATATAACAGATAAAATGTTTTCGGGTATCAGGATGGTTGGATTTTACTAGGCTATGGCAATTTATTGATCCATACTGCAATAATGTAGTGTTGAGTGATAGGTTATTTTTTTTTTTGGAAAGGAGGGCGAGTTGTGTTATGGTAGTTAAAGTAATTAATTAGAGTGAATCAAGTATGATAACGAAAGTTAGTCTGAGAGAGTCATGAGTATCGTATTTGCTCATAATGTAATAATAATAATTTCATACAGAAATAAAGTTAAAAGTTTAAGTCAAACTAAAAATATTCATACACGGTGCTTGTATTCATACAGAAATAGAGCTAAAGTTAACACACGATTAAACATTTTTTATTTTTATTATTTTTATAAATTAAAATTTATAAAGTGACCTATGAGTACATAATATGTTTGTTATATTGGATTGCCCAGGTCAGTTCAAATTATGTGAAAAAAAAGTATCTAAAAACCCTCTTACGGGACAAGAGGTAAAAAGGTAAAGGAAAGGAAGAAGAGAAGGTGAGAAAGAAAGAGGAATATTGCTAACAAGTTTAAAGGGATAACCAGTTGGGTAGTTTCCTGCCCGAGTCAAGAAGTGGAGAGGGGGATAGTTTGTCGTATAGTAGGTAATCTATTTACTGTAGAATGGTGCGCATAACTGGTCAGCGATAGAGCCAGGAAGGAACATCCTAAGAATTTAGGTACTTATGCTGAGGGAGATGATTTAAAAGAAAAGAAAAGGGGATCTGCAATTGATTGTGGCCAGAATAAACGAGTGTGCATGTGCAAGCATTCAGTGGCGTGTGGCCGACTAAAGAGTATATAAGGATGATATGGGTAGGCTTTAGGTATTCCTTCGGGTAACCAACCAAGACGCCATCGAATAGTTCAACTGCGCTTACTGTGTGTTATGGGTAACCAGAGTATCGGATCAATAATCAGATTAGGGCGGCAAGCGGAAAGCAAAACAGAATGTGTCTCGTTACGTAGTTGTTGAAAACTCTCTTCAAGAAATTCTTGACGATGTTTTGGAAAGGAACGTTGGTCTAACGGAATGGAGTTGGCAACACAGAGTTTCCAGTATAATGTTTGAATGAGTTTATACCATTGAGTGTTGAAGGTGAAGGATTGAAGCTCAGGAAGTAATTTAGGGAGCAAAGTATCATCCGGTAAATCAATAGCACAGAAAACGAATTGAGCCTGCAGAATGGACACCCTAACCTTCATTAATGGTTGGTTTACCATATGAAGCATCACCTGTACTGATGATCGACTAGAGCCACCAAATATCCGTCTTATGCAAGTGTTTTGACAAGATTCCAGTTGTTGAATATCCTTTGCACTAAGTAGACTAATAGCTATACCATATTCGGGTTGTGGTCGTGTTATAGAATAAGCTCTGGATATAAGCATAAGTAATATTATAATAGATGAATTACATAATAAAGGATAAACTATAAGCCTGAGTATAAAATATAAAATCTGTATATAACATCTTGTAAATAATATAAAACTTATTGACATCCAATCATCTAAATATATCAACTAAATAAGACATCGTATCATTTCTACATATTTATTTTTATAAACTTGACAAAGGATTAAAGTCGTCTTTGATCCAATAAAATAAAACATAAAAAATATCAGGAACATACACTCAGACCATTATAACACCCAATAGATAATCCATATAAATCAGTCTCTTGAATCAACAACATGTATATCTGAATACTAATACTGTTTTATGACTCATGTTCTTTGACAGCTATTTTTATTTCTTTGATTTCAGGATTCATTGGTATAAATACAAGTAGCTATGTAGACACGAAATAGTCTTTATATCATCCTTTTTACATTGAATAAACAATCTCGAACTATACCTCCTTTTGTTCTCTTTCTGTCTTTTTTTATTTTTCTTTATTGTATTACGTACCATCACAAATACATCATTATATATACAACAATCTCTTACTGGCACAGGTGCCCGCTTTTCCTCTTTCTATAAGATGACTGAACAATATATTGATACTTGCTTCACCTGGTTTTTTTTTTATTATTATTATTATTTTTTTTTTTTTTTTTTTTTTTTTGTAATCAAAAATTATCATTGATGTCCATGGAACATAAAAATGATATAACAGTACAAAAATTATACAGAATTGCTAAAGAGCAGATGGAGAAAGAAAAACGTAGAAAAACCCATCACATCAGCCTTACTTGACGTTTGTGATCAGACAAACTTACTATTCCAAAAATTGATGAACGTGACAGTCTTCTTAAAAAAAAAACGCGCACTAGCCTACGCAGACGATGGAATCTTGTATACGAGTACTTGTAAACGTAAATATTTTAAAATAAAAAGGCTCCCCATGTGTGTCACCGATGCCAGCACCTTTGGAATTACCTGAGGCAACGTTACAACAAATCAATAACACCAAGATCAACCATAACAACACTGATGACATTTTACCTGAAATTGATATTCTGAAAAAACGATATGGATTATGCCCTTCAATTCAAACAGTCAGTAGAAATAATGAATTGGAAAGAATGTTATGAGAATGGATATTTTAGTACTTATACCGGGCTAACAAGTTTAAAGAGAGCATTTTACAAAAAAAAAAAAAAAAAAAGGCCTAATGAAGAAAAATAGTCAATAATATCTACTGCCTCAATACCATTCTTTTTCTTTCCAAAAAAAAACAAGCACTTCATTCTTCCAAAATCTGTTACTATTTTTACAAAAAATAAAATAAATATAAACTTGATTACAATGAACATTGGCACACTTATGAGTGACATGTCTATCCAAGAGGAAGTAGAAGAATCAAGTGAAGAGGTTTATGTTAGCTTATATCAAAAGCACAGTGAGCCTGCCGAAGAAGACGTCAGTACCGCAATGGAGTGTGCCGAAGAGCTATCTGAGGAGCTAGGTTTAGATTTGGAAGAGGATGAGGTAAAAGAAGAAAGTGAGGTGAAGGTAGTAGACGAGGTAGAAGAAACGTTGGAAGAGATAAATGCTTGTGTAAAAGAGTATGTCGAGACTAATTTGAGTCAGTCGGAGTTGAAGCAGGAACGTGATGAGGGGGAAAAAAACATACAGGAAGTATGCTGATCAACAAATTGACTTTTTTTTTATTGACTTGATTTCTGTAGGATCTAACGTTAAGTCGGCTTGTTCGAGTATAGGTATCTCCTTATGGGCTGAATACAAATATAGAAAACCATTTAGAAAGGATCCAGAAAATGGGCTTATCCGTAGAAAAAAAAGAGAGGAAGAAAAGGATGATTGTTCAAGTTACAACAACGTCATGCTGAATGGATTATCAAATATATTGACGATAATTCAGCAGCAGTACTTGAACAAATTAGATTCGACCTTTGTAAGAAATTCAAAGACGAGAGTTTTACTGTAAGTCGATCTGCACTTCACATATTCATGCGAACTGTTTGTGTTCTTTCGACGAAAAGATTAGAAGAAATCATATTGAAGCAATTGAACAAACAAAAACAGAAGTAGAAAGATGGATAGCTGATAAAAATTTGGAATTTCCAAAAAAAAAAGGTCAATGGGAGTAAGGCAATCGGTGTTAGAAGTGATTTTCCCAAGTTCACTTCCAGACTCATCTAATAGATGTAATGAGAAAGTGCCAGCCTTTAAGGTTAACATCTCCGTGGGCTTGTCAGAAAATGCTTAAGCCTATGTCTTTTTTTTTTGAAATTAATAAAGGATGTCGGACTTTGAAAGTACCTGTGTGATTATTAGCGGAAGAAGCCATAAATTGCTAATATTCTTATCATATGTCATTTATAGAATAACAATCAAGTGTCATTTATTACTCCATAAATGGAATTTTATTATTTACTCAATTTATTAAAAAGGAATCCCCTTTTTTTTATTTTTTTTTTATTTTTATTTTTTTAACAATACATACGGATGTCGTTTCTTGACTTCTTGAGATACAAAAGAGTAAAACTTTAGACGGTATTAAACAAAAAATAACAAAGAATATAATTAAGTTTTTATAATATTTATTGATTGTCTTTATTTAAAATCAATTATTTTTCGATATTTATATTAATTTTGCTACAAAATAAAGTTTATATGACAACAGGGAAAATCGTGATTGTAGTAAAGATGCATAAGTGTTGTCTTCTTGATTTTCTCATGTTGTCAATTGATTATGCCGACGTTTTCTATCTTCACAAATCATGCATAACTTCGACTTCTTCTTTCTCACGTCGGACTCCTTTACTGATGGTTTAAATCTTCTCTTATTCAGTCTATTTATTCTGAACGGCAGATTATATTCCACTTCTATTGGCTGCGTATCTACTTCGTTGCTAATGAACTGGACACGGAGCCTGAGTCTTAATATGTACAATGAAAAAAATGTGTTGAAAAAATGTTAAGAGTCGCATGTACAAATTCGGTACTACTCTATTTTTTTTTTTTTTTTTTTTTTTTTTTTTTTTTTTTTTTTTTTTTTGTCTCTCTTATTAATTGTTGTCAAACGTATACATATATAAAAAAAAAAAAAAAATAACAATGAATGATGAGGATTTAGAAAGAGCTGGAACTCGTTTAAAAAGACAATTAAAAAAATCAAAACATTATTCATTCTATCCTTCAACATTAATGAATTATGCATCCATCAAAAATAGACAACACTCAAGATTTAAACCAAGATCCTTAATACTTATTGGCATCATTTTCATTTTAATATTCCTCATTTTTACTTTACCTAATAAATCTACTTCAAAGAAACAAACAAGAATAGAAGACTTTGAACAAATAATTGACTTTAATGACTCAACACAATACACAGATTATACATTTTTAAATAGAATTTTATTAGAAAAAAATATAGGTAAGCAAACAAAGAATAATAGTTGACATTCAAGATGTTCATTGATTATAATGAATCCTATTAGACTTACAACGATTGTCAACTCATTCTAATGCTAATTTTGATAAAAATTCTTTTATTCATCAACTATCAAAGCGTTTAATAGTTGGACATACATTTGATGAATTACGCCGTTTAACGAATAGTATATCACTACCATTAGATACAAATAAACAGGTCTCAGTAACAGCTATCATTCATGCTACAACCATGACTCAAATTTATGTTCAAGTTCAAGCTATATTGACTCAAACAACTTTGCCAGAGCATATTTGGATCATTTGTCATACAAAGGAAAAGGCTGAAATAGAGGCACGTATTATGACTTTAGATAGAAAAAGAGTAACAATGATAGCTCGAGATGATATTGGTCATGAATATCAATGGTTACAAGCAACAAGTCATATAGCTACTGAATATGCTTGGATTATTGATCAGGATATAGCACCAGGCAAAAGGTATTTAGAAAACGCTTTGAAATTATCACAAACAGAACAGTATCAATCAGCTTTGTTGGGGACAGGGGGTGCGTTATTGAATCCCAAATCAAAGGATAATGTGGAATGTATTCCAGATTCACAACATTTAGGTAATCAACAAAGAAGTCAGGCAGTAGATATGATATTTGATAATTGGTTACTGCATAGAACTTGGATACCTTATTTATCACGAGCCATTGAAATTGAAGAAAATAGGAAATCATTTATGACCACAACGGATGAGGAAGATGCTGATGATAAGAAGAGTACAACACCCTTTATGACAGGTTTATTCATTAGTAGAACATTGTATATAGCAGCAGGTATACCATCTATCTCACTTCCAACCGATCCTGTTGAACGAGCTTATTGGGGAGATGTACGACTTCAAAGGACAGAAAAATCCAGTACATGTAGATCACTTGAAATAATGATAAAAAATTATAATGTCATGGATGAATTCTCACTGTTGCCTTCAAGCATTATTGATTATTATAACAACTATTACTATCAAGATATGTTTTATAGTCAAAGACATTTAACAGTTGAAGCGTCTAATCATGATGGAGACTCTTCTGTATTATTCTATGTGAATTCTATAAAAGAGATTGAACAACTATCACCCATCCTGTGCAAATTTGAAGCTAGAGATGATGTTGATTTACATATAGTGATCAATAGTAATATCAAAGAGAATACATACAATGGAATTAAAAGTACGCTCTCTTCTTTATGTAACATTGATAGCAGATTTCCTATTCATGCTATAGTGCATGACTTAAGTTTATTACAGTGGAGCTCTACATATGATTTACACTATCGTTTATCACGTGTCTTGGCATTAATCCAACCTAAGGCTATGATTTATACAGTAGTTGACAAAGAACAGCAAAAACCATTTATTCATTCTATCAAAACAGCTTGTAAGATAGCAGATGTTACAGATATATATTTACCAGCAGATGATATACCCCACGCTATTTGGATGACAGATTTTCCATTAGATACCCTTTCAAGTAGTTTTTTTTTTTTATATAAAAAAGAAATTAGATTCGAGTGTATATCTAACGTCTTTTTTTTTTTTTTTTCTTAGAATGGAATTCATTCACTATAAAACTGATGGTGACAATAGATAAAAACCCAATTGCATTAGCTCGAATTTTATCTTCAATAGAGAATGCTCATTATCTTGGAGATCAAGTGGATCTAACAATTTTTATGGATCGAAATGCGGGTCGAATTATACAAACATTTATAGAAAATTTTCATTGGAAGCAAGGGACAAAAAAGATTCAACATCGTATTGCAGAAAAATTACCTGAGGCTTCTATTTTTGTTGAGTCATGGTATCCATCAAGTAATGATGAATATGCGATTATCTTGAATAATAAGTTGGAATTATCCAAGTTTTATTATATATGGGCCAAATATGCTATACTTCGTTATCGTTATTATAATGAAAGGACTGAGAATGAGAAATTATTATGTGGGATCAGTTTATATTCACCTCGTATTTTAGAGACAGATCCTTCTGGTCCTCGGCTTTTTAATCCAGGCAAAGTCTTGATGGAAGCAGGTTATCCAGGTAAAGACAGTGAATCTTACCTAATGCAATATGCAACCTATATGGGAGCGGTTTATTTCCCTGAACATTGGAGAGAATTCCATGATTATATCACAGCTCGACTTGCTGATACATATGGGTTTAATATGCAACAGATGATGATTCCCGATTTAAAATCAAATGAATGGATCAAAACATGGAGACGTTATTTTGAAGAATTGATGTATTTAAGGTCTTATCTGATGCTTTATCCTGCCTTTAGCCAAAGTTTATCTACTTTCCATCTTGAATTGAAAAGGAAAGAGTTACAAGAACAATTTCAAGATGGTATATCACTTTACGATGTATCTTTAACCAAATCAATGACAGATCTCTCATTACCTAATTTTGATGATCTATCTATCTTTGATATCTGGGGTCAACTTTCAAATATAGAAGAATTAAAAGAGAGAGGACTCAAGCTGCACGGAGAGGTTTCGGCTTGTCTACCTGCAACGACAGAAGAAATTGACCTTTATCATGATCCTACTGATTTATTATGTCCTTTTGCAAAGATTGTTACTGTTCCCATAGAACATGAAAATGATCCATTACCAGAACTACCAGTTCAAGAAGTTACGATCTATTTGTAGAGAATTAATATGTGTATATATGTATATGTATACATATAGAGAGAGAGGTATTATATGTAAAAGAGAATAATGATAATAAATACACAAGATAATGATAAAGAAAGAGGATAATAATATTGTTGCTGTTTTTTTCATTATATATATATATATGTCTCTCTCTCTCTCTCTCTGTATGTGTGTGTGTGTGTATGTGTGGTGATTAAAACACCTTTATTCTGAGGTAGATTATAATAGCTCTGGACAAGTGTTTGTCATCCTTTTTGCTTGGTGACAGCAATGATTTCGATTCTTTAATTCTTTATACTAATAAAAGAAGAATGAGACCAAGTAATCATTTTCTTTATTGTTTCCAGTAATTGTAATGAAAAAAAAATGAACACAAAAAAGAAACAGTATGAACAATGTTAACAAAAATTTCAAGTAAATACTCTTTCCTATTATAAATCAAAGAGTTTACATAATCATTCAGATAGATTTACTAATAGGAATAAAATAATTTAATAGGATTGGTTAAAATATATTTACTCTCAGCTTATAATAGTTGAATCAGGTACCTTCTAATTTTTTTTTTTTCTGCAAAATCCTCTAATAAAATAATTCACACATTTTTTTATTTTTTATTTTTTAAAAGCCAGTTTATTAATTAGTATTTTATTGTCATATTAGTCTTATCTATTTTTTTTTTTTTTTTTAAACAAATGTCAACAGAAACGATATCAAAGAATGGTGATGAAGAGGATATAAATAATCGAAAAAGAGCGTTACCATCATCGTCTAACAATAACAATAATAATACTAATAACATGAGACATGCTTCAACTAATAATTACTCATCACTTCGTCGAGATCTGCTACTATCTAATTTTGATCGAACGATGATTGTTGAAAAAGCAAAGTTTGAACCAACGTTTAATGAAGAACAAGCTCCTAGAATTGACATTAGCAATTCGGACATAGTTATAGAAGATACTGAGACTAATAATGCTTCACCAACTATGACAACCTATGCCCTAACTATGTCACCGTCTGCACCTACTTTCAGTAATAATAATAATAATAATAATAATAATAATAGTTCATCACTTTTGTTAGCAAATCCTTTAACAGTAACACAATCCATGAATGATAATAGAAAAAAAGTAAGCAAGCTAAAAAAATATATATTTATATATATATATTAATAGCATGAATTATTATGTAGACAAATATGAAGAAATTAAAAAAGAAAGCATCAAAAACGATTATACATGGTACAGCCAGTCCTGCTGAAGTATTCCATAGAAATTTAGTTGATGCTGTATCTAATGTAGAAGGTAGAAATTCAATTCTATATTGATTTAGTGTATATAAATACATATACATACATACATGTATATATAAAAGTAGTAGTTAAAATTTGTATGTAGATTCTGATGAAAATGAACATTATGTATACCCTTATAGCGGATATGAATCTTCTACTCCAAATAATGGCATTCATCGTCCACTCTCAATTAGATCAACACCTGCGAGTAGTCTATTAAATGACTATTACTATCCAACCAATAAAAGCAAAAGAAAATTATTTGAAAAAAAGGGAGGTGGAGGGTTTCGAGAATGGTTAAGGAAGACATTATATTATCGATCTTCATTAGATACAACAACAGTAGCAGAAGAAGAAGATGTTTGCTATTCCTCAGGTGGAGAACAACAACGTCCAAAATTACGTAGTCATGTAAAGGAACATCATGAACCAAAACCAAGTTTATTAAATCTATGGAAAGATGGATTTATGAGTCATCAAAAGCAACCTCCTTATTATCATTATAATGGAAAATTATTGATAGGAAATTCCACTCATCATCATCATGGTGGTGGCTATACAAGTGATGATGAAGATGTACCTCTTTTATATAACAGAAGACAACAAAAGCGATATAACAGTAATAACAAGAAGAAATGGTATAAATATAAAAGAAGGAAGGAAAGAAAGAAAGAAAGATGACTAAATAATAACACTATTTTGATTTAATTAGTAAAAAGTCAAACTTATTGAGAAATCTGATTTTAATATTTGTATCAAGTCTTATCATTTTAATACTCATAGTAGCTTATCGAGCACAGCCATTAAAAGAAATTACAATCAGTATGGGTCGAGTACTTGCGACAGATAAAGAGCTTATTTTTGATTTAAAGGTACAAGCGGAGAATTGGAATGCATGGACAATTCATGTCGTTGATGCAGACATTAGTGTTTTTGCATTTAGTCAAATTGTACCTAGTTCAACACATATAGAAGGTAAAAGCAAAGCAAAGTTAAGCTAAGCTAAGCTAAACAAAAAAAAGAGGGGAAAAATGGCTTATATTTTGCTTTGTAGGTGTAGATCCTGCAGAATATTTAGGTGGTTTAACTCATTTTGATGAACCATTATCCATTCAATCCAATTTATTTAATGAAGGTCCGATTGAAGCTATTACACAAATACGAATCAAATCCCCTGGAGCAGATACAAGTGGAAATGAAAGATGGTAATGATTAGTGCATATATGAATATATATCACGTGCAATGTATATCACGTGCAATGTATAGATTCATATTTATTGATTTATTTATTTATTAGGTCTCGTATGATCCGATATCCGTATGGGCTTGTTGTTAGAGGCGTATTAAAGTATAAACCAATCCCTTTCATAGTGGGGACTTATCCCCAGTCAGCCGCTATTTGTAATGTGACTCAAATCGACCCCACAACAGGGATTATTTCAAACGATCCAAATAAAACTATTTGTGCCAGTCAAGATGATCCTCATCTTTCTTTCTTTTTTTTTTCTCACGCTCATAAATAAATATTAGAATACACGTCTTCTTTTCCTTTTTCTTTCTTTTTACGTGTAAAATAAAAACAAAAATAAAAAAAATGAGTAAACTTCTTGTTTATGGTGGTGCTGGTGCTTTGGGTCGTTGTCTTGTTCAACATTTCAAATTAAAAGGATATGTAAAGTAGTTTTAATATATGAATATTCAAGTCACTGACTTGAACTATTACTTAGACTGTCATTAACGTTGATTTGGTCGAGAATCAAGATGCTGATTTTAATACATTAACAACAGGCTTCGGTTCATTACATGAACAAGGGGAAATGATTAATGAATCTATTTTAAAAGTATTAGATTCAGAGGAGAAATTATGTGGTATTTTGTGTGTAGCAGGTGGTTGGGCAGGAGGAAATTCAGCAAGTGAAGGTAAAGTAGATGAAAAAGAAAATTTACAACTATGATATATGATGAAGGGCGGGGGAAAGGCTCATGTTTATATATAGATTTTTTAAAAACTTCTGAGTTAATGATCCATCAAAGTGTCAATTCTTCTTTAATTGCCGCTCATCTAGCTTCCAAGCATCTTCAACCGTAAAAAAGAAAAAAAAAATACCCCAAGTACACGAATATCATATACATATATAAAAGGAATTAACCTTCCTCTTTTATATAGTGGTGGATTACTTACAATGGTAGGAGCATTGGCTGCAATAAATGAAACTCCTGGAATGATGGGTTACGGTATAGCAAAGTCTGCTGTTCATCATCTAGTAAAAAATTTAGCTGCACCTAATAGTGGTCTTCCTACGGGTTGTAAAGTGGCCGCTTTATTACCGTAATAATAACATATTAAACCAATTATCATTATTTTTGACTCATTTTTGATATTTATTCTGTAGAATTACAATTGATACACCTATGAATAGAAAATTTATGTCTAATGCTGATTTCACTACCTGGACTTCACCTGAAGTTATTGCAAGGTAAATATAGAAAATTCTAATATGAATGAATAAAAAGCCTAATGTATTCTTTATATAGTCAATTAGAAGGCTATCTTACAAAAGCTCTTCCTTTAACAAGTGGTAAACTTATCAGTGTTATTACAAAAGGAGGAGTTACCACCTTTGATGAAATTTAAATAAAAATTTTATATTTGTATTTTGCTATTGCATATAATTAACTAGTTGAATGTTATACAATAGACTCGCTCGTATAAACATATCAATGTTTATCTACTGGCTAGTATGCAGATATCCCTAGGTAATAAGGGATATGCAGGAACAATAACTACTGAAACAGTATAGGTAGCAAATGATAAAAGTAGATCATATAAAATGATTCAATGAATATTCTATGTTAACATGTCATTATTCTGACTGATGGATGATATTGTTAAATAAAGAGATTTCTTTTTTTTTTTTTTTTTTTTTTTTTTTTTTTTTTTTTTTGGTCTAAAAAAACTTTTTTTAACTGCCGACAGTTTTACCATAAAAAAAAAATAGATGCTTTGAAAGTATACATTTATTTTTATTTCATTTTATTTTATTTTGTCTCCAGGAAAATAAACCTTAGACGGGTTAAATTTCCTCCCCCACATTCCATCCCACGCTTGGTAAATTATTTTTCCATATCTTTAAATTAACCAATTAAAGATATACAAGCTGAACATCATTATTAACCGATTTCCCACTTTTTATTATCATACATATTAGAAAAAACATTAGGGATTTCCCTCTCCTTTCCTCTCCTCTCCTCTCCTCTTCTCTCCTCTTTTCTTTATACTATGACTGTCTTCAAATCGAAACAGCGACCATTTCCTATTCCAGATATTGATATTTATTCATTTTTATTTCAACCAAACGAATTTAATACAATACGTCCTCAAAATCGTCCCTTGTTGATTGACGGAATAACAAATAAATCAGTTTCATTCAAGGAAGCGAGGGAATTATCTGGTAAACTTGCTATAGGTTGGAAGCAACATGTTGGCTTGAAAAAGGGTGATGTAGTTGCTATATTTGCCCCTAATCAATACAATCATGCTGTACTCTATTTTTCTCTTTTGGCTGCTCAATGTATTATTACACCTGGGTAAGTTGGATAGATCAAGATAGAATCATCTATCTATCATGGTTATTTTTGACCTTTTTTTTTTTAACTCAAATACTTTGTTCAGTAATCCTAATTATACAGAAGGTATAACACTCTGTTTTGATATAAAGAGAGAGAGAGAGAAAAGAAAACGCGAGAACTAATACTGATACATTATATATAAATATATATTAGCTGAATTTAATCATCAAATACAGAAATCTGGAGCCAAAGTCATTATCACTGTTCCGACACTTCTTCCCGTCTTATTAAAAGTAGCCATTAAAAATAATATTTCAAGAGATAAACTATTTCTTTTCGGTAATGAGACTGTAGACGGTATTAAGCCCTTTTCATCCATTGCTGCAACTCAAGACAACACACTTCAGATACCTCTTCAAGGTATTCATCCTGCAAATGATTTAGCTTTCATTTGCTTCTCTAGTGGAACAACAGGTGTTGCAAAGGGAGTCATGCTAACTCATCGTAACTTTGTTTCTCAAATAATGATGGTAACTGACTTTGAACAAACAGATGCAACTCAAATGGACGATGTTATTATTGGCTTTTTACCTTTCTTTCATATCTTTGGTTTAACAACGCTAGTATTTCGTGCATTTTACACGAATACGCCTGTTGTGGTTATTCCAAAATTTAATTTGCAACTGGTGTGTCAGTTAATTGAAAGGTACAAGATCACGATAGGTCCTCTTGTACCACCTATAGGTAACAACATGATAGGAATAATACAATGCAATCTCCCTCCCCTATTTTAATTCTATATTTATTTTAATGATACTCTAGTTGTACAATTTGCTAAAGAAGATGTTGTTTTAAAGTATGACTTGACTTCACTTAAAATGATTAGTAGTGGTGCTGCCCCTCTTCGAAGTGAGCATATAGATGCTTTACAATTACGTATAAAGGCGTCTATAAGACAAGGGTAAATAAAAAAAAAAAAAAAAAAAAAAAAAAAAAAAAAAAGGGCAGTTAAACTCTATCATCATCTATTATTATTTGACAGCTAAAATAATATATGTATACATATACATATACATGTATACATTTATATAACTGTATAGCTATGGTATGACAGAGACAACAGCAGGCTGTATTTATCAAAAGGTGGGTAAAAATTGTCCTGGCTCTACAGGCGTATTACTTGCAAATATGGAATGTAAAATTGTAGATGAGGAAGGAAATGGTAAATTAAACAATATAGATATATATATATATATGTGTGTGTGTACCTGTTATTTTGATGAAAAAAGAAAAAACAAATTTACATCATGATAATAATAATAGAACTCGGGCCTGATCAAACTGGAGAAATTCTTTTAAAAGGACCCGTTATTATGAAAGGTTATCTGAATGATGATAAAGCAAATTCGGAAATATTTACAAAAGATGGATGGATGCGTACTGGCGATATCGCTAAATTAGATTCTAAATCTGGGGAATTTTTCATCATAGATCGTATTAAAGAAGTGATAAAGTATAAAGGTTTCCAGGTAATAAAAATAAAGGGGAAAAGAAAGAGAAGAAAATTCTTTGTGCTGATAACCCAATATAGGTTCCTCCTGCTGAACTCGAAGCTATTCTTGTAAGAATTGAATCATATATTCTATATATATATGATAATAATAATAATACCCCGTATTTTAATTATATACCATCATTTAGATTACTTCTTCTATTATTGCTGATTGTGCTGTGATTGGTGTTTATGATAACACTCAGGCTACTGAATTGCCTCGTGCCTATATTACTTTAAAACCAGGATATATCCCATCAGAAGAAACAGCACAAGAGATCATGAAATACGTTGCTGATAGAGTTGTCCCTTATAAGCAAATACGTAGTGTTCGTTTTATCGATGTTATTCCCAAAAGTGCCTCTGGTAAAATTCTTCGTCGTGTATTGCGTGATGCTGCTCATGCAGAAGAGAAAACCATTTTAAACAAAGCTAGATTATAGATATATATATAAAAAAAAAACCTTTTTTTTTTCATAGTCATAGAATCAATATAAATGTATAGAATTATAGAAAAGATTTCATTATTTAATTACTAATGTAATGTATATGATAAATGTTTATTTAATAATAGTCAAGTCAAGGGATAATTTTTTTCCTGCATAATAAATCTGAAACCAAAACTATCATAAACTGACGTCAAGCATGAATTATTAAAATAATAGTGATGCCCTCATTTTTTAATAATCCTGCTGCATCCTTTCTTTATATTTTATAAACAATTAAGCATATTGAAGGAAAATTGAAATGAGTGATCCTCATCATCAACTAAAAAATTCTCTCAATTATTTTCAACATACAAGCAATACAGAAAATAGTATAGATCCTATTGAAAGCAACAGTAGTACAACCTACTCGATCAATATTGAAAACCCTTTAGAGTCAACAAAGCGAACATCCTTTTCTATAGCAAAATCAGATGAAAGTAATCAATTACCCAATAGATTGCCTACAAGAGATACATTAGCAACATCTTCAACACCATCACCACCACAACAAAAGAACCCGAGTATTCTTCAAAGACTTATTGATAAAGCTAAACTCCCTGAATTTCACCAAATGAGGAAAACAATAAAAGCATCATTTGCTTTACTAATAGCGATGGTTTTTATTTTTGACTATCATACAAGAAAAGTAGTGAGCAGTAGTGTATTGCTTGTGGGCATCGTTACTATTTTCTATTTTCCTGTTAGAACAATAGGTAAAAAAAAAAAAAAAAAAAAAAAAAAAAAAAAAAAAAAAAAAAAAAAAAAAAATTATATGATAATTTTGTATTGGATTGATTGAAAAAAAAAATAGGTATTCAAACTGAAGTAAGGCATTTTTATCTCCCTACGTATATATTTCAATTTAAAATCTAATAGAAATTAGGCAGTCCTTTTAGGCACTCTAGGTGGTGGACTAGCATCAGGCTGGAGTTTATTAGGTAAATCTTTTAAAATATACATCAATATAAAAAGATTTAAACTTACAAGAAAATGATTAATAATGTCTAGTATAAATAAGGTTCATTTCTTGCTAGTCTTGCACGAGATAAATCTGATCCGAATCCTGTCCAGGCTGGTGCATGTGCCATTTTGGCAGTGTTTTTATTTATTGGTGTCTTTATTTTAAACCTAATTCGTATAAAATTTCCTAAGGGTAATTTAATTTAAAGAAGAAAATTAGGATACATACAATATAAAATTGGTTTAATTTTACTAATATTCATTTTGATCTTGATATCATTTAGCTAACTTTGGAACTGTTATTGCTTGTATTGTTTTAACAGTAAATAATTGTTTATTAATTGATTATATATTTTTAACAGCTTTAAATAATTACTATCGCTAATATTTTTATTTATTTATTTTTTGCCCAGTTTTCAATGACTTTTAGTGCAGGATTTAATGAATTTACTCCAGAGGTGATCGTAAGTTTTTCATAAAACAAATTATCTAATATAAACAATTTCATTAAGCAATTTAGTGAAGTGGCAACTTCTTTTGCCCGTACTTGTAGCTGGAGCAATATGTTTGGCTATCAATTATCTTATCTGGCCAGACGATAGTATCAACAATTTTTTAGGCATCTCGAGGAAAACACTTGCAGGTTACAATTCTTTCTTTAAAGAACATACAGATGCCTTTCTTCAAGATTCACCTGTCAATCATAATGTTACACTTCCAACTTTAAGTGCACATCTTAAAAATGGTATTCTTTTAATGATTGAATGTAAACGTGCCGTAAAAAGGGAAATCCTGTTTTCTCGTATATCAGACGTAGATTGCAGTGAGATATCCAATTTGATTACCAACATGCGAAGCCCTTTACATGGGATCGGTGTCAGTCTAATGTTGAAAAATAATTATGTTTATTCTGAGAATAAGAATATGTTTTTTAATAAATTTATTGATCCAGTTACGATGGATGCATTTACAACTTCACTCAAGGGTATACGTCCTATTAGTAAAGAATTATCGGACTTATGTTACAACGCTACAAATCAAGCCTCAATTAGACTTGCCAATCTTCACTACCCTCCTAGAACTACATTAAATAGTATCCTGTGGCCGTTTCCAAGACTTTGGGTCTCGAAAAAGGCAACGACGACAACAAATAAAAATTGCATAGGTCAAACTGAGGATCCAGTGTCTACATCAATACTTTATGAAACTATTCATCAACTGGATGAAATATCTAAAAGTAATAAAGTATTTTGCAAATTTCTTGGCTTGAATGCTACTCAACTCCCTCGAAATGGTCCACTCTATTTACTCTTTCTTTATATATTCAGTCTAAGACAACATGCCCTTAGTGTTGCCTCGCTTTTGAAATTAATCGAAAAACTAGAAGCAAGGCGTGTTAAGCCTAGGATATTGTTACCTCATCAAACATTAAAGAAATGGATCATGTCTAACAGTGAAGTCGGTGGCTCTGTAGGAGGTGATGAAAATGACTACGAAAATCAACCAGGAGGGAATGATTTGGCTCGTGTGGGTACGCTTCAAAGTAACTCTCATGATTCTGAAAGTAATGATGTCTTTGAGGCAAAATCGTCACGGATAAGGAAGAAGCAAACCAAGTTTGCTGATCCCGATGTGTCTGCCCCTATTACACCTATGCAAAAGTTTTTTTATCTTATCTATCTCTTTCTCCGATGGCTTACAAACACTTCAACTTTGTTTGCTATTAAAACGGCTATTGGTGTTGTTATGATGGCTATACCCGCTTGGATGCCTCAGAATCACGAATGGTATATAAGTTGGAGAGGACAATGGGGAATGATTACTTTAGTTTTATGGATGTTTCCAATGACAGGTGCATTTGTGTTTGGGTAATATGGAAGTATTATTCGCTTATAAATGATATTTACTAATTAAGAGAGTTTTTTTTTTCTTTCTTTCCTCCTAATATGTAATATTAAATATATGCATATAGTATTTTATATAGAATTATAGGTTCTGTTATTGGGGCTGTTCTCGGAATTATTGTATGGGAAATGTGTCGTGGAAATGCTTATGGAATGGCAGTTGTTTGCTTCATTTTATTTCTTCCTTTATACTATATATTCTTCTTTATACCAAAATATCGAGTTATTGCTTTAATGACTAAAGTAACAATGATTCTTGTTGTCTCTTACGAATACAGCTACGTTTTAGAAGGTTTACCTGGATATGACAAAGTTTATACTGTAGCCGGAAAGGTAAGGATATATGATTAGTGTATATATACATATACATATACATATATATTTATATATGTATTCATATATGTTTAGAGATTGCTATTGGTAATTATTGGAATTGCTGCAGGCGGTATCTTAATATCTCTACCCTATCCTCCTACAGGTCGTGTTGAGCTTCGTAAGAAAATTGCTAATACGATGCGTGATATTGGAAAATGCTATGGAATATTATATGCTAGTACAATTTCTCCTGCAGGTGTTGAAGCTTCGCCTACTGTTTCTAAAGATTTTAGAAAGCTGACTCTTCAACTTCGACGACAAGTTGCAGAAGAGCGTGCACTTTTACAACATACAGCTTATGAACCTCCACTTCGTGGTTACTTTCATTCAGAAAGTTATAAAATACTGGTTGAAAAGATGGATCACTTGTCTGATCTTGTTACGAATATGGTAATATTTAACGTATATATATATATATATATATGCATAAATGAACAATTTTATTTTTGTTTTATTTAGGGATTTGCACTACGTGAAGTAAGGTCTGAATGGAGAAAAAATATTGCATCTATTTTGTTACAAGAAAGAAAAGACTATGTAAATATAAATTATGACTATATAATTATTGGGAAGAGGGAGAGGGGGGGAGAATTTTATACTAGTGGGCTAATATTATATTTATATGAAAAAAAAAAAAAAAAAAAAAAAAAGCTTTCCGCAATTCTTACTAGTGCAAAATTGATTTCTTCAACTCTTGCTGCAAAGACAGCACTTCCACCTTATATGATTTCTCCAATTGATGCAAGGCAACGATTTACATCTCTTTTAGAAAAGAAAATAATGATTGATCCCAAGGATATCGCGAATCCTTCATTTTCTAGTTATAGTGCGTATCTTATGAATGGCCTTGTGTTTGTTGATGAACTTGAAAAAGTGCTTAACGTGACTAAAGATCTTGTAGGAATAGAGGATCCTGATGAATGGATTCTTTCGCGTTCATAATATAAAAATTATATTTTATAAGCATGTAGAATTAATTATTCTTTATTATTAATAATAGTAATATTATTATTATTTATTACTCGTTAATGTATAACAATAATAATTTAAATCCTTACATAAGAAATATGTACAATAATTATAGGATGTGATATTTCCATAAAATATCAAATAAAAGGTATTATAATAAAAAGACAAAAGAAGTCAACGAGACCGAACAGTAGTTCTAAGAGTCGAAGATATTTATTAATGAATTTAAATTGAAAAGTGTTTATAAGGATTGTTGAAGAAGCCAGAAAGAAGATGTGAATCAGAAAAGTGTTAGTTACAACTGAATAAAATACGTTGTAGATAATGAAGTGTGAGACGTGTTAATATTATTTGATGAAGTAGATCATGGGAATTTTAAGAAAGTCTAGATAGGACTTTTTGATCCGCATGTTTGATTAGTTCATGACATAGGATAAGAAAAAATAATTTACATAATAATCTAAAGATTATTTTTCTTTCTTTTCACTATGAAACACAATTTAATGCTGTTATTAAAAGAACCGTTGTCATCAAAAAGAAAACATAGATATTTATTAGAAATATCATTAATCCAAAGATAAAAATAAAAAAAAATAAGAGTATGAGTAAAGTAAAGTAGAGTAATACTTGTCTATAATTTAAAGCATACATATTAATTTTTTTTTGTTAGCTTCTTAGTTATGATATTTAGTAGTCTTGGGCATTTTTTAATACTTTTAAAATAACTGCCAATTCTTTTAGGCAAATAATTTATTAAAAAAGCCAGATTTGAGTCATACACACTAACTAGATATAGTATTAGAATAGAAGTATATCACTTTTTTATATTTCTTCTTTTTTTTTTTTTTTTAATTCAAGAAAGCCTATTATGTGATTGGTTTAAATTGATAGCAGAAGTTTGTGAAAAAAAAAACTTAACAATGTACACAGTAATTTAGTTCTTGAAAACTTTATTTGCGTGTGATACAGATTCGACGAAGATATTACACTAATTATATGCTATTATTCAACATTAATAAAAAAAACCCGTCCATTGTCACACCCATAATTTTATAACAATGCTTTCATATTTTTTTTTTTAAATAATTCATCTTCTTTTTTTTTTCGACTGGTTGAGAGGACAAAAAAGAAAATGGTCTATAAATCTAAACTTCCTAGCATTGAATTACCAAAATCTGGAATTATTCAGTTTATTTTTGCTAATAAGAATATATCTGAAGATAAGCCTGTTTTGATTGATGCCATTGATAAACGCTTCATTACATATGGTACATTAAAGGATTCTATATTACGTTTTGCTGCTGGTTTGCAAGATGTATGTGATTTCAAAAACGACGATGTTATGGCCCTCTATGCTCCTAACCAAGTATGTATCATGAATACATGATTTTTTTTTGTTTACTTTTTGATTTATACTAATACAATACATAGTATAACTATTCCATCCCACTTCTTGGTGCAGTTGCTGCCAGTAAGTTAACACGATATGTTTAAAATAAGTTTGTACCCTAAATAATCAACCACATGTATATACGTTTGATGTATCTAGATGGTGCAACTACTCCTGCTAATCCAAATTATAATGTGGAAGAACTAGCATACCAGTTAGAAATGACAAAGGCAAAGGTGATTATTTGTCATGAAGAAAATATGAAAAACGCTCTAGTAGCTGCTGAACATGTCGGTATCCCTAGAAAGAATGTTTTTATTTTTGGTAACAAAGCAATTGATGGAGTTCAACCTTTTGAAACAGCACTTATGGGTGACCGTAGGGCTTTTCCTGAAGAACTTACATATGAGCAAGCTAAGGAAAAAGTTGCTTATCTTTGTTTTTCATCAGGTACCACAGGTAAAAGTAAAGGAGTCATGACAACGTAAAGTAGTAATCATAAATATAAAATGAGTACATATATATTTATATGTACATGTTCCATTGAATTTATCTTTTTTTTTTCTCTTTTCTATATACATACATACATACATACATATATTCAAGTCATTTAAATATTACTGCTAATACTTGTCAATATATTGCACTGGAAAATGCTTTTATTGACCCTAACATTGATCGCATGATTGGTGTACTTCCATTCTTTCATATTTTTGGACTTACTATTATCTTACATTCTGCTTTGTATTTGGGTATCCCCGTTTATATTTTACCTCGATTTGATCTCGTCAAGTTCTGTGAGACGATTCAAAACGATAAGATTACTTATGCTGCTTTAGTTCCTCCAATCTATCTTTTATTGGCTAAACATGAAATTATTTCTCATTATAATCTATCGTCTTTCAGAATTGGTATCTCTGGTGCTGCTCCACTTTCTGCAGATCTTGGTAGAGAAGTTAAAACTCGTTTGCCTCATTTGACCATCAAACAAGGCTATGGTTTGACCGAAACTTCTCCCTCAGCAATTATAGAACCTACGAATCGAACCATTGATGGATCTACAGGTATTCTTCTTCCTAACATGTTTGCAAAAGTAGTTGATGAGAATGGCAATGGTAAAAAAAAATACATCTAAAAGGAAAAAAAGAAAAAAAAAAAAAAAGAGGGGGGAAAAGAAAGCTGAGGCTTATTTGATAGATGTTCATCAAGGCGAGCGTGGAGAACTTTGGCTTAAAGGCCCTAATATTATGAAGGTATTAATAAGTATTATGCATGACATAAACTGCATAATTTACTGATATCTCTTGGGATATATGTGAAGGGTTATATCAATAATCCAGAAGCTACATCAGACTGTATTGATGAAGATGGATATTTTCATACGGGCGATGTGGTTATTGTTGATAAAGATGAACACTTTTATATTGTGGATCGTATTAAGGAATTAATAAAATATAAGGGTTTCCAGGTAGTCATAATAATCATCATCATAAATTTAGATTGTAAAAAGTAAGTATTATTCACTAAGCATTTATAGGTTCCTCCTGCTGAACTTGAGGGTATTCTGGTAATTTTTTTTTTTTTTTTTTTTTTTTGCTGTTTCATTTAGAAATTAAAAAAAATGGGGTTTTTTTTTTTAATTATGTATTTAGCTTACACTGTCTATTGTTGCTGATTGTGCTGTGATTGGTGTTTATGATAACACTCAGGCTACTGAATTGCCTCGTGCCTATATTACTTTAAAACCAGGATATATCCCATCAGAAGAAACAGCACAAGAGATCATGAAATACGTTGCTGATAGAGTTGTCCCTTATAAGCAAATACGTAGTGTTCGTTTTATCGATGTTATTCCCAAAAGTGCCTCTGGTAAAATTCTTCGTCGTGTATTGCGTGATACTGCTCATGCAGAAGAAAAGAAAGCTGTAGCTTCCTCACACAAATCTAAGTTATAGAAGGTATCATTACACTTTCGGCTCTATAGCTAGTTATCATTATTACTTTATAAAAAAAAAAAAAAAAAAAAAAAAAAAAAAAAAAAAAAAAAAAGTCTCTATTTTTTATATGCATTTAATTTTAATAATAGGCTTATATTATATTTTTTTATTATATACTGTAAAATATATTTGGGTTTTGCTTTTATACTTTATGTACTATAGTATTTGTAACTTAGATTTTAATCTACAAGTATAATGTTATATATTGTTATTATGGATAATAGTTGACTTTATTATGACATATAATATTAATTATTCAAAATAACTGGTTAAGCATATATTAGTAACCATGAGAAAACCTATAGACTATAATTTGGGTCTCATTTCGAGGATTATTTCAGGTAATTAATATTAATGACTGTAATGATAAGGGCCAACATTAGATGTAGCAGATGTCCTATTTCTTAAGTTCATATTTGGAGAGTGTCTTTCTTCCTGTTGATCTAATAAATCATTATATGGGAACATGTTCATCTGGTTAATGACGTTTGGAGATGTGTACATATCATGAATATTCATTTGATGCTCCCACGGTAGTGGAGGTCCTTCCATATAACCTTTCCATAGTCTTTGTGGATCTTCTGTTGATAGTGTTTTTGTCAGCTGAGTTGGATGAGGTGGTAGTGGCATGTAAGATAAGTAGTCATTCCCTGATAATGGAATAAAATTCTCAAGTCTATATGAAGTAGGAGGCAGTGCCGAATGTTGTCTCATCTTTATATTATCTTGGGTATTTAAATTGATTGGAGGAGGAGGAGGTGGTGGTGGTGGTGGTGGTGGTAAAAAAGAAAGAGGTACTCTATAGCTAGCATCAGCGTGATGATGCATTATAGAGGAAGAATGATGCTTTGTATTGTTATCTCTACCTAGCATTTGAGGACGACTATGTGAAGTTCTCAGGTTGTAAGGTTGCTTTTGAGATGAAACGTATTGGTAATATTTTTTGTTACCATTATCAAAATTAGGAAATTCTGGATGTTTCATATTGAACTGATTTTGACTATTATTTATATTACTAGTAGCTATTTTTGGTGTCCGTATATTGCTAGATGATGAATTAGGCTGGTCAGTGCTTCTACTATTCTCATCAGACAAAGTGATGCCAGAATTGTTTATACGGTTATTATTATTATTATCAGCATTGTCGGAAATATTACTTTTTGCACTATGTAAAGACGATTTTCGAGAACGATTGTTATGATGTTGTAAAGAAGGAGGATATGGGAAAAACGCAAAATCATCTTCCATAAAATAAGAGGTATTATTGGGATAATATTGAAACTGATGTGTATTTGATGGGTAATAAAAATAGTCTTGATCCTCTAGTTCGCTAGGAGAGACCCATCGTGATTCCATAGATCTTGACCGTGGACGTCTTGAATGGGAGTTGTAATGATATCCTTGATATGCCCTTGCTGGTATAGCATCGACTGAATTGACTGGTGTATGATTTTTATTCACCATCATCTGTCTTTGATTGTTCATGGTATATTCATTATGATTCTGAAAATGAGAGTAATGAACAAAGTCATGATTTTCATTTGCATTTATTTCTGGGAAATAGTCATCAAATGAAGAGCCATGATAATTCATTGCATATGGGAATGATCTTCGCTTTCGATATCTATTGTTATAATGATGCTTACTGCTAGCATCCTTTTGCTCACTTGGTATTATTTTTTGATCCCCATGTATTGTAGTAGAACGAGATGTCTTCATTACAGGTTCATCCTTGATATCCTCATTCATTCTATCCCCAACTTTCTTAGTATCCGTCTGATTCGGTATAGTAGCTGTATTTTGCTGTTGATAGTTTCCTAGTGATGATGGAAAGAGCTTACCAGTAGTTATTGCATCCTCTAACTGCCTTTTCGTTAAATAAATTTGCTCCAAAATCTCATTTTCTCTTAATTTTTGATCCTCTACCCTTTTTAAATGCTCTTCTAAATCAACAAGACGTTGCTGTTGTATACGATTTACAGTATACTTTAACTCCAACAGATCTTCGTTCAATGCCATTTTATCAAGCTGAGATTGAAGGATTTCCATTTCAATATTACTATTGCCTTTGACGCAGTCATTGATACCCATGTTGATATTTGAATGGTGATTGTTGTTTTGTTTTTGAGAAAGAATAACAGGAAATTTGGATGGCTCGGAGGAGATGGTTGCAATCTGTAACTGTGTCCCACATAGTGTGTTACTGTCTTTTACAAAAACATTCTGGGGAGACTGTGTAACGATATCATGATTTATAATGAATGAGGAACCAGAGGAAGACTTTGGTAAGTACTTAACTTGCTTGTTTGTAGTAATTACTGAAGTGTTGTCATTACTAATAACAGGATATGAATTATTATTATTATTATTATCTTTATAGAGAGGTGATGTTTCTGTATAATACGTAATGGTAGCTGTTGATGGCTTAATTATTTGATGAACAACAGTTGCATTACTTGAACGAGATTTCTCTGACATTTTATTGAAGTTTTTAATGTTAGCAATATTATTTGGTTGCCGTGAGGGAGGAAAAGATTGAAAAAAAATCGCAGTTTCACGTTCAATAACTTGATTAAAATTGGATAAGGGAGAAGAAGTTGTAAGAATAGGCAATTTTGATGTTGAAATATGAGGTGTATTTGAATTGTCATTTTCTTTTGTAATATCGGATGATAATTGGTGAGTCAATAGTTTCCTTTCTTTATTATTTATGATATTAATTCATGTCATACAGACAAAGGAAAAAAAAAAAAGGGAGGGAGAGAGAGAGAAAGAGACTTTTTATTATTATTATGTATTACCTTTAGTTTGTGATGTGTTGGATGGCATAACATTGCTTAGTAAAAATTCAATATCACTGCTGTCATCATCAGTACTATCGTTACTACTCATGCTTTGGTTTTCGACTTGAGTTTTTTCATCTACATAAGTTCTGTAAAGGGATTGAGTGAGAGGCACTAGACTGTGAGCTGATATAGAGGCAGTAAATGCTGGAAGTGAACTTTTTTTACTGGTAGTAGGCTGGGTTGTATTATCAAGAGGAGTAGTTGCTATTTTAGCTTCAAATGAAGAATTGCTTTTAACTTTCGAGTTATTATTGATGGAGGTCTCTAAATTCTTCCTCTCTTCTCTTCTTCCACTAATAAGTATTGTCAGCTCTGAATCAGTCATATCTGCAAATTGAACACCACTTATCATTGGAAGAGGTATTTTAATATCATCAGGTCTTAATTGAATTTTGGGCGTTTTTTTCCTATTTGATTTGAATAAGTTTCTCATTTTTTATAAGATAAATAATGTATATTTGGAGGGGGAGGGTATTTATGTTTAAAATAGTAGTAAAATATGTCCGTTTCAAGGGCTTCTATATAACTATGACAAGATTAAAATAAAATAAAATATATAAATAAATATTCATATACAGATATATATTTATATATAAGAAATAAAAGGAGAATAGTGCGTTTCAAATGGAACAGAACTTATGATGGCTATATAACAACATATTAAGGCTTTGGCATTTGTGCGTTCAGTAGACGATATGAGTATCAAAGCCACCAATAAAATAGTATTATTATTGTTATTATTATTATTTTTTTTTTTTTTGTAATACAACAACGTCATGAATATTTATTATTCCATTTTTTTTTTTTTTTTTTTTTTTTTTTTTTTTTTTTTTTTATATATACATCTACAATTTTATATTTATTATGTACAAATAGATTTAATCGAAATTTCTAAGTTTACTATACTTTAATACTTCCATTGTTAGTTCTGTTGGTTTTATATTATCCTGCTGCATTAATGCGTATGTATCTTCAACTCTTTTCCAACGACCTGATTTAGCCCAAGCTCTCATGACAATTGTATATATGATTGCATTTAATTCAATGTTGCTATTTCTCAATTCTTCCAAGATACGATTACAGGTTTCGGGGTCAGGTACATAAGCGTGAGCAAGCATTAAGGTAGCATATGTCACTAGTGTTGGTTGAATTTTCTGTGCTGTCATATCTTCATATACTTGACTAACCATAGGTAAAGCGCTACGACGAAGGAAAGCACGCATAAAAGTGGTATAAGTGACTACATTTGCACTAATAAAAAGGGATGATTTTTGCTTATTTTTTATACTGGCTTGATAATAATGATAATATTTTTTAATTGTGTCAACATCTGCATTTGCGATTAAAGCGTTTAATAATACATTACGAGTATGTAGTGTTGCCTTTAAAGAGCTTTCTTTAGAATTGAAAAATTTGTTATATAGCTGAATAGCAAATTCATTATCATGTTGCTTCACATGCATTCCCATCAAAGTTGTTACTATAACTTCATTGACATTAACATTCTCATCTTGCATCTTTTTATAAACATCCCAAGCTTCCTTCAGTCGCCCTTCATCTCCTAATCCATGCAACATGATGGCAAATGTATAAACATCAGGTTTTAAGCCTGCATCTAATAAATTTCCCCAAAATTTCAATGCGGATTCCATATTCAGTTGTCTAACAGAATGGTGCATTAAAACATTGTATGTAACAAGGGTGGGTTGAATCTTTCTCTTCATCATCAATCTAAAGATGGCTTCAGTGTCATCAATGTTAGCCTGTTGCATGTAGCCGTCAATGAGTGTGGTATAAATATAAGCATCAGGTTCAATTTTTTGTCTTAACATACGATTCACCCATTTTCTTGCCTTTTCGTTATCGGATCTTTTTACATATTCATCGATGATCATGGTATAGGACTTAATGTCGGGTTTGAGTCTTTCATTCTCCATTTCACGAAAAATATTAATTGCTTTATTAAAGCGACTTTCTAAAATTGCAAACATAATTAGTTTATTGTATTCAAAAACTGTTGTCGGCCTCGGCTTCTTATGCTTTAGTGTATATCCTTTTACAAGTTTATTCATCTGGCCATGATAATGTTTTGTCATAAAATAATGATATTTCTCTTTTCTTTTAACCTCATTACTCTCAGTTTCTGTTGTTTTTAAATTAGGTGAGGATTTTTGTGCATCGAAGAATGTAGGTTTTGACTTTTGTGTTGAAAAAAACCTATGAGCTTCATGTTTATTAAATCTGTTAAAGAAGTTACTACTAGTATGTTTCCATGTTGAGTTTGTAGGTAATGTATGTAGAGTGTTGGTGGATATCGGTCTTAAAACAATAGCACGAATAACATCAACTATAACCAATTTTGATAGAGGAGATTGTCTAAATGCCATAGTCCAAGAAAAGAGAAAAAGGGAGAGGCCCAGTTTATTATTGGACGGTCAATACAATATTCCCTTTCTAATAGGGACCCTGTAATGATAGTGTTAATGCTATTGTACTTTAACATTGGAGTAATTTTAAATAGGAAGGGGTTTTAATTTGTTGATGACAACATCGGAAATTATGTTAACCGTCACTTATAAGACCATTCTATCTTAAAGATACTGTATTGCCTGAAAAAAAGGAGAAGAAGAAAGATGTGATAAGATATAAAGACTAACTAATGAAATTGAAATTGAATACAGATAACCAAACGAATAAAACTGAATAGTGGGAAAGGAGAGATTTTATTATAAAAAAAAAAGATAATTCATTTTCATATGATAAGGTACAAATAACCAGCCAAAATGGTAAGAAGGAGAATGACACTGTATTAGAATGCTTTGGATGTTGATAAGATACTTCTTCTTTGTTCAATAGGAAGAGGGTTTGAGCTTTTATTCAATAGTTACAAGCACATTAGATATAATAAGGCATGCTTTTCTAAGTTTTTTTTTCTTTCTTTATGCCCAAAATAATCCTTTATACTTTATATATCTTGATTATGTGATAAATGATGGCTTGTGGGTATGTTAATTTAATTAAGGAATAATAAGACAAGTAAAGGAGTCAAGTATATAAGGAAATGATTTATATAGTTTTCAATTACAAACATCTGTTGAAGCCTACATAGCTAGCAAATAGCTTTATTCGTAGATGGTTGAAAAAAAGTTTGTAATAGGTGATAATATCAATCACATGAACTTACTCGTAAGAATATTAAGTTATGTTAAAAAGTATTATTCTACATTAATTGACATATACAAAAGTCAGGCCCTTTATTATCATATCTGATACCTTTTATAATGGAAAAAAAAAAAAGAGCATATATTTGTATTATGAAAATCCTTTATCAAAATGTCCTACTGAAACTAATACTGGTGATAGTTGGAGACGTAAGAAAAAAAAATGTTTTGTCTATGTTATTCTACTGTAATCTGATACAGTTTTACGTTACTCTAGTATACTGAAAAGCTTCTAAACTCCAAAGAAGTTATATTAAAAAAAAAAAAAAAAAAAAAAAAAAAAAAAAAAAAAACTACTAGAAAAAGGATGTTAAATATGCTTGTTCGACTTGTCGCAAGTTTCAATTTTCAAGGACACGAATAAGTAGGAATAAAAATAATCATTACTACAAAACATTATCTTTCTATAAACATCAGACACAACAGGGTTTTATCAAGTTGTAAATTTAAGTGAAGTTAATTAAAAGTGAAGAATGTTTATTATTAACTCTTTTCTCACTGTAACATAGTTTTGGCGTAATGCTACTTAAAAAGCGCAGTAGCATTTTTCATCGTAATCGGTGATTTAATAATTCGTACTATATAAAAAAGATGAAAGTATGATCATTGGTGCAATGCTCGTTTTTTTCACAAAGAGAAAATATAACATTACTAAAATGTCTATTCCATTTGCTAAATTACTAGATGACTCTAGAAATCAATCAAATGATTGTGATGGCTGGCGTGATATGTTAATTGGTAAGGTCATTCTTAATGACGATGAAGAAACTGCTCTTAACGCTGGAGAGGTAACTATTCATTCTTTTTCTTTTCTTTATAAATATAAATACATGTATATAAACCATGACGTAAAGATATATGATATTAATATGGATACTTAGTATATTCGTAAAAAAGACTTGCCTAATCCTCATCGAGTTTTACCTCCCAACTCCGTTAAGACTATGGATTTTAGACCAGAACGTTTAAATATTAGGGTAGATCATACTATGAGAGTAACTGGTGTAAACTATGGCTAAATAGCTGCTATATATGTATACATATATCCATATACACATACATGTATATATAATACATATACACGTGTGTAATTTTTTTTTTGTTACTTCAATCCTTGCAATATTATTTAAATAAAATGTTCAAGTAAAATAATAAGAACTTTATTCTCATTTACAAGAGCTTATATTCAATTGCCCTCACAGAATTAGCTACATGCACTTTTCCTTTTAGATATGCATATAAATATATATTGTCTGATTTTATTTTGCTTATTTCTAATAACCAATGAATACAAATAACAGTTTTAATTTCAAAGATATCATTTGATAATATCAGAAAGTATAACAAGGAGAAATCATGAACGATAAATCTTCTCTGCAAGAAAAAAAAAAAAAAAAAAAAAAAAAAAAAAAAAAAAAAAGAGATAATCAGGTGAAGATACAAAAATAGAGATGTAAATTTATGAACTTTGAGACACAAAATAAAATTTATGCCGATATTATTATTATTTAAAAGAAAAGAAAAAGAAAAAGTCATATACTATCAAATAGTAGAAGCATCAACTAATACAATCAAAGAGCATATTAAAGATGATTTCAAATCCTTTTTTATCAAATACGTTCAAATTTCATTTAGGCTTGTATGATAGATAATTGGCCTTAAAAGATAGTTTAGAAGATTAACATATAAAAAAAAAAAAAAAATCCAAGCGCTTTTAAAGCTTCTGTAAAAGATATCAATTATCCTCATAGTAGTAGTACTACTACTACTATTACTATTACTTTGAAAGTTCCTCAAAAGATGACTATGCTTAAAGAGAACTAAGCTATTGTGGAAAGAAACAAGATTGAATTAATATCTCAGCTACAAATACCACAGACAAATTGAAAGTAAAATATATTATGACTGTTTGCGCAAAATAAAAATTGCTGCATTAAATTTATCATTCTTTTATGAATTATAAAAAGAGAAATTTGTTGGTAAACTTTAATGTACAGAAAAAATAATATATTAGTTCCAATCAGAAAGTTTATCCAATTACATTCGTTAGTAATTTAGGTTTCAGAATTTATACCAATATTAAAGATCATTTAAGATATGGTGGAATTTTAGAAGGCAATAAAGCATGATTTATATACTTTTGTCTATATTGACTAATGGAACATAATTCATCAAAAACTTGTGTTTTCAGTTTTTAAACACACACACACACACACGCGTTCTATCAAGATCTTAAAAGCAGAAACAAGTTGTTAACTATAACTTTGTTTATAACAATTCCAATTGTGTCACTTTCTAAACTAAAAGTTTTTTTATTGAGAAAAAAAAAAAAAAAGATCCACTCTTTTTTTTTAATAATTGAAATTTCTAACTTAGCTGTCTTTCTATTTAACTCGTTCATCTTTCATATGTTTCTTTACTTTGCGTAGGCCAGTCAGTCTAATAATGAATTTATTAACTATGGCTATATTATTTTCCTTGTCCAAAACAAAGATAATTATTTTGTATAGGCAATTTTATACCCCATTTATAACATTTCTACTTCAAATCATATATTAATTTCTTTTTTTTTTCTTAAAAAAAATCCATTTTGCTATTTTAGGTAAATTCTATTTTAAATTTTATAACATTTACTTGAGGCCATTGTTTGAGAAATTGTATATACAGACAACTGCTTAAAAAAAAAAGTATGAATTAAAATGAACTGTATTTCTTATTTTCTGAAACAAGATATATTATGAATGATAGATGAGTTTAAATAGAGAATAGCAGTAATACTTCAAATTCAGATGATGTTAGGTTTTTTTTTTGGACGAATCAAAATTTAAACTCAGACAATTTGCTTACCTTTTTTTGGATGAAGTAAATACAAAATTTAGACAGATTGAAGCTTATGCTTAGGCATCTTACATGTAAAAATCTTAAGCCCTGAGGGCACCTGTGTTTACTACAGTGATTTTGTTTCTTGTTTGAGGTTTGAAGATCGGTAGTCTTCCTTCTCCTGACCAGATTGATTTAAAAATAACCATCATATTCCGGGCAGCGTTGACATATCTCTGCCAAAGTTTGTGGCAGCTTTGGCAAGACACTACACCATTCCCCTTGAAATTGGACGTGCTAACAGTTTTCAAACTAAGAGAAAGACAGAGGCTGCAAGTTTTGGAGATATTGAATTCGTCAATTGTTACAACAATTAACTGACCTTCAGACTCACGTCTTTTCAATATTTGATATAATTTACCAACAGCGCCACATCTCAAACCTTTCATCTTTGCAAGGTCTTTGCCAAACATTTCAGCTCTGAAGACAACCAGTGGCACCTTCTTTTTGTTTTCATCGAACGAAGCTGCTCTCCATTTTTTAGTTCTATTAAATGTGTTTAAGCAAATAGTACAGACTAAAATGAAATGTTTCCTTACTTTGTCCTTTCGGGTTTGCCTACTGTCTTGTCTTTCCTTCTTCTTTGCTTTATTCTTCTTTTCGCCTTCTTTTTCTTTTGATCTCTTTTTGAGCGATTATATTTGGCGGTACCATATGTCAGCATATTTGCCATTTGTTGAGGGGTCCTCTGTAGATCTTGATATAAAGAAAAGCGATCTCTGGCATCATCTACACAGTAAAAGCTGAGCAAAGCATCTAGATGTTCAAACATATATTCTACATGATTTTGGTATGTGGTAAATAGAGAAGTCTTTGATGAAGGAATATTGCTTTCAATTAAACTAATGCCAGAGAGTGCTTTCTTGTCATTCAATTGCTTTGTATATCTTGTGGAACCAGTCATATGGTAGTATTCTTTTAACCATCTCTTAGTCTAGAAATCAATATATACTAACTATGTATGACCCTTCACAAGTCTATTATTTGATAGCTGAATTGTAGATAATACTCTGGAAGACTGTCAAGCAGACTAATACTTACTTGGGCAAAAGAAATTTTGATCTGTCTGAAATAGAAATTGATTATATTCTAAGAAAATAGAAAAATTCTGAAAACTGTTTTTTTTTTTTTTTTTTTTTTTTTTTTTTTTTTTTTTTTTTTTTTTTTTTTTAGACGACATGTTCAAAGATATCATTTACAAGAAAAAAGAAGCAATACGCATTAAAAGAGAATCGAAAGAAAATAAAGATGATCCTTTTAGAGGTAAAAGATCTAATCCAAAATAGTCTAGTATTTAAGGTTCTGATTTTTGTATAGATATGACATGTAAGGATTGTAACAACAAAGGGCATGCAAATAAGGAGTACTTCAAGTGTAAATTCTTTAAGGAAGCTTCTGTTGATGATGGTATGTCAATTTCAGATACATAAAAATATTTCCATACTAACGACCTTTTTATTATTAAAAGTTGGAACATCAACTAGAAAAAGACGCCAAACTACGCGTCTTAAGGAAGACAAACAAAGAGTAAAAAGGAGTAAACAAGACACAGGCTCAATATCAAATAGCTGTACGAATTGTGGACAAGTGGGTCACAAGTCAACAAGATCACGTGAATGCCCTTCGCATGAGCTCTCAAAGTCTGAAGTATTTACGAAGAATCTTGAGTTTCCTTATAAACCGTTCAACAGGAAAATTCCATTTGATTGTGTAATCAATAATGATTACAAAGATATACTCAAGAACAAAATCATCACTACTTCCAAAGACATTCGCAATATCGTATTCAGGTCCATGCTTCTTACAAATAGCTACTGTCTATCGCAGGGTAGTGAATCAGTGCCTCACGTTATTTTCAAACAACAATACTGGTATTCTATATGTCAATTAGTTAATGACAAGAAAATAACAAACAATGCAAATATACCAGTAAATTTTGTGGCATTCTGGGATTCGTTCAGAGTGACACACCCAAACGCAATATATATAAAAAAAAAGATACAAAATGGAGCCAGTCAGTGCTTGGCCGAAGCATGCACAGAACTGGCAACATGTTATACAAACCATATAGTCGAAATGTTTGAGACACGATTATTGCGCTATTTTCGCTATATTTTGCAGAATTTATTAGAGGTGAATCATCATGTCCTGTATTTCTTTAAAAATACAACTCACACTTTTGTAAAATATAGAGAACATCGTCACAGGATATCTTTAAGATTTCAAAAGATTTTTGTTATCAATTTACCTATGGCGGCAACCCCAAATGGCCGGTTGATGTCCCAAATGACAAAAAGCAATTAATTATTAAAATGTGTCAAGTGCTGCAAAATTTAATCCATGAAAAACCCACTTTGGCTAATATGATTAAACCCCCCCCAGAAGTTTATTAAAGTTTTAGATCATATTTTATTAGAACACGAGACTGAACATAAAAAGCAAAGTGATCTATCTGAAGAACGACAACTGCCCAGATTATTCAGTTTATACCCAAACCCGTCGTTACACTTTCGCTATATCACAATTTCAATAAATGCTTTGTGTCCGTTCGTGCCCATACCGTTTGAAAAAGGTTATGAAAACCAACTGGAAATATTTAAAAAAAAGTCATTAATTTCGCCGCATTAAGGATAAAAAGGTATTTATCATGATCAAAAAATATCAACACAGCAATCACGAAATTCATGTTTTTTTTAAAAAAAAAAAACTAGTACTGATATCGTGCCAAATGGGAACAACAAGATCATGTTCGGCAACCTAATACGATCGAATGGGTTTTCGGTTGATCTATTGTTTTATAGAAGAGTCTCAAGATCAAAGGATAATGATATTCAGTTAGAGTTAGAAGATTCTGATATCGAAGAAGTTCAATCGATCTATAAACCTCTTTTCCTGGATCCAGGACGAAAATCTGTATACACTGCTGTTGAAGGCTTAAACCCCACGTATAGTATCCTTAAATGTACAACAAAGGAGTACTATCATATGACCAGTTCCACTATCTTTTAAAAAAAGCAACAAAAGAAAAAAAAATGAGAACGGAATCGAGGCGATAGAGTGCTTAATACCGGTAAAAAAAAACACAATCACCCCTCATATACCACCAATATGTGCATAATATTTTGGAAAACTTGGATGTTTTGTTTAATTATTATGGCAGAAATACGGCGAAACAACAATTTAATCTGTATCAGGGTCGACAGAGAGCTCAAGAAAACACGGTCAACATCTTGATCAATGAGGGTTTAAAATACAACGTGAGGCTTAGAAAAGAGAAAGCCAAAAGGAATAAACATAAAAACAAGAAAAAGAGGAAGAAGAAGAAAAAGAAAAAGAAAAAGGCCAAAAAGGAGGTGAAAGAAACGACAGAACGGCAGAAGTAAGCAGCGAGTTCTTTTTTAATTGATGTTAATATTTATCTCTTCTTTTTTTTTTTTTTTTTTTTGAAAAGATTGAACAAATGAAGACCCCATGTTTATAAAGAAGACAAAACAAAAGTTCCGCTAGTCGTCCTCCGTGGCGGTATGTTCGGAAAAGATCTTGTCAAGCTAAAAGGGAACCGGTGTGGGGTAGTAGGCAAGCTGTTCAAGACGTTGAAAAAGTGAGAGACTGAAGGTCAACTGATCGTCACAACTATCAATGAATTTAAAACCTCCATTACATACAGTCATTGTTTTTTCGATAAGCAAGAAGTCATAGACACTCCCGGTTTCAAGGGCTGTGGTGTCCAGAATGCGGAAAAGTATGGCAACGAGATGTAAATGCTGCTTTAAACATGAAGACAATCTCGAAGGCAGTTTGGTCAGGCCGAGGAAGACCAGACGTTTTTAAGCCAAAGAAGAATACTACCAATTTATCCGAAAGACGTTTGTGCCTAAAAAAAAACCCCCTCGTATCGCCGTATTAAAAACGGTTTCCTTTTCTCAAAGGATTAAGATCATTACAGGTAAAAAAGTTTAAACATAAATCTCAATTCGTCTGAAAACTAATTCTTTTTTTGTCTCAATTTCATTTCTTATTCTTCTGAAAATTAATTTTGATTTGTCCAAAAAAATATTAATATTTTCTGAATTTGAAGTAGAAATACTGAAAGTGAAAATCATATAAAATTTTATGATAAATTTTAATAAATGATTTTTATTGGACAATTATCAGTATTTCATACAGCAAATTATGAGACTTCCCATTCCCCATTCCTCTACTCCCCATTCTTTCTTGCCCGCCTTATAATCTTAGGGTAGTTTTTTTTTTATTTATTTATTTATTTATTTATTTTTTTATTTATTTATTTATTTATTTATTATTTATTTATTATTATTATTATTCATTTATTTATTTATTTATTATTGTTGAATTATTCCTTAAAAAACAGAGACTTAGTAGTAGCCTGTATGTTTCCTCACTCGTTCTTATTGGCATCAAATATAAATATTTATAAAAATTGTCTACCTATTATTATTTATTTATTTATTTATTTTTGATAAAGTCATTTACATATTTACTTCAAGTTGTATAGTATTTACAATTTTATTCTAAGCTTCTTTTT